ACAACCTCAGATATGCAGATGACACAACCTTGATGGCAGAAAGCGAGGAGGAATTAAAGAACCTTTTACTAAGGGTGAAAGAAGAGAGCGCAAAATATGGTCTGAAGCTCAACATCAAAGAAACGAAGATCATGGCCACTGGTCCCATCACCTCCTGGCAAATAGAAGGGGAAGAAATAGAGGCAGTGAGAGATTTTACTTTCTTGGGGTCCATGATCACTGCAGATGGTGACAGCAGCCACGAAATTAAAAGACGCCTGCTTCTTGGGAGAAAAGCAATGACAAACTTAGACAGCATCTTAAAAAGTAGAGACATCACCTTGCCAACAAAGGTCTGTATAGTAAAAGCTATGGTTTTCCCAGTAGTGATGTATGGAAGTGAAAGCTGGACCATAAAGAAGGCTGATCGCCGAAGAATTGATGCTTTTGAATTATGGTGCTGGAGGAGACTCTTGAAAGTCCCATGGGCTGCAAGAAGGTCAAACCTATCCATTCTTAAGGAAATCAGCCCTGAGTGCTCACTGGAAGGACAGATTGTGAAGCTGAGGCTCCAATACTTTGGCCACCTCATGAGAAGAGAAGACTCCCTGGAAAAGACCCTGATGCTGGGAAAGATGGAGGGCACAAGGAGAAGAGGACGACAGAGGACAAGATGGTTGGATAGTGTTCTCGAAGCTACCAGCATGAGTTTGACCAAACTGCGGGAGGCAGTGGAGGACAGAAGTGCCTGGCGTGCTCTGGTCCATGGGGTCACGAAGAGTCGGACACGACTAAACGACTAAACAACAACAGGCCCATTGAAATAAATCAATATAATTTACTCATGTTTGCAAATTTAAATGGGTGTGTGGAGTGATAGGGAAGGGGTAGTACCTCTGGTGGGGGCATGTTGTGCACCTTCTGGGGTAGTTTCTCCACCTTTGGACTCCACTCTGCACTCAGTGCTCACCTGTGGCTCCTATAAGCAGGGTCGTAGTGCCGTCCACCAGCGCCTGGGGTGGTGGGCATGGAGCGTGGAGGGTGCTCTTCATCTTCTGCAGTCCTTAAGCCTTGCTGATGCGAGGCAGGCACTCATATGTCAGGCAGGAGAGGGGCGTGTTGGGTGCTCTTCACCCTCTGCTCGCCCAGCCTCCACCGCCGACGGACGGGGACTCATACACTGGTTCTCTTGGTGCTACATTGAATTTTCCCCATTTCATTTATAGATGTTGTTACTCAGAATATAGCACTGCCTGGAAGGATGGGTCTGATGTCTCATCCGTGCTCTGGACAGGGCTAAATCCTGTGTCTGCTGCATTTCTGAAACTAGTGACATGTCAGTGGGAAAGAAAATACAACACACCCATTTCAAAAATAATTTGAATTGTACTCCTGCCTGGGGCTGTGATACCATCAGGTGCTCCAACCCAGTTTGCCTAACAATTGCGTCATGCAAATGGTAATCAGACGCTTCCGTATTTTTTTGAACTTTGTACCCTTGGATAATTTAACAAAATTGCTTGTGCACAACCCATACTTCTGTTTGGCTAATAGTATTTACAGCAGAGGTGGCTAAGCTTCTACACTCATCAAAAATAGTGTAGCGCACAAATTCCTTAGTACAGTGATACCTCAGTTTCCAAACGTCTCCATTGACAAACATTTCAGTTTTTGAACGCTGTAAACCAGCGTTTGAACATGCCTTGGAAGTCGAACATGCCATGCGGCTTCCGTACTGAGTTTTCTATATTGAGGCTTCTGTATTGAGTTCGCAATTTTCGTACGTTTTAGAACTTGGTCTTCCAAAACAGATTATGTTCGAAAACCAAGGTACCACTGTATGTCCAAATTGATTCATTACTTTCAGAGCTGTGAGAGTTTTCCTGAAAGTAGCCTAACCCAGGCCATGCAGCAGGTGTAGGGAACCTTTGTCCCTTCAAATGGTGCTGAGCTACAGCCTGGGATGATGGGAGCTGTAGTTCAGCCACATCTGGAGGGACAGAGGTTCCCCACACCTGCCAGTGATATTTGACCTTGAAAACTGCCTTCAGTGTCACTTTTGTTTCCCTGTAGCATTAGTGCTTGCTTTGAACTTGCCAACACCTACACAATTAAAACAGGATTTTGTGGCAGACATACTACTAATGGGTGTTTCCTCTTTACACTCCTAATTCTGGAAATATACATCCAATTTTGAATGCAGTAACTTATGCATATTTAACTTGTGTGCATTCAGATTTATGTGCTTGGAAAAATAAATAAATGAATAAAAAGGGAGCAGGCGTCCACCCGCCACTGAACCCAACGTGTTTTGACCATACATGGCTTTGGCTTTAGGTATGATCCCTGAAACATAACCACCATGTACTGTAAATTGCAGGCTTACTGTATTCCATAAGTCAGGTTACAGGGTTTGACTTCATGAAGAAATAAGCATTAAGTGTGGATTAGCTATGTGGAATGGCTAGCCCTGCCCTCGGGTGCACAACATGTGCACTGCTCCGGGTGCCAGAGCAGCTAGCTCCGCCTCTGGATGTGCTGGAACTGGACAAAGCCCTGCATTTGGCACTTCTCCGGGAGCTTTCCTATTATTTGTTGATCATGAGATTTGATGGCAAAAGAAATCTTTTATATACTGAAGATTGGAAATACTTGGATCCCTTGCATGGTCAGAGAAGCTGAAACATAGTGGAAGCATCTATGAGCCAGTAATGACTGGCATTCCTTCACCTCCTGAAAATCTTTGAAAGTTACTCATGCAAGTACAAAACAATGTGTGAAACACGTTTTTGCAGAAAAGTCAGGAGTCTGTGGTACCTTTGCTTGTAGCAAATGTCAAGGAACTAACATTTCATAGTATGGATGAAGATGACTGTGACAGCTACAGCAATGGTGCTATTAGACTGGAACATTGCTTTTCTTCTAGGAAAAAACAGTGCTGGTACTGTGTACCCTTGTGTACCCCCAGAAAAAAACCTAAATAGTTTGTTAAGAAGTGTAGTCTGTAAAACCATTCTTCTCACCTTCTGTCCAAATCAGAGAGGCAGTGGCACAAAGCATCTTCTGGATTGAAAGCAAGTGGCAGCTGCAAGGAACAACCACCACCTTTTCAACTTGTCACTTACCCTCCTCCTTTAGGCCAGTGGTGGGGAATCTCCTGACTGTGAGCCTAATTAGGCCTGTCATACCTCCCCATTGGGCCAGCAAGCAGTGGCATGAGGTCAGTGGACTAGGGGGACTAGGCTAGTCCCCCAATGTTTCCCTTTCACCTCCTTCCCAAAGCCCAGGAAGCTTCTGCCCAGCTTAGGGAGGGAGGTGCAGTGCTCATGTGTGTGACATCATGCGTGCATGGGCCTCCCACCAATTGCCCTCGCAAGCTGGTTCCTCTGGCTGGCCCTAACTGTTCCCCTATGAAGAATTTCACTGCACGCCACTGCCAGCAAGGCCATTTCAGCCACACCAAACCCATCTGCCCCAAACCTGACGTCAGGTGCAGGATAAGTAAGAGCATGGCTGTGCCAAAATGGGGGTGACAGGCCATTTGTAAGCACTGATGCTCAGCTGATTACTGGGACTTTCATAGAGTGCTGTACAAGCCCTATGTGAAACCTGGCCCATAAGAGAGCATGCAGTTCCATCTGCTTAATCTCTGGCTAGTGTAGCAAACAGTGTTCTTTCTACCCTGTTCTCACTGTGGCTAAAAATGTGCCTTTGGGAAGCCCACAAGTAACACGAGCCCAGCAGCACTCTCCCAACAATCCAGGCAGTATATAGCCATTATGACAAGTGGCCATTGATTGTGTTGCACGCTACCCCAGTCTCTGCGCAGTGCAAAACACCAGGGGCTCCAGCCACTTTTCTGAGGTTCAGTTTCCTCGGAATGAGGAACAGCAGAGACTTGGTGTGATACATGGTTTCTTTACACGTATGTACAACCTGAGCCAACGATGGAGAGGCTCACAGCATTAACACCCACATAAGGTCTTGCTTCTCCCATAGCCACAGCCATGCTTCATTTCTATCAGACCTGCAGCCTGCTTCTAGCTCTCACACACAACTCAGCTTTGCCCCTAATTGCCAGCCAATTGGCAGGATGGCCCTGCAGCATTGGCCTGCCCCGCTTAGACCCACTTCCTATGTGACCTTAATGGCCCATACTTAGGGGGCCACTACCAAGAAGCTGGCCTGGCGATTCCAGCTATGGAATCCTTGCTGGATTCAGGAATTAGAAGGGACTCAAGTATACAGCCTAACACCCACCCAGCCACCCAACTCACCATCGTCTTCTCCTCCTCCTTCATGCAAGGCCCAGTGGCATCCTCTCACATGCTTCGTGCTCTGGCAGTGAGGAAGCGTGAACAGAGGAGGTGGTCCTCTTGCTTACTTGCTGGGGAGCAGCAATCATCCCTGGTGTCACCCCAAGAGCGGGAAAGTGAACAGCTAGACTTTAGCTTGCCAAGGTGATTTTTGTTAGGGGTGGGAGGTTGTTGGGGGGGGGTCAGGACTTTTGGTATTGGGGGAGGAGAACCAACGTGACTGGTCAATTAAGTATTTCTATTGTTTTATTTGATCTGTGGGGGGGGGGGGTTACGCCCAGGCACCCCGTCCTGGGAGAAAAGCTTAGCCCGGGGCAGAGGCCGCGGCTACCTCCTCTGGACAAGGCGCTGGCCCAGAGCCGCTCGCACCCGAATGTGCATCTCGTCGCCCCTCGGTTGAGGCTGCGTTTTTATCGCCAGGGCCAGGCAGGACTCGAGCCCGGCTTCGCCTGGCAAAGAGAACCCAAGGCCGGACCTTCAGCGGCCGGAGTTCGCTGGCGTCTCCTCAAAACCCGCAGCGGGACTCGCTCCAGGGCTACAACCAGAAGGAAGGCGCGCCCGCGCGCACCCCACGACTTGCAAACCGCGCCAAGTCTTCCTCCGCTCCGCCACAAAACCGCCTCCGGGCTTGTTCGCTGCCAGCCAATAGACGGGTTCAGGGGGCATGTCCGACGGAGCAACGAGCCAATCGCACGTGGAGGAGGCCGGGCCGAGTGTTCCACCCTTACCGCCGCGGGAGAAGCGGCATGGCTGAGTTGCGCTTGGCGGCGCGGGCGGGAGGCTGCTGAGCAGGTGGCGTCGGAGAACGGGATGGCTCCGCAGCAGAAGTCCAGCGTGGAATTGGTCCCGCACCGGCCGCCCTCTTCGGCCACGCGGCTCTTCACCTGGGACGAAATCCAGGCCCACACCAAGCAAGGAGCCCCGGGGCGAGAGAATTGGCTGGTGGTCGGCAGGAAAGTGTACGACGTCCGCAGCTTCTGCCAGAGACACCCCGGGGGCTCCCGGATCCTGATGAGCCACTTTGGGGAGGACGTGACGGTGAGATGCGGATTGGGGGTCGTGTGAAAAGTGTGAAGGAGGTGATGGAGGAGAGATAACTAAGCTACCCCGTGATATTGCATGTCAGTCGGTCCCGCATTCCTCTGTTCTGCTCTGAGTCCGGAGCGCCTCAGATTAAGGTCTGAGGGACATATGGTGAACGGCTGATAGTCCGTTCGTCGATAAATAACAGTATGGTAATAAATCATTTAGGAGTCAATTCTCTAGTAACCTAATTAAAGTACTATCTCGTCGGCAGTAAATTCCTTAGTCAAGGCACTGTAATTAAAAATCCCAGTTTCATGCTGAGGAGAAATCAGTCCTAAATCCTACTATGCATCCTTGTAACATAGAAGAACACAGATTATACGTAATATATATATCATTTTGAACTTTTAAAATGACTTCTCATCTGATGCAAAAGTTGCAGATACAGTGAGAATAATGTGAGGTCATAAGCATAAATTGTTGTAAATGCCTAGAATATTATATTTATGAATAAATTGATAGGCTGCCAAAGCTGTACATTTTTCCTGAGGGTGATTGTATAATCGAAACATACTCCTGACCTCAAAGTCAGCAGCTCTTTTAAACCAATGTTTCCCTCAAGATGCAAAGATCCATCATTGCAGCCCATTTAAAGGGCATCATCTCAGTATCTCCCATTTTAGTCAAAGATCAAATATGAAGCTGTCTTTAAACTGCACTGTTTGCTTAAATCTGCCCACTAGTTGAGCAATTGAGCAATCCACTATACTGTAACTGTAATGTGAGAATTCTGTTTGGGAGTTGTCGTTTAGATCTAGGCATACTTGGTTTTCTGTTGTCCCATGATGCTGCTTGGGCAATCATGTCTGCTGATATTCGCTACTGATGTGGTTTAACAGGGAGCAGATGGCCCTCAGATTGCATTTTTATGAGGAGAGGATTGCTTGCCTGCAATGCTGCTGAGATAAAGACATGGCAGACTGCCTATAAAGGAGGACTTTTGTGGCCCCATAATGAGTGGGGCCCTGGGCGTTGACCAGTTTGCTTTTAATAAAGTCACACTGCTGTCACCCTCCAGTTGTGGTGGACTCCTAACTCCCATCAGCCTTACCCACCTTGGCTAGGGATGCGGAGCTGCAGCATCTGAACATCTGAAGTGCAACACATTCTGTAGCATTTTAGGGCTAGAGGAAGCTCTTTTGCTCTGCTGAAAATGAGTCCTGGAATGATGCTGCAAATTGCAGTTGTGAGTCATGCATGTTGTTTCAAAGGACATGATCCTAATGACCCTGGAGCAAGCTAACATGAAATTGGGTATTTTCTCTTTTCCTTGTCAAAAAACTAGAGTTCAGCAGCCTTGTAATTTACTCTTAATTTGTGGTTGGGTTGTGTCCAACAGGATCTAGAAATTCAACTTGAAGTAATCTCCCTGCATAAAGCACGCACCAAAGCTCCCTGAAGTGTTAACAAATTTTGCAAAACCAAAATAATGGACAATTTCCTAACTTTCAACAACGCCCCCTAAACCAGCTGCCTTCCTCGCCCTCTCTAACAATAGGCTTCCACGTCACCATTCTTCACAGCAGGAGTGGCTGCTCAGCACTTAAAATGCTCTGCAAATTAATCCTGCCACAAGCACAATCCAGTTTGTTCTCTCTACCTCCCCCGTACCCCAGTGACTACCACATTCCAGAAATTATTTCAAGGAAGAATCCAAATGGTTCCTAATGCCAAAGTTTTCTCAAGCTACATCAGCCAGTATTTGAGAACCACAGTCTTATTAGAAAGGGTTTTTTTAAGCCCAAACAACAACTTTGTATAGAATTGTTTTTTATTTATTTGCTTTAGTTCCAACCCCTGTCCCCGCCCCAAAATAATCTGTCGGTTAGTCAGGGCACCCACTGGCCTCCACCAAACCTGTGGAGGTATTTCCCAAGCCACTTCCAAATTTTTTTCTTTTTGTTGTGGCAAGCACTGACTTGTAAGAACTCATTTTTCTGTAAGGAAGTGTGAGACTATCAAAGGCTGCATACACACCATACATTTAAAGCCCCCCCCCCCCCAAATCCTGGAAACAGTACTTTGTTCAGGGTACTGGGAATTGTAGCTCTGTGAGGGTTAAACTACAGTTTCCATGATCCTTTGGGGGTGGGGGAGTGCTTCAAATGTATGGTTTATAAGCTGCATTAAGCCTCTCGCAAAGGGCTTTCTCTCTTTCATTCCCTGCTACCTTCTGCTTTTTTCATTTCTGAGTTTGGGTTTAAGGGGAATATGGGCATGGTTCCCATTGAAATCGATGGGACTTGAGTTCCACTAACCTAGGGACTCCAGCCAACCATATGCCTCCTCTGGAACAAACTACCATATTTTTCGCCCCATAAGGCGCACCGGCCCATAGGAAAAAAAAAATTGATTTCCCCCCCAGGCTTCCCCCGACCCCAGCCCCCAGAACAGGCAGCTCTCCGCAACCCTGGGGAAACGGCGCGACTTCCCGCCTCTTGCTCTCCAGGCTTGCGCACCGACCCCTCTCGCTCTCCAGGCTTCAGCGAAAGCCTGCATTCGCCCCATAGGACGCACACACATTTCCCCTTCATTTTTGGAGGGGAAAAAGTGCGTCCTATAGGGCGAAAAATACGGTATTTTGGCCTCCAAAATGTATTTTGGCTGGAAGAAGGGGATTTGGTGCAGGGCGTGTGTTGCATTTTAGGAAAAAGAAACAGTGAAACCATCAATGAAGAATTTAAAGAGAGGTGTGAGAAATGCCAAAAATATAACTTGTAGCATCTCTGTGCCCCTTCAGATGAAGTTGGACTCCAGCTCCCACCATCCTTCTCCGCTGACTGTGCTGGCTGAGCTGGCTGAGGGAAGCTGGAGTTCAACACTATCTTGAGGTTTATGCTGCCAGCCTGGAAACTTGAGGAAAGGGTTGCTTCCAACGAAACTTCAGGAAGAACATTTTGATGTTAAAGAGCTGCTCAACAGTGAAACGGACTCCATGGAAGGTGGTGGACTCTCCTTTTCTGGAGATTTTAAAGCAGAGGTTGGATGGCCATCTGCCAGGGATGCTTTAGCTGAGATTCCTGCATTGCAGGGGGTTGGACTAGATGATTCTCAGAGTCCTTTCCAAACTCTCCAATTCTGTGATTCTGTGTGGCCTGTTACAATCTGAGACCTACCAAGGAGGCCCTCTCAGTGATTCCATCTGTGCATCAGGCCCAGGCTGTGAAGACATGAAGATTATTGGGGGTTGCTCCTCAATTATGGGATCCCTTCCCACTTCAGGCATGCTGGGAGGGTGCTGGGAGTTTTAGGAAATCTCTATTCCCCTCACAGAACTGCAATTACCAGGGTAGTTTAATAAGTGGTGTTTGTGTGTGAAGCACGCAAGCCTGAATCTTATGCTGGCTCATTCCTGTAATAGCTATTCAAGCCCTCCAAGTTGCCTAATGCGTTTAGACTACAAAATAGTCTTCATTAGATGTAATGATCACCTGCCTCCTGAAAAAGGAGTTTCTTTTCCTTTGAGGAAAAACACTTGCCCCAATCAACTACCCCCCCCCCCAGGACCTTTATGAACTTCACTTCTGTTTGTTGCTTTGAATATTGCTGTGGATCAGGAATCCACAGCAATATTCCCTTTTCAATTAGCAATAATTGCACCCTACATTAACCAGGGTGTTGCTTGCGGCAAAACAGTAAATGGTGCCACTGTCTCCTCTGCCACCGCAGCCTGAGGAAACCGGAGGCACTGGGGCCCTGGGTGCCTAAGCACCCACACATTTTCTCACAAAGGGGCCAGGCACCCACAAATTTCGGTGCCAGGGCCATGCACATTGCATGGCACCCATGGCCCCTGGCCCCAACGGTTGCGGGGCCAAGTTAGCACTCCTGACTGGAGCAGCAGCCTCAGGAAGCCCTGGCATGCTGAAGCTGGCAGTGGAGAAAGAAGGAGGCTAGAGAGGAGCAGGCCCACTCTTCCCAGGTGGCGCATAGGCGACATGCGCTGGATCTCCTGCCCCTCTCAGCTGTCCCTAGTCTGCTACCTGAGGTGACTGCTAATGAACAGACTGGTTCTGAATCTGTACCTTCAGGGCTGCAGGTCAGGAGCAGAAGAATTATAGGCAATTCCTGCCAGGAGATTCTCATTGTAGCCCACAATCCTCGAGTCCTGGAATATCTGGTGACACGAGGGGGCCAATCTGTGATGTTCCCAGGTGCTGTAAAAACAGCCCCTCTGACTTCCCACAATCTGAGAAACTTGTTGCTGAGGGAGGCTGTGCCATTGTTTTCTGCTTACCTGCCCCAGCCTGCCTTTGCCTATCTTGAAAATGCTGGTTTGAATGAAACGGAGCCAGTGAAAATCATATGTACATGAATTGTGGGGTGAGGGTGGCAATTATCTATGCATATCATTTCTTGATTAATGTTCTGATTATCTCTGTTTATTAGCAATACATCTTCTGTGTCAGATAAGAAATAATAGTGTTTACACAAGCTTTTGAAACGTCTTGCACACAGGTTCCCGTTTTTGATTCGCAAAGCAGAAAGAGAGGGGTACCTTGCTCAAGTATTTCCCATGACCGCTCATGGAATAAGTGCTAGGAGTGAGCCCACTGTCACACACCTTTGACTATGTCTGCAAATCCTTTTGGCCCCCACCCCACAACCTTTGATCATTTACCTTAATTAGAGGCAACGTGCTCTTGATGTATTTAATTGCTGCAGTGTCATAACTCAACAGTACCATTACAAACCGAAAAATATGTAGGGATTTCCATTTAAACTCCAGCGGAGTGCAGGGCGTTCAGGCAGGCGCTGCAGTTGAAACAAACCCTATGACTGTTTCCAGATTGATGGTTTCTGTCAGTACCCTGTCATCTTTCTATGTCCCATCCACACAAGGAGGAAGTGTGACAGAACTGCTGTGTGTGTGGTCTTTTGAAGCTTGGCACACATTCACTATAACACTTGAGGTGGCTGCCATTTTATGACACCCATTAGTTTTAGAAAAAATCTTGTAATTATTACATAAGTCTCTCTCTCTCTCTCTCTCTCTCTCTCTCTCTCTCTCTCTGTGTGTGTGTGTGTGTGTGTGTAGAGCACTAAAGATTTATATCACCATAATGTTTATAAAGTAAAGGTAAAGGTACCCCTGCCCATACGGGCCAGTCGTGTCCGACTCTAGGGTTGTGCGCCCATCTCACTTAAGAGGCCGGGGGCCAGCACTGTCCGGAGACACTTCCGGGTCACGTGGCCAGCGTGACGAAGCTGCTCTGGCGAGCCAGCACCAGCGCAGCACACGGAAACGCCGTTTACCTTTCCAGTATACAGCGGTACCTATTTATCTACTTGCACTTAGGGGTGCTTTCGAACTGCTAGGTGGGCAGGAGCTGGGACCAAAGACGGGAGCTCACCCCGCCGCGGGGATTCGAACCGCCGACCATGCGATCGGCAAGTCCTAGGCACTGAGGTTTTACCCAAGCGCCACCCGCGTCCCATCATAATGTTTATAGTATAGCACAAAATACGATAATAGTGTTATACTTTTATAACACTATACTACAATCCTAATTTTTAAAAAATTCTGGTTACTGGTATTTTAGCAACTTGGTTAATGGTGGTGATAAGAGACTTAAGATTTTATCCCGCCCCCCAAGGGAAAATAGAATAGAATGATGGTGTTGGAGCACTACAACTCTTTCATTAGTTTAAAAAGAACATATCCAGAAAATATTTTAATGATAATTAAAAGATATAAAAAATAGTGTCAAAAATTGATGCTCACCACAAATGTTCTAATGAATGTGTGCTGAACTCTTTCCTGGTTCATTGCTATCCATGTCAAAACCTCCACATTTTTAAAAAGATGAAAGAATGGTGATAAAGGTGTCTTACACCTGTGGAGATTGCAGTGGTCTTCTGATGGAGACCAGCCATTCTGGTCTGAGAAAGATGGAAGAACTAAAGGGGAAATGTAGGGTGACAATGATTGGATGGTTTTATTTTTTTACATTTTTAATATTTATATGCTGCTTTCCAATGCAAAGCCCAACATGGTGTCATGTCAATGTCCCATAAAAAGTAGCTGAAAGGATCAGGGCAAAATGCCACATATAGAAACAGAGCCTCCCAATGTCATTGTTGGAATTCTAGCCCATCTCTCTCTCTCTCTCCACACACACATACACACATAACTTTGCATTGCATTTCAGTAGTAACAGCATATAAAAGATGATGATAACATACTAAAAGCGAACAGGAAAATGGAAAAAAAGGAAGAAGAGAGTAAGGGAGAAAACCATATAAATAAAATTGAGCAAGTTTCCCGTTCATAAAATTGTAGTTTTGGAAGGGACCCCCGAGGGTCATCTAGTCCAACCCCCTGCTATGTAGGAATCTCAGCTACAGCATCCATGGCAGTTGGCCATCCCAGCTCTGCTTAGAAACCTCCAAGGAAGGAGAGTCCACCACCTTCGAAGGGAGTCAAGCATCTCTTCCCATCAGTAGGTTTAGTTGGAATCTCTTTTCAACTTGAATCCATTGCTTCAGGTCCTACTCTCCAGAGGAAGAGAAAACAAGCTTGCTTCATCTTCAATGTAACAGCCCTTTAGATATTTGAAGGGGGCTATCATTTCTCCTCTCAGACTCCTCTTCTTCCGGCTAAACATACCCAACTCCCTCAACCATTCCTCATAAGGCTTGGTTTCCAGACCCTTGATCATCTTGGTTGCCCTCCTCTGCACACAATTGTCATCATCATCACCATCACAGCATCCTTTTCTAATTTACTTGCCTATGAATTGCAGAGGAGGCGAGATTTATAATGCCTCTATTAATTTGTCTCTTTCATAAACTAAGGATTGAGTTGAAAGCACATGTAAGCACATGATCAGACTGGGGAAATGCTCGTTCATGTCCATGACTAATTTCCCATTACACAAATGGGATTGTGTTAATCCCATTTCAAAGAACTAATCCTGTGTTGTTTCTTGGTAATCACAGCATCCTTTTCTAAGCACTCACAGACCGACCATTTAATTATATGTTCAAGGACCTTCCCTGCTATCGCTGTCAAACTCAGTGGTCTTCTCTGGGTCTTCTCTCCCTGCCCCTCTGCCTTCTGAAGATGGGGAATAATATTTGCCTGCCTTCAGTCAGCAGGGACTTCTGATAATTCTGAAAGATTATAGACAGAGGCTCTGGGATCGCATCCACAAGCTCCTTTAGTACCCTTGCAGGCAGCTCATCAGGCCCTGGGGATTTGAATTCATTTAAAGTAGCCCAGAGTTCTCTTTTCCTATCTTGAGCTGCAGCTCCATCCTTTTATAATTTATTTTGTTATTACCAGGTTGGGCACTGCTTTACTTTTGGGTAAAGACAGTGGCAAAGTAGATGTTGAGCATTTCTGCCTTCTCTCTGTCACTCAATAGCATTTCTCCGTGCAGAAGACCTGCTCCTTGCTTGTTCTTCCTCGTGTTTCAAACATAGCCAAATAAAGCTCTAAAAATTAATTTTAATCTCTTTTGTAAGCCTGAGCTCATTCTGTGCTTTAGCCCGCCTGACTCAAAGTAAAGCAGTAAACATCCTGATCTCAGCAGTTTCAACAAACATGGAATTTAAACAAGAGTATAGGCAGCACAGGACAGTCAGGTGTAATTCCAAATGTCTCTGTCTCATGATTTCAGCCATTTACTTCTGAGCTAATTAATAGATATGAGCGTTTCTACTGTTCCTCCCAGTCCAAATTTTTAATACAGTGGTGCCTCGCAAGACGAAATTAATCCGTTCCGCCAGTCTCTTCTCTTGCGGTTTTTTCGTCTTGCGAAGCACGGCTATTAGCGGCTTAGCAGCTATTAACGGCTTAGTGGCTATTAACGGCTTAGCGGCTTAGCAGCTTTAAGAAAAAGGAAACAAACTCACAAGAACTTGCAAGATGTTTCGTCTTGCGAAGCAAGCCCATAGGGAAATTTGTCTTGCGGAATGACTCAAAAAACACAAAACCCTTTCGTCTAGCGAGTTTTTCGTCTTGCGAGGCATTCGTCTTGCGGGGCACCACTGTATATTTCTCAATCTTTCCTTCTAGCTATTCATCCCTTCATTTTTTCCACTGTCTTTATTTGAAGAACAGGTTCCCTGCCCAGCCATACATTTGCGGTATCTCCAGACTGCCCTATTCCTTCCCATGAGTTCAACTCTAGTTCTTTTAGCGTCTCTTTCGCCTGCTCATATTTGTAGATGCTCATTAACTGCATTCCAATGATAGGTTCATGCATACCTTGCCTGATAGCTGTCATCGTTCACAAGTTTTGCAATGAATTGCTAGCCCCAAAGGGAGATTATTCACCCGAAACACCCACCTTGAAGCTGCATCTTCATCTGTTTTTTTTGGGGGGGGGGGAATGTGGAGAAGTGGAAATCCCTGCTTTCCCCCTTCCCAGTTTTTCACACCTGCGTAACGACAGAACTTGAAATGCACTGTGACAAATTCCTTTTGCACAACAAGATGTTTACTGACATTTCGAAATGACTGAGACTTCAATAAAAGCAAACGGTAACCTAGAGCTGTTTATACATGCTTTTGCACATGAAACTCAACTGTGCAATCCTATGCCTGTCTATTCAGAGGTTAGTTCTCATAGGGTGGAGTGCTTTCCCTTGGGAGGCCTGCGCTGCACCCAGCTTCTTACTACTTTGCCGCCAGGCAAATACATTTTTGTCTTCCTGGGCATTTGGGCAACAGCCAGTGATATTTTATTGTATTGTTAAATTCATTTTATTTAGTACAATTTATTAAAAGTAATTGCACATTTGTTTTGTACAGTTACTTTATATTGTTTAATGTGTGTAAATTGCTTCAGGATTTTCAGTGGGAAGCAATCTGTAAGTGCTGGCCCATTAGAGAAGCTAGTGCACTGGCCTACCAGTCTAAGTCTGCCCCCAGCCAGTTGCCCCCAGCCTGCCTTTCTTTCCTGCAGCTGGTCCAGGTTTGTCAACTTCCTCCTCTTCCTCCTCCATTTCTGTTGTCCTTGTAGAACTCTGCGGGGAAAAGAATGGGAGCAAAGCTAGAATGAGTTGGCTCTGCTGAGCTAAATGGACCAAGGATCTCATAGAATTCATAGAATCATAGAGTTGGAAGGGACCCTGAGGATCATCTAGTCCAACCCCCTGCAATGCAGGAATATACAGTTGTTCCGTTGGGGATCAAACCTGCAAGCTTGGTGTTATCAGCACCATGTTCTAACCAACTGAATCAGACCACCAGTGTAAGAGAGCTTCCTTTGTTTTACTTCCGTCAACTTTCCGCTGTTTCATGATTGAGTCTCCTTTTCATAGAATCACATTGTCTGTGTGTGTGTGTCTGTGTCTTGTAGGCTCGTGTATTCCAACTCCCTGCTCAGTGCAGGACGTCCAGAGCTAGGGCATCCTCAACAGATGGTTGAGGATGAGCTCAATACACACCACCCGTCTGCCAGTTACCCCACAAACTCCTCATCTGTTGTTTTACTTTTGATAAACCCGCACGTTCCTTTAAGAGGAACATTGCCAGAGAAATTGGGGGGCTGGTAGCAGCACCGGGGAGAAGGGCACACAGTGGCCTCACTCAATATTTCCTGGTATTGGTTTTGCCTTCCCATCTTTTCCCCCTGTGGACTTGTAGGATGCCTTTGAAGCGTTCCATGTCGACAAGTCATTGGTGAAGAAGTATTTGAACCCGCTGCTGATTGGGGAGTTGGCACCAGATCAATCCAGTTTGGGACCCAGCAAAAATGTAAGTCTCTTCTAACCCCTGGATGTGAGATGTGAACCCAAGAAGAAGTAAGGTTTCCCTCCGTACATGTTATGTGTATTCTGGAGTGCTTAAAGGAGGATGCCATGCGCTGGTCTGAACCTGTAAATGGTGGCAACGGGCTGATAGAAGGGGAGAAGCCCTGAGCAGAATTAGACATTAAAACTCTGGTCACACCCTCCCCTTGCTGCTCCTAAGAGCACAGGCTACTCCAACATTTCCTAGAGTAGAGGAGCTGTCATTTTTAAATTTCTTCTTCACAGGAATCACTCATCATGGACTTCCGTGAGCTGCGCACCACTATAGAGAAGATGGAACTCCTGAAGCCCAACACTTACTTTTTCATGGCGGTGTTCCTTCACATCCTGCTCTTGGATGCTGCGTCCTGGCTCAACTTCTTGTATTTTGGAACCTCTTTACTGCCCTTCACTGTCTCTGTGGCACTTTGCACAATGTCCCACGTAAGTTGTCTTGCTCCGTGAATAAAGCCAAAGGCTGGCCTTCTGTTCTAAGCACCTGAAACCAGCTTCCTTGGTCATCTTCTACTACCCTGGTGAAGCCAGTGCTCATTCTGGAGGTCATCTTTATCACTGGGATTTTTGTCGCTCCCAGCGTTAATGGGTGCAATTCCAGTCCTTTGCAGTGAGATGTTTGTTTATCCTCGGCGATTTATGAGTTGTATGGGTATTATTCAGAAATTCATGCCTGCATTTACCCATGTAGTATGCATGGCACACAGATTACTCTAGAGCTACCACATGCAATGACATGATGGCTTCTTTTGAATTAAATGATGCAGAAGGGACCCCAAAAGCCGTTCAAATGATAGGCAGGCCATTGTTCTAAGCAATCTCCTTTGCCTTCCAGATCCAGGCTTCATGGTTCCAACATGATTTGGGGCACCTTTCCGTCTTCCAGAAGCCCAAGTGGAACCACCTGCTTCACAAATTTGTGATGTGCCATCTTCTTGTAAGTGCTTGTTTTCGAAAACTTTTATTTTTTTGAGAGGGGTGGGAAGGGTAAGAGATCTGGATTGATTATCTGAAAATCAAGCTACCATATTTTTGGACAATGTGCATAATACACTAAAAGGTGTGTGGGGGGGGGAAACGTTCTAGTTCTTTGTGGATTTTTGTTCCCAAAAGCCTTCCCACAACCCTCCCATTGCATGGTGGGTGCATATATACTACAAACAAATCAGTTTTATAACAGAGGAACTGTCTTGGCTTCCCCTAAAGCCAGGATGGGGAACTTTTGGCCTTCAGCTGTTACTGGGCTACCACTGCCCCCTTCCCTGACCATTGGCTGTGCTGGCTGGAACTCAGGGGAATTGCAGTTCCAACAGCATCAGAAGGACCACACGTTCCTCACTGCTGTCTAAATGAACCCTGTGTGCTGCAGCAAAGGTGCCTAGAATCCTCTTATTGGTCTCCCTGCTCCCCTCGACAGGACCAGAGTTCCTAGGACTTCCTACGAAGAGGGACTGACTCTTAATGTGGCCTAAATCTGTCAGTACGCCTTTCAGCCGATGTGCAGCAACTGGGCTCAATAACTGGTTCTTCCCTGACTGGGCTAGGCGACTGGAGCACTTTCAGAGGCCTTCCAATCCTGGAAAACAGGTCTCAGTGCACTGGACTCACAGCTGTGCATTGTGAGCACCAGACTCATGCAGAGTATAAATAACACGGAAGCTAGCTGTGAAGCATAACTCCTTTTATTTCTGATAGCTACTACAAACTAAAGAACTACTGGCTTGCATGAGTGTAACATCTCCCACTCAGCCATCTAGTCACTACATAGATAAGACTGTCTCCACACAGAGTCAGGCAGTCAGTCAGGACCGGAAGAGTAGAAGAGCAGTTTCCGCCCCCTCCTTTCTCAAAACATCAGATCAGGAGATTCTTCCAATGGGAGGGGGTGAAAATATCAACAAAATCTACAGTGCAGTGATCTCCTTGGTTTTTTACCTTTAGCTGTGCTGTAGAATTGACTTCTTCTCTGATCTTCCTTTCAACAGGGGGCATCGGCCAACTGGTGGACTCTCCTGCACTCACAACATCACGCAAAACCCAATTGCCACAGCAAGGACCCGGACATCGACATGCACCCTGCCTTGTTTGCTTTGGGGAAGACCCTCTCTGTGGAGGCAAGTTTCATGTTGCTCTCATGCCCTTCAGAAAACAATGAATGCTTCCTATTTGTTCCTGTGCGCTACCTATTTGTAGTGTAGCTGTATGTGTGGTCGCCAGATTTCTACCTTAAAAAAACCCACACCAACAAATAATACATGCCACTTAATATTTTGGGGTGGGGTTGGGAATCCAGGGAACTAAATTTATGTTGACTGGAAAGAAGTCTATGTAATAATGATATGGTTGCATTCAGGGAAGTGGCAAGGTGCCTGTATGGCTGGGATGGGGAACTTGTGGCCATTCACATGTTGTTGGACTCCAGCTCTCATCAGCCCCAGTCAATATGGCCAATGGCAATGAAAATTACAGGACGGCAACATACGAGGAGTTGCAGGCTCCCCCTTCTGTAGGGCCATTTTTATCAAAATGTGACCTGATTTGCTTTCACAGCTTGGGGTAAAGAAGACAAAGTATATGCCTTACAACCACCAGCACAAGTACTTCTCCTTCAGTAAGTGTTGCTGTTGTTTTTTGAATTTATATACCACCCTATACCCAGCGGTCTCAGGGCGGTTCATAGAAAAGATCACAATATATAAAATTAAAATAAAAACAATAACCCAGTAACACCCCCCCCAAAAGAGCCACATTTTAAAAGGGTATCGGGATGTCAATCAGGTCAACCAAAGGCCTGGTTAAAAAGGAATGTTTTTTGTCTGGCGCCTAAAGGTGTAAAATGAAGGCGCCAGGTGAACTTCCCTGGGAGAGCATTCCACAGACAGGGATCCACTGCAGAGAAGGCCTGTTCTCATGTTGCCACCCTCCGGACCTCTTGAGGAGGAGGCAAACGAAGGAGGGCCTCAGAAGATAATTCAGGGTCTGGGTAGGTTCATATGGAAGTATGACTAACTTCCTGCAATGCCATGGGAGTTAGTGGAGTCCGTTGGCTTATGGTGAATTATAATGGTACCATCATAGTCATGGGCACATGATAGTGTGTAGCGGCTACATCTGCAAAAACCCTGTGCCCAGCAGGTGGACAGTGCTGTGCACCTCTGTTCTACTTGAACCGTCACTCCACAGCATTCTCATATTCCCTGTTGATAGAAGTTCCTGCCAGAGCAATGTTTCACCCCTGTAATGTGTATTTGCATGCCATACCTGGACCTAACACCTTGTAGGCCACCATTATGCTACAGTGGAGCTTGGAAGCACAGGACAGACTGTAGGGGAATCCCTGTGCCAGAGCAAGGGAATGATTTCGTCTTCCCAGTTAATGGGATCATATGGTTGGATCCAGACTAAATTAATGGTGGCTTAGTTCCATTCAAATCAGTGGGGCAAGTTAGTATTGACTAAGTTTAAGCCGCTTTGATCTCTGCGAGAACTGTTAGTCCAGATCCAGCCCACAGTCCATAATATCCTGTACCCTGTTACTTTTAACTGTAGTAAAACTTAAGGCATTCTTCAGTAGCCACACCTAAATTATCCGCTTGCACTATCTTCTTCCCAGTACATCTGGTTTATTTTACATATTTTGTATTTTAATTATGTGGCTAAGGCATCTTTCTTTTGCTATCTTCATCAGCGTTGCCTCCACTGTTGTTCCCTACCTTCTTCCAATATCACACCTTCTACATTGCTTTCAAGAAGAATTACTGGGTGGTAAGTATTGCATTATCTGAGTTACAGATGAAGCAACAGAAGAGCCCTCACTCCTATTCCTGGCTGGCTGGCTTCTTGGGTGTTCTGAGGCATTTTGTGTTTTAATATTTTGTTGGTAGCCGCTCAGAATGGCTGGAGCATCCCAGTCAGATGAGCAGCATATAAATAAAAAAATATTATTACCATTATCTCTCAAATTATAGAGCAATCACTAATGCTAGATCCAGTCTTGGCCTTGCTTTCAATAGAAAGGAATACAAATCCCAGAGTATCTTATAAAACACTGGTCTTTCTGTTACTAACAATGTCAAGAAAGCCAATAGTCAATGGAAATCTTGCTCGCATCCTTCAGTTGATTATTGGTATGGTAGACTGTGGGATCTAGCTCTCTCTGTGCATCTCACATTTCAAAGAAAAGTAAGTAGAGGAGAATCTAAATAAGATCATTTTTATGCTATTTGGTCTATACAGTGGTACCTCGGGTTACAGATGCTTCAGGTTACAGACTCTGCTAACCCAGAAATAGTACCTCGGGTTAAGAACTTTGCTTCAGGATGAGAACAGAAATCGCGTGGCGGTGGGAGGCCCCATTAGCTAAAGTGGTACCTCAGGTTAAGAACAGTTTCAGGTTAAGAACGGACCTCCAGAACAAATTAAGTTCTTAACCCCAGGTACCACTGTACTTTTGACAATAGACCCTGTCTATATATACTGTATAGACAATAGACTCCCAATAATTCAATTAAGTTTGTGGAGAGGATATATTTTAGAAGATTGGGATAAAGAGATATCTCAATGCCTTGGATTGTGATTATAAAAGGATACATTGCATGAATTAATGTAGGGTATTATCTTCCCTTTCCTTCCCCTCCATTCTATCTATTCTCATTCTCCTTTGTTTTCTTTTTGTATCAATATTTTTTATGATGTTTGTATTTCATCTATATTTATCTTTATTTTAAAAATTGATAAAGTTTCTTTAAACAAAAAAAAAGCAGTTTCTGCTGAACATTGGTTAAATGACATTATGTTATGTTAGCTTGAGTACTTCAATCACAGTCTTGTTTCAACCACAAGGCCTATCAGCAAAACTTTCTGTTGCACCTCTGGGGTAAAGGATCGTAGGGGACAATAACAATGTGAACTAAGCTTCCTCCATTCTGACAGCTTCTTCCTTTTGTTAGGATATTGCCTGCATGCTGAGCTTCTTCATCCGATTCTTCATCGTCTACGGGTGTTTTCTAGAAATAAAGAGTCTTCTTATATTCTTCTTTTTGGTCAGGTATTGTACAGCACAAAACCCCTCCCGATTCAACTAAATTTACCCAAAGCTGCCTTAGTGAAAGCAATGGGACTTGAGCTTGTGTTGGCTGACTTATCCTTTTAGTTGAATTGGACTTCACCACGACCAACTTCAGCTGGCTTGGTTGGCCATCTATATTTCTGTGGTGGAAATGCCCCAAAATTCAACCCTTTGTGGACTTCAGTCCTACAAGAAGTCTGCAAAATAGCAAGACAGGTATTAGAAGCACCCCCAGAACTGGTGTTGGAGAAATTCAAAAAGAGGTTCCTAGGCAGGAGGTATCCTTCCCAGGCACCCAGGATAAGGATGCAGGCTCCAAGTGAAAAGATAGGCCTTTATTGAAATACAAATGTGAACAGGATGCTCCTTATTTTTGAAGCTGTCCCTATGTGCACTGAGGCCACAAGGCAAGCCGAACAAACATACGACACACACACACACACACCGTAGCCCTTTTGCTTTGTATACAGGCAACTCCTAATTTATGTTCCAAGGCACTGTGGGTTTAAGTGAAATCGCATATATTTGAAACACCATTGGCAAAGCCTGCAAACACCTTGTTTTATTGAATACTATGTTTCATATCTGGTCCTTTGATTAAAATGAATTTTCAAAGTTAGCTGTAAGTTACTGTACTTTTCTAAAAGAAATGGTTTTCTCTTGGCATATTACAAGTAAAAAATTAAACACTGAGACTCTGAGAGAGCTTAGTAAGCTCAGCCCAACATTTAAAATAGCCAAGGAGGCCAGGCAGGGCTGATTGGATTCCATTCCTCCGGTGATGAACCCTTTTCTGTGTCTGACTGCCCCTTACTGGGGTTATTTTGGAGGGCGGGGTCAGGAAGTTCTGGTTGCAAAGTTTTCTGCTGAGTTGCTCACATTATCTGCTGAAGATTGTCTTTCCTAAAAATGACAGAATGGGAAGAGAGTTCGGAGCTGCATTGCAATTATGAGTTGAGCAGAGATGGGAAAGGTTTGCTTGCTGCTATGGGACCGTCTATTCACTTTTCGTTTTTTCTGCTTGTGGCTTTATAAGTAAAATAATGTGAAAGCCACCTTTTTCAGTTCAGTTTGAAAACATAGAAAAATGAGTGTGATGTTTTCAGGGAGTCAGATTTTTGTGCAAGACACCAGATTTCACACAAGGCTTTAAAAAAAAAAAGCATTTTCCCAATATGATCGGATTAGTGAATTACGCTTTCTACTGTATTACTACTCTATTTCCCCATGCAGGATGTTGGAAAGCTCCTGGTTTGTCTGGGTCTCCCAAATGAATCACATACCCATGACTATAGATTATGACAAGAACTTGGACTGGGTGTCCATCCAGGTAATTATTTTTTTTACTCTAGCAACTCTATGGCTATACATGGGACTGCTCTATATCCTCTCAAAAGATCATTCTGGGTTCTAATTCAAGTTGACCGAGATGCTGCCCTGGATGTTTATCAGGAAACTGGAGGAAAAGCAGGCATGAGTTCAGATAAAGAGGCATTAGCGCAGGGATGGCGTCTTGTAGCTGTTCAGATGCTGCTGGACTGTCATTAGCACTGTCCATGCTGGCTAAGGCTCATGGGAGTTGTAGTTCAACAACATCTGGTGGGGTCACAGGTTCTCCACTGCTGCTTTAGTGGACTCAACTAGACTAGGGAATCATGGGAGCTGGAGATGCAGCAAAGATGCAGTTCTTTCAGTGAGTAAAGAAGCAGGAGAGAGCAACAAGGAGTTAGTAGGAGCAAGTTAATTCTGGGGATGGGGAATCCATGGTCCTTCCAGGTGTCACCAGACTGGGCAGATTCACATCATACATTAAAGCACATCCAATGCACATTTAAAACCCATGACTTCCCCCCAAAGTATCCTGGGAACTATAATCCTTCCTCCTTAATGTCACCCTTAGCAAATTGCAGTTCTCATGAGTCTTTGGATGATGCTATGTGCCTTGGGTGTGCTTTAAATGTATGGTGTGGGCCTGCCCTCCAACTCCTACCAGCCTTAGCCTTCTTGGCCACTGGTCAGGAATGATGTTAGTTGTAGTCCGGCAACATCTGGAGGGGTTACAGGTTCCCCATCCCTGGGCTTAGAGTATGGTTTAGGGGCAGAGGGGAGGCAGAAAGAACCCTGCAAGTATTTAAGAAGCAAGCAGAAGGAAACAAAGAGCGTGGAGAGTAGCTGGTAGCAAGAGGGACCAGAAACATACCCTTGAGAGAATGAGGAACATCTAGAGAAGATGTTCACAGAGGATCACAGAGCAGCTTACAATAGAAAAACACAGATACATAACATAAAAATCATTGTTGATTGTGCTGTAACAATCAAATAAGCCCTTTTTAATAAGGGGTGGGGGACAATGTATTAGGCTGACAGACAAATTTTAAAAATGGCTTTTCATTTCTCCCCCTCCCTGTAGAATTAGGACCCAGCTATAGTCCTGTTTGTTTTAAAAAGCAATCCAACCTTTCCACATACTGTGACTGCTCACTTGCTGGCGTTGCAACACTCACAAACACATTTGTGTCATTGTGTTCTTATTATCAGTATTCTGTCGTCATTTGACAAGCACCCAAAATGAGAGGGTGAGCCTTCTTGGGACCAGAGCGGGGCATCTCCTTGCTCCTGCTAGGACTGGAGTGAAAGCTGCCAAAAAGAATCAAGTGAAACGAGACAAACCCACCTTCTTTGCTCCTCACAATCATTCTTGGTTCCCAACATGCTTCAGAAAGGAGCATCACTCAGTTTCCCACTGTCCATAACAGTTGCCCACCACAGTATCACAGTGTAGCAGCAGTTCTCCTCAGTAACCCAGAAGGGCTAATGAAGCAGACGGCCACAGCATCCCTCCCCTTCTGAACAGTCTCTAGTTGGGTCTGAGGGTTGTAACAGTGAAAAGTGGGGAATGGGCAACATGGCAGACATGGGACCCACTGTAGGCTCTTTGGTAACGTGAGGATTGCAAGAATGTGGTGCTGACATCTAGTCGGCTTTGCTAACTATGGGAGGGATTTGGTAGTAACTTAGGGTTGAATCCAACAAGGTCGTTGCGCGAGCAAAACTTCTGCTCACACAACAGCATTTCCCTGCCCCTTTCTCCCTCTGTACCCCACTGCCAAATCTGCTCTTGAGGGTTGAGGGGGAACTCGGGGCGCATTGGGAGGGATGTGGTGGGGGGAGAGAAAGTTCTTTTGCATTGAGTACAAGTTCTTCTACTTGCACAATGACTTGGCTGAATGCAACCCATAGCCGTCATACCAGGAGAGAGAGAAAGCTGTCAAGTGCTTCAACATCCACCCACTTGTTATTTCAGCTCCAGGCGACATGTAACGTTGATCATTCCTGGTTCAACGACTGGTTTACTGGCCACTTGAATTTCCAGATTGAACACCAGTAAGTATGGACCGCAAGGAAGTGCTTTCTCTGGGTTGTATGTAGGTGAGTGGAACCCTGCTCACACAATGGGGCTTTTCTGGCTCTTACCTTACTGCCCCTTGAAAAGCAACTCCCTAGGGATGCAGGACTCTCTGGAATAGTGTGAATCGGGACATGGTGGGAGAGGCTACACTGGGAAAGGGAACACAAGAGAAATCCGCGCGTTGCCTTGTGCAAGTAGACATGCTGAGCCAGTTGTGTGAAACTTCTTTGGATCCAAGCCAACACATCCTAGGAATGCTTTTCATGCTGTGTGAGTCTCTGTAGGAAGAACAAACGTCCAGTATGTGAAGCAATTTTTCTATTGTTCGGTTTTCTGGATGACTGCCTTGTCTATGATTTCTACACCAAATGTGATTAGCAGAACTTGAGGCAGAATTGTTTTGGTTTCCCCCGCCAGTCTCTTCCCTACGATGCCCCGGCACAACTACTGGAAGGTGGTCCCTCTGGTGAAGTCTCTGTGTGCCAAACATGGCATTGAATACAAGTGCAAGCCCCTGCTGACAGCCTTTGCAGATATTTTACGGTATGTATCAAAGGAGAAATGTGGCATAAACATACAGATGTGCAGTGGGAAGATAAGGCAGCTTACTCTCATTTTCTGCAGGGGTGGATAAACCAGTGGCATGATCAGACCGGCCAAGCAGCTTTTAGCATCCCACTGCTCCCATTAAATTTTACTGGCACTGCTTTTGCAGATATTTTGCCAAGCCACTGCTGTCGAGTCAGATGGAGAATGCTGTAATGCTTCCAGAATGCTCCAGTCTGCTCCAGTGTCTCCCAAGTTCTGACAAAACACAGGGGCACCCATTTCTGTTTCTGCAGCACCCTCAGTGGCAGAGGGCTGCCTCCCCCCGCAGAAGACACAACTGGTAGCAATTGGCAGGGGCTGGCCAGCAGCCACTGCACAAACTGCTCAACCGTTTTAAAGGGAAAGGTGCATTTCCAGAAATAACACAACAAAGTATGACTTGGAAGCATCATTTTCAGTGTTTCAGCAGCCTTTTCCCAGGCCTTCCTGAATTAGTCGTTTCTGCAGCATTTAATTCTGGTTGCTTTCATGGTTCCCAACTTTGTTTTTTATTACTTGTGGTGCTTTCTATTCCTGTACATCCCTCAGGTATTTTTTAAATACAGGGTGATTTGTAAATTTTGAAATTAAAATAAGTAGCCGCCACACCCCCTTTCACCATTCTTGCAGCTGGCTTGTCGCTGGCTCATGGCCAGCTGGGGAATTGCATACAGCTCTAGTGGCAAAAAAAGGTTGACTACTGCTGAGTTATAGATTTCTGCTTTCTTGATCTTTACCCAGATTCCTGCCTCTCTATTTAACTTGATTGTATCTCGGGCATCTTACCCTTTCTTTTCCACAACACTTAATTAGTTTTCTCCCACCCCACCCTTTCTCTTACTGCAGTTCCCTGAAGGATTCTGGAGAGCTCTGGTTGGATGCCTATTTGCATAAATAAGTACTGGCTTTACAGAAAACAGATTCATTCACGATGTCTCCACAGATGCCTTATACCGGCAGATTGCCTTGAACGTTTTTCCAACTCCCAGTGTTTCATTGTTTCCTATTTATAATAAAATTTATGTCTGATACCATGCTTTCCCTATTTTGTACATCTCCCTTTAAACCTGGAAGTAAAAGTTGTTAACAGAGGTCCCGAATGAGCTGTCATACAGTGAAAGGAAGAAAGGGTGGGGGTATATGCATCTGAAGGAAAAGACTGTGCACTCTTTTAAAGGGCTTCTTTTCTCTGAATGATGAGATGTCATATGCTGATTCTCTGAGGACCCAATCCAGGTAAAAATTCTGTATGCTTAAGCCCATTGTTACCAGTCATGTGCCATTTACCGTATTTTTCGTCCCATAGGGCGCACCGGCCCATAGGACGCACCTGGGTTTTTTTGGGGGGGGGAATAAGGGGAAAAAATTTATTTCCCCCCCAGGCGCGGGGCTGGGGAAGCCCGAGCTTCCCCCTACCCCAGCCCCCAGAACAGGGAGCTCTCCGCAGAGCGGTGGGAGAGCTGCGTGACTTCGCGCAACTCTCCCACTGCTTGCCAAGAGCTGTGCGAAGCCTGAAGCCTGGGGGGAGCTGAGCTCAGCGCCTCCCAGGCTTCTGGGTCCATGCAGCTCTCCGCAAAGCGGTGGGAGAGCTGCGCGACTTTGCGCAGCTCTCCCACTGCTTACGGAGAGCTTCTTGAAGCCTGGAGAGCGAGAGGGGTCGGTGCGCACCAACCCCTCTCGCTCTCCAGGCTTCAGCGAAAGCCTGCATTCGCCCCATAGGACGCACACACATTTCCCCTTCATTTTTGGAGGGGAAAAAGTGCATCCTATAGGACGAAAAATACGGTACCTGTATGAGTAGGTAGCTCCTGGTCCAAAAAACGTTCTGCACCTCTGCTGTAAGGTTTATGCATTTTTTCAACACCTGGTTTACACAATAGGAAACCTACTACACACCAATTACCTAAACTGGATTGTGGACCATGTATGTGTTTCTAGTGCACTGGAGAGGTGGGCTCAGTGTCCCTTTCTTGATATTGCATAATGAACAACTACCAGGCCACAAAGTTTGGCTTATCCCCTTGAGAATGTCGATGTATTGTTGGTTGTTTTTACATACAAAGGTCCCAGGTTCATTTCTTGGTATCGCCAGGTACAGCTGGGCATGTCCTGTCTAGAAAACCTGGAGCTGCTGCCACTCCATGTAGACAGTACAGCGCTCGATGGACCAGGGGTCTAACTCAGTATAAAACAGCTTCCTATGTTGTTTCTATCACTTAAAATGAGGGTGATTTGCAGAAACCACATATGGGTATAGGTCATATTTCCTTCTTTTCATGATAATCATGCATATGTGAGTTATGAAGGTATGAACTAATTTTTAATCAAACCCATCAGCTAGCTGTTAAAGCAAAAAGGTCAAAGTACTATAGTAACACCTGACAGATATTCTGGATTATCATTCCTATTATCTCTGCCCGTTGAATTGGAGCTGATGGGAGTTGTGGTCCAAAGTTTATGGGAGGTACTACGTCTTAAGGCAGGCATAGGCAAACCCCAGCCCTCCAGATGCTTGGGACTACAATTCCCATCATCCCTAGCTAACAGGACCAGTGGTCAGAGATGATGGGAATTGTAGTCCCAAACATCTGAAGGCCCAGAGTTTGCCTGTGCCTATCTTAAGGCATGCCAAAGGCACAATCCTGTTTAGACAGCTGTATATGCCTATTTGTATTCCCAACGAACAGAACCCAAACAAAATTCTAGCTTCTACTGTCTCAAAACCTTGGCTACTTTAAATCAACAAAACTATCACAATTATATTATTTTCATATCAATCTGTTATAAAGGAAGATTAAATAATCAAAAGAGAGCTTTATTGTATAGTTACTACAAATCTTAAAAGAGAAAAGTGCTAGTGACAGGATTGCGTCTACATTGGTCCTTTAAGCTTTCACCCTGGTGCTAAAACCAACATAAACCTAAAATATGGAAAATGATAACAGAAATTTACAATTTGGTTTTCTTAATCTGAAGGCCAAACAGAAGTGGCTTCATTTTTTGGTGGTATGTGTTTATGAGCATGTGGTAAATAAAATTGGAGGGAAAATTTATGGTATAAAAAAACCCTCACATACACACGTCTTCTACAATGCACATCAAAATAAATCCAGCTGCTGCCGCTGAAGTCAATTCTGGCAAGTGCAACAGTTCCCTCACCAACTCCCCAGATCTGCTCCAGACAGTTGGAAGAACCCCCAGAAAGGGGAGAGGGGAGTTTGTTCCGTCACCACAAGCATTTCTGCTTGCCCCGTGGAGTAATTTCCTTAGTGCAAAGTTGAATGTAACTGAAGAGGGTCAAAACCAGACAGATGCCATTTGAGGCGAGTAGCAGCCAGATCCTATATGACAAGTATTAAACTACAGACCAGGTTGTAGAACAGCTCCCTTAGCAAACTCTTGTTGGCCCACCTACTCTTGAGTTGTGCTGCAGACAGTTCTAGCAACTCTATTTCAGTCTCACCAATTTCATTTTGACAAGCTTACACAGAAGTAGTAATCAATCAATATTTATTGGAAGATGCAATTCAAAAGCTAAAATCACCTCAACATGGTACTCCCAGCAAAGATGGACCTATACTATGTATGGAGTTCACCGGAATCAAGGCAGCAAGAGCAGCACCCTCTGGGTCCTTCGAGAGCAGGGCAAGCCTTCAGACTGGCTGGATCTCTGGCCAGCAATTAGCAGTGTCAGATGTTTTGTCAGAGCAGTGTCCCTCCCACCATGCATCAGTTTAAGCTGAGCTCAAGGCCTGACGATAACTGTCATATTTTGAGCACTACAGAGTACATTACCAAAGCTCTATAATTGTAGTTTAATATATTTCGCTCCAAGCATCTGCAGTGGAAGGGAACTGGTACAGAGTTCTAGAAAATAATTTTACTTCCCTCTTTTAAACTTTGATGTTAGTGCACCACCGCCCCTGGCTTTCTTCCTGGCAGATCCCTTGGGTTCTGGCTCTTTGCGTTTGGCTGAAGTGATGGAGCCAGTAACCTTAAAGAAGTCATCTAATCGGCCCTGAGTACTGCCCTGGCGACTCTTGTTCAGCCTCTTGACCCCGTTGCGTATTCTTTCTTCGTTGAACTGCTTCTCCCCGCACAAGAAGTTGACCAGCTCTTCCTCATCTGGTTCGTTCCACTTCAGATCCACAGCTTCGGGGTCGACAACTTCAGGTTCCAGGAAGAGCAGCTGGGCCTCCTTGTGCAGCCAGTTCTCAGGCACAGAATACTTCTTGGCGTCTATTTGCTGGAGAACCTTTTCTATGCTCTTGTGCTGCTTAATCAGCTCCACGGCCCGCTTCGGCCCAATGCCGCGGATGCTCTCGCAGTAGTCGCAGCCCAGCAATATGCAAAGGTCCACAAACTCCTTCTGCGTGAGGCTCAAATCCTGAAGGATGCGGTTCAGGTGGAATTCCTGAATCGGCAGCTTCTTTGCCTCACTGGCTGTAAGATGCCGCATCAGCACAGGGCTACCAAAGGTCAAGCAATCCATATCCTCAGTAGCAGCTGCATAGACCTTGCTCGCTTTCACCAGAGCAGCACAGCTAGCTTCAGCCTCGCCAGGTGCGTCAACGTAAGGGATGCCCATCAAGGTCAGCAGCTTCTTGCACTCATCGTTGTGCTGCTTGGTCACCTTCACTAACCTCTTGCTGAACTTTTCTACATTTTCCTCCTCACCTGCCTCTTTGGCCTCTTGCAACTGCTTCTCCGCTTCAGCTCGGCGCTCGGTGCGTTTGGCTAGTTCCCCCGATTTCAACTGTGGGGGTTTGCCATCAAAGACATAGACAGGCTTGATGCCATTTTCCACCATGCGGATGGTGCGGTAGAACATCCCCATCAGGTGGCTTGTGGTCTCGCCTTCTTCATTCTGCAGCATGTCAGCTCCCTGCCTTACAGCAATCAGGAACTGGTAAATACTCATAGACGCATCAATGGCCACCTTCCGGCCAAAGTAACTCTTTATGTCATTCTCTCGAATGGCACCAGGAGCTATATCAGCAATCAGCTTGGCCAAACCATGGATTCCCATCCTGGTAACTCAGCTCCAGTTGCAGTCTGCTTCTGTTTCTGTGATGATACAACACGGGCGAAACCTAGAAAGTAAAACAGAAGGTGTGAACTGATGATTTAAAATGACAAGAAAGCAAAAGGTTCAGCTGTTGGATCAAGATATAATTTTTCCTACCAATCTAAGATTACCATGTAGTGGTTATTATTTTGATGAACAACAACAACAACTTATTTATTGCTTTACACTGAAACCTCAAGGCAACATACAACAAAACTGTAATAAACTATCAATACACTATAAATAGGTTAAAAAAACTATGCTCACTAATCAATTATGTACAGACTCCAGAGAAAGAAGTTCAAATTACAAATAAGGTAAGGAATTTATTCTTTTTTTCCAATTTATATCTTGCTCTTCCTCTCAAAGGAATGTAAATTACATTATATGCCACCCTTATTCTGCCATAGAACCCCATGGGAACCAAATGGGACAGAGAGGTACATCACATCAACTGAGGAATGAAACCTGGGACTGGAATGACTGACTGTATCTGGGACTAGAATTAAAGGGTCTGTCACTGCTATTCGCCATTATTTCTTCCTGCCCACTGTTAATGTGGCCTATTGCTGCAACACATCTAGTTCTCTCTCAGGATCCATCTCTTGCTTTAATTGAATGGAGTCACATCACCGTTCAACTGGCATTCATGGTCCCTATTATTTCCAATGGGCATTCAGGCAGTTCAACCCCTGCCCCCTTCATATGCCCCAGCTGCAACAAAACATGTATAATAATAATAATAATAATAATAATAATAATTTCTTATTTATACCGCACCCATCTGGCTGGGTTTCCCCAGCCACTCTGCGGCAGCTAGACTGGTGACTGGAAGTGGCCGCCATGACCACAAAACACCGGTCCTAAGAGATCTGCATTGGCTCCCAGTACGTTTCCGAGCACAATTCAAAGTGTTGGTGCTGACCTTTAAAGCCCTAAACGGCCTCGGTCCTGTGTACCTGAAGGAGCGTCTCCACCCCCATCGTTCAGCCCGGACACTGAGATCCAGCGCCGAGGGCCTTCTGGTGGTTCCCTCATTGCGAGCAGTGAGGTTACAGGGAACCAGACAGAGGGCCTTCTCGGTAGTGGCGCCCGCCCTGTGGAACGCCCTCCCTTCAGATGTGAAGCAAATAAGCAGCTATCTTCTCTTTAAAAGACATCTGAAGGCAGCCCTGTTTAGGGAAGTTTTTAATATTTAATGCTGTATTGTTTTGAACACTTGATTGGAAGCCGCCCAGAGTGGCTGGGGAAACTCAGCCAGATGGGCGGGATATAAATAATAAATTATTATTATTATTATTATTCCAACACAATATTAAAATACAGTAATGTATCTCCCATATTGGTCAAAGCAGGTGGTGTAACTCTCCAAGGGCTTGGCTTCACCCCCGACAGCGCACACTCTTCCACTGTCTCCCGAGACAGAGGGATGACAACACCACCACCATTTTTTTTAATCCAGTTGGTGGTTCAGAAATCCTCTTGTAAGCAAAATAAGAGACAGCCAACCCAGATGACTCTTACTCGTTTCGCCCGTCTCGGACTGCAGTCTCGCAGGCATTTAACCTGGGAGCCAGTGCCGCTGAACTCCGTGGGACTGACCTCCGAGTGGACCCTGAGAGCCGGCCTACGCCGCCCGCCCAGCTGTCCCGCGCCGACTGTAATGTGGCTGCTGCATCAATCTCCCGCCTTCGCCCTTCCACGCCTGCGGGGCAGGTTTCTGCCTGGGGCCGCGGCAGGGCGTGGAAGGGCGAACGCGGCTCCCTCCCACCCAGCCGGCCCTTTCCTCCGCCACCTCCCCCCTCCCAGCCACGCAGAACGCGCGAGGGGCTGGTATTTGGGGTACCTTCCACTGCCACCTGCTCCCTCGCAGCCACGCGCGACCGAAGACCCGGCTGAGGACTCGGCTAAGCCAATCAGCGCCTCCCTTTTGGCGCCTTCTGAATCCCGCGCTCAGAGCATCAAAGAAGGCAAGGCGGGCGAGGCGCCTGCTGGCTTCTGGGAAACGTAGTCCGCGCGCTCACCGGCTTTTCCTGGTGGCCCGCTTCAGAGGTCTGGACGGACCACAATTCCCAGCAGGCTGTGCATGCGTGAGGCCTCTACTCCGCCTCCTTCTTCGTCCGGGGGGGGGGAAGAAGATGACAGACGGACTTCCGGCGGGGAAAGGGCTGAGCCTGCGCCGGAAGAAGAGACGTGTCCTTCCGCCACCTGTGAGGAGAAGCCACGGGAAGCGCCCGATAGAGCCATGGTGAGGGAGCGGGCCGGCGGGAGCGGAGCCGCCCCTTTGCCAGCCTTTGCGCGCCTTCCCGGTGCTGGGTCTGCTCGGTTATCCCGAGAGAGCCAAGGAGGGGCGGTCGGCGGGCGCAAATGGCCCGGTTTCAATGCAGAAGAGAGGGAGGGAGAAATAAATAAATGGTGTTTCTATTCCCACCTTCTCTGTTCCCTCGCCGAGATGTCTCCTTAAAATCGGGGTTGGGGAACCTGTTGCCCTCCAGGTGTTTTGATGGACTGCATCTCCCATCATTCCCAGCCCTTTAGCCATGCTGGAAGGGGCTGATGGGAGATGGAGGCCAACGCAGGTTCTTTATCTGTGTGCGTGCTTTAAATATTAGTAACAATCTCTCCTTCCTTCTTTCAATTTCAGGAGCTGGAGACAATGAGCAGATACACCAGCCCGGTGAACCCGGCTGTGTTTCCACACCTCACAGTGGTCCTGCTGGCCATCGGCATGTTCTTCACCGCCTGGTTCTTTGTGTATCCTCTTCCAGCCCAGAGCGGCTCTGCTGAGTGTCCAGAGGCCTGCACCAGACACGTTTCAGTTGCCCACAGGGTTGTGGGGTTAGCTTTAATGAGATCTGGGGGAGGTGATTGTACCTTTGGTGATTTTTAAAAGGGTGGGGAAAGCTGTCTCAGCATATGTTGCTGGACTACAAAACTCCCACCATCCCTTACCATTTGCCATGCTGGTTGAGGCTGATGGTGACCAACAGCATCTAGGGTGCAGCTGGTTCTGCATTACTGTTTTAAATTATTTTTAGGCCTTCGTTTAGCAAAACGATTAGGATGATGTACCATAAGGGTAATAAGATGCATATAAGCAAATGAAGGGGAGTAGAAAGTCAGCAATAAATATTAAGCAAAAGATTTATAAATATTATGCAGTAAGTTACTATTGCTTCTTAAAAGTTCAGACAAATAAAAATGCCTGTGTCTGGCAGCAGACTGAAAGCAAAATTGGCACCAGGTGATTGTCTTAAGGGCATTTCCATGCTGCACAAAAAAGAGCCTATTTTGGTGTCTGGACTGGGAAACTCTTTCATTTAGTGTCTTCTAATTTGGTGACTGATGTTTAATGGCATCAGATCTTTATTTGATACTGTTCCTGATGCTGTGGGATAGTTGCTATCTTTTTCCTGAAATTTCATTTAATTAATTTTATTCCTTGTATGCAGTTTGTCACACTGCAATTAAACAAGAATTTTTTTCTGTTATGTTTTCTTGCTTAATTTTTGCATGCTGGAGCAGCTGAGAGGATGTCAACCCTGTTAAACAAAAATGTCATGACCTTTTGCAAAAGTGTTGGTTTTTCATTGTGTATTGCTGGGGCTTTCTCCACTCTTCAGTCTCTGGTTTACTACTTTAACTAGTATTTCAGATATGAAGTGACCTCGACCAAGTACACCCGGGACATTTACAAGGAACTGCTCATCTCTCTGGTTGCTTCACTCTTTATGGGCTTTGGAGTACTCTTCTTACTGCTATGGGTTGGAATCTATGTGTAACGAAGTCAGGAGCTTTCTCAGGTAAGAAATTAATACCTGATTCCACAATGAGAGTTTTTTGGAACAAATTTGAGGGAATTTCCCAGAAAATATTAGGATTGAATTGTTAATTTGATTTAAATGTTATATTGAAATAAGATTCAGAGTTTCAGTTTGGTATTCACTTTGTTGGAAAATGTGCAACTGTTTTAAGACTTCCATACTTCCATACAATCATTTATATTGTAAGGGGGAGAAATGAAGGCAATGAAAATTTTTGAGATACTAAACATGGCTAAACATGTTTTGGGCAGGGGCAGGTTCTTTGGCAGAACAACCGCTGCTATGGGCAGGGCAGGTGGTGGTGAGGAGTTCCCCCTCCTATTGGAAAAATAGCTATGCCAGCCCCAGAGCTAGATAGTGTGGAGCCAGTTTTGCAAGCATGTCAGGGGAGTGAGGGAGCTTTGGATCCTGCAGATCTATCGCTACTACCACCACCTCCAATGCCTTATTTTTCCACAACTGCCAGAATATCGCTGGCTGTACATCTGTTATGGCAGAGCTTTACTCAGGAGTATCCAGTGGGTAGATGTTGCCATGCCGGCAGTGCAGTAAGACCCACACTGCATCTTAAGTCCCCTCAGCCTGTCTTTGGCTGGCTAAAGGACTGCAGTAATCCAAAGACATGTTAGGGATCTCTATTATTATGTGTGCATTCATACTTCCCAGAAGCAGCTGCTTTGCAACTGTTTAAAACTGCAAATTTGATTAGTATTGTGTCCAACAATCATGTTACTAATTTGTCTTGCAAAACAATGAAAGTTCTCTGTGGGAGGAAAGATTATAGAAAAATGTATTCCCCAGGTCACCGAGCAGGATATAGATATAGGGTGCACACACCATATAGTAGGCTGTCTGGTGCTTATTTAATAGTTCTATTTTAATGTGTAGAGTTCTGGCTTTTCTGAAGCTGAGTTTTTACCAGGCATGCTTGTGAATATAGACAAAGCCTTGTGTAGCATATTGCAACTACTTCACAAAGGATGTAGCAGGTAACAAAATGATGTGAACCTATCGGCATCTGCACAGTAAAATACAGTTGCTGAGCCTCTCTCTCTTAGTGCTCTTCGAACTGCAACATGTGCAATAGTGAGCAGTTTTGTATCAGGTAGTTGCATTTGTCTGCCCCTTACCGTTAGTCACAACAATCTAAATTTAAAAAGCAAGAATGAAAGGCACAAATTATGAGGACAACTTCCCAGGCACGTAGAGCATAGAAGCCCCTCTAATTGTCAAGGCCTTGTTTGGCTCCCCTGCTTGTATGTTTCTGTTTCGGACAGCAATATAGAAAACTATAATAGCCTGGGTACTTCAGAAAATAGTTTGATCCATTTGTTGTTTTTCCTTTCAGGTTCCAGCAGCCTTACTGAAGCTCTTTTTTATTTTTGTATGTAATGCAGCTCTTTGCAGCTTGGGCCTACATAATCTTGATATATGGTTATAGCCCAGGGTCGCAACATCGGACCAATAAAGCTGACTCTGTGATGAGCTGAAGTTTGTGTTCTTCTTTGTTCTTTGGGTGCACTTTTCTACTGTATATGAGGACCCATAGGCCTACACCCGCTACAGGAGAGAAGGTACAAAGCAACAGAAATTGCTCTTTGAATAGGATGGATATAGGGGACACATAGTAATCATATGCCTGAAGGAATATTTTATCTCAACTTTTAAGAAATAAGCAATTGTGACAGCAGTCAGAATTTCATGAGACTGTAAATGTTGACATATCAGACTTTCCACTGCTGTGAGCAGGCTTTCAAACCCACCTTTAAGCACAAATGAACTTTTTCTTTTGCACGCACAGTATGCTGGATACCAAACAGAAAGGGGAGCAGGTGGTCTGAACCACTGAGCCTCTTGGGCTTGCTGAGCTCCTGTTGCTCTGTCCCAGCTTCTGCCGACCTAACAGTTCAAAAGCACACCAGTGCAAGTAGATAAATAAGTACCACTGTGGTGGGAAGGTAAACGGTGTTTCCATGCGCTCTGGCACTTGCCATGGTGTTCCATTGCGCCAGAAACGATTTAGTCATACATGACCCAGAAAGCTGTCTGTGGACAAACTTCGGCTCCTTCAGCCTGAAGATAAGTGCTGCACCCCATAGACACCTTTGACTGGACTTAACTGTCCAGAGGTTCTTTACATTTACCTTTTACTACACAAAGCATCCACACTCATTTTTCTTCACTTCTTTCTGTTCTTTACTGAGAGAGAGCCAATGGACTCAGAAGTACTGTAAATCCTACTTAGTTCAGTGGGACATATTCCCATGTAGGTAAATAAACTCATTTCAGAGTAAGTCCCACTGAATGCAGTGGGATGTATTTCTGATTAAAAAAGGCACATAGGATCACAGCTGTGGTAGGCACTAGAGCTGAGATGCTCCACTTCTGGATCAACATGCAGAAAAGGGCAGGCCACAATATTTGGGGCTCTTCAGCTTAAGGGGAAAGCCCGTTAAATAAAGGTGTCTGTGTCATGAGTAATGTCTATACAATTGTGCAAAGTGGAGAATGTGTGTGTGTGTGTGTGTAATACAGATAGATAAATCATCTCCTTCTCCCTACTACTTATTGTTTTGTCTCCATATTGATTTTTCCTCTCAGATTGTGGTTTAAAGAATAATCTTTAGAGATGTCAGTTCCTTTTACTGCATTGCATTAAACTGCAAAGGCTAAAATAACAAGCTGACTTGAGGACATCACTGACTCTGAGCTACCTTTAAACTGCAAGAGCTGGCAACAGGCTTTAAAAATAAAAATAAAATCCCAAGGCTATAGTAATTAAGAATGTATATCAGAAATGAGGCTAGTAAAAGACATGTAGCCCATGGATTAGTGAGTGTAGTTCTGGTTAATTGCTTTCTCTCAATTCCATGTTTTAACTAAATCCTTAATGAAAACTGCATTTTGCTCTTATAACTAAATGGCATTGAGTTCAAATTGAAAATAGCTGTGTTAACTGAATGTTTCTGTAGGAAGTGGTAGTCTAATACTGAAGGCATAGATTTTTTTATATAGCGATGTATGACTCTCAAACAGATATTTCTTCTCTAAAATGTCTGCTGACTTGTGTGCATGTAACTGGGCTTACTCTGGTAGTACAAATGCACTTCTTGCTTCAGAAATTCTCTTTTTACCCACAAAAAACTTTGCTTAGAGCCCCTACCGTAACATTACTTATAATAATTCAGTTCTGTGAGATGGAGGAAGAAGCCATGAGCCAATCTTGGATACAAAGTAGTATACTTATATATTTATTTTTATAGGTACATTTCTTATGAATAAAAGGTCTAGGTAAGCAAAACAAGAAGTAGAGGCGTTCTTGGCACCAGCACTCCAAAACAAAATATAAATACAGATCAGAAAAGCAGATGGTAGGGGGAAAAGCAACCACACATATCCTCCACCAAAGCAAAATAACAATAAAACTTCATTAATATAGTACGCACTACAGATATGACTCTGAAATTGAGGGCAATATACAGTGATTAAAGCTGTGATAGCAACATTTAAAACAAAACAAATTAGTGCTTTATCTTCCTTAAGGCTCACAGTGGTGGGACAAAACTTTTATTTACAGGCTTTGAGCTTTTTCTTTAAACAACAACAAAAAGACAAAAGGCTTATGAATTTTCCTTGGAGAACTCATTCCCAGCCCCTTGAAACAGCCAGACTTTAAAAGCTGGCTCCATATCCACCCTTGATTTTATTTTTGGCTCCCCAAATGGCTAGAGAGATATGGCTTCATGTTCCGGTTCTAAGGAAGAAGAATTTCCTCCTAGGTCAGAAGCACTGGAAGAGCTCCCTCCATCAGATGCAGGAAAACACCCAGTTGTTAATCATCCTTCTATTTGGGGAGAGTATGTAATTGGTGCAGGTAGGGAGAACATTTCCCGAGACAGGCGAGTAGCATGAAGATGCTGAGCTGGCCAGTCCAGGTGATGTCTATGATACCAGTTCAAACATGGGCAGGTAACACCTTGCTATAGAACTCCTACTCTTTAATGCTGGTAGTCCCCTTGCCCACCCCAATACTGTGAAGCACTTTGGGATTAAAAAAAAAAGTGCTATATCGATAAAAGTAAGTAGTTGTAGCAGTTTTAAACAATAAAACCATTAAAACTGTAATGTAAAGAGTGCTACTGTTACAAAGGATTATGCATATCGGATTCTCAGCACGGATGTGAATGTACCAGTGAAAATATTTGACACATACACAGCCCTTCTCTCCAATGCCACCTGATAAGACCAGGAGAAGAAGAAAGTGATTGGTTAATTTACTTCTGATGTCGCCGTGTCCCTGCTGCCCTCACCCTGATCTTGATCGGTAACAAACTATGGATGAATGGTTTTATACATTTAATGCACTGAGGAGTGGGTAAGGGGATAGTCTGGTCAAAATGTGAATGTCCTCACCAGATTGTTTTTAATCCAGCGGTTTCTTAACCACTAGTCTAAAGACTTCTTATTGCTGGTCTGTAGAAAGGAGTCTGCTTAAGCCTCCTGCTGCTGCTCAGGAGGAGAGTACCAAAACAGTGACCCACCAGGCCTAAGATGCCTCTCAGTCATTAAGCAACAGATCCTTCCTCCTCTATGAGCTGCTTCTTGCAGGGTGCTTTCTTCCCACTGCTGGAGTGTCCTAGGAAGCCCCAAAGGCCATGTTTGTTCTGCAGCTCCTCCCCACACCGTTTGGGTTGGCGATACAGGGAGGAGCTCCGGCACAAGCACCTCCAGTGGAGCACCAGATTCTCCCTTTGCTGGGAAGTGTGACGGGAGGAGAGGCTCCATTTTGGCTCCCATTCTGCTGGAGTTAAAAAAAATAATCAAAAATTCAGCCTACGTGGAAAAAACAGGCAATTGGCACATGGGCCACAGAACACGGAGAGGAAGAGCAGCCTCTTGTTGCTAGAAAATTGGAGCGTTGCCAGCCCCTGCAAGATCCTGACTTTCTAATACCAAGTTGAGAAGAATTATCTGAATATTGTCCACGGCCAAGTACATTTTTTTGACACTCCGATCTTGCTCAAGAACAACTGTACTCGAGCTGGGGGCGTTGCTGGATGCCTGCATGGTGAAGAGTCTTTTGGTACTGAACCTCCATGGATGATCAAAGCACATGCTTTGTGGACAAAGTAAGAAAGACCCCCGACAAATAACTCAGCAGGCATGGACCAATAGGAACAGTAGAAGATTGTGGTGGATTTAGCTGGGTAGCACCATTGTCTCTGTGAAGTATCTGCATAACCCTGCAGGTACAGTACTTTCACATGGTAAACACATGTTGTCCTATATAAGCCTCCTGTCTCACATGCCTTTGTCAGTTAATCTTGGGAGAGATTAAGGCAGGAGTGGGGAATGGCTTTTCAGCCTGCATTAACTTCTGTGGGCCATGTGCCAATGGTAGGCAGGGCCAGATGCAAAAGTGAGCAGAGCAATGACTGTCAATGCAGATCTCACTTTTGTACAGTAGGCTAATTTCCATATATACTCAGACACCTCTCTATCTTCCAGCCAGCTAAGCAAGATACCTGAAGGAGCGTCTCCATCCGCAATGTTCAGCCCAGATACTGAGGTCCAGCTCCTTGGGCTTTCTGGCGGTTCCCTCACTGCGAGATGTGAGGTTACAGGGAACCAGGCAGAGGGCCTTCTTGGTGGTGGTGCCCACCCTGTGGAATGCCCTCCCACCAGATGTCAAGGAAATAAACAACTATCTGACTTTTAGAAGACCTCTGAAGGCAGCCCTGTTTAGGGAAGTTTTTAATGTTTAATGTTTTATTCTGTTTTTAATCTGTTGGGAGCCACCCAGAGTGGCTGGGGAAACCCGGCCAGATGGGCGGGGTATAAATAATAAATTATTATTATAGATGCATTATTAGAGCTCAAGGACACAGTCCAACCTGGCAGAAACACTTGTGAAGCGAGGCCAGCAAGGAGTGCGTCTTGACGGGAGAGAAGGCCAAGGGGTAGCTTTTGTTAAAGTGAATCCCATCAGTGGCAGGTAGGCAGGGCAAAGCTTCCTCAAGCATTTCCTCTAGCAAATCACTGACACTAGCAAATCACTGACACTGGCTCATTACAATGATCTCCCAAAGGTTTGTGAAGGATAATGAGATCTCCCCATAGCTCAGGGTTTTTTTTGTGTGTGTGTGTGTGTGTGTGTGTGTGTGTGTGTGTGTGTCTTACCTAAAAAGCAAAAGGCAATAGCCTCTATCCTGGGAGGGTGGTGTGTAGATGTGTGGCAGACTAAGACTCCACAGCAATTCAATGAAGTTTAGGTTAAGATCGCCCTTTCCACCCCGTCCGCGTTGGCTCTACCAGACATGTGTTGGAGTTGCGGCAGGGGCAGAGGAAAGGGTGGGTGGGGGGAACCCACAGCAGTGGTACTTCTAAGGGTCTTCAGATGGGGCTCCCAGATACTGCAGATCTGTTTAGGAGGAACATTGGAGGGGGAGAGAGCAGCAGGGGCTGTAAGGAGAAGCAAGAGTGCTTGCTTGTCAGTAACAGGCTGTTTCACAAGGGAGATTTCAACCAGTTTTGCATTACTGGCATTCAATGCAAGAACATTTTCACAAGTAACATTGAGTAACAGTGCAAACCTACACCCCTCTACCCAGAAGTCCCAACAAATTCAATGGGATTTACTGAAGAGGTAAGAGTATAGAATTGCTACGAAACAGATTTCTGCACTTCTTTCACTAGGGAGGAAACCCCTCCTTGGCTGCACTAAATGCCACTAACAGATTACATGACCCAGTCTGACTGATGGGACAAAATGAGACGTTAATAAGGGGGATATAACTCCAAGTCTCTTATTGTGCCTGTTTGTTTCCCCTCTGTTCAGCAATGGTGCCACCTGGTGGTGAGCACTAGCAATTGCAACTACATTTCTCATATCCTTGTTCCTTGCAAAGACAGCCCGCAGCCATTATCAGATGCTATCAGTGCCCTTGTTCTGCTGGCAGTGGCGTAGCGTGGGTTGTCAGCACCCGAGGCAAGGCAAGTAATTTGCGCCCCCTAACCCGTGGATTTTAGTAGGGGCAGAGAGCTGTGAGTGCGAGCGCCCCCCCCCAGATGTTGCGCCCGGCCCCCCCTGCACCCCCCACGCTACGCCACTGTTTGCTGGGTCTCCAATATCTTCCCCAGCCCATGCCTGTGTGCCCCTTTCGGCTGCTTCTAATGAATGGTAGTTCCTCAGTGCCAGGTGCCATTTCCTCTTATGCCTATTCATGGAATGTGCAGCATTGTAAGGAAAAGTGGCAACCGTCACTGGGCCACCAACAGGCACTGAAGACATTATCTACACATTTTTATTACTTTTATGCCACTTTTACTGTTCCAGCTCCCTTCAAAGAATCCTGTGAATCATAGCTTACTGGGGGTGCTGAAAATTTTATGTGAGAACTCCCCAAGCAGAACTATGGTTACCAGAGTTCTCTGGGCAAAGGGGTTGACTATTAAATCTGTAATGTGAGCTGAGAGCAGCAAATGTGAAACTGGTGATAACGGGGGATGGGGGCGGGTGGGCCTGCCTACCTGGGCAATTTCATTACTACTAATAAAATGGCAGATCCATCCAGGAATGCAGGCACCAATACACATTTCACCAACACAGAGATAAACCCAGCCACCATCATAAAGTGGATTCCTACCTTAACACAGTTGTTCCTTTCAGTTTACAATAATGTGATTTAAAAACCATCAGTGCTTGGTCATTAGAATTAAACCAAAGGCAAGTATGTTTATATCTGTGGATTTGCAGATTGATAACCTGATTCAGAATATATGAGCAGTCCCAGCAGCTAACCATTTTGCTTCTTATCTTTCCCATCCCTGTCCTCTCATCTTCCCTAAGTTGCTGTTCACACTCTTGCACAGAAATCTAAATAACCCGTTTTACAAAAAACAAAAACAGAGCTTGACTGAGTTGGCCTGTCCTTCCTTCCTCTGACTGGAAGTTAAAGGCCTGAAACGCTGGATGGTTGTGCTTGTGCATTTGTCTTAACTCCTTGCGCTTCTCCGATTCAAAATGCGGACGCAGGCTGGTGCCCAGCGACAGCCCGCTTTGGTTTCCTATGAGAGACAAGTGGATCAATAATCAAACAAGCTGATCTTGTGTGGAGGGGGAGGGGGAAAGATCAGTGGTTTAGCAAGTTAACACCTTGTAACAGTAAGTTACCCAAAATACACCCAAAATATTCTTAAGAATGCCAAGGAGGCTTAAGGTCTGGAGTGAAAAAAATGTTCTGTTTGTTGCCTGACAAGTGACCCCTTGGGGATCAAAACACTTTTCAGTCTGGATATACGTTTAGTGTAGGGTAGATCTCTTCTGATGGCCTCCCTCTTCAACTTCAGGGATGGTCTCCTGCTGAGCAAGGGCCGTGCCATGTGCTTGTTGGGCTGAAAGGCATTTTTTGCTGCTCTCAATGTATGGGCCTCGGGAGGAGCCCTAGGATGCCAATGCATATTATATCAGTCCAGAGGCAAAGCTCAGGCACTGCTTTCCTCAAGTAGATTTGAGCTTGCTTCTTCAGAAGCGTATTTATCCAATCCTGAAAAAAGGCACATTGGGAATAAAACTAGCCTGCCTGAGAGTTGTTTTTGTGAGGTTACTGAGGTCTTCTCTCCCTGGAATGTAACTATATGGCGAGAGAGAGAGGGAGGGGGGAAGCCAGAGGCAAATCCCACTGCTTTTCCATTGGTTGCTGCTGTTTGAAACGACTGGTCATTTGTGTGTTCCAGTGTCACCAGGACTTCTGCAGAGCATAAGTTAAAGAGAGAAGAGGCTAGCTGCCAGCCAGAAGGTCAGAAACTCCAGTGTATGACTTGCAAACACAGCCAGGCAGAATATTCCTTTTACAGAAAGAATTCCAGTGATCCAGCTTTAGAGAAGGACTCCCAGCGTCATCGTTGAGAAACGCCAGTGTCTAAGAAAGCCGCTTCGTTGGCTCTCTGGGTGCTGAGATCTCTTCCCAGCTGAACTGTATTTTGTAGTTCTGAGGTGCCCAAAGACATTGAACCCAGGCATGGCTCCAGTGTAGAACTTTCAAATCAAGTGTAAAAATGAGGAAAAAGAAGGAATGTCGATGTCTCTACAACAAGTAAGGCCTTTGGAGGACTGAATGACAAGCATCTGGCATGTCAAGGGGGAAAAAGATGCCTCAGTATTTCCATGTTTTGCTTGCTAGTGGCATCGTTCCCCCAAAGTTGTTTGGCATTCTAATGTTGATATTCCACCGCAGGGTGGGGTGGGGGAGAACCACACCAGCTGATGACAGAGGCAACAGGATAGGACTTGGGGGCTCATAGGAGGGAACATCCAGTCCAATGAGCCTTGTGGGCCCATTTCAGTTCCAGTCCAAGGGCAGTGGTGCTCCCGAGACTCACTCACACAGCCAGTAGAATTGGAAGTAATAGTCAGTGAAGAGAGAGCCCATCTGCTCCACAGCAGTACTGCAGTTTGCTTGGCCCTGTGATGAGGGTGGGAGGAAGAAAAAGAAGGTTCAAGGGAAATGGAAACTGTCACAGAAGAACAAAGGTTAGCCAACAACAACAAGAGGCATCTCCAAGGCCCTGTGTCTGGGTGCAAACACTCAGATATTTGGGTAAGGAGAGTTTGACAAAATTTTCTGACTCGGTCATCTTTTGATATTACCCCCCCCCCCAGCTCTAAAGGATGAATCTAAAGGCTGTTACGTTGGGAGAGGATATTGCAGGTACTTATACTCACAGGTTTAGCAAATCGGAAGTGATAGGTGAACTCCTGGAACGGCATCATCACCACAGGCCAATGGTATGTTACTCCCTACGGAAGAAGCAAAAGAAACCATACCTGGATTAAAACGACCTCTTTCTCTTGCCTGTGCTAGAGAGAGAGCTAATGCACCTTGCTCTCTGTTCCCTCTTTGTAGTGGAAAATTGATGTGAGAGAAACAGGCAGCAAGATGCAGTACTCCACCTACCACTGCCAGGTGCTGTGCCTCTCTTGTAGCCACGGTTTGAGTGGGCAGAGAATATGGGATGGGGATACACAGAATTAAGATCTTGCTGAACTGGAAAATGCAGCTTACTGAACCGTGAAGGTCAAACTACATATGACCTTAACTGTGTAGTTCTGCCCTTGTGTGGGCTTTTTTCTACAAAGAATGGTGGTAATCTGGGAAACTCAGCCAGATGGGTGGGGTAAAGGTAAAGGGACCCCTGATCATCAGGTCCAGTCGTGACTGACTCTGGGGTTGTGGCGCTCATCTCGCTTTATTGGCCGAGTGAGCTGGTGTACAACTTCCGGGTCATGTGGCCAGCATGACTAAGCCGCTTCTGGCGAACCAGAGCAGCACACGGAAATGCCGTTTACCTTCCTGCCGGAGTGGTACCTATTTATCTACCTGCACTTTGACATGCTTTCAAACTGCTAGGTTGGCAGGAGCAGGGACTGAGCAACGGGAGCTCACCCCGTCGCGGGGATTCAAACCGCCGACCTTCTGATCGGCAAGTCCTAGGCTCTGTGGTTTATCCCACAGTGCCACCCAATGGGTGGGGTATAAATATATTATTATTATTATTATTATTATTATTATTATTATTATTATATCAGGGTTCTACATAGTGGTAGGGCTATTTCAGTTCTTTGCTCCCCATGCCAGCAATTGGGTGGAGGTGAAGACCTGCACTCAAGGGCATGACAGAAACATGCAGTTAAGGTCAAATGCCGTTTGCCCCAGATTTGCTCTGAAATAAGAGACAACAGTTATTCTGAAAAAACATGTGGTTAAAAATGTAGACCATATGCCAAGCACTAAATAGCTGAACAAGCCAATGATGACCTGTTATGAAGATGGTTTACTTATGTATGTTTATGCATTTTTATCTCCCAGGAAAGCCTTCACATACAACCTTGACAGGTGTGCCTCTTTCTACCTCTCTCCTTTACAGCACAATACTATACATACAGAAATTCAGTGGGCCTTACTCACAGTTCAGTGAGTAGAGGATTGCGGCCTTAAAGAGGATCCAAAGGGCATTCACCCAACAGTGTGCAGAAACTAAATACACCAGTTTCCTTTTCTATTACAAGCAGCAACTTAGGGGTGCAACTGGCAAGCACCTGCCAGCCATGATACTTTGTGGTCCTACCTGGGTGCCTGCTGCATCAGAGAAGCTGTCCGCGTTCACAGTGTTGTGCTGACATGGGTTGCTGGAGGCAAAACCACAAAAATAGCCAGACACAGCAGAGGAGGCGCTGGGAGAGAGAGGAAAGGGCAGAGGAGGATGTTTAGTGGAGGCAACAAGGTAAGCAGTTTTGATACGCGACATTGTCATACTTTGGTACTCTCACCTGCAGCACCTTTAAAGACACCCTTTTTAATTGAGCATTCATCATAATTCATGCTCATTGTGCTATTGGAGTGGTTATACATGATTGCACCTAAAATACCATTTGCGCCTGCAAAAAAATTGCGGCGGTCATACTGCTTCATTTACAATAGGTACATGCCCCGTAATTTCCTCCTAAAATTTCATACCACGGTGGTACCAGTTTTACTTTTCTTTTTTAAAATCTCATTGTTGTTACCCTATAGTGCAAGCACCTCAAAACAACCAAAAGGCGGAACAATGTGCATATCCCTCTGCCACTGAGCTAAAGCCCTTCTCCTTTGTCCTGCCTCTGTCTTCACCATGGTTCAGGGCCGTGAAAGACGTGAAAAGAAAGAGACAGATGAACACACAGCAGACAGAAGTTCCTTGCTTGTGGGTTCTTCTGCTTTCTCCACCTACAGTTCGGAGACCATGATGGAGTCCTTCTTGCTCACAACTCCCACCTGATATTCAGCTGGCTGCTGACCGTTGCAATGTCACTTGAGGCTGCACCCCTCCCCAGAGCCCCTTGTCTTCCCTGGAATTCTTACTCACTTCATCTCCAGAGTAAGATTTGTGTTCACCGAAGTAAACTTGCTGATGGGGATGCGGTATGTGATGTTCCCCGTCCTATATGCAGAGACAGAAAACGACAGCATAACATGTAGCAGCCGCCTCTAGATGTGGTAGCTGTATCCCTCCCCATTGGAACCAGGCCACGCCGACTCCTCCAGCTCATAATCCAATGCAATCCCTGGGGAGTTATATCATGCTGGACCCCAGCTGGGAGAACAGCCTTAGGCTGTGGAAGGCCATTGTACCATCCAGCATTGTCCAGTATTGCTTGCTCTTGAGAGGGCAGGGACTCTCTAAAGCAGGAGTGGAGAACCTCTGACCTGGGGGCCACAAGCCATTCTATCTGGCCCCTGTGACTCTCCCCATGCCACATCCCTTTCTCCCTTGTTCATGCCCCTCAACAGTGCAACTCTGCACCCTCAGTGAGTGTTCACGCCTGCCTGGATTGTGTTCTTGAACTCTGATAAAATTTATTAGTTGCCTGGAGGGAGGACAGAGGGGGATGAGGGGTGGGTGTGTGTAGAAACCAGCTTACTGTAGAAAGGTAACATTTACAATAGTTGTTCCACATGCTTTTGCCTCTGGCAAAAGTGTGCTCAGAAGAGAAAGTGGCCCTGCGGCTGAGAAAGTTCCCCCACGCCCACTTTAAAGGTTTTAGGCAGAGTTTCTTCCTAGCCCTGCTAACAGAGACACCTTTAATTAGAAACACCAGAGATTTGAACCTGGGACCATTTGTATGAAAAGCAGGCGCACTACCAGCAAGATCATATCTTCCCAGTAAATCCACAGTCTCTCTCTCTCACAGCAACTTGAGGATTCCGGTCAGAAGCATTCCACCTCAACGTGGCCTTCTGCCTGTGTCCAAACTTCCCCGCTGTTCCTTTACATGAATCCACATCCAATAATGATGTGGATTATTAACACAAAACCAGCTTACGCAAGTGGTCTTGGCGTGACAATAAAGATAATGCATGGGGAAATCCTGACTTGTTCATTTATCAGCTGCCTGCATTTCCCCCCTAGGAGAAGCCCAGTCTCCTGAGAACTTGGCCTAACAAAGGTTATGGCAGGACAGCACTTCACCCACCTGCATTCATCACCAGCAGCACAGGCCTGAGGCGTGATGACCACGTTGCTCTCTACAAGTGAAATGGACTGGAGAACAGGAGCTTTTCCTGCAAGGGGGAAAGCATCCATACAGGGAAGAAAGTTATTCTACATGGCAGGCAAAGCCAAGTCATGGGTGTTCGGAGAACCATCAGAGCTCCTAAGGCTATATAATACAGCCTTGTCCATCTGGTGCCCTCCAGATGTTGCTGGGCTACAACTCCCACCATCCCTGACCAGCTGCTGGGGTTCCTGAGAACTGGGAGTCCAAGAACCTATGGAAGGCACCAGGCTAGGGAACAATGCTGGAAGGGATTTCTAAGGTCATGAAGTGGAGGCAAAGATGGCCACCAACCTGCTTGGCTTTAAAAGAGAATTAGACAAATTCATGGAGGACAGGGCTATTGATGTCTACTAGCCACGCTAGTTATGCTCTGCCTCCATGGTCAGAGGCAGTATCCCAGTTGCTGGAAACTGCAGGTGCACAGTGTGCTGCTGTGCTCAGATCCTGTGTCAAGGTCTAAATATACAGCAAACAGTCACAAGGAAAAGAGGGGATGCTTACCCTCCTGGCTGGTGCTTCCTGTGCTGGGCTCCTCGGAGTCTGATTGGCTGATGGTGCTGCGCCGCTGCCGTGTCTGCCCAGGGGAGAAGCTGTTGCGTGTTGGGAGGTTGGCGATGTATTTGGACTTGCCTTGGATGTGGGTGAAGGGGGAGGATGGGCTGGCATTGGGGCTGCTGAAGCCCCGTGATCTCTCAGAGGTCTTTGGCCACTTTGTATGGGAAGTCACCTTGCCAGTGATTCCCCTCGATTTAGCTTTGATGTTGGTCACTGGCAGCAGTGACATGAGGCTTTGATCTGTGAAGGTAGAACAATGAGAAAAGAATTATGGTTTGCGCTTTGAAATTGATGTGAGGGCAAGAATCCTCACTACTTTTTCTCCATACACCAAACTTATACCTACCCTCCCAACATTAAGTTATCATTGTACCTTATATGTTCAGGAAGTGCAAACTTCTGGAAACAATCCAATGCAAATCAGATAAAGGTATAGGAGTTAGTTAAACCTTTCATGTGGAAGCACACAGGGGGAGGAAAGGGGACAGCATTCTGTCAGGCGAGCGGAAATGCCTTATTGCTAAGCTGAATTGTGTCTTCAAGACAGAACAGCGTTTACCTGTCCGGTTGTTGGTGGCTGGGGTGGTAGTCTCAGAAGCTGCATCAGAAGATATGTTGTTTGGAATGGTGTTCAGAAAAGGAGAACAGCACATGGAGAAACAAGGCGGGTCGAAACAGACTAATATGCTATGGGCAGGCAAGTCATAGAGCGATTCAGGCACATGTGTTGTGGCTGTAGGAATAATAATAATAATAATGAAAAAATACCAGCACCAGTTCTATGTAGGTCAGAGTAAAATGACAAAGAGACAGAGCAACACACAATAACCTCCTGCATTGTAAGGCCTGGTTCATGCAACCACTTTATTTATTTCAATATAGGCCTTCTGCATGCACATGGACTGAGTTTGTCCATTAGCAGATGGCATGTATTACATTGGCCCTCGCCATTAATAGTGAGCAGAAGCTGCCCATGATGTGTAGTGCTGATTTTCTTTAAAAATGAAGCTTACTGCAGTAGGGGGACAGCTGCTTCTTGGGTGAAATGGTAGATCAACCTGCCCATCATGTGAACACACAAGAGGGACCAGCCACGTTCCCCATGCCTGACTTTCCAGCTGAACATCTGACTGGCTTAGCCTGGGAGACATTTTCGCAGAGACAGCCACAACTGGTACCTACCATGCTGTTTAAGGGAAGCATCATCAGGTGTGTTTGATGAGGCAGCAGTAGAAAACATAATCTGATTCTTATCAATGTTCTGACTGGACCTAGAATGCAAGGGGGGGGGGATGTCACTTGAAGTCTTTACATATATATTGAAAAAATGGTATGTGTGCTAACAGAAAGAGATGGATTAATGAGGCAGCTGAACATCAAGGTTTGGAACGGAAGGGTGCAAACAGGCTGTAGAAAGGAGGACAGGGAGGAGAAAGCAAGACAGAAAGCAGGATGGGAAAAGGAGGACACCTTGACAAAGTGTCAATGGGTGAACAGATCAGGCAAAGCCTAAAATTGCTGCCAGGTATCTATTACAACCCTCCCATCTCGACAGTCTACTCCAGGGATGGCAAATGCCCAAAGGTGAGACGGAAAGAGAAGTTCAGAATCTGACAAATGGCTTCTGACCAGGGCCCTGATCTCTCTCTAGTCCATATCAATTGAAGAAGCACTATTGCCACCTTATGTGCCTATAGATGTCATCCCCCCCCCCCACAGCTGTATCTATATGTAGTTGTAAACTGCATTCTGCAAGTACAGACATTCTTCCATCCACAACCTGAGGACTTGTTCCCTATGCTGATGCACAGGAAGGAAAGCCTTAGGCCTTTCTTTTCCCTCACTGGTGAGGCAGGTTAGCTATCTGCTGCAGTGCTGGCTGCTATGTAGACTTCATGCTGTGAGAGTTTTGGGCAACAGCAGCAACAACAAAATTGTTTCCAGGGTGAGGGTGGGGTTGGGAAATGCCATTCAATTCCAATGAAATTTGAAAAGGGGGCTTACTTCTGATGAAACATGGTTAGGATTGTGCTTTCAGCTGCCTAATTCCCAGCTTAGGTACTGCACCACCCAAGTGGCTCCCTCTCAGCCTAAATTTCATTGCCCTGCTTGGCTCCAGAATGTTCATTCAAACAGTGAAATGAAGAAGGGACAGGAGTAACTCCCCTGTGTGGAAAGGCCGCAACATCTGCGACATTCTGGTTTAGAAAAAAGGCAAGTCAAAGAGGATGTAAGTGTTGTGATACTGCCAGGGAGATAAAGTCCATCAAGGCCCCCAAGCCGTCTGCCGGACGATCCATCGACCTCCCGTAGGCACGCAGCGACATGAGTTTCTAGAAAATATCTTGCCAAATTCCAGAGCTCATGCACACTATCAGCAGATAATGCACAGCCAAAAAGTTGCACTCAGGAGAGCATTATTTACAAGTTTATTCAGCGTTGATCAGAACACAGAAAAACATGACTGCCTGCTTTAGTGTCTACGACACAGAGAGAGAAAATGAAAGCAATAGCAAACATAAACATCCTGTGAACAGGAAATACGCAGACTCTGACTCACAAAGCCTGCTCCCTTTTAAGGTGGAACGGAAATATCCTAACAGTAAGTGTATGAAATTATGCACGGTGTGGGAAAAGTGGATAGAGAAACATTTTTCTCCCTCTCGCATAATGCTAGAGCCTCGGGTCATCCAAGGAAATGGAATGTTGGAAGATGTAGAAGAAAGGGCTTCTCCACCCAGCCCAGAGCTACACTCTGAAATCCATTACCAAAAGATGTAGTGACAGCCACCAACTTGCATGCTTTTAAAGGGGGATTAGACACATTTGTGGGGGATATCAGTGGCTATGTGCTACCTTCAGTGTCAGAGACAGTTGCTGGGTACCACAAGTGTGGGAGTGCTGTTGCACTCAGGTCCTGCCTGTGGCACTTCTAGTTAGGCATCTGGTTAGCCCCTGTGAGAACCAAATGCTGGACTAGATAGGTCTTCCACTTGCTCCAGCTGAGCTCTTACATTCTCTCTCTCTCTCTCTCTCTGTCTGTCTCCCTGCTCTGTTTAGGAGGAGGAGTACTAAAATATAGGCAGCTTTAAAAAGAAAAAGAAAAACACAGAAGATGAAGAGTGGGTGGCATGGAAACACAAGTCATCATCAGAAAGGATGCAGCATTTACATCAACAGTAATACAGAAAAAGAAGGACCATACCGTGGACACAGGGCAACTGGGATGCCAGGACCCCTGTGCCGAAAGAGAGCCAGGAGGCAAGTGGTCGGCACAGCAAAAGAACTGCAAGGCAACAGGAAAACAAAGGGGGGAGGGATGAAAGGCACAGACAACAAAAGTCACAAGGAGGGGTGATTTGGATGAGGAGGAAGGGTGGGCAGAGAAAAGAGGTGGGGAGAGAAATAAATGGAAAGAAAGGAAAACAAGTAGAAAAGGGAAAGAGAAAGATCAATCAATTATTTAGGAATAAGTATCCCTACAGTGGTGTGAACCATCTAAAACTTCTGGGTACGCACAGACAAAGAAGCTTGGAATGCTTATTCCCTATGGGCCGAATTCAATGCCATACTATGGTGAATGTCCAGTCATCGCAATCACTGCAGCTTGTCGGACAGAACAATCCCCTTCTCTTCCTTTAGCACTGTTCTGGGGGTTCTCCCAATCCCCCCAGACCCAGTTTTGGGGGTCCAGCCAACCTTGTTGTGCAAGCAGACACCCTCACATAAGGCTTGTGCTGATGGGACTCACTGGTGAATCCCACCCCAAGACTCTGACCTTCAGTTACTGTAAATTAGCCAACACATATTTGGAGTCATGCATCTCTATATAGTTCTGTATTTCTGTGTATTCACCATGCAGATCTGGCATAGAATCTGACTTCCTGGGAATCCCTCAATTCATGCCAGTAAGTTGTGGTTATGGGAGAGCCAGTGCCATTTAGTGGATAGAGTGTCCGACTAGGACCTGGGAGACCAGGGTTCAAATGTCCACTCAGCCAGAAAACTCATTGGGGGTTCTCCCCACCCTCCCAAGTGGATCTTGAGGGGCATGGGGGAGTGCAAGCAGGGGAAAGTCTCATTGCACTGCTGGGGGGTCCTTGCCCTGGCTTCTGTTAGTAGAATGGGGTAGCTGAAACCAGTCCTAAATAAAGAGATTTCCCTTAGGGACAATAAATAAATCAATTCCCTCGGGGCCACATCCATAAATCACAATAAATAAAAAATTTCCTCAGGGACTATATTTCCAAGAAACAGCTTTGATGTATTCCGTTTCACTCATCTCCTGGGCAGTGTTTATTATAAGGTGCTCCTTTTCTTTACCAAGCTGACAGCCCCAAACCCCAGCTGTATTAGAGATTCTTTAAGACACCCTCCCCCCTCTAGATAACATATCTGGTCTTCTCAACACCTTCTTACACTCTTTTCCATATCTGATCTTCTAGCGCTCTTCTGGTTTGAAGGTTTCTTTCATGATTGTGCACTTTCCTACTTAGGATTTCGAAAGGAAGATGCATTCCCTTCTGAGGAAGCAAGTGACCAAAGGAGGAATGGGGGCAGGAAAAGGAGCTACATACCCTTCTATATCCACAACGTCTTCCTCATTGCGGTAGCTCAGCACATAGAGGGTAGACATGGATATCACGCTGCGAAAGAGAAGAGAAGAGAAACGGAGCCTTTGGAAACATAAACTTTCAATATTTCAGGGAGGAAAAGGAAGTTGTCTCCAAACAGGTCAGCCTTTGTGTGTATGATTAACTCAAGTCCAGGGAAATCTTTACTCCACAGGACATCAAAGAGTACATATACTCAGTGGCATACCTCGCCAAGTCAGTTTGAAAGTAAAATATGGTTAGAAAGGGCACTTGCCTTAGAACAACCACCCAGAAGTGCAATTTGATTTGAAATCATATTTATTACAAGTGGACTCTGGTAGCCAGGAATCCATAGTAAAAAACAAAACAAAACAAAACAAACAATACCAGGAAACACATCAGATCAGTTTCTGCATGACATCCCATGGCTGCCTATCTAACATACAGGATTTGCCAACTAAAAGAGGAGACACCAGAACTCCAAATTTCCAACAAAGCCGCTTTCTAGTCTTAAAAACAAAACAAAAACAGGCTTCTAGTTCTCCTTATTGCTGCGATTATTTTGAAAAATGTGGTGGCAAACCTCACCCCCTAAAAAGGTGGGAGGAGGGAGGGAAAATAAATTTTAAAAGTCCAGGCTCTTCAACTTTACTGCAAAGTGATTCACTTAATTTTCTTCTGATTTCAGGACAATAACTGCAGTTGCCATCAGTGCAGTTGTAGCAACCAGCAATACACTGGACAGGCTCAGCCATGTTCATGAAAATTATATCCACACTTTTGTCACATGCAACCTAAAATAGGTGGATTTTATGACTGAGGTACATTTCACTGTGATTCTATGGCAACAATCAAGAGACAAGAGCACAGTGCTAAGAAGAAAGCACTCATCGCTTCACCTTCATTTGGGATGAAACTGGCCCACCCCTAGATAAGCATAACCAGATAAGCATTCACTCACAGGCCAGAAGCCCCCCCCCCAATAATAACAACAACAATAATAATAATAATTTGTTACTTATACCCCACTCATCCGGCTGGGCCTCCCCAGCCACTCTGGGCAGCTTCCAACAGGATATTAAAAACACAACAAAACATCAAACATTAAAAACTTCCCTAAACAAGGCTGCCTTCAGATGTCTTCTAAAAGTCAGATAGTTGTTCACTGCCTTGACATCTGGTGGGAGGGCATTCCACAGGGCGGGCACCACTACCAAGAAGGCCCTCTTCCTGGTTCAAATTCTCAGTTCTGTGCACCACTCATCTGCTGAGTGTGAAACAGCCCAGGTGTGCAGACACCAACCTGAATGCCATGATGATCACCAGGGCAATGATGGTGCCTTGAAGGAAACGTTGGCTGATGCACGCTTGGTCCGTGACCACAGAAGGGGACTGCACAAGACAAAGGGGAGGGAAAGAGAACCACCAGAAATTTCATCAGAAAGTTATCCCTGTATTCCTATTCTGATCTTTCTGTGTCGTTCTTTTGGGGATAGCAGGCTGTAATGTGCCCCTTCCTCACTGACCCTCAGGTAACTGTTCACCCACCCTCCCCAAGAAAGAGCCAAGATGTCTGAGGAGGCTTTGGTACCACATTTCAGAAGGCTACTAAATAAAGGAAATAAAGGAGAACCCTGAGTTGGTGAAGGAATTATGAAATGCAATGAAAATGCAGACTTTTTGAAGAGGAAACAGAACGCAAATTATTCACAAGGGAAGGTTGCTGGATGAAGCAGGAATGCAAGAGTCAGCTCAGACACCAGGAAAAAAATCAGATCAAGGAATGCATCATGTATACAAAAATAGTTCTCAGCCCACGGAGACCATAAATATCACCGTGCAAGCGTTTTCAATTTGTATGTGCTAACGTTCACCCAACACCTTAACAAGCAGCCTCAGCAAACACACCTTGGTTTGTGGGACTCAAAGGCAACCATTCGATTCCATCTGCACACCATGATGGTGAGGTGCTGCACAATCAAGAGCCCCAAACCCAGCCTACAGAATCAGCAGCTGTGTCTCCTTTCAAGTGCCAGAACCAGCTTCAATAACACAAACGTGCCTCATGCACATGAGCAATCACAGCTCAGATTACAACATGTGTCTCCCTTACAAAGGCTTCTTACCTTGCTGGACATTTTGGGGGGCCTCTTTTTGTGTGGCACACTTCCTGCACGGCTGAACTGACTCCCTGCTTGGCTACAATGAAAAGAAAGTTAGGATGCACCCAGATCAGCACTCCTTATCATATTTAATTTCACTTCATTCTGCTCCTCCTCCCTCTCCCACTACCAATCTGTTTCTTAACAAACACTCTGTTTTCATAATTTTAGCACGTATACGCACGGACCACAATGAATTTGGTGCCGCTTTCTGGAGAATGGGGCGATAACCCAATATAGGATTGTGAAGTAGTCAATATTTGTTTTTTGCCAAGGAATAGGTATCTAGCTGGTTCACAGGCATAAACTCAACACAAGTGGGAGGGAATAAGGTGCAGCGAAGGGGTCCTTATATGAAGGAGAATGTCAGGGTGCTACCAGAGAGGGGTTTAATTAGCAAATGGGTCATTCACAACAGTTTGGGTTTTGTTTTGTTTTTAAACTTACTGGGTGTCTAGTGAAGGTTTCTACTACTTTCACTATTCCTCTTTGAAAACAGAGTACTCTCTGAAACGGATTTTTAAACTGGGACTTTTAGATGCAGATTTACAGGAAAGTCATCTTTAGAGAGTATAGATGCTTGCTCTAGCTGAAGATCTTATTCCTGTGGGAGAGGACTAAGTAGACAGAGTCTTCTGAATCACTGGGACACTCTCTGTTCAGAGGCCTGAACTGAATACTTCTTCTGGCACCATAAGAGGCAGGAGAAGGGATCACAATATTTGCCCTCCCGTTATGAGTGTGGTAGAAGAGGCGTCAGTGGAGGAACAAGTTTTTTAGCTTGAGTACGTATCTGAGCATACGTCAAAGTTCTTTTTGCTTTTCTACCAATGCATTCCTATGCTTACTTACTCAGATGTTCAACTGTGCTGAACATAATTTATTCCTAAAAGTGTGTATATCATTGCAGCCTGCGTACCAACCCATTTACTCAGAGCTGTATTGTTGAAAATACTGAAAAGACGTTAGAATATTAAATTTACTCCCCTCTCTTTGCTTTTTTTTTTTTTACACAGGTCTCTGTGGTACCTGAATGCTCCAGAGCTAACAGTTGATTTCATACTGTCCAGTCGCTTGAGTTTGGCGAGTTTATGACTCCATCTCTCCAGTTCATCAATCCGGGTCTCCAGGTTATCAGTCAGTTTGCAAAGCTCTTTCACAGCCCCTACATTTTCCATGAAAATGCGCTCCTAGCATGGACAAAATAAACACTCTCTTTGGGTGTGCTCAGGTCCTCACATTATGTCCTTAGTTTTTGGTGAAGTACAATCATTCCCTAACCTCAAACCGCACCCCCCCCAACTCCTGCCGCCTCCACCCCGCTCCTTCCATGCAAAGGCAAGAGCACCTCCATCTCAGAAAGATTGCTCTTTGATGCCTATAATCTACTTATCACCGAGTTAACAGACCAATTTTATGCATGTTTCCTCAGAAAAGAATGCCAGTGTTTTCAATGGAGTTTCCTCCCAAGAAAACCTACATAGGATTTCTGCCTTAGACTTTGCCCCTGGATACTTAACACCCCCCTGTGTCTCCCACCAGAATGGTCATCAGAGGGCTGCCTTCTGGGACTGCTCTGTGTGCCCGAGGGTCTGGGTCTTTGAGGGCAAGGAAAGAAGCATTTTCAGTCCTTGCTCCCCAGCTTCAAATTTTTCTTCCAGAGTGGCCTGAAAACCCTGAACAAATATCTCTCAATCTCTTTCTCTCCCCCCCCCCCCCAATTTCAGCTTTGGCTTTGGTTTTGCTAAAAATATATAGAGTGGGGAATGATGCCCGAAGAGTCTGTCATTCCTATCAAACTTGTTTTCTGTTTGTTGCTTGCCTCCTCTTCTAAGGGCTCCACTCACCTTATTCACCACTAGGAAGTTCTCTACAGTCCTCCCACTGGTAAAGACCATGTCCCCAGTATCTTTCACTGCTTCTGGGAGAATCTCCCTCACCTCCTGAGCAATGACACCTGAACAGAAATGGGAAGCATGCATCACAGTGGCTCTGGGCCACAAAATATAAATGCAACCTTAGAATCCCAGAGGCACCTGCTAGGATCAGGTATGAGGGAGTTTAGACCAATGCTGGTAGGGGACTCTGTGATGCACATACCTCCAGCTATATACTGTATGTATAAAATATGCTGCAGGAGAAAACAACTCAAATGTAGCCTATGAGAGGGTAGAAATAAGCAAGTAACTAAGGGTAGCTTCACAATTTATAAAGCAAATATGTGTTCCCAGGCAGGAGGATGCGGCCCACACTTTATGTCAGCCTCTGCTAACCTGGCAGCTGTCAGATTTTTTCACTACAGCTCCCATCAGTCGTACCCATCATGGCCACACTGGCTGGAGATGGTTGGAGTTGTAGCTCAAAACATCTGGAGGGCGCTAGGTTGGGGAAGGCTGCTTTATTTGTCTGCTGCAGAAAACCTCCCTGCAGCCTCCCTTAGTGAAGACTGATTCTACAATTCTATGATTCTATGAATGACAATGACTGCGAAAGACCAAAGCATTTCCCCCAAGCCCTGCAATACTGGGGACTTTCACTAACTGTGACCTCGAAGTAGAGTGTCATATATTTGTAACATCAGAACCAATGATCAGATGACACATACCGTATACATACAATTTAGTATGCCTAAGGGGTGTTTCGCAGAAAGACAGGAAACACTATTATGAAGGTCCCAAGTACAGGCCAACAGTGGGTATATGTTAAATCGTGGATATCCTGATTTGGGTGAAAGTGAATGTTGACACTTTTGCTAGCATTAAAACTCCTGAACAACAGAGGTGCAAGGATGAAGCTCGGGGTCAGTGAGAGGACTGTACCTGTCTCTGATGTGTTCTCCAGGCCTACGGTGGCAGCAAACTCTGGCTTGTAGTTATAGTGCACCAGTCGCATACGGGAGATTCTCTTCAGCTGTTCTGTGGTATCCACCTGAAACCATAAGACCCACAATCATGACCTTGGACTGCATTTCCTAAGCAGAGATCCTACTGACTAAGGCATGCTGGGCCAAGCTCTTACTTCCTGGATGTCGTCTTTTACTCGGATGTCTGATGGGTGCATAAGGGAGCCCATGACTTTTACGTTGCCATGGACGACCAAGGCTTCATCTGGGCGGTCTGTGTTGATGCCAACTCTGCCGTGGTGAAAGACGGTGTCGGGGAGCTGAGCACGTTGCCAGAGTACATCGCTGTCACTCTCAAATTGGCCTGGGTTAGAGGCCTGCAAAAAGAAAAGAAAAGAGGGCAGAGATGCCCATAGGACATTAATGTCAACAACACAGAACTGTAGAGAGAAACAAAGTTATTGGGGAGAAAAAACTGCTGTTTTTAGAATAAGACCAATGCAGAACAGTCGCCTCCCCTCTTCCTAAATGCAGGGGGAAATTCTTTTGCGCAAGTTAACTGATCTGAATCATTGAAAACAAAAATGTTGCCCACCAACCAATATTGAAGCTGGGCAAGAGAAATAAGCAAATGAGTCAGCCAGGCACAGAATAACAAACCACCAGAGCAATTGAAATCATGCAGAGTGGCAAGTCTTTGATAAGGGCCCTCCACAGTGTTTAGCAGCCCAACACCTCTGCAAGTATTTTGCACACTACACCTTATAGGCAACTCAGTGCACATTTTTGCAGGCAGATGAAATGCAAGTTGGTTTGCAGAGTATTTTGGGAATTCCAGTTTCATTTTTTCAAGTTTTATGACCATCAGCATGGATAAGAACACACTGCTTTTTGTCCATGTTTGGAGACAGCAACACAGCCTCCAAGAAAACTTACTTTGCAGCCTAGTTAGACAAAATGCACAACAGTAAGTTGTTTACAGCTTGAGGAAGGCTGTCTGGTTCACTTTGCAAGCTAAGCAGAAGGAGCCTTGGTTCTGAGTCAGTGTGTGTTTACAGACCTGCTGAGATAAATGCCCTTTTCCAGCCCACAACGGATAAAGATAAAGTTGCAAGCTTTTCTCTCTCAGCAGGAGGGGTGTGTGGGAATTCTAGCTATGAGGCAAAGCATCACCATTGCAAAACAAATCCCCAAGGGATTGTGAAGGAAGTGACAGGGTGGCTTGCATGAGGGTTGTGATGGTGATGATAAATGTGTGATGAGCTAATTGGCAAAGCCAGCACAAGAGTGACAGGAGAGAACAGGAGGATCAAACATCTCAGATGGTGCTTATTTTCTCAATATGTTTCTGGGGCTTAAGCTTGCCTGGTCTGGAAACCCCTGGCCCCTATTCCCAAATGTAGTAAGGGCAGATTGTGGCTTCTCAGGAAAAGGACCTTTTGCACATGGGTCAAGTCCAGGAAGCAGAACTATTTGATGTAGGGGCTCAATGGCTCAGGTTTCCATGTGATGCCAAGCCAAACCACAGCTTACTGCAAATGTGCGGATTCCTGGAGAGGAGATCCTAAGTGCTTTGCTCCTCCACTGCCCTTGCTCCTGCCTGCTTAGCATATTGTCTGAGGAGACAAACTACGAGTCCAGCTCCTGACAAGGGCTTAACCAAACCATGGCTGAAAAGAGAGCAGTGCAGCAGCAGCAGGACTGGAGAAGGAGCACAGCAGCAACAATATCCTCCCTGGGAACACACGTTCATGCTAAATCACAATTTGGCTCGGTATTATGTGCATGCTGGGTCAATAAAAATTGCACAGAAACACAGTTTTGCATCTGATACAATTGGGCTTCAGCAGCTAATTTCATGTAACTCTTTCTAGGCACCAATGTTCCTATCTGATTCATTCTGCTCGTTGTTCGTGCTTTACACAAACACCCCTCTGCAAACACTCCTATGCATCCATCTTTATCACTATTTCATGCAGTTCAGAGCTGCACTTTCACAATGCAAGTCTGTTCCAAAGCTGAACCTGGGGGTTTAGTTATTCTCAAACTCTGACCCCCTTTCCCTCCCATGTTCTCCTCAAAATTCATGGCATTATGGACATCTGAATAAGAGGAGAGACAGTCACTGTGATGCTATCCAGAGTTCAGAAAGTTTAGAAAATGGGAGAAGCACAGTCACAGGAATGAGGAATTTTAACCAGCTAGGTACAGAAGTATAATTTCACTCCTTGTGCTCAATGGGAGTGTTATCTGACATAGCACTTTCCTATTTAACCATCACCTCTGCGTGAAAGTTCACAAAAATCCATTGTAGTCATGCTGCCGTTTGGCCAAGCCTCTGTGGACTGGGCAGGTGATAAGCAGCACTGTGTGTATTCGGCACAAAAAGCCAAGGTTTTTTAATAAAAACATTTGCTTTTGTACATTTGCACAGAACACACAATGGAAGCAGATTCCAGCATCTCAAGATTCTCAGGAGGTCTCTTTCTCCTCCCGCCCAAGCTCCTACCTCTCATGGGCTTCACCAGGCACTGTCTGGTGAAATTTCCAAATCCAAGGAGAAGCTTCTGTAGGGCTTCTAGTGGCAAGGGCTTCAGTGTCCCTCAGAGGCCTTTGCACTTCTCCATGACTATCAAAATATTTAATTCTATGCAAATTTACCATTTGCAAAAGTTCAGAGCTAAAAAAAGTACACACTAACACAGTTCTGGTTATATGTCTAAAAAGTAATACTAAATGGAGTTTGTTTCCCGTTATTCCTCTTTTGCGATTACATGTGTTATGAGCCTTATTCTAAGTACCCTCACAACTGTTTTAATGTGATCTGTCCTGCTGAAAATTTGCTGCTCTGTTCTTTGGGCAGATCCAAATAGTCCTGGTTTCATGAATCTATTACACTGCATCAGTGTTCCAATCAGTCCTCTTAGCCCAGGCAAGCAAGCAGCTGCAGGATGCACTTTCTCATCCTTCAGATCCCACCTTAAAACCCACCTTTTTCACGAAGCCCTTGGTTTAAGATCCCCAGCTGAAACAAAAGCTAACTGCATTTGCTCACATGCATTCCTAATCCACCTCTTACAACACTGCCTTCTCACCTGCCAATGTTTAGACTAAAGCTTCTCAAGACTGTGCCTTTTTTTTTTTTTTTTTTTTGCTTATGAAATCCTGCAATGGGTGGTGCTGCGTAAGTACTATTATATCACATGTAGAGGAAAGATATAAAAGGTGTCATAATAAAATTGTCAGGTTTACAGAGAAGCAGCCATGGATGTGACACAGCTTCTGACATGTTCCACAAGCACTCTGGTGCTCACACCATTTTCACTGTGGATTAAATGAGTCAGCTGTGCATCTGATGTGCAACCAAACCACATTTCTTGTGCTAGTGCAGACAGATCCTTAGCCTCACTGACAAGACTGGGGCAAGCTCTGCTCGGGGCAGAAGCATCTCTCATCCCATTCTACAAAAGAGCCCCCCAACTCCACCCCGGAGACTGCATAGTTCAGCATGCTACTTACTTGTCTGCAGACTCCGGGGTCCCCGTCCGCCCTCTGTTTGTGTTTTAACCCCGAACCGGCCCTTTGCTAGAGGAAATGGACACAGCACTTAAAAAGGCAGCAGGGCGGAGACAGCCAACCACAAAGTCACAGCCTAGTGTCCTCCTTGTTTGCAAAAGGCTCTCTGAAAGCACAGGAGCCACCCATGACTTCTTCATATGCCCTTCCCCCTAGATCATGCTTCTTAAATTCCAAGAAGCCAGACTATTTAAGATGCTTACTCAGACATCCAACTAGCTGAACCCATTTGAGAGCATCAGTTTCAGAACTGACGCATTGGGGCCCAAAGCAATGTCTGGTGGAGACATGGGGAAGAGTTCCTTGTGCCCACCTAGGTGAAATTAGATGTGACTTTCCTATAAGTCATCCTCATGTGCTCCCCAAATCCCCTTCCCATGAACTTTTAAGCATGTGTCCGCACAAGTGCAATATTGTGAGTTGGTTTAACATCTGAGCCATATGACTTGCCCTGTGCCTTGGAGCAGGGCTGCATGCTGGTATGCAAGCTTAATGGTGGCATCCAGGCAGCAGAACAGCACAATCAATGATATGACTGCAGGGCTGGTATCTTGTTGCACCATTCCTACTTGCAACCTTGGCTTCCTCTTTCTATTGCAGAGGGTGCAAGAGCTGTCTTACATTCCATGGCCCCTGGGCACCATTTTCAGCAATAAACCTTCCAATCCTGCCCATATCTCCTTATTGGGAACCATGAAGCAAGTGATCTCTCTTACTTGGTGTTTGCAAAGGCCTTATTTGTGGAAAGGAGAAAATGAGGATGCAGAAAGCCAGGGAGGAGTTGGATAGTGGGGTCTGCAGATGGAAAAGGGGCAGCAGCAAGGGGTGCTGTGGAATCAGGGACAGTTTGGTACCAGTGTCAAGAATTCCCCATCAAGTCAAGTCAAGAGCTGTAGGTGCTCAGAGTTAGGAGAACAATGTCCTGCAAGGGAAAGGGAGAAAAGAGGGACTTACTCTAACAATGATGCGCTCGGAGATGTGAGCAGCCAGAGTGTAGTTCTGGCTCTGGGCATGAGCTTGCAAGGCCACAACCAGCATGAAGTACCTGAAAACAAAACAAAGAGGGTTGAAGATAAATGCAGGATTTAATGCACTCCTAATCATAACTTGACATGACGACAATTTATTTTTTAAAAAAAATCAGTAAAAAATAAACATATTATAAATTAATTACATACTTAATCTGATGTATTGCATTCCAACAACAATATTACATTCATTGCCTTTCTTCTGTTAAAAAAAAAAAAGAAATAATTTGAGGCCTAGCAGCTAAAATAAATGATGGCCTATACACTTCTTTTGTTCAGCATATGCAGCATCTAAACCACGCAGGCACAGTGCAAAGATAATCTTTCAGGATCTAGAAAGACTTATGCATAGAATTAAGAAAAACATAATCAGCTGGTGGTCTGTTTTAATTTTTGCGTGTATTATATAGGGTTGCCATATGTCCAGAATTTCCCGGACATAGCCGTGTCCGGATTTTCACTTTAAAATATGGCAACCCTAGTATTAAAGGTGTTGTAAATTGCTTTGATTTTTTTATGAAATTATACATATAACTATATAAATAAAGGACTTTCAATGGTGATAATATTTTGCAGCAAGTTTTACCCACCATTTTTTATTCTGCTATTTTATTAATGTAATAATGTTCACATTGCAGGGCAGCACACACATTTATTAGTTAGTTAGTTAGTTAGTTAGTTAACTTTAATTACATATTTTTTTGGGGAGGGGAGGAGACAGGTAGCACACAGCCCCTACCTCTGATCGGGATTGGGCTTGCCCTTCTTCCTCATGTTATTGGCTGTTGTCTCACTGAAGTGCAACCGTCCCACAGTGACCTTTGTAACCTGCTCCGGAGGCAAATTGACCCTGGAAAAAAGGAAAATTTAAAAAAAGAATAAATGACGTTCTGCATGTGTCAAAGATAAAGCATATTCTTTTACCTGGATGGGACCAACCAAAGTGTGTAAAATTGAGGACGCAAGGGATGCATGGTGGGGAGGAAATCTGCATTCAGGCGAAGTGTCTAAGCGCACCTAAACTTCCAGGGAAATCAGTGGCACGAGAACAGAGCTAAGCACTTAAATCCCCACCCATTTCAATGAGGCACTGCCTGGGTGGGAAGCTTCAGGTGCATTCAGGTGGCAGCACACTCAGAAAGGAGAGGTAGTGCAAGAGGCAACACCGCCTGTAGGAAGAAGAGCCTCTTCCAGTTACGATGCACCAGCAGAAGTCAGATTAATGCGCAGGAGCCGCCATGTCCAAGCTACCCTTTTTAGTGCCTAATCTTCTCTGGACTGCTCACACAAAGGTGTGTGCATGTGTTAGACGTGAGGGTTTGGAGGTGGGCCCACAAATGGAAGCAGTACTCACATGACAGGGTTGAAGGGCCGTTTGCTGCGGTCAGACTGCGACTGCTCTATGTTGATGGACTGGTTCAAGGCCTCCAACTGAAAAGAAAAGAACCAGGCTCGTTTTAGAGAGCACAATATGATGTGTTTCCAGGCTCATGTATTCCCACAAGCAGCCACCTCTTTATTTTGAAACACTGCAGATAGATTATTTGACATCCTGGTGACTGGCACTCAGTATGTGTACTGCTCTGCATTCCCTCTTCTCCAGCTGTTAAGCCTGGGAGAGGTAGGAGAGGAGCAAGTAAAAAGGGTTATTTGCTGCATCCCAATATGAAAATAACCACACAAATTTAGTAATGGAGTCACTATTATTCTACTTGCATGCAGAGGGAGTGCTCCTTTGCTTAAATTCAGATCCAGTGGCATATTGGAAGGATGCTACATTTTAAACACTGAATATGAAGTTTTAACTCTGCTGTTTTAGTAGTTATTTGATTAGATTTTCTGCTTATTGAATTTAGCGATTGTATATTCTATTTTCATGTTTTTGTTTTAATTGCATTGTAAGGTGTCCTGGGATAAATACATTTTGCACACTCAAAATTAATTGAGTGTGGGGTTATCTGCCTTGAGGAACTCTTGAACCACTGAAGGATTACAAAAGACTGATGTTATCAAACCTCCAGTTTTGAAAGCGTCAGCTCCCACTGCAACCACTCAGGCTGTAAGATGGCTTGGAGCTAAGACTGCACAAACACACGGCCTGACAAGTCACATACACAGCCACCTGCGCAGTAAATACACTAAGTTTTTCATAGATATGATAAGTCACATAATTGCTGGTATCAACAGAGGTTGTGCTCCACCTCTTTAACCATTGCATATTCCCATCTTCACAATTACCTTTACTCCGTGCAGTTTCAGATAGAAGCATTCAAGCGGCTTCAAGCCTTCGGGGGTCTTGACATACTTAGGATCTCCAATCATACCAATATAGACCGTGACCTGGAAGTGATTCTTCTTCTGGCACACAAAAGCGTCATCACCCACAGAGAAGTTGAAGCCTTTATCTGCATCCACCCGGTATGTGGGCATCGGTCTGTCACAAAGGGAGAAGATGTGAACATTCAATGTCAATCAAGTTATTTTCTTGCAGATACTCTCACTCCTACAGACACAAATTGCACAAGCTACTTCTTCTGCCATCTGCAAACATAACATTTGCCTGGAAACGATAAACATTTGGAAGGTAACCATGTATCTCTTCCCCCCCCATAACACAATTTGTCAGCTTGGACATAAGGCATCACCAGCAGGCATTCTTGAAGCATGAGCCAACCTACCCAGCCCTATCCTGAAAAAGTTTAGGTTACAGGGTTGTTTATCAAAGCACCCTAAACTGTTTGGGCTCCTCTCCCAATGCAAATAACAGCTTATAGGGGACAATTTTCAGAGACAACCTGGGTAGAATCCAGAAGGCCAAACAGAGATGCTGGAGGGTCCCATGAGATTCCCTGCCCCTGCCCTACAACAATACAATGAAGTAGGATAGGTTGAGAGATAGTGGGCTGGCCCAACAGCACCTATAGAGTTGCATGGCTAAATGGGTGTGTGTGTAAATCTGGATCTCTCTGGTCCATCCACCACTCTGTCCATCACACCACCCTGGATTTGAGGTTGTATGTTGGGGTAGGGGAATTTGTAACTAGGTTTGAAGTGAGGATGTGACAACATAAGCTAATCCCAACATGTGAGTCCCAGATTTGCTAGCTTAATAGTTTCAGAGAAAACATCAAAGGATATTTGACAGCTACAAACAGGCAAAAAGTTCTCTTCTCATCCTAAAATTACCACTGTCAGTTAGCATTGTTCCTTCTTCAACTAAGGGAAATGGCAATGCTCCGTGGGTGGGGGAAAAGTAAACAGTATGAAGCAAGCAGCTCTGCTTTGATTTGTTTGGTTTTCCTACAGATCTGCCAACTAACAGCTGATTAGGTTGGCATTGCTTGCTAGCGCTGGTAAAGCAATTTATGATCATCCCGAGACTTGGAAATCTCCCACCTCAACTAGATTCCACCCACCCACCCAAATTGCCACTGAAGACATTTCCACGTGAGAAACCTAGCGCAAGGCTAGGTTCATTCTGGACTGCCATAAGTCTTAAAACAGAGCTACCTGAAGTTGCTCCTTACACCTTCCAAACTCTTTCTCCGCCCCCGCCCCCATCTCCTCCCCAATGACTGAAGTGTATGTACTCAGGATACAAAGCGGCAGCAGCTCAGAGTGTCAAATAAGAAGGGAGAAGCAACATATGTAGCAGCTGGGGAGGTTTAATCTATGTCTCCTTAATGGACTAGTTGTCATGGAAACACTGAAAATATGTGGCCTTTGCCAACAGGCACGCATACACACAGCTCCCAATATGCCTGGTTTGCTCTGTGGGGAAGGCCTCTCTGCCTCACGGACCAATATACATGAACATAAACTGCAACCAAATAGGTGCAAATCAAATAAAATCAAATAAATGCTGTCGAATTCAGCAGGCCGGCATGATTGAGCTACGGTATATTTTAAGTACTTGTTGGAGGAAATGCACCCTTAAAATTTGATTTTTCTCATTTGAGAAAGAAAACACTCCCATTAATTTCATTTGGGCTTACCGTATTTTTCGCCCTATAGGACGCACTTTTCCCCCTCCATCGCCAGCCCCACAAGCTCGGGGGACAGCGGGGAGGCAGAGCGCGCCTTCCCGCTGTTCCCCGACCTAGTTCTTCCAGCCCCGCACCTGGGGGGGAAATAAATTTTTTTTCCTTTATTTCCCCCCCAAAAAACTAGGTGCGTCCTATGGGCCGGAGCGTCCTATGGGGCGCAAAATACAGTACTTCTTTACAGGCCCAAGTGTAAGAAGAGGCTCCCTATCAAGCTGGTCAGTCACAGAGCTCCTGAGGGTCTGTACTTCCTACTATAAAAACTGAAACTTTATATTTTTAGCCACTAAGGTGCACAGTTTCAATGAGTTTTTGAGGGCTCAGTTAGCACTAGAATTCAACAGAGTCTTTCTTAATCTCTGGATGCTTTGGCCTACAACTCCCATCAGCGCCAGCCAGCGTTGCCATGGTGACCAGGGCTAGTGGGAGTTGTAGTCTGTTTGGGTTGGGAAGTCTTATTTAACAGATAAATAGTATGTGCTGGTATCTTTAACTCCTTAGGCTTCAGAAAGCTGTAGAGGGGAAGACTTGAACCAAGGGGCTTGATCGTGACAGGAAAAAGGAGGGACTGTGGAAAATAGGAAGGGCTAGCAACTGTTGAAAGAGTCAAAGCTCAAAACAACCACAGTAACAAGTGGGATAGACAAGAAGAACCCAAGATGGCCAGGAATTTCAAAATCCAGTGCAGGATTCTGTGTGTGGCCATGGCAAGAAGAACATTTCAGTAAGTTGCTTTGGCCTCCAGAGGTCCAAAGCTGGCCATGCACATGCCGACAATCCTCCACAGACATGCCAGCAGCAACTGGATAAACTCTGTTTGCTGTCAGCACCCTTGGGTTGAGCGAACCTGGCAGGTCCTATAAAGAGCCATTTAATTCTTCCTCATAGCAACAGGGGGGACCCTGAGCTGCCAGAGATGTGCCCTGAACGAAAACCAGATGGTGGTCACAGAGTAAGCTACCTTAGCCAGAAAGTATGAGAGGAATTTCTCTCCCCCTCTCTCCCCTTTCCATCACATTTTTGGTGATTCATTGTGCCATTCCCTCCTTCCTACAGTGCTTGCCATTCTGCCCTATCCAAAAGCCAAATTCTTCCCCTTCCACTCCCCCCCCCCACAAAAAAAGTGGACACACGGTCATTCCTCTTCAGTTCTAAGCTACATCATTCCACCTCAGGCTCTTCAGCTAGAATAGACATGGTTTCTGTTTGCCACTGAAATTGTACTGGGCCTCTAGCCATTCACCACTGAAACTTGAGAGAACAAAACTGGCAGCTTCCGCCATTCAATCAAACCACTTTCGCTACCCAGCCCTTTACAAATGGCTCAGCAAATCCAACACGAATCAAGGGCCGCAATCTGTTCCAATGAAAGCCCGTATCTTTCTTTTTACAAAACGTGTACAAATGTTTAAACATGTATTGGGTCAAAATGCAGAGAAATTCAAGGACAGATAATGAAGAAATGAGTGTGAGTTATGAGGTAAAAATGAAAAGGCAAGGGCGGGAGGACAGTAGCAACTCAGAACTGGAGATAAGGGCAGAAAGTTAGCCACCCCCAGAAACGCAATGAGCCATGCTCCTGTCACAGGAGGGTAACAGTATGCACAGAGGCCTCTTTACGAGGCAGATGTCTATGCCCATGGCAACAGATAGCACTACATTTTCCACAGATAAGAGAGGCATCTCACATATTATATTCCACTTTGTCTTAAAGCCAGGATCTCCAAAAAATGTCCTGTTCTTCCAAAGCACATCCTAGCCACCTTGTAAATGAGGAGAGTGTGCCTAAATATTACAATCACTGTGGCATGAAATGCGTGACGCCCCCTTCAAAAGTCTAAGCAATTTTTCAAAATGGTATCTTTCATTAAAATTATTAAATCTGAATTGTAAAAGGAGGGGGGAATTGGTGAGGAAAAGCTACCTAGTTGTAGAGTGTGCAAATCATGTGGTCTGAGTGCTTCACAACCTATTTTTCTCCATTTAGATAAACTTGGGCCACAAACGCTTATTTTCTCAGCGAAATTCAAGGATTAGTATAGGTATATTTTTTATTTAAAAAATGTTTTATTCTGCATTTATTTCTGCTGCAACAGGGAGGATGGGCGCCTCTAGTTTGTAAAAGTACAACATGGTTTTCATTGAGGGAGAGATTACCCAAGTTAATTATTATAAAAACTATTGCTTTCACCTCACTGAGAACAGGGGATGTTGCTGAACATGTGCTGCAGCCCATGGAAGGTTAATGGGAAATGGCTATGTTGAAAGCCAAGTCATTTTTAGTTATCCTCCTCTAGGAATGCCGCCATGGTTAAAGAGCCTTGTCAAGGAAGCAGCTAGACTGGAGGCAATGAGAGAGAATTCCTTCAGCAAAATAAAGTCATGCCGAAGTGAGAACAATGAATAATATAGTGATGGGGGCGGGAGGGAGAGAAACTTCTGTCTCTGCTTTCTCCACACCACACGTAATTTATAAACCTCTATCCTGTCCCCTCAAAAATTATTTCTAAGTGCAGTGGTTCCATCCTTTAACGAACTGGATTTCCCTTTTCTGCACCTTCTTCTCGCTTTTTTGGAGATGAGGCAACCAGAACTTTGCATAGTATTCCAAATGCTGTACAGTTACACCATGCATTTATATAAAGGCATTACAATAACACACATGGGTAGCTTGTAGGCTGGGGGCCTTCAGTGCAACCTTGTCTTCCCCACACTGCCAAAATTATACCGGAACTCAAATGGAGTATGAGATTCAGGACACAATCCAAAGTGATTCCTTACTTGGTGCAGAGTTAAAATTACAGAATTTGCTTCCACATGTTGTGGTGATGGTCTCCAATTTAGAAGGCTGTAGAAAGGCAATAGAAAAATCCACGAAAGAGAAGGCTATCAGTGGCTGCTCCAAGACAGCTAATATATACTACCTCCAAGAGGAAGCATGTTCTGCTTCTGCATCTCAGAGCCTGCTTAACCGCTTATCCTGGTAGACCACAATGGGGAAAAGGATACTGGGCGAGACATGCCTTTGGCCTCTTTGTATGTTCCTTTGGAGCAATAAATAAATATATATTTTTCCCTACTCCCCTTATATACGCACAGGGAAGGAACGCAGATAAATTACCTTCTGCGAGACCTTGAGAAGGCAGCCCTCAGCAATGATGCTGTGCGTGGGCATCCTAGGCCATGCAAGGGCAGCCTCCCACAGCTGGCTTGAATGTAAATCACTGGCCCTTTCTCTCCACATTGCTCTCATGAAGCCAGATAATCATTTCATTTTATTTGGTACCACAGACAAGAAAGGCCCTTCCCTCTCTCCCCAAAATGGGGCCAAATAGGAGATACAGGCTGCATAGAAACCCAGGGGCGGGGCGTTCTTGAGAGTAGGCAATTCCCGGAATCTGTCTGACTGCTTGCCAGTTCTCTATCACCTTTGTGGAATGCAGGGAGGATCTGCAGCTGTTTCTCTCCCCCACCCCTTGAACGTTTGGCTCTCCTTCACCCTGGAAGCTGCGTTCATTTGCTTCTTGCTCTCACCTTACGTGGCTGCCATAGCTTCCCAGGCACATCTTAGGTGGTCACCAAGAGTTTGACAGTTATCCTGCCTCTGAGCTCTCCGATTCATGCTGTTCAAGGCTCTCTTATCCATATAACAATCACAGAATTGGAGGAGAGCACAAAGGTCATCTAGCCCAACCCCCTGCAATGCAGGAATCTTTTGCCCATGATCCTGAAATTGAGAGTCTCGTGCTCTCCCAACTGAGCTATCCTACACTGTCTTTGGGCTCAAAATCAGTGCCCAAGGCATCTTAAAACCATTAAAAACAACCTTGTTTAAAGTCCCTCCATCCCTGTCACTTTTGTTTCCTCTATCTCTGATGCTTCCCGCGTCTAACAATCTTTGCTTGATTACATTCCCCGTGTCCCTGCCAAACCCTTTTTCAATGCCACTTCTAGCTGCTCTTTTCTTACCATTCGCTCTATCCACGTTCCTGCCCCTCCAATCTCTGTCCCTCTCTCTAGCACATTCCTTCTTCAACATTTCCTCTGTGAATCCCACCTCTCCTCCCAGTCAAACCAAGCTATACATAGGTGGAAAAAGTTATTGTTGTGGCCACAGAGCTGGGCCCTGCTACCATTCCCAGAAATCATTCCAAGCCCACTTTTTGGGATGTGTAATCTAAAATGTACATTGGTGGAGCTGTTCTGATGAAGACAGGCAACTACATTTGCATGCATTGGCCACCCCTGGTTACCGGTGTCTCCTGCTCTCTCTTTATTGACTTTCCACCATTACAATTCTCACCTAGATTCAGACTGTAAGCTCCTCAAGGCAAGAGCTTATGGGTGGCATCCAATGGTGTCCTGTTGGCTTCCCATGGGCATCTGGTTGGCCACTGTGAGAACAGGACGCCAGACTAGATGGGCCACGTTTTTATGTTCTTATTTTGTCTGCCCACTTCCAGTTTATTTTCTCTCCAACCCTCTGGTATAGATTTTGGGGCTGTGTGATGGACTGCAAAGGGGGTGGGGTGGAAGGAGAAGCCCCACTGCAGGAGCGGGCACCTGCTTGTGCCACATAGGATTCCCCCCTGGGTAATTTGCTTATGTTAGCCTATAAAACGCCATGTATACACTTGCTGACCATCATCATTCAGCATAACATGGCTCTAGCTAAGAGATGCTGCCTTTATCTTTTAGTAGTCTAGACTAGACTAAACCCCAACAGATATTAGACCAATTAAAAGATATCACACCACTTTGTATGCTTCTTTCATATTCATCTTTGATGCATGCATCATGGTTATTAGTTCCTTCCTTAAACTTCTGATTGCCTTTGCTTTGCCAGTGTACTCCAACCTGTTTGCTACTTTCTCTGTGTACTCCTTTTCAACTTATCATTTATCTGTTTGAAAAAGGTATATGCTCTCTCCATTATCAGTCAATTTCCCAAGCCTACATTTTCTCACCCATTGTTTGTTTTCATCCCTTTGTTTTGGCTTCTACAGTTAGAATTCTTTGACGTTTTTCACACGGGGTGTTTCCAGAAGCCAAAAGATATATTATTTTATTTTGCTGCACAAGCATCAAAATGGACTGCCTTCTTAAGAGGGGTCACCTTTGCTGATGAAACTTAACTCCCCTCTCCCTAACCCTTGAGTGCCTGCTCCTGGGGAAACCACTCTTACCCTTTCCCTCTAAACCAGGGGTAGTCAACCTCTCTATACCTACCGCCCACTAATGCATCTTTCTTGGTGGTAAGAATTTCCTTATCACCCACCAGTGCTTGATGGTAGGAGTGATTCAGCTTGTGCTGTAGAACCCCCTACCACCCACCTAGAATCCTGAAATGCCCACTAGTGGGCAGTAGGGACCAGGTTGACAACCCCTGCTCTAAACAGACAATAGGACAGCATTTTTAAAAAGGCAAGTGTCAAAAAGTGACCAGGTAATGGAGAGGCGCAAATGCTATCACTACATGCCACGCTTCCGAAAGTATAAAAATGACTAAAACCCAGCAATTTCTACAAAAACCAGGATGACACCTGAGGAAATTGTAAAAGGAGGGGGGTGCAATAATTTGAGAGAAGTGTCATTGAGATTTCAGAAATCAATGAACAAGCGAACAGTGTTGAAGGAGGAGCAAAAAGGCTAGTGTGCCTTTTCTGTTTTTTTATCAGTTGATAATACACCCATTCAAGATAGCCTTCCACAACTGATTGTCTTGTTTCTGATTGCTGCAGTTTTATTAGTCACATCTTCCTCATTTCTTTCTTTCCCTTTCTGTGTTTTTCTGTTCCAATTGTACAGCAATGGCTACAGAAAATGTCTTTTAAATGTACTTTGTAGAGCACCTAATAATTGTAAGTGCTTTATAAACAATATTGAAATTTTACTATTGTTAAAATGGTGTAAAGTGGCAATTTAAAAAGGTTCAAAGTTGCGAGGCTTTTCTTGCATGCTATATACACCAGCCTCCAGCTCCTTGCGATTTAATAAGAGCAGTGCTACTCTTGAGCAAATATGAAGGTAAATCAGCTCCATTTCTCTGAGCCAGGATGCAGAGGAGTTTACACAGGCACCATCTCTACTCACAGCTCCTTGTAGTTGGCATCATACAAAGTCGCCCACTTGTTCTGTTGATGTGGCTGCCATTTTATAGACTGGTAATTGGGATCCAAGTAGGAGCCATTCAAGCTGTCATTGTCTTGAATCAGGCCTGCAGCAATAGTAAAATTGTGTATTTACAAAACTGCGTATTTACACCTCATGCAAATAAGCCCTCCTGCTACAAGGGAAATATTCATTCTCGCCCCACCTCCCCATGGCTTTCCCACCATGCAAAACATCCCATGACTTTTTCATTTCTTGGTTTTTGTAACCAAGGAAAGGAAAATGTTTTTCGTTTTCTGCTCTTTTCAACTTTGGGGAACTGCCTCCACACATTCTGTTTGGTATGAAACAGCACATTCTCCCTAGAGACACATGGCTCACACCTTCCTCATTTCTTCCTCATGGCTCCCATTCCTCATTTTCTCCTCCCATGCACCCACTCTATAGAACTCTTCCCCTTTTGGAACACAAATAACATATGGATGCTGACAATACTACTGGAGACTGTACCTGGTGAGAGCGCCCCCTGCTGATGCCAAGGAGGTGTTTGGGCTCTGTCAGGGTTGAGAGGCACAGACCCTGTCCCTGGCTCCTGCTTTATCATCCCATTAAGCATCTGGGCATTGAGAGTATTTGGGGGCGACTCTGAGTGTTTCCTCTTCTTGGCAGGGTGCACTGGAAGTCTGTGGGGGCCAAACACAGAAAAGAGACAGTGAGAACATTCCAACTTTACATAACCCATTAAAATGTAAATACAGTGGTACCTCTGTTGTGAACGGGATCCATTCCGGAGCCCCATTTGCAACCTGAAAGAAAGGCAACCCGCGTCTGCGCGGGTCGCAATTCACCGCTTCTGTGCATGCGCGTGACGTCATTTTGCGCGTCTGCACATGCGCGAACGGCAAAACCCAGAAGTAACCCTTTCTGGTACTTCTGGGTCGCTGCGGGACGCAACCTGAAAAGACGTAACCTGAACCGAATGTAACAAGAGGTATGACTGTACAGTGGTACCTCAGGTTAAGTACTTAATTCGTTCCGGAAGTCCGTTCTTAATCTGAAGCTGTTCTTAACCTGAAGCACCACTTTTAGCTAATGGGGCCTCCTGCCGCCGCCGCGCCGCCAGAGCATGATTTCTGTTCTCATCCTGAAGCAAAGTTCTTAACCCGAGGTACTATTTCTGGGTTAGCAGAGTCTGTAACCTGAAGCGTATGTAACCTGAAGCGTATCTAACCCGAGGTACCACTGCATATATATGGGGGGGGGGGGAGGAATCCAGAGGATACAGGAGGTGAGCATCAGCCAAGCTCTCACATAATTCTGTAGGTATACAAAGAGTCGCTCACAAATTGTTGTGTGGTGCTGAAATAGAGGCATATTCTAAACCTGTACATTCCCTCCCTCTGTCCTCACCTGACCCAAGAGGGAAAGAGACAATTGGCAGGTTTCTTCTTAGGTGACTGAGGGGGTGTATCTGTGTCTAGGTTGTACCAGACTTGAGAATAAAGGTATGGACACATGGACACACCCTCCTCCATACAAATGTTGTTGTTTTAATCCCTGCACATAGAAAACTAGAACACCGTGAGTTATTCCTGGTGAGTGGAACTCACAACTGGGTTGCAGACTGACCTAGGCATGTCTCACCAACAACACATTACCATTCATAGAATCAAAGAATTGTATAGTCATCTAGTCCAACCCCTTGCAATGTTTGTACACATCTATGGTAAAAATCAATAAATAGATCTCATAATGCACATTTTGGCTAAAGGTGGCTCTTAGGTCTGAACTGGATAATGACTACTGAAGGCGAACATGTCTCTCCCATATGCTAGCTTTCAGTGTGCAGGTATTTGTTTTGCACGGAGAAGCATTTTAATGATTTAAGCCCCACCAACAGTTTTATGTATGCCCCCTTTTCAGAAAAAAACAGCTTCCCCACCCCACCCCACTGGCCCCGCACACACAACCATGTTTCCCTCATCCCACAGTTAGTTCCAAATGCATGTTCAGATTGCAGAAGCAGTGTGTGGGAAGGGTTAAGTAATCCCTCAGTCCCTGTCTCTACCAAACTCTTCCTCCTCAAACCTGCTCTTGAAGTAAGGTGAGCCATTCGAGGCATGTTACACGCATTTGTGTGTTTTTTCTAGGTCAGCCACAATTGACAAATGTGATAAATAATTAAAGGAGCTTATGTACTTGGTATGCATGCTGAAGGCACTAATCTCTTTAATTTAAAAGGGGTGTGTGTGTGTGTGTGTGTGTGTGTGTGTGTGTCACTACCATTGCAATAGTTGTTATGCATTATAGAAACAAAAACAATCTTTAAAATCACTTTTTACAAAAGCAGTTCAATCCTGAATATATTTTCAAACCTTGTCAGGGACTTTGCCTCCAGCTATTAAATCTGAAATCACACCCCCATGGATCTAGATGCATTAGTGCTGGGATTATGCTCTCCATTATGCCCAGTTGTGGCATACAGGTAATGATATTAATGATATGCTTAAATGTTGAATGTGTAATTTTATGTCTAGAGTCAATGGATAAAACAAACACCATTAGTTGTACTGCTGGATAAGTGTTTAATGGTTCTTGTATTTGTTTAAAAACAAATTAAAAAATTGTTGCCACACACACACTCGTCTCCTGATAAACAGTCCTGTAAGGGGCACATGAGATTTCCAACAGAAGACTCAGCAATCTTAACAAACCACAATTTGAATGAATCGTCAGTGGAAGAAAGGGCAAAGCTCTGCTTGTCGTATAGCTTTGCCTTTTGTATTTTTTCAGAACACCAAGAGAACTTGGCTCAATTCTCATTTTGCTGCTCACGCTTTTCAATTGCACCTCAACAGCATATCATCATAGGCCCCTGACCTACCATATTAGTCCCTGTGACTATTATTGGGCCTCTTGCTATACATGTAATTCAATAGCAAACTCTGCACTTTTCTCAATTACTTTAGTTATATTTATTACATTTATATCAAGCTACTGCTGAAAAGGAGCTCAAGATTTTGTACTTGGTTCTCCCCATCCCAATTTTAATTTCACAACAACCCTGTGATCCAGGGTAGGATAGGAGAAAGTGGCTAACCCAGGCCACCCGGTGAACTCTACGGCTGAGTGGGCCTTTGAACCTTGGTCTCCCATGTCCAACACTCTAACCACAAATGTCTGCTAGGATCATAACAAGTCTCAGGGGGCTCAAGTAATGCTTCTACTCCCTCCCTATCTCGTCCACCGTTTCCCCTAGGACTTACTCTGCTCCATGCTGCTGCAGTAGCTGGTGAAGCATCTGTGACTGCTGGGCATGGTGGAGATCTCCAGGTGACATGCCTTGTCCAATAGTGAACTGGGGCATCAGAGACTCAGCCTTCATGTACATGTCCCGCTGCATGCTGGGATAGTGATGGCTGTGCGGCTGCTGGTGTGGGTGAGGCGGTGGTGGTGGTGGTGGAGGCGGCCCTTGGAGGTGGGATGGTGGAGGGGGTGGCGGTGGAGGAGGGGGTGGGTGCTCCAGGCGGGAAGGGGGAGTTATATGACACATATTCTCAGGAGTCATGGTTCGAAGGAGGTGAGGATCTAAAAAGACAGAAAGTCAGTAGATTAATTTGTGCCACACGTATAGCCAGATTATGCTACAGAAAAACATCCCAGTCTGTTTGAACATTCCTCTAGCCTTGGGCAGCCATTCCAGCTGTGTGTTCTGAATGAATACAGTATAAGGCCGCAGACGTGGGTGGCCTTAGGGGGATATTCCAGCCCATTTCCTTACATTTTCAGCACTCACTGACACAATACTACATCTCGAGCCATTTTACTTGGGAGATACATGGTAAAACATGCAGGCAGCCTCACTTCTATTTCATTGTATAGTGAGAAATAAACTCTCTTCTAGTGAGCTGGAATGATGGGCAAACCTTTGACACTTTAAATGCATATCTTGAAATTTCAACTCATTTAAAATTACTAAGATCAAATTTTTAAAAAAGGATTAATTGCTAAATATATAACCAAAGGGCAGCACTGCAAACAGAAACAAATGAGTAATCTAGCAAATACAGGAGAATGACTTCCTGCCCTCCTAAAAGTCCAAATGATAAAAATCTGAATCTCCATGCATAAAGGCTCTTCTTCAGCAAGCAGGTAAATTCATTTAAGAAATTTTATGATACTGAGTGCCAAACACAAACAAAAAGCTGTTATGTGACTAGTCTGGTATATTATAAATGAGAGGTGAAGGGAAGCGGATGCTCTGTATGTTCTCTCTATTTCATGATATATATTTCCAGGCTCACATCAGGCACAATAATCTTGTTGGGACATTCGCCACGTTGAAAGGTGAGCCTTCAAATGCTTTTTCCTTTACATACTCAGAAGTTTGCCTGTTCTTCAGGCTTCTCATAGTACCACTGTTATTGTGTGGAGGTAGGACAAAGAGATTCTTATACAACTAGCTGGCAAAGTTCTTAAAAGTCTCAGGGTGCTGTTCTACTAGCACGTCCTGTCAGTGCAAGGATTTCTGCTTGTGCAAGGGGACATTTCCCCACCCAGCTCTACGTACCCTGCAGCCTTCCCAAACCTGGTCCTAGAACAGATTTAGGGACGTACCAAGGGAAGAAAGGGAGAGACTGTTCCCTTGCCCAAGCAAAAATCCTTGCCCTGGCAGAACATCCACCTTAGAGTTACGTCAGTTTCCACCCTCAGCAGGCACACATTCAAAGCAGAATGGCTCCCAAACCAGTCCTGATTCAGGGACCCTCCTTGCTGGGAGTACTAGAAGGTTTCTCTCCTGCTTTGTCTCTCCACAGGGAGAAGTCAGGCTTTCCCTTATCAGAAGGCAGTTTTCTCCCCCACAGCAAGATAGCATGGCACCCTCGCTCCATGGGAATGTCAAAGGGCATCAACACATTGCAGAAATATATGCTCTATGGTCTTGAAAGGAGCAATAACATGACCTCAGATTACACCAGTCCATGGAGTTAAAAATAAAGAGGTTATATATCCATGCAGTTAAAAGCATTAATGGGGCAGTAGAGTCAGAATTGTTGAGTTACGAGAATAAATCTGGCTTAATTTAACAACAACTGTTGCTCAAAGCCACACAAGGACAAAACCTTTCCACCATTATTTACCAACAGCTTTTCTGTTACATTTCATCACTTATTCATACAGAAATATCATCACTAAAGGTAGTTAGAAATGAGTGGAGAATATATACTGTCAGGTAACTGACATCGGAGCTAGAGGCGGAGGGAAGGCTCTCAAATGATGCTGGAGAAGGGCCCAGCAGGGAGAGAGGCAGCTCAGCAGATGGGGAAGCAATTCAGCGCAACACCAGGAATAAAGAGGGGAAGATGGGGGAATCGGTGAGAGGGCTCCCAGACTCTTCACCGGACACCAGCGGGGAGAGCACGGGTCCTCCGCTACCCACGCCCTCCCTGCGCAGAAGACTTCCGCGCAGAGAGAGTAGGAGGAGACTGGGTGTCAAACAACTTTTATGTTGGAAAAGGTTTAAGAAACGCGCACTGACGGATTCTGCTAGCGACTGAGGCAGCAACAAAGTGAAGGGCTGTCCAGACTGAAAGGTTTAACAAGGCAACAAAGCCAGGAGAGGCGGCAACTTACGCACGAGCAACCCATACTCTTTACATATACATTCTGAAAAGATTGGTGCTGCTGTTCAGTGTGCCCAGCAGTCAGCCAACTTTGAGTACAAATATAGACCTATTTTGAGGGGTGAGCCCACCATGGATCTCCACCTACCCCTTTTAGGTAAGGAATGCAACTTTCCTCAGAGAACTGAGGTCAGGAGCAGCCAGTTCTCCCCATTTATAGTGGAGTCCATCTGCACAGAGTGCTGACTGGCTGCCTCAGGAGCCAATCACAAAGTCACTGCTCACACACCAGAGCAATGATTACTTAAAAAAAAAATACTGTAAATAATTTTTTTTTAAATAAAAAAGGCACAAAGAATGCTGGTGAAACGTACACCACCAAAGACAGAATTACAGATGGAATGGAAGCTTATTTATGGCCTGTCTCCCAGCTTTTATATGTTTGAAATATAAACATGTTTCCAAAATGAGTTATGAAATACCTGTTTCATTTCAAAACCTTCTTGTGCAGAAGACATTTCAGTGACTTTGGGGGAAATTACTGTTTTTAATAATACACACAAATTAAATCACATGTGGGGGGGGGTTTAAAGTCAAGACCACGGCAAACTCTCCTTGCTGGGCTTTTATTGATTTTATGCAGAAAGGGTGGCATGGAAGCCTACAGTACATGCAAAGATTTTACATATCTAGGAACAGGCTGTAGGGCATTCACGAAAGCCCTTGACAAGTTCACATCCCTCCTTAGTACAACAAAACAGAAGTTTACTTAACTTTGAAGCCTGATTTAAAGTTAAGAATGTAGGGCTCTGGTTTGTCAGGGTATAGGGGTAGCTTTTTAAATTAGCTCTCCTTTGTATCTCAGCTGAAGCCAGGATCAAACTGCTCTTAAATCTATAAAAGTTATAGTAAAATGGAATGGAACTTCACACAAACACAAAATTATCTTATAGAACTCAGTACTACAAGTTGTGTTGACGGCCACCATTGGTCAATGAACTAGACTACAAACTAATATAATTTTCATTTTTGAAAAATGTCAGGCTTTGCATTTTGCTTTGGTGAGACTACAGAAGCCAGTATCAAATGTTTGACATTCACAGGTTAAAAACTGGCTGGGGCAACTGTTATGGCAGAGTGAATATGCAAGCAAGTTGTGGAAAAATATGTTCTTGAAAGCCATATCTTATCTTCCACTTGTAAAAGGCTGACTTGGCTTCCAAACACACCTTGAAACAATGGAGGATTTTTTGAAAACTATGAGACCGCAGAGGCAAGAATATATATATATATTGGCACTCTGCATATGCACCAGGACTCACTCAGATCCTGCCCCCTACAACGCCTGAGGTTCTACCTATTCCCCTCTCCAGGATGATGAGAGCAGGATGAAACCGTTCAGACTCCCTCTTCTGCTACCTTGATGGTGAGGGAAAGCAGTTCACTCTGTGGCAAGTAATCTGGCCTCTTCGCTATATTTAAAGAAGGGCCAGGAGGAATTCCAGGGATTTTTGTAGTGAGATAAACAGAACTCTTGACCTCTTCCATGGAGAAAGGAGAAGTAGCTGCTTCCACTATGAACAGGGCTGAGGTTTTAAAAGAAGGGGCCAGTGGGGAAACATCAGAAAATTCCCGTCAACACACCAACGTATACTCCACCCAATTCTTCTCCCTCTGCTGCTAATTCTCCGGCGTATGAATCTAAATCTCCTGAGAGGAATCTCATTGTGGGATGGCAAATGTAGGTAGTGGAGAAAGATTCTACCCTCCCACTTCCCTCTCTTAACTTATATAAAGCTTGGAGAAGGGCAGAGAAAGACTGACTTTGCTTAACAAGTGGCCGGGGGGGGGGGGGAGGACAACACAGACCCAGCCTCCATCGTGTATCTAAGATTTCTCTGCCTGACACAGGAAACAGAGGAGAGTCTCCCTGTACCAATCGGAGCTAGGAAAAAGGTGGCAGGAGGCTCAGAGCGCACTTACCGTCTAATAGCAAGCTCATGGCAATTTCCTTGCTTTGGTCTTCATTACTGGAATAGGCTTGTTTTTACATAATTCTCCGGAAGTCAACATCTGACAGCACCGCCATCCACAAAACAAGGCTCAAACACTCCATTTTCACTTCTTCACTAGGCAGAAGTCAACAGTTTCCCCATTTTCCTCTTTCAAAAGGTAGATTTACATCTTCCTCTCCCCACACACCTCTTTGTGCTCCTGCTCCTCCCCTCCTCCCCCACTCTTTCCAAAGGGTAGCAGGAAAACAATAGGCATAAGTCTAGGAATATTTACTAACTGATAATCTCTTCACGTATTGCAGCAGTCTGTTTTTCCCCTGTCCGATAAAGATTTCAGAGCCAACCACTTTTGCCAACCAAAGAAGGGGGGGACGCCGGTGTGTTTGGGCTTGAATCTGAGCACTTACCATTCACCTGCTGGGGGGAGTATGCCTCTGATCCAGAGTCCGGGGGAGAGTCGGGTAAAGTGCTGAAGAGCAATGGAGAAAAAAATAGAGGGAAAGGTCAAACAAGAGTCTTGAGAAATTGATAAGGTGAAAGAATGCAAAATATCCGTCAAACCTTAGGGAGAAGCAACAATTCCACGGATAACCCCACTGCCTGCAGCACCCTCAGCTGGTAGAGATTAACAATGGACTTGACGTGCATTTTTCTGGAATTGTTTGCCAATACAAATCCTCCTGAGACTGAAGTCAGTCAATGTGACCTCCTACAGACAGGTCTTCCTGCACAAATTCTCCCTCCAGCGAAAGACCCAACCACTGGCCACTCCCCAAAGTGCCAGGAAGCCCCCCCCCATGTCTAACCCCCTTAACTACTCACTACAGCACCTCCCGATTAAATAGTTTGGGACTGTTTAAACTCGTATTATTTCACACCCAGCCTATGCTATTCCCACAGTGAGCCCTTTGATTTTATTCATAGGCATCTAATTTCATGGCCATTTTGTTGATCTCCTAATAAGACTCCTCTCTTCGCTCAGCAGCTCTTGCTCAGCTAAAAGAAGCCAAAACAGAAATGTATCTGTTCCCCAGAAAAAGATCATTAACAGATGCAGAAGAGGCTTTTGGGGAATCTGGCTCTGTTACAAAAACTGACCCATCCGAAGAAAAAGCCATGAGTTTAAGGGCCAGATTATCCCGTCATCAAGTACAGTGGTACCTCGCAAGACGAATGCCTCTCAAGACGAAAAACGCGCAAGACGAAAGAGTTTTTCGTTTTTTGAGTTGCTTCGCAAGACGAATTTCCCTATGGGCTTGCTTCGCAAGACGAAAAAAACGAAAACGTCTTGCAAGTTTGTTTCCTTTTTCTTAAAACCGTTAATACCCAGGGTGACTTCGAGGAGCAACTCATAGCACGCGGTGTGGTAGCCTTTTTTGAGGTTTTTGAAGACTTTGGTGATTTTGAAGACTTTGGGAAACCGTGCTTCGCAAGACGAAAAAAATCGCAAGACGAAAAAACTCGCAGAACGAATTAATTTCGTCTTGCGAGGCACCACTGTATACCTGAGGCTACATGTGGAGCCCCTGGACTGAAATTGACAAAGCTAGCCAGAAGCAGGCAAGAGAAAAGGGTCTGGCCACAGCCACTGCAAAGTAAACCAAAACATTCTATTTAACAACAAGAAAGAATTCTGAGTTTAGAGTTTTTGTTGCTGGTTAGCTTTCCGTCAGAGAATAAGGCACTTTTTACTATTGTCTGACACATTTCAGCAAAAACAGGCATTCCCCAGGGACTTTTCTACAAGAAATGGGACAACAATGAATAAACTATACTTAATCCACTGGGAATTGATTAAGAAGTGCAATAATCCTCAAGATACTGAAATTAGTTCTCCTTTTTAGTCTTTTACATTGGATGAGTCCCATTTTGCTAACTTCCTGTGTAGCATGTGGTATAAACACCAACAATTGGGAAACACTTGCCTGCGAGCGCTCCAATCGGAGAACAGCCTTTACCAAAGGTGTCATGAGCTTTGAAGACACTTGAACTCAGGACGCAAGGGAGAAACATGCTAAGAGGAAGTCACGCTTGGCAAATCCACACCTTGATCAACTCCTGCCTGGAAACCAATGTCCCCACTGTGGAAGGACGTGTGGATCCAGAATTGGCCTCCACAGTCACTTACAGACACATTGTTAAAATCGTGTTTATGGAAGACAATCTTACTCGGCTACGAGTGATCACCAAAGAAGAAGACGACTTACAGAGTGCCATTAATATGCACAGTGCTTTGCTGAGTAACAAACAAGTAACAAATCTCAGGGGTCTTTAGGTACTTAGCTCAAACTGGGTTTTTCTTCGGTATGTTTCCAACAGAGGATTCAAAACGAGAGTGAGTCGACAACAACTATCATCCACTCTTCAGCCCCCAACTCCACCCCCTTCAAAATTAAGAGCTACAGTACACTTCTTTCCCTTTCAAATAAATTTCATCCCTAGCACCTGCAACTACAAGAAGAGAGCCTTGAAAACTTCCCTACTGGTTCTTAAACTGAGATCCAGTCTCCAAACACACCTACCAGTAGCTGATGGAGACTGCGATTGTGCTGACTGGCAAGGTCAAGTAAACACAAAAGCCAGCAAGATGAGACTGAAATGGGGAAGGGAGGGAATGGATGTTGAAGTCTAATGAAACCAAGTGAGTTAATGGAAAGTCACTTCAGGACAACACTGACATCCTCACCTGTGCTATTAATCGGACTACTTCTGTGAAGACTAGCTCATGACAGACCTTTCCAATACTACTCAGATTATTAAACTCGCACAAGTAGCAACGTCTAAATTGTCAGTTGGTAGCCTCAGCTATTAAGCTGGTTTGTTTGTCTTAAAGAAGTGTTAGTATCACTGCAGTCCACATAAAGCGCATGCTTTGTTGGCAACATGAGTAAAGAGGGCAAGGGATAAATAGACTATGGAGAATGCATTACCCTGTTAGCCAAGAGTTGCTTTCAGTTATACATTTCCCTGCTTGCTTTTTGAAAAAGTGACAGAAAGCAGCCAGGAAATGTATGGAGACCTCAGATGGCCTATTGCTGCTGGTGTGATGCAGCAAGTGTCAAAAAATAACAGAAGAGCTTTTAAAAAGCTATTCTGACTTGACTAGAGAGGAACAAAATCTTAACAAAGAGAAACTTCGATTGTCAAGAGAAGAGAGAACCAGGGCATGGATAAGCATTTTTTTTTAAGCGCTAGAAACAGAAGAACTGTTCTTGGCAGTTTCAGAAAAAAGAATTAGCAACAGGCTGGATGAAGATGGAAAAGGAATGGAGGAGTACTATGGCTCCAAGTGTACACACCTAGGAGAAAGGGGAATAGAAGTAAAAAATAAGAAAGAAGGCTATGAAGGTCTTCAGAGCCTGGAATAGTAATGAACTGATACACTGTCAGCAACAATTGAGAATAAATGAAAATTGATTTGGTGAAAAAAGGAACAAAATATGGATGAAAAAAACAGAACTAAACCTTTAGTAGCATAATAAAACCCATTACATTTCTGATGTGGGACCAATAAAAAAATAGCAGACTTTAAGCAAGGCTGTTAAAATAAGTGGGTGAGTATGGATATGTGTAACATTCTGAGAGGTCAGGTCATGCCTCAACATTTGAGCTAGGAAAATTATAGTTACACATTTTTTACACTGTGGACTGAGAGAAGAACGTAGTGTTGCCAGATGTTGTTGGAATTCCATCAACCCCAGGCAGCATGACCAATGGCCAGGGATAGCAGGAGCTGTAGTCCAGGAAAGGAATAGGAAGGAGATACACCAGCAAAGAGAGACAAGGGTTGCTGAAGAAATGGGGAGAATTAGATGGCCATGCTGTTGGATTCAAAACGAGAAGAGAGCGTACAGGATTGAATGATCAAGGAAAGAAAAATAATTGGAAAATTTGGCAAAAAGAAATATTTCAGAAAGTGGAGCACTTCACAGGCAAACTGCTCAAACTGCTGTGTATTCAGTTGAGAGGTGGCTTAGGCACAAATGTATTCCACAAGGGGTTTAGGAACAAAGAGGAGAGAGATGGCTCTGTGCTCCATCGCCAGCACACCTAGCAAAGGCAGCCATCCCCCATGACACCAACCTGTGCTATTTCTGATGAGAACTCCAACAACAAACTGGAGATGAAGATGATCTTCTCAGCAAAAAAATATGGCAAGGAACACACTGGTAACTTTGCCAAGGTCCCACCTAGCTTCCTCCAACCACCAGCTTAGCCCAACTGCACACAATGAGCAGGATAGTTGCCTCTCCTCACTAATTAGTAGCCATGACTAGTAGAGCTATGGAAGTCAGAGGAAGCACACAGCACACCCCTTCTTTGGTTCTCAAAATAGCACGTTATGTCACGAAGCTCCTCGTGCCTCAGTTCCTTACAGCCAAGCTATGGAACCTCAGGCTCAGGGGGCTAAATGTCCAGGCTTCTGAACTGAGCCCTCAGGAGTCTTCCCAGGTCACACAACACCTCTGCCTTTGCATGTTTGGAATGTAACTTACTATACAAGGGTAAGATTCACATCCGTTGCTGTGACAGCTTTTGCACCTAGCCCTGCTCACCACTGGTATGAGGCCCCAGGAATGCTGTCCACAGGGGAAGGTGGCCCTCGGGTTCCCCACCTCTGCATTAAGACACAGGTATCTTCTGTGACTCTCACCTCTTTCTCCTGATCCCCACACTTGTGTTCTGGCCAGTTAGCTAGCCTTGACCTTAATTTTAGGTCAGTGGATTTCCTATGGCACAGCCTCATTTGAAATTCTTCTTGTTGTGACCCAGCTCTAAGTGAGATGTGCACCTTCTGGAGGGCAAACTTGACAGATTTATTTGCTCTTTTCAAGGCCCCAGTAGACTTGCTTTGAATAACTTTCTCTTCTTGTCTGTCCATTAGATTCTCCTGCCCTGTACCTTTTCAGTTTCCTAGCCAAATATCTACAGAAGTGGTTGCATATATCCTTCACAGCACAGCCAGGCCGGGCCAATCCACGGAGTGAGCCCACCTGGCAGGGTGCATCCACAGAGGAGCACTGCTTGTTTTGCAATCTTTGATCCAGAGAACTGATCAGAAAGCTTGGCAGAAGAAAAAGGATCTTGCATGGGAAGGAAAAAAGGAAAATTTTCCAAGTAACATTCAGAGCAAAGGGACCCCAATTGCTGTGGTAAAAGGAGGGAGATGAATCAAGGAGTACTAACATCTGGATGGGATTCTATTGTAGGCTAGCAGTGCTGGATAGTATTTATAAGGACAGGGTAGCTTTTATTTTTATCTTTTTTTAAAAAAATGGTAAAGGATAGATACAAAAACATATAAATATTACACAGAAAATGTGCTTATTTATATTTACTTGTTTTATATGTTAAGCCTTCATTTCCCCCCAATTTCTATTTCTATTGAAAAAGTGCTTCGGTACGATATTCATGAGTTCTTCCTCTGAGACCAGTAAGGAAAACATTTCTGCAGAAGTGTGCACAAAGAATTCAAGAAAGGGAACATCAGAGGTGCCATTCCTAGCAGACTGTGAAAATACATTTTCAACTGCTAGGCTGAAAAACAAAGCAGCACATTATTATTTGATCCTGTTGGTCTAAGGCTTTGAAACAAATGAACAAACAAACTAGATGCTTCCCCAAGGTTCTCAGCATGTAATACCTTTAGCTAATGTTCAGACAAGCTTTAGGGATCTTAACTGGGATTCCAGAGTAAAGATTTAATTCTACATTAACCTGTGCCTCAAGTGGATAACAAAAACTCTGATTCTATTCCTGCATCTCCCCACAGGTAGTATACAGCAAAAAACAAAAACAAAAAACCCCCACACGCTTATTGGAATGACGGTGGTTGCAAGTGTATTAGAACCATTCAGAAGTGGAAGGCTGCATGCAAACCAATAATTTGCTTCATTGAGGCATCACAGCATCAGATCATCCTCTGTGATCCTCCACTTTCTGCTAGCTTATGAAGAACCAGTCTCCGGGCTGAAGGCACAGAGTGCTAGTTATTCAGACATATCTTAACATTAGATATTTGATGCACTCAGCACATTCTTTGGCCCCAATACAGCAGCAAGAGTAACTCCAAATGGTGAGAAAACAAGACCTGCCTGTGAAATGAGGACTCATAAATCGGTTTTTCATTCATCCCCAAAGTGCTCTCCCTCTCTCCCAACTCTGTTCATCCCTCTCTCCCAACTCTGAGATTGACATTCATACCTATAGGACATACACCAAAAAATTGGACATGTACTTCAAATCTGCCTGTGAAGTTCAGGTTGACTTACCTTCCCCTAGCCCCCTACCTCCCATTTACAGCCCATCTAGTCCTTAATCATCATGCGAAGTTCCCACCCCCACCAGCCGAACTGATCTTCTGCTTCCCTCACAACAACTGCAGTGGCTGTCAATAGTCTGTAACTGGCCCTTCCTCCTCAGCGAGTCAAAAGGTTCATGAGCACTGTGTTACTAACGGAACGTCTGAGAAGCTCACAGGCCACAGTGAGCCAGGACATAACTGACTGGGTATGCACATGTAAGACAGCTTTAGCAAGAAATCCAGATTTCTGTCCACCAAAGCTCAGTTCCTCCTCCTCCATTATCTATTTCCTGTTTGCCCCAGTAAGTCCCTTCCACAAAAGCATCACTTTCACAAACTCCCATAGCAATGAGCTCCTGCCACTATTCCATTCTTCTTGATCCAATGAATGTCCTTCTCCCATTCAGTCATGATTCACCTTGGCAGAACAGGGGAAACACATCATCTCCCTAAATTCACCTAACTGATATTTATCATTTTCCTCTGAAAGGCTATATCCAGTGTCAATTGTAAGGAAATAGAAATTTGGTTTAGACTCCATGCTCTTCAAGCCTAATAAAAATGATATCTAGGGCACTCCCTGGGACCACTTGTTTTGGTGCCATAAAATAGAGTTTTGGTCAGACATCCCTTTGAAATAGTTTCCTGACAGGCACATACTTTTTCCCTGGAAAGATAGCAAGGGTACATTCAATACTGCAGCCTGTTCATTTCCCCCAAAAATGCCTAGAATCCACGTCCTGCAACTTCTAAGCCTTCCTATTTTCACCTGCAGGCTGCACAGACAACTGGCCTTGTTTGTAACCATTGTAAATATCCATGAAGCGTCCAATTAAGTTCCATCAGTGAAAACCATAACCAACAATAATCTGAATACCACCGTACTTAACTCTATATAAATTATCTATTGGTGCTTCAAAATCTAAAATGTGGTTTTAGCTTTCTAATTTTTACCATTCATGTGCCAACATTTCAGCTCATTCCTCTCCTCCCAAAGTCACTCAAGTCCTGGCTCTTTTAGTTGATCATTCCGTGAGCCTAGGAGGTTTTGCCAGCTCTCCTCCAGAAACCCAGTTCCTATGGATGAAGGTTTCCTTCTTACAACACACCATTGTTCTTCGATTTAGACTGCCATGGACATAGTGTCATAAGAGAATTAGCAGAATCATTCAGATACAACTTACCACTCTCAGGCCCTAGAACTGCACCCTCCCACCACCCCACCACCTCCTCCTTTACTCAGCATCACTTACCCAGGTGCGTAGGAGGCCTTCAGCTCTGATTTGATTGGAGGGGCAATGTTGGTCAGGCAGTGGCTGCTGAGGTACCCCTTGGGCATCACCATGCCATTGTTGTTATTGCAGTTGAGGTGAGTACTGTAGCTGGGTCCACATGGACTGGGCAATGGGGCGCCATGCCGGATTGGAACTTGGCTGCCAGGGGGGCCATGGTGGACACTGTGCCGGATAGGTACTTGGGTGCTTGGAAGGCCATGATGGAGGGGACCACTAGACGCAGCATTAGAAGCATGGCCAGCATTGGAGACAGATACACCGACACTGGCAGAGCTGGAAGGTTGGGCATGAGGGTAGCCAGCAGAGGCTGGGATTTCAGAGATGGAGTCCAAATCGGAACTGTAGGAGAGAAGTTAAAACAACCTGAGTAACATGTGCATATTGCACTTTTCAATCTGCAGCTATACAGGGTGACTCAATAGCTATACACTGAATGATGTTGGCTCATTACATCATTAATTCTCCACTGAAAGAACAAAAAACCCCACCACAGAATGTCTGAAAACATATAATGCCATTTGATCCATGATACGGAATAGAAATAGAAATGTGATGGCTAACTTGAAAGTGGAGATTACAACCACATTTATGACATCCTGTTGGTGCATGTGTGTGTGGCAACAGGCATCAGCACTGTTCTCTGGCATTTGTTCCACAATGAGATCAAGAAAGAATCATGCACACGCTTTGGATATTCTTCTGAAAATCTCCTTTCAAATACTCACCAAGCTTATACTTGGTCAACAAGATGTGATCTTCTGGCTGCTGGCCCTTTGCCACTAAGTGCCATCCAATGCAGCACACAGAAGACATATAACCAATGCAGCACCTCTTAGCCCAAAATGTAAACTCCTGTCGGGTTCTCTCTTGCGTGACAGTCAGACTTAAATCCCCTACAACCTTCTATTTGTACTAAAGTTATCTATTTCCTTTTCCTTTTGACTGTTTCCTATATAGCAAAGTCTGGTAATAGCAACCCCAAAGATATTCCTTTGGAATATCTGAGCACAACTGAGCTCAGGTGTCTGGAATCAAAAACTTAACCAATGGCTCTCAAGAAAAGAAGAATAAAAAAAAAAGATTTAGGAAGAACTGTGGACGTGGTAGGGATAGACAGCTGAGCACAGTTGTGTGGAAGACAGATAGCAAAGGAAATATGATCACACCATGCAGCCACCATGGTCACCCTCACGGCATCGTGCAACCACCACTGTTTATTAGGAACATAGGTGCAAAAGAACGCACTTACATATCTGGAGAGTCTTCCTTGCCAATATATTCTTCCAGGATGCTGGTGTCAATGTTTGATGGTTCCAGTGCTCCATTAATATCATGACCTGAAACAAAAACAGGTTGCACAGGGAAAGCTATTAGCAAAATTCAGACAAAGTGCCACTGTTCCCTCAGGGCCAGACAGAGCTCTGATGATGGAAATTCCCCAGAACAAAAACGCTGGCTTAAGTCAAGGAACTGAATTGGCTTTAAAATGGATATTTGAAGGAGGAAGTAGCATCAGATTCAGATCTGAAGAATGGGGTATTGTTCCAGAAACATCAGCTGGAGGCCAAGAGATGGACAACGGAAGAATGGACACCAGAAGTAGAGGGCACAAAAGATGGATGGAGGAACCATTTTATTCAGTAGGGCTCAGAAATGGCTAAGGGATTTGAGTCAAATTAGAGGAACAATTGTTTAGGAAGGGGATAATAAAAAAAGTATTATTTTTGAACTTTTATAGTATTTCAGAATCACCCATATCATAGAAGACATTTTAGTCAATGTTACTTTAATGAACGAACAGCAGTACTGTAATGATAATTTAGACAGAGTGACCTGGGTGTAACACTTTACGAACAGACCTGGCTGAGACTCAGTCTACTGTCTCTCTCCCTCCCCTTTCTTCCTCCAATGTGGCTGTATCCTCAGTTTAGTCTTAAACATAGTGGACAAACTATGGTTAGTCTTAACTATAGTTTACTGGAGCAAGGCAACTTCAAACCTTGGTTTATGAAGCTGTCCTGTTTCTGTGAAACATAATTAAGATTAATCACAATTTAGGGCTCAGATATTCTTTTAAACCATGGATATCTAGAAATGAATGGAAGCAAAAGTTTTCGAATTTGTCCTTGTGTTTGTGCAGAGGAAAGGAGCCCAAGTCCAAAACTCATGCACAGAACAATGAAGAGTAATTTAAAATGAAAGTGTCTAATACATACAATAAACAACTTGGGTAAACATACCGGTACATAACCAAAAGAACAACCCCAGTAAGGGGAGGGGGAGCAGTAAATGAATGAATAGGCATAGACCATAACAACTGGCTTGTCTCTAGAAAGGGTCACAAACTGTTAGGATTACTTAGTTGTCATTTGGTCCTGGTAAAAAAAATTGTTTCTTCCTAGAGATTAATAGTCTTAATAAGAACCATTGCATTTACTGAGGAGAGAGAGAAAATTCCAGTTATACTTATTGCCTGTGACCCTGAAGACCAAACTAGACGAGACTATGGATATCCTTCATCAAATCTCCCATCTCTTTTGAAAATAGCAAGGGGTCAATAGATTGGGACTATGCTGCTGGGAAAGGGGGGTTAACTGTCCCCTCAATCTTCCCAATGAAAATTGCCCTCCTCCCAAGCTGCTATTTGCTTTATGAGGGGAAATGTTTGCATGCCTGCTGTGAAGTTACCTGTCTGGTTTGCCTGTGGGAGGCAGCACTCGGGCAGCTCACTACACCATCCCCATGCCACAGCTGGGTTCAAATGCTATTACAAAAGCCTTGGTCCTACCAGTTTTTCATCTACAGAACACAGTATTTCCCATCAGCACCACTTTTCTTGCTGTGCCTCTTTGGAACAGACTATCAGCTCTTCCCCATTACTCCACTACCATATCCCTTTTCAGCTGCATACCCATCATACCCCACCACAAGAATTCTGGGAACTGTAGTTTACCCTCATAGAGCTACAATTCCCAGCCCCCTTGCAGCTTCCAGGATTCTTTTGTGTGGGGTGATATAAGCTTTAAATGTATGGTGTATCCTGTCTTGTTTAGAGAATGACTGGACTTTCTTTTCCTTTCTTCCAGGAATTTCCCTCTTTCTCTTCTCTTGCACTGAAAAATGGATTGGGTTTGTTGATAAAAATAAACCTCCCGCTTTATCTGTTTCTCCACGAGTCTGAAGCTTTGTGCACAATTCCTAAGTGCCAAAGGCATTATCAAGAAAAAGGGAGGGAGTCCTTCGCCCACAGCTCAGATAATGAAGAGACAACCTTTTCCTGAATGGCTCAATCACATTAGATTAGAATGAGAAGTCCCTCGCTCACCAGACAAGCGCACACACACAGTCAAAGGCATCTCTCACTCTCCACCCCTTAACAGCATTCTGGGTAAAGGTTAGTCAACCAACCAACCAAAAAGAAAAAGGGGGAAAGGAGGGGAGGAAAACAGGGGGCTTCAACCTATCAGAATTTTACCCTGCGAAAATCCCTTTCATACCAAGACAAGCAAATCAGCAGAAATAAATCCAGTGAGGAATTTTGCCAAAAGGGTTGGTGGGTGGGTTGAAGGGGGGAGAAAAATTAGAGGCACTTTTTTCCCTTGGTCATACAAACTGAGAAAAGGTAGGTCAGAGACACAATTTCATAATAAAGCATACAACCTTTGATTTACCACACCAGAGAGAAATCACATGGGATAGTCTACTACTGTACAGCACTCTTGTCAATGCCTATTGTATCAGCAACAGTTCATCACTGTCTATAAGTACCGTATTTTTCCGTCTATAAGATGCCCCCATGTATAAGACGCCTCCTATTTGGGGGGACAGATTTAAGAAAAGGGGGGAGACGCCCCCTAATTTTTGAAATTATTTTTTAGGGAGAAAACCTAGTCTTATACATGGAAGAATACGGTATCCACTTATCCCTTTCAGTACAGTTGGAATTCTTGGGTGAAGATCACCTGATTCTTAGGAGTTACAGCGCAAGCCTATCAGTGTCCCCAGACTCAGAGCTTTCATTTAGAAAAAGGAGCAAGTCTCCAGCCCTTCTAGAGAGAAGGCCATAAATACTCAACTAATAGCAAACGGAAACTTACTACACATATGCAAAATTGGGAACTTTAAGCCTTTGATGAAATACAGTGGTACCTTGGTTTACGAACTTAATCCATTCCGGAAGTCCATTCTTAAACTGAAACCGTTCTTAAACTGAGGCACACTTTCCCTAATGAGGCCTCCTGCCGCCGGTGCCCTTTCACCATTCAGTTTCTGTTCTTAGACTGAGGTAAAGTTCGCAAACCGGGACACTACTTCCGGTTTTGTGGAGTTCGTAAACCGAATAGTTTGCAACAGGGCTGTTCTTAAACCGAGGTACCACTGTACCAGCAAAACTGCTGGACCCCAAAATATAACTAAAATCCAGCTGGTAATGAACTAAAGAAACTGCCAACTCACAAGATGGTTGTGAGATTATGTATTTGTTGGTATAATGTTCACCAAAGACATCCATGCTTAAGTCTGGGGAAAATAAATGATGAAATCATTTCATATGGGGACTAGAACAATATGGCATTGTATTTGTGTCTTAAAAGTTTTCATTACGTATGAAAAAAAACTGTAGCAAGTAACAGCTCTATGGACTGGAATATTTTAAATAATAAAGTTTCTTTTATTTATATTCTTAGTTACATGTTTATAAAGTGCATAAATATTATAGTAGGCATCAAATCATCCAAATCTGAAGTATCATAACATACAGCATACTGCTGTTATTTATGCATGTCTTCAGTGTCTAGGATGCTGTGGCAAATAGGGCAAATAGACAAGTCCCCGTCCCAAAATGAGTTGGACCTAAAAGGACAAAATAAGTCTTTTTAAGTAAACCATTAAATAATCAGAAAGAGTCTGAAATGTTGTAATTTGGGGAGGTAAAGTGAAAGCCCTTATCTGCTAGTCATCAACAGTGTTCTTCCAGGAAACTTTTTTTTAGCCGAGCAGTTACATCTGACCCAGGGGTCAATTCAGTGTTTAATACAGATGTTTGTACATTAACCTCAATGGAGGAAAAGCTGTAGAAAAATGCGAGCAGAACTAAACTCAATGGGCAGAATTCAACATCACGTTATTATGACGTCTTGTCTGCACAAGCATATCAGCTTGCCAGATGGAACAATTTCCACCCTCCCCTCACCCCTTCTAGGGGCTCTTCTGAACCCCTTAGGCCAGTTTGGGGGGTCGTGAGGGGAGGAAAAGGGAAAGCCCCATAGTGCAAGAAGAAGCCCTTGTGCAGGGCTTCCACTGAAGGGGTTTGTTATGTAAATCCTGCCCAAAGGGACATAATATCCCCTAATTATGTAACCGTTACATCCATGTAGTGCAGTATTTAGTATGTTGGAATGCTTGGCCATGAAATCCCTGCTCAGCCATGAAACTCGCTGGGTAACTTTGGGCCAGTAGCAAGTCTCTCAGCCTAACCTGCCTCACAAGGTTGTTGCAAGGATAAAATGGGGAAGGAGAGAACCATGCACACCTTACTTTGAGCTCCTTGGGGGAGGAGGGAAGGTGGGGTATAAATGAAACAAACAAATAAATTTATACAGCAATAATGGAGCCTTGCTTTGTGATGCTATGGTTGGAAACAAAAATGACTGACTAAATTCAGCATACACACATTTTTAAAAATGTGTTGATATGAACAGAAAGCTTATGAAAGGTTCAGTGAGAAAAATCATTTGTAGGGACAGGGGGAATGATATGATTACAATACATATCCTTAGAAGAAAGAGGCATGCTGCCTCCAAAGAGTTCTGTGTGCATTGGGAGAGATCCTGATGTTGGCTGCTGCTCCCTCAAGCCATTTGTGTCAGGCATGACTGTTCCACAGTGTTACCTTTCTGGCTTTGGTGGCAGGTCAACTCCTACCTTCTGGCCACCTTGCCTTGAAGGTCACTTTCATGAACACTTAACGGAGATGCAAGCAAAGGTGAGATAAGCAACCAGACGGGGAAGGTGTGTCAACTGGATAGCTTAGGGGAGTTACAACAGAACTGATAAGCAACCCTGAAAAAGAGTGCTGTTAAGTGGTTGCGAGTGAGTTGATGAGGGGACTGTTGTTCTTTTCTTGCTAAAAATAAGCAAATCCTCCACAGGGCTTTTCTCAGCTTTAGGCTAGAGGCACTTGAGCCAGCTACCCAGCTCTGGGGACATGCCAGTTCTCTTGGAGCAGCATGCTCTGTATCCATCCCAGAGTAATTTTTTTAAAATACTCATCTCTTACAAACTTAATGCAACACAAGACAACGGACTCCCATCTTGTGTTCTTCCCCCTGAACCACCTCAAACAGTGGGAATTGCTTCCCCAAACCTGTTCGTGGTTTGCCTTTTCACAAGTTCCTTCGTATGTCTGTCCATCCATCTCTTTGGGAGCAAAAAGTATCTCTGGAATGTCTGCAGCCGAGTGCGAGCTCTTAAGAGCATCTTGTTGCTCGAAACTTCTATTCAGTAAAGACTTGTTACCAAAAGCCAGCTTAGGTGATTAATTATAAGCTAATGCTGCTCTTTGGAGTCACGAGCTCCTAACAACATTAAACAATGCCCCTTTGCCCCCTTCCCTTTCTAACGAGAGATTAGAAGGGAGCAGAAAGCTTCAGAGGAACACAAACGCACTCGAAACTCCCCAAATGGGAGAGATCCTTTCTTCCCAGTTCCAATAAGACAGACATGGAATAGAAAATGCACTCGGTCAGCGCTCATCTTCCCCAAGCAAAAACTTCCAAGTGCTAACCCTGTCAGAGCCCTTTGTTATCTATGGTGCGTGGTTCAACCTGCTCTTTACTAGTCTCTTCCTAAACTCCAGTCCAAAGGCCCACAAGCCTGGCATTTGAACTTTGGTGCCAGGTGAAAATAGAAGTCACTCTATGAGGAAGAAGCAGACTGAGGCAGCAAACGGGAAGAACAACAAGCTTCCTTGTGGCCTGGCAAATGAAAAGCCCTCCTAGGAAATGCCGTAAACCTTCACTTCAAAAGTTACATTTCTTAACATATTATTTTAAGCTGCTTTTCCCCCCAGTGTGCCACACAAACCTATCATTTTATTCCTTTTCACAATTTCAGTGCTGTTCCTCAGTGACAGTTCCAACAATATTATACCTTCTACTGCAAAGCTGCAATGTGCCTTTCAAATATAACATAGTTATTAGCAGAAACAATAAACATCCTTCAGAAATGCAGCTTGAATATATTGTTATTTATAGAACTTAATAACTTTCCTTTGTTGTCAATCTTCAGCACTTAACAGGCAAAACAAAACAATTTTGGTAGAGTGTACCTTAGGCCTTGCTTTGCACATAATATAATGATTTGGTATTATGTACACAATCTTCAGGGCCAAGCCTGCCTTCCCCTTCATCCTCCATTTTGGTTACAAGGAAGAAACTATTGCTTCACTTTCAGCTAGATGATGTTACTCAATATGTCCAACCTGGACAAACTGTGATTAGTTATACTAAAAAGTTTAGGCCCCTAGAAAACAAGCCACTTTCAAACTGTGGTTTCTGATACCCGTTTGTTTCCTTAAAACAGATTTCTTCTCCAACTTGTATCCACCAGCTGGTTTAGACTACAACTCCCATCAGATTCTCCCAAAAACCAGCTGGAGGGCACCAAGTTAGGGAAGACTACCCTAAACAATAATTAGCACTAACCACAATTCCTGGTTGAGATAAAACGAGTAAGTGAAAGTGAAAGTTTCCGGTCTCCTCTCACTGATGCACCAAAGGGGAAGAGGGGAAGCAGAACCTGTGAGCCCAATGATGACCCACCAAACTGTGGCTCAGTATTACATTCAGACACAGCTGTTATAAGGGCTGTTATAAACCCAGAATTTAAACAAAGACAGTATTTTACATAGGGAGCTGAAACACATACCATTTTCTGGGGGCCATACAAAATTCACTCCATTTACCAGCTGTCCTGGCAGTGGCAGCAGTCATGCTTCTCGGTGCTGCTGGGCTCCATTTTCTCTTTTTATTTCACCCACAACTCACTAGAGGAAGAGCAGGAAGAACAACCCTTGCTCTGATTTGGCTTTAGATGGCACCACATATCCAAATATCTGTTCTGAGTGGAATAAGTTCACATGAGAACATTCAGGTCAGCCTTAAACTTCACCTATCTAACAGGTACATCTGGAAGCTATATCCCAATATTAGGTACAAATTAAGTACAGTATATACCAGCAGCTGGCTTACATAGTGAGAACGTGAGTATTTTACCAATATTATTGATTCTGTTTAGTGAGGGGGCTGTGGCCTTTCTCTTTTACTTAAAGAGTCCAACCTCAAGACTGGACTGAGGTATTCCACCTTGTGTTGAGATGCTCCTGAAGACTATTGCCAAATGGCTTAGGCTTCAGTTACTCTAGGTATTGGCTCTTTTCCTACCTCCTTTTACAATCTCAAAGCAGTCTCCTCATATGTCACCTATGTGGCAAACTAGACTAGCAATGATATCAAGGGAAGAATTTATTAGTAGTGCCTCCCAGCTACTTTGAAAGAATCTTTCTCCAGAAAGCCAATATAGGCTCCATATTTTCTAGAAGTGCTAAAGACCTTTCCGCTTACACCAGAGTAGCCAAGGTGAACCACAAATCCTATCATCCCGCTAGTTGGGGCAGATGGGAGTTGGAATCCAACAACATCCGGAGGGCACCATGTTGGCTGCCCCTGATGCAGACAATCATTTAGCAATCAAAGAATAAAGAGAAAGTTCTTTTAATTGTCGCATCCTTATCATTTCGAAGTTCTGCATGCCCGATTTGAAACATCACAATGAGCCAGAGGTTTATTGGGTGCACGCTGCCTTGTGACTCCTGTTTGAATCTCCCCCGGTTTCCTGTTACAGTCAAACCCACAATGGTGTTTTGTTTTCTCCCACAGAGTCCACAAGCAAGTCAACAACAAATCATAGCTTCGGGTTGGCTAGCAATTGTGGCTTGTTTGGGAGGACCAAACCAAAACTCCAGATTTGGTTATACAGTGGTACCTCTGGATACGAACGGGATCTGTTCCGGAGCCCCGTTCACATCCTGAAGCGAATGCAACCCGCGTCTGCATGTGCACGTGCCACGATTCGCCGCTTCTGTGCATGCGCGTGACGTCATTTTGAGCGTCTGCGCATGCGTGAGCGGCGAAACCCGGAAGTAACGTGTTCTGTTACTTCCAGGTCGCTGTGGAGCACAACCCAAAAACACTCAACCTGAAGCAACTTCAACCTGAGGTATGATTGTAATAGAAAGTTAAGCTTAACTGCCATTTCCTGGTTTGCTTCTCCTGCTCATGCCAAAAGTGGAGCAAACAGGAGTGACTGGGCAGCAGCTCATTGCTCGATCCCAATAAACTACCATAAGCCCGAGTTTCTGGCTTATTGTGACATTTGAATGTAGCCAGTGTTTAACAAGCCCCAATGTTTCCAAACCTCAGTGAAATCCCCTTTTCGACATTTCTCTACAAAACGTTGAATCAGATAGCAACAAACCAAGCAGCAGAACATCCACACCTACATATTAGCAAGCAAATATGTACAGGCTGCTCTTGCACCATCTTTCAGTCAACTCACATCCGTGGAACCCCAACAGACATCTCCAAGTGCATATATAATGCACATCTGGTGGGACTATCAGAGGATTATGAGCTTTCGGAAAGAGGCTTTTTGTTGTCTCAGGCACAGTAAGTCACGTTCTCTCTTTCACTACATCTTTTGGGACTGATGAAAGAGAGAATAAAACCTACTCACTGCCAACTACTTGGGAATGTTAATTACAGCTAGAGCAACATTAAAATTGGAAAATAGTTCAGAATCATGTGGAATGCTGCATATATGAAAAAAAAATCTAGTTACATATGCATTTTCTTGAAGCAACTAGATTACCGGTAAACTTGAGTATCCTTTCATTAGGAATTAAAAAAATAGGCATGGGGGATCTAAATTATGCACAATTGCATGTTTAAACCTCATTCACATCAGTGGATAGAGTGAGTTTGTGGTTTACTATCTCCCATTAAAATCACTGAGTGTCAGACTACGACCTGGGAGACCAGGGTTCAAATCCCCACTCAGTCATGAATCTCAGTGGGCCAGTCACTGCCTCTCAGCCTAACCTATCTCGCAGCATTGTGGTGGGGATTAACTGAGGAGGTGGAATACAACCTTGAGGAAAAGGTGGTATGTAAATGAAACAAACAAATATATAATATCAAACATGTTCTCTTTGTTCTTTTCTTCTGAGACAGAACTCTCATTTCTGTCCCTGTTTGCATTTTTAAAAAAATAGATAAAGAAAGACTCCAAAAATGTTGGGGGAGGATCTTGTTTAAGTTTAAACATCAGAACTTGTTGCTTGGCAGTTAAACCTTCCTCATAAAGTCAGACGATTCAAACAGATCATAGAATAATTGACTAGTAGAGTTGGAAGGGTCCACCAGGGTCATCTAGTCCAACCCCCTGCAATGCAGAAATTGTTCGCCCAATGTAGGGCTTGAACCCATGACCCTGAGATCAAGAGTCTCATGCTCTACCAACTGAGCTATCCCAGCTGAATCATATTGGAAACTGGGCAAGAACTGAGAATTTGGTGTCCACTGCTGATTACCTTGAAATCCCAAGTCACAACAGTGCCCTCTTTCTTTAACATCCAATACACCTTGCCCCTCCCTAGAGGTCAAGGGTTTTCATCACCACCACCCAGTGCTTCACTAAGCTCACAAAGATTGTTTGGAAGAGGCAGCTAGTGCAAATGTCACCTCCATCTACATTGGCTGCCCATTTGCTTCCACAGGTGAATCAAGGTGCCAGTCAGAACAATAAGCAAGCCTTAAACAGCAAGGCTGTACGCCAGTTCCCATATATACAGCCTTGCTTTGGATCCTGTTTCTCATGGGAAATGATATCTCTAGGTCTCTGGAGCAAGGGTTTTTTGAGCAGGGACACTGCACCTTTGGAGTTATTTCCCTGGGAAAGCCTACTATGCCACTTACAACCATAGAATTGCAGAGTTGGAAGGGACCTTGGGGATCACCTACTCCAGCCCCCTGCAATGCAGGAAAATGCAGCTCTCCCGTATGGGGATCAAACCTGCAACCTTGGCATCATCAGCACCATACTCTAACCAACTGAGCTATCCAGGCTTCATGTTACAGTGCACATTTCCTAGTAACCACGCTTCTGTTCAACCCAGCATTTGAAACCCTGATGGTTGGCATGAACAGGTGGCAGATTTTATACCTGATGGCTCAAACCTATTTTAGCACTGCTAGTCATGCAGACTTGGTTTTGCATTTTTGTTGTCTTTGTATTGATTTTAATAGAGTTTTCATGTAAGCCAACTTGCTTGAGATCACTGAGGTGGCTGCTTCTGCCTGCCTCTTGGGCAGGCCAGCACTGCTGAAGTGCATACAAATCTTTTCAGAGCTACCTTTCACTAACCCTAAACCTTCTGAAGCATTTCCAATTACTCCAATAACCCCTGTGCCCAAACCTCTCACAAACTTCTCATTTGCACTCTCGCTGAGCAGACTGAAAGATAGGCAGCTGCCCAAGGGACTGAACCAGGCATTTACATGCTGAAATCCAGAATTCCCAGTTATCATCCTAAGGTATCCTCAATTTCCTCTACTACCAAACTGCAGGACAGTGTCAGGAAATGGTGCAAATGTTTATTTGGAAGGAGCTGGGGGAAATGAGGCGGGGAAGGGGGGCAGAGAGAGAAGGGCATTAATTCAAGTACCAGCCTAACAAAAGGAATAGAGCCCTAGAAAAAGTTTAGTCCTTTGAACATGTGAGAATGCCAGGAATTCCACTGTCTGGACTGGTTTTCTCTGTCAGTCCTAAATGTCAAAACGAGGCCAGAGTACAAAAAGGAACTTGGGGTGATACAATGGATCGTGTTTATTTGGACTTCTGCCTTGGGCACACTGGGCAGCTTTGAATGATTTAGCGTCTCCATTCTGTTTGTAAGGTAGGAATATGATGGAGGGCTTGCTATGAATACACCGTAACAGTTAATTTGTTTATTGCATTTTATTTTATTGAATTTGTAGCCCATCCTTCCGACCCAAAGGGACACACGACAGCACATTGTACAGCATTAGTGCCTTCAGGATAAAAATTCCTATGGGTTCCCACCCCCAACCCCCCACATCACAGAGTGGCCCCTGCATCAAACCAGTACTAGGTGACCAGGTCAGGGATGGATTCAATAAATTGCAGAGCAAATGAATTTGTGATCAGCAAGCTGAAACAAAAACACCACCACCATCACAGTTTCATTCCAGATCCTACTTCGCAAACTTGACCCTAAGAACCCTTCCTTGAGATATCCTTCATATGGAGCAAGATCTGTTTCAGCTTTTTAGCAGTTCTCTGCAGATGTTGAAGGTGCTTCAGGTCACTGTATTTACAAAGTGTAGAGATTAAGAACAGAACGTACACTGCAAGATACGCTGATAGGTATATATGGTATTTCCACTTATAAAATCCCCTCCCTCTCTTCCTCCACCCTGCTTGTATACTTGCTCTGTTGCTCATCTTCTAATCACCTATAATCCTCCCTGGGCCACAAAGTGGGGGAGAGCAAAGGAACTGCCAGAGAGAGAGGGGAGGGGTTTACCTTAATTAGAACCAGATGCAAGAACCTAGAGAAGATGACAAGGTCAGCCATTTTAATAGGCTGGTGCACACCAGCGAGGTGGGGTGGGTGGAGGTGGGGAAGCAGAGGCCTGAGAAAGCAGAGGGTGAATGGGGAAGAGCCGAATGGAGCAGAGTTACGGCTACACAGCATGTGAGCTTCCATAATGCAGGGTAATTTTGGGAGACAGGAAAATTCCGTTCTCCCCTCGATCACATTAAAATCCAGGAAGCACCACCCCACTGGGTTTAGGATGTATAACTTCAGGTATACAAAGCTACACTAAAAGCGAATGACAAATAAGGGAAAACACATGGGATTGTATTTAAGTGACATGACCCAAACTTATGTTTGCAGATGAGCATTACACCCTGAAATAAAATGTACCAATGCATCTATTCTGTCCCCCCTCCTTGCCATTTCCACCTTGGAAATCAACACAGACTTTGACTGTTTTGCAACCTGTGATGTGATTCGGGGGACTGGGGGGGGGGCGTGAACTCCAAACGAAATTTCCAACACCAACTCTGCATAAAAATAATAGTTGTTGTTATCATTTGTATGCCGCCCATCTGACTGGGTTGCCCAGCCACTCTGGGCAGCTTCCAGCAAAAAATAAAAACACAATAAAACATCAAACATTAAAAACTTCCCTTCCCTTCTGAGCTGCCCTCAGATGTCTTCTAAAAGTCAAATGATTGTTTGTCTGCTTGACATCTGATGGGAGGGCATTCCATAGGGCAGGTTCCTCTGCCTGGTTCTCTGTAACTTCACTTCTCTACCTTATGATTTTTATGGAGGGGAGGGAGGATTCTGCATTAGAAAAAGTCAGAAGGACATTGGAAAGAAAATAATCTGTGTATATCGTCCGTATGAAATTACCTTATGGTGCCAAAACCAGTTCCCACAGCTCCCCTTGTGGTAGGTTAAATGTTATATTACTTGTAAATACAGTTCTCTGGTGGGGAAACTGAGGCACGAGGCTGTTAAGGGACTTGGTCGAGATCACACAGGGAGACAGTGGTGAGGCACAGAAACCCTACATAATACCTCTCTTTAGAAACTGTCTGCCTTGGGTTGCTATGGGTAGCAGACTTTTAACAGCAAACACTCTCATTTATTATCCCTGCTATCGCAGAGAAGACTCTTCAGTGTACCACATATTATCCTAAAGCTATGATTTCCTACTGTCTCAGACTGTGACCTTTACTGCACCCAGGTGGATGTGCTACTTAGCATGCCTTATTTTAGCCACCGTAGGGACTTCTGGGCGCTATATCTATCCAAACCTAGAACCAGGGCAGATGTCCGTTCATATACAACTGTCCTTTGCAGGTGACTGCCAAAAGGTTTCAATGAATATACACAATGGGCTGCAAAATCAGTGTGCCTCATCGGCACATTCTCTGGAACGCGCCAGGCTCCTCTCCCCGCTTCTGCCTCCCTCCATGTTTATACTTCCCTGCCTATTGATTGGCTTGTTCTCCAGCCATGAGTTTGAAGAATCCACACAAGAGATTCCTAACCAAACACTGCCTTAAGGGGGGGAGGCTGCAGGAATGACTGAGGGGGAAACACGCTGCTATGCTCAATCACTTCCCCTTGGTCACCTACAGCCAGAGTTGCAATACTGGGTCATCGCAGGAATATTCATTGTGGGGACATTCACTCAGATGCAGAGTTGGCTGTTAAAACAGTGTGTATCTCCCTCCATGTACCTCTTCCGCCTCCCAGCCGAAGTAACACAATGGGGGCCATCTGTGCTTTGGAAACTGACTCCTCCTTATCTCGCAGCAATAGGCAAAAAGCAAGAGAGGAAGCTTTTGGCTTTGTACACACCATACATTTTAAAGCACATGATCTCCCCAAAGATTCCTGGGAAATATAGTTCACCCCTCACAGAGCTACAATTCCCCGGACCATTAGCAAACTACAGTTCCCAGGATTCTCTGAGGGGAGTCATATATGCTTTAAATGTATGGTGTGTGTGCAGACTTTGCAAAAGGTTCACTGTGCCTGCCTAAACCTCAACCCAGATATGCAGCTCAGCATTCCTCATTAATTAAGCTCTTTATTACCTGACGGTAAAACTAAGCAGCCACTCTCAGAAGGAGATGCAACTCTTGTGACCTGAGAGGGCACGGTAGTCACAAATGCACCCTTCCCACCCCCACAATGCTGATACCTCACAGACCACCCAGGGCAAAGTGGCTGCAGTCCGCTATTTCTTCAGAGCATGTACAAAATATTGAGATACAATGGAAAATGGGATAAGGACCATATTACTAAGCAAGGCATGCACACATATACACAAAACCCTCACCATAAAAACTAGAGCAGATAAGATCCTTGAAAAGCCCTTGGATCCAGCACCAATTTACTCCCTACCATGCTCTCAATAAACCATCCAAAATCATCAGCTCTAGATAGGTCACGTTATCACTTTGCTGCAATTGTCTTAAAGTATGAAGTATGCTTTCCTACAGAGTTTTGGGCAATTCAAGGATACATCCCTGCCACTTCAGCTACCTGACTTTTGTACCTTTCAGCTACCATTTGATCAATGCAATTTAATGACTATTGATAGGTATTTGGTTCCTTGTTAAAACGACACACCATTTCTGATTCCTCTCTTTGTTCATTTGGTTTCAATGGACAGGACTTTTGCTTTTATTTATTTTTTTGCTTCCGTTGGATCCCCTGATACTTCAAAGCATACCGTGAGGTCTCCTCTTTCCCCTCCTGCTCTTGCATGCCAGATCAATTATGGCCACAATTAGCACAGGGTTCCTTCTCCCAGGCGGTTTAGGAAAGCTTAGTAAGCCAGTGCTTGAGAACCCCAGCCTCCAGACACTGGTGTGTTAAGATGCAAGTCAGCTTAGTCTCACAGATACCAAGGAAGTTAGAGCCACATAAAGATACAGTTGAAAACTAATCTAGAAATTACTTTCCAGATCTCTGAGGATTGCTAAAGCAAAGAGTTTTGAACTCTAACCCACCACTGAAGACACACACACATATACACACTGTTCACCACAGCACTGTCACAGATTCCACCTTCTGATCTTAGGAAAGCAATCATTTTGCTTTGCAATTCTGGGCCAACTTCATGCAAGACACATCATGGGAACAACCAGAACCCAGGGCAAAGAGACAAGCGGAATTCCTCATGGCTCGTTAGGCACTTATTACAAGTTAAAGCTCCTGATATCCAATACAACCCAAGAACCTAGAAGAAAAGAATTTATTCTCATTTGTCATTTTTCAACAGAGGGCTAAAGTTAAAGCTCCAAAGGAGTTCTTCCCTAATGATACCGTGTATGCCTATGATGGTCAAAGAGCTCAAAATACTTCACAGGTCAAAATGAATCACTTATAAACCCCCTTGTGTATGATCACCATTAGGGCACCTTTTCACATTACATTTTCAGATGTATGCCTAAGACGTTTTAAAGTGCAACTAAATACAGGTTTGCAAGTACATTTGTCTTAACAAACATGCTTATTGGAGGACAGTAACTGACTGCAGCTCCTAATTAAGTGGACATCCAGTAGCTGGCAAGCCCCTGTAAAGCATAAAACGGACCTTTATAGTATCTTTTTCCTAATGTGCCAACGACCCCATTGGCTGCTTTCTAAAATCTGATACAAGCCTGACTTCGTTCAGCTAATGAAAATATTGCACAGTAACATGACTTTCCAGAATACAGCAAAAAGGGAAAGTGATCGCTTAGCAGACAGACTCCAAAGGTGATAAGGGGTTGGAAGAGACAGTAGATGAACTCAAATAGCTTGAAGGCCTTCCATATTAGGTTATTCTGGTACAATTCTGAGGACTGCAGCCATAGCTCTTAAAATTTTCTCTACATAGGATTCACTCCCACCCCCTGGTTTGTAAGTAAAACATCAGCTTCTTGCATCTGTTGACCTCTGGGACAACTAATTCTACTACGATTTTTGAAATAAGAGTGATTCTGATTCTTCACCTCTGTCCTGATCTCTCCACTTTCCCAATCTTGGGATAACAAGATAGCGAATTAAAAAAAGCATGGGGTGAATATAAATGCATGCAGGTTTCAAACTGTCCATTTTAGCCATGCAAAATCCCATCCACTACATGTTATAGGCATATGTATGAGGATAAATGGTTATATACTGATACCTTTCTCCTTTCCCCTCCTCCCCATTCAGGATTATCTCCCCCCCGCCCCAATATTTTCTGAACACCTTCTCTAGGTGTTCATATCAAGACCCATTATCATCATCACCTCCTTCTTCCTCTTTCTGGCCTCCCTCTTGGCCCCTGGCTCTTTCCAGCCTCTCCACCCTTCCCCTGGCCTCTCCTCTGCCCATGCCAGCTGTGAACATTGGCTTGGATTGAGCCATTGTCTTCTGGACATTGGGACAGAGGAGGAGGGGAAGGTGTGAGCAACAACACAGTAGAGCATTTGTATGCTCCCCAGTGCTCCCCCCCTCTGCCCCGGCAGTCAATGGCCTACTTGTCAATTCATGCGCTAAGATGAAGGAAATCACAGCACATACAAACATCAGCATTTGGTGACTGTGAAGGTGCCTGCCTGGAGACACACATTGGGCCATTTATAATCCGATTCCATTTTCATAGTCTTCACTGTTAACAACACAACATCCCACATTCTGTCTCAGGATAAGAGATGGAGAAAGGTTGCAAGGAAAACACAATCATTCCTGGAAAAAGACTGGCTCTCTCACTATCAGACCCTGTCAGCTCACATCATGCACCTGGGACAACTGCTGGGAAATCCATAATATTATTCCTTCATCTGAGTCTCAGCACGCAAGTCCCAAACATACAGAGACAGCCCCAGCCTCACCCTGGGTCAAACTTACTCACAGGCAATAAATCCCTAATCTCAAACAGGTCTGCGGAACAGATAACCAAGCAGCTTTCAAAGCTTCTCTCTTCTATTAATATGAAATGTCTTGGGAGAAATATACATTTTCATATGCCCACCTTTGTGAAACAGTTAATTACAACAGATGGAATTCAACGGTGTGCCATTACAAACATTATGTCTGCACAAGCTTTTCGGCTTGCCAGACAAAATGATTCCTCTCTCCCCACCCTGAGTCAACTTTGAGGGGTCTGGGAGAGGAGATGGGGGGGTGACCCATTGCACAAGTGGAAGTCCTTATGCATGTCTACCTCTGACGTGTTTTGTTAGGTGAATCCCGCTCAATATGTTCAATTAGCAAATCCATGCACATACATGACAAACTCCAAAACACCACTATTGGATGCATGCATTGCCTTTTGCACCATGGAGAACAGAAATGGAAATGGCAGAGGATGTAAGAACACTCAGGCTTAGTCCTCTCAGCCCAGGAGAGAATGTAGGAGTTAAGAGCGCCAGGCTAAGCCTGGAGACCCAGGTTCATGTTGCCATGGCCAATCACACGCTTAGCCAACTTAACTCACAGGGTTGTTGTGACGATAAAAGGGGTGGATGGGGGAAGGCTAGCACATATATTACTTTGAGCTTTTTGGAGTAAAAGTGGAAAAGTGCAGGTAGCTTAAACCAGCAATCTCGCATCTCACAGCTGGTTTCCTAACTGACTGAGCCACTGCAGGTCTTCACCAGCACAGGGCTTTGCTCACCCTCCCCAAGACTGGCAACCTACTTGAGGAAAGGAGCTTCCAGGTCAGGATGAAGCCTTTGCCCCAGCAACTGTGTCTGGCTTTGTCTTCAGCCTGATTATGTTTGCTACCATCCCAGCCAGCCGGCCTGCTGCCTTATGCTGCTCTCTGTTCCTTGATGACAAGTTACCTTCCCATGGCATTGGCTCCACTCTACTAAGGCTCCACAGGAGCCATCTTCCTTGCTGCCTAGTTTTCTGTTGACTATGCTTTCATCTAGTGTGGCAGGCTCTCCTCCCCTATGTCACCGGAACCTTTTAACCTGCAGGCCTTGTTTGCTCAAAGGAACTCTGATCCTGGCAAGGACCTACTGGGGTCTTTCTTATCCCTTGGTGCAGCCACATGCAGTTATCAGAATTCACATCCATCTGCACACATCACTGTATCACTCTTCAAGAAGTTCTACTGGGTTTGCCTTCCTCTCGCTAAACAGGTTCATGCCAAGACAGACTTTTTTCTGCCAAAACCAGATGTTTTCAGTTATGCTGCAATTCAGTCGCTCACTAAATCATCTCTCAATTTATCATTGGGGTGGCTGTGGATTGCCAGTCTGACTAAGAGTTAAAACAGACGAGCAGAAGCTCCGAGTGCTGAGCTGTACCATTTCAAATGACAGGTGAAGAATGGAATGCTCCTCACATTTTATTTTTTTACAAAAATCTCAATTAAGATAGAAAAGCTAGCATGCTGGGGAAAGGCCCTTTCTACTGAACATGCTCCTTTTGCTCATGTACATAATATTTTATTCGGTAGGGATTGGGGCACTCAAACATCCTCACCAGCTGTCAGAAATGCTATAGCCAGGCACAGCAATAGACCCCAAAAGGCTTCTGTTCACCCACTTTGGCTCTTCACCTCCACTTGAAACCAATTTCACTTAAAGCCTCTAAAACTTTTGTTTGTGAGACAGCCATCAGACGAGTGCACCCTGCTAATGCTCTCTGGGGCTGCCAAACCATCTTTATCTATTGACAATAGATCCGAGTGTCAATTAAGACCCAGCAAAAGGAAACACGTAGCACTAAACGTTTCTGAAATAGCTTGGGGAAGAAAAGACTGATGAAGCAACCAGTGCAGCTGTTAACAAATGGGAGAAGAAGGGAAATTACACAAGAAGAATGAGTCATTAGATAACACATTTTAATTAATTCAACGGCTCTCTCCATGGGCAGTACATGACCCCTGACTGTAGCACATTGTCTAGAATCTTATCCAATTTAGCTTCAGAAATGACACTATTGACCGGATGGCTTTAAAGAGATATGGATTCCAGTCCTGCTTCTCTGGCTTGCATAGGCTGTAGTTTTCCACCATGCTTGCTGAAATGTAAATAAGAACATAAGAAGAGCCTGCTGGATCAGGCCAATGGCCCATCTAGTCCAGCATCCTGCTCTCATAGTGGCCAACCAGATGTCTATGGGAAACCTGCTTGCAAGACCGGAGCACAATATTTCCATGAACTGGTACTCAAAAGGCAATAAAGAAGTTCTAGATACTCATGGTACCTATACCAGGGTGACATCCAATGACACCCACTTGCAATATGTAAATCACTCCTCTTCAGCTGCCTGCATTTTCCCCTGTCCCCTTTCTGCTCCATACAGTCTCCCAACCCTCTAGGGCAGAGTTTGGAGGTCCATGGACACGGCCTGGGGAGAAGGAGAAGCCTTGCTGCATGAATGATGCCCACCTGTACTATGTTGGATCTCACCCTTATCCACCAATTTATGTTATGGCTTCTCCCAAAGAATCCAATTCCCAGCTGCAATTCCCAGTGTGGTTTAACAACCAATCCCAGGGGAACTCTGGAAATTGTAGCTTTGTAAGGGGAATAGGAAGTTCCTAGCAACTCTCAGAACCCTTAACTAGTTAGTTTCCAGGATTCTCCTGGATAAGCCATGGCCGCTAAGGTGGAACAATAGTGCTCTAAATGTCCCGCACAGAAGTCCCCAAAGCTCCACCCCTTCCAATTCAGTCCTCCTCTGTAGTCAAATAATCTTAGAATTGTAGAATTAGAAAGGACCCTGAGGATCATCTAGTCCAACCCCGTGCAATGCAGGAATATGCGACCATCCCATACAGCGGTCAAACCTGCAATCTTGGCGTTATCAGCACCATGCTCTAACCAGTTGAACCACTTATAGATATGCGAGATGTTTCAATGGTCACATGAGATTACAATGTTCTACTTGCTGCAACATGGAGCAGGAGTATAAATGATATGACAGTTAAAGAGCAGGCAATTTTTATTATGCTGTGTTTACTGCCACATAGTCCAAACCCATATTTAATTACATTCCTACCACTAACTCTCCGTTCCTCATTGTCCATCTGTTCTAGATCCTCTTTCGTCACTGATTCCGTCACTGATTTATGAAATAAAACATTAAAGACTATGCATAAAAACAGATAAAAACAGGTATTTTAATACATTCAAAACTAATTAAAGCCAAGAATAGCTAAAAAGAGTTAAAACACATGTCTGGATAGGTCTGCCTAAATGAAAAAAAAAATGTTTTAAGCAGGTACGGAAAAGAATACAGTGAAGTTGCGGGCCTGATCTCAATAGGTGGGGAGTTCCAAAGTGAAAGATGGACTGAAAGATTGATTACAAGAGCAGAACAAGTATTATGTGGCAACTGCAACAGCAGCTGTTCTGCAGATCGAAGCAGTCAACAACTTTGGTCAGTTCTTTGGTTGGCCCTCACGCATGTCCACTTCATCAAATCTGGCCCTCTTTGAAAAAAGTTTGGACACCCTGGGTAAGGCAACCCTGCAAGTAAACTAGCCCTGTGTTCTTAAGGGCTTTGTATACTTAAAAGTAGTAGCCTGAACTTGGTCCAGCAACAGTACACCTCTCTATGCAGAGGTGTTCTATGCAGATGGGAGGGGAGGGGGATTCAACTAAGAAGTTGCTGCATGCTGCATGCACGGAACGAGGTCTCCTCAAGCAGTGGGGTTGAATGGCCATCTTTCATGGTTGCTTTTGTTAAGATTCCTGCATTGCAGGGGCTTGAACTAGATGGCCCTTAGGGTCCCTTCCACCTCTACAATTCTACGATTCTATGACCTCCCCTTCTCTTTCCCTGTATGCCCCCTGAACACCCCTCAATGTTCTCTGGAGGGTTGGCAGAATCTCCCAGAACAGGTTTAGGAGGTGCCCAGGGGGCACACAGGGGGGGGCAGGTCTAGATACACAAGTGGCCCTCATTCCCCATACCCATTCTTCTTCTTCTTCTTCTTCTTCTTCTTCTTCTTCTTCTTCTCTGAATTTATATGCCACCCTATACCTGGAGGTCTCACCACTTATTGCTACACTGAATTCCACCCAGGGTTTCACTCCTGTCAGCAACCATCCTGTAGCATTCTGCACTAACGGCGGCTTCTGGCTCAAGCACAAGGGAATCCCCCACCCCCCGCATTGCATTAATCTAATATTGAAGTCACAAATGCCTGAACTACTGCTGTCAAGCTCTCCCAAGCCCAAGAAAGGCCTTCGCTGTTTGCACCAGTTGCAGCTGCTAAAACAGGGGTAGGCAACCTAAGGCCCGGGGGCCGGATGTGGCCCAATCACCTTATCAATCCGGCCCGCGGACCGTCCGGGAATTAGCATGTTTTTACATGAGTAGAATGTGTGCTTTTATTTAAAATGCATCTCTGGGTTATTTGTGCATAGGAATTTGTTCATTCACCCCCCCCCCCCCAAAAAAAGATAGTCCGGCCCTCCACAAGGTCTGAGGGACGGTGGACCGGCCCATGGCTGAAAAAGGTTGCTGACCTCTGTGCTAAAATGTGCTTCTAGCCAATGTGACGACCTGGGCCTCCAATGACACAGCTGGATCCAGCAGCATCCCCAAACTGCTCCCTTGAGGGGAAGGAAAACCTTGCCCAGGGAAGGCAATTGACCAATTCACCCAGTGCCTCTGTGTTCCCAGGATTCAAGCTCAGTTTATGATGTCCTTATCAGTGTTTATAGAGAGCTTTGGGAGGCCTGAAAGCATAAGCAAGCAAACTACCTAGTAGGATGTAGACTGAAAGGATAGCTAAACTGGCAGCTGCCCAGGGAATGCCACACTCACACCCCTTGCAGTCATTGTTAACAATTCAGAACTAAACGTGCTTCTTCCTGTGCCTCAAACAACCTCTCCTCCCAGAGTCCTCTGGGACTGTGTGGTCATGGCTGCTTCCCCCCACCTCCAACCCCAAAATAATTTGCTGTTTTTATCAGTGGAAGGGTTCAAAATATATTCTAGAACGGCATGGATGCAGGATTGTGCAAGGTAAATAACAAGTCCATCCCCCCCCCACTCTTAAGAAATGGCATGTATACTAGCAACGATTTTTGCATGACTGTAGAGTAATTAATTAATTAGCAGGCTTTTGAAGCTATTTTTGAAGCATGGAGAGGGAGGGGAGGGGGAAGAGGCGGTCTAATAATGGAAGATTAACTAGATGTCAGTGAATGAGGGACATTCCAGGATGGTCCTTACAACTAGGGCTGGGGCACCAGACAAAATTTAGTGCCTCTTTAATTGTGTACTAATCTTCATACCTAACAGTGGAGTCCTAATTAGGAACACAGCTAGAGATGGAGGCAGAGTACTGTGCCACCAACTCACAGCAGGTACAATCCTGTCCACCTTTAACACAGCACCTGAATATATATGGAACCGGTGGGTTCAAACGGAGCCCTATTTTCACCATGTGCAGTATGTGGGGGCAGGGAATGTGCTATAAGGGTTAGTGGAAAGTCTATGTGAGTTTTCCATATCCCCATCCAACTTTTCATCTTATCTCATGAAGCTCATGCCCTGAAACATAAATAACTCAAACTAAGCAGAGGGGAAGGCTAGATGGGGTAATGGGAGGTACACACACACACACACACACACACACACACACACACTGCTTACATGGTCTGTTGAGACTATGGAATCATCTCCATGCATATTCTGCATTCATAGTGGTTTGCATAGTGACCAGTATGTTTAGGTACATATTGCAATGTGAAGGCCTGGGACAGCAGAAATGGAAAAATGGGGGGACTGCCCCCCTCCCATTTTTTTCAGTTTTCTGAAAGAAGAAAAAGCACAGAAACATTTGGGGAAACCTAGTTATTTCCATTCTGCCCCCCAGGCTTCCACGTCCTGAGGTACATATCAAAGCCTATGCCAATATACCCATAATGAAGTCTCAGGGTAATAGGGGAGGGGGTGCATGTTGCAAGTATAAGGCATATTCTTCTGAGTTGTAGACAACTGGTCTCTCTCTAGGTCCAGCATTTGAATTTTAAAAATAATAGATGGGTGTGCAAAATCACTAGCAAGAAACCCCTGCCCCACTTTTGGACCCTTCTGTGACACAAACATCTTTGTCCAGTACCAACCTTAGTGTGCTGCCCTGAGCTTTGCTTCTTCCATTTAGTCCACATAACAAGGGAAATCACAATTAGACACCACTATGTCACTCCTGGGAAATAGCTTTTGTTCCGTGTTCAATGCATTCTGGCTGATATGATCCAAAATGAGAAGAGCTTGATAAGTGTCCCCCCCCCCAAAAAAACACCCCAGAATGATCATTCAGACAGTAGGCTTCCAGCAAGAAGTTCCAATTATTTAAACTGCCTGAGGGCAAATGTGTCAATATTTATACACCAAGAGCAACAAGGAAACGAGAGGTGGTTTCGAGTGTCATTTTTTTGCTCTCCTGTTCCGTTTTTGCAAAACGAATTTGGGAAGCTCTTAAATGACAACTCTGCTGTCCATGGTACTGGAATTGTCACTAGTTTCCACGGGTCACATTCTATAGGCTTTACTCTGGCTTCCACTGCTTTGAGTACTACTTTTAAATCAGTATCTAAATCCGGGGGGGGGGGGCAAGCCTTAGCCACTTGCCTGGAGGAGGAGTTCTGGCAGTGCTGCAATACCCTTTCTAGCAAGCAAACAGCACCAAGGTGGGCAGAAAGGGAAGGTGGGACAGAACAGATGGAAAGCAGACTGATTAGTGGGCAGAAGAGTGGATCTGAAAAACGTTTTTGCAAGGCTGACGCAGGTAAGAGGTCAACTGCTACTGTATCATTTATCAGTAACACTACATCACATCTATTTTGTGTCAGGAGCTGTACAGAGAAGAAAGAGTCCCTGCTCATGAGGAGAAGGCAAGGAGAGAACAGGGGCATGGGTGTTCAACCTAGGTGCCTCATTGGAAAAGGTCTGCATTTCCTGACTGCCCACACTGCACAGCTGCTTGCTCCGTGGTTCCTTGGTTTAATCAGGCAAACCACCCTAAGGTATGATGGAGTTTCACACTGTGGATTTGACTTTGGACATATTTGCCAAAAAATGGGTTAGGCAACAACACTGGGTTAGAATTTTGTCTTTGACAGCAATATACTTAAAGAGTAATACAAATTTTAGAAAGGTGTCCGTTTAAATTGTTGCACTATAACCAGGACGTGGCCCATTTGACTTCATTTTAAGGCATCCTGGATTTTATGTGCACGTAAAACACATTTGTAAGTGTGCTTCCTCTAGAGCAGCCTCAGTTGAATGGGGAACCCTATGTGCAAATGGGTACTTTGAACATGGTTTCTCCTTTCCCAAGTTCAGCACATGAACAGCCACTTTCAGATAAATCAGTGATCAAACTGATCATTCGTTGGGAGAGGCAACAAGGACCTGAGTCTAGTCCCTATTGCTCTCTCTTCCCAAATAGTTATTGGGGCAATTGAGGGTCATCTGACAGGGCTGCATATGCACAGGCCCAGCTGCACAGATGGATCAAAGTTATAAAATCTCCTTCAATGTCACAATTTTTTGTTCATAATGAATGCAATGCCAACCACGAATAGCAAAAATTTTAGCTCCAATTTTCAAGTTTTAATACAAGGAAAATTCAGGATATTTCCAAGAAAAAAAATAGAAATTTGTTTCCACTAAGGGACTGTCAGATTTACACCATTAATTCTCATAGTTCTACTTTCCACCATACTTTATGGGGGGTTTTTTGCAAACATGATTGTCAGACCTTTTAACGGATACTGCTGCATATCAAGAGTTTGGTGAAAAAACGAGTAGGTTTCATATATCCAGGTTTATTAATTTGAACTACTTTTGCTTAAAATACATACAGTAATTGCTTTTTCATCTCAAAGAATCCTAAAATGAACTTCATCTGCTCTATCCTTAGTTTTGTTTTCTGCCTACATATTATTTTTCATGCATATTGATTTCTCTAATCAGTTTTTTTCTGTTCTTTTTTATTCTTAAGAAAGGAGCTTATATTAAGAAAAATACCCCTTAAATATGCCTCATAAATCCCTTATAGTTGTATATTTCACTTCAGGAACAGTTTATTCTTTGAAGAAACATCTTGCGTTTACGAAACAAGGAAAGAAATTAATTTCTTAGAAGGTGGAAATATGTATCCTGCAGATAGTAAGGAAGAGTTTTACATCCGGGCCATATTTCCTTATTTGAAATAATAGCTACCTGATATTAGCAGTCTGCTTTATTAAGTGTTGAACATTTCAGCTTATTCATAAATGTCTCATCAACACAGACAAATAAGCTATATGAAAATAAATAATCGTTGAATTAGTTATGCATTAATTTTGTTATGGGATTTGATATTTGAAAGGCAACACTCCCCTTCTGTTCACATGTGCCTCATGAATACGCAGACAGAGTAAATAGGTCTGCCATATCTTGTGGCACTGAATTCCATAAGTTAACTGCATTTTGTGTGAATGGATATTCATGTCTGTCCTGCATCTGGAAGGAAAAAGCAAAAGCACCCTCTACCCTACTGGGCATGAGTTGAGTAGTCAGTTGGTTAAATTGTACCATGTTCTGGGTATTTTAATGTTAGAAGCTACTGTGCAAAACATCAGTATGCCTTTCCTGCCCTGTGCTCTTCATGGGTATCACCCTGTTCATTCACGTGATATCATCAAACCCTTTCCCCAAGGGGGAAAGCAATGAAAAATGCAATCATTAGGCTTTATTTTGACTAGTATTGAAGAATATTCAGCCTAGCAGATTCTGATTGCTGTGGCTAAACCACCTCAGGAGAACAAGGAAATGAAATCTAACATCACTTAGTGCTTGCGTTTTATAGTTACAGACTCACAGACTCCACAGCTGAAGTTTTCTCTCCTGCCATTTTAAGTCATGGCAATGTATCAGGCAAAGTTCAATGAGATAAGCAGCCAACGCGAGGCATCATGTTACAACTCCTCTTAAGAGCCGGTATCCTGTCCATCAGAGATGCAGGCCTCTGCATTCTCCAGAACGCGCTGCAGAAGTTGTTCCAAGTAAGACAGGGCTCCACAGCATGACACACAATTGTTTGTAATTTGGCAGAATCCATTACCATGAGGGTGCAGGTGACCCACACATTTATCTTTAAGCAGTTTACCAGTGAGTTGCTCAGTCAAAGCTGACTCACAAGCATTTACACACGTAAACCTGGGAATCGGTATACTTGCCACTATTTGTTTCATTTGTAGAGTCCAAAGGCGAGAAGCGTCCCAGCTAACACACAATACAAAACCACGTGAAGACCGAAATCCCACATTAACAACTCTGAATTCAGGTACTGCAGGTGCTCTGTGTGGGTTAATCTTGTCTGCCTTACACGCATCGCCTTTGTTGTCCTTTCCCAGTTCTGCCTTGCTACATTCCAACTAGCAGAGGAGGTCAACGGGGATGGGGTGGGGTAGGGGGAGAGTCCCTCCAACCAAGCATGGGCAGCTGGCTTTCTTGGAATGATGTGGTGTGTCCTGGATTTGATTCACAGGTCCATACCTCAGTGGAACACTGTGCATTCAAAAGGTCCCTGGTTCAATTTCTGGCATCTCCAGGTAAGGCTGAGAAAGAATCTCTGGAGAGTGACTCAGTTTAATGTGAGCTACACAGACAAATGGCCTGAGTCAGTACTGGGCAGCTTCCTATGACTAAGTAAGTGGGACAGTCATAAAGTTAACAGAAGTCTTCCAAACCCAAGATGCATATGCCTGAGCAGTGGTAAGATGCCATGCAGAGGGGGTTCCCAGGTGTGCAGCAAAAGGAACATACCTGCCCCAATCCAAGGAAGAAGGAGGGACTAGCGACAACAGGAAGGTCAGAGCAAAGGTATCATTGAACTCAGAAGAGGGGCGAAATGAGGAAGGCATGTAGATTTAGATGGTAGCCTGCCCTAGTCACACAATCGTGCTGTATGTAGTGGGGAGCAGGAAGTGTAAGGTCAACCTAATCAAGGTGACTAGGACTACCTCTCCTCAAGCAAACTGGAATTTCAGTGCATAAAGCAAAAGGTGGTAAACTCAGTGAAAAGAGGATTTCCTCCTTAGCACCTGCTGTTCTCTTGTCACCTTCACCCCTTTATCTAGCTCGGTGATCTTATCACACTACACCATCCCCAACATTTTATCTTTTAGCAGAGGAATGGGGGAATGGAAGTTAATTCAGAACCATCTGAGAAAACAGAAGGCAGATTTGGCCGGGGAGCAAGGAGGATCATACTATGGGAAATTATAATCAGTAACATTCATTAGTTAATTCAGAATCAGGGGGCAAGGAGGATGACGCTATGCGGAATTATAATCAATAATTTATTAGTGTGGCATTAGGGTCCTGTTTGTGTCTCAGAAGAGCCACTCCTTTTCTGCCCTGTTCTCTGGCACCAAACACACCAAGTTAATAATTCCTCAGCTTCATTAAGCTCACTGGGGCTCTTATCAGAAAGAGCACAAAGTCCAAGGGCAAAGACTCAGCCAATCAACATCACCTTTGTAGGGAAGCAGTGAATACCCAGAATACTCCACCAACTGCACAGGCTCACAGGTGCCCTCACGGGATGCACACCCAGGAAGAATTTCCAATGGCGTTCATAATTATTAAAAAGGGAGGGAAGGCTACCAAGAAGATAATGCTTGTGTGTTTGGAGTTGCAATCAATAACTAGTGGCGGCATAGATCCAGCACACAACAAGAGATACATTGGGCAGTTACACACAATGGAGTCTTAGCTTAGGGGGAATTATCTCAGCATTATAATCCCTACATCGCTATCCTAGATATATCATCTTCAGTTGGGGTTATGGAGATGCTTATCAGGGCATCTGCAGTGATAAGACTGCAACGACACAAGAAACAACCTTGTCCATTATTACCATGTGCCTCCTATAGTGTGCAACAGCAAGGGAGCATTGAGCGTGTTTCTGGGGCACATTACAGCTTTCCAGTGCAATATATGTTCAGAAAAATAGACTCTTGCATTGCCTCCTCACATGAAGGTGGCTGTTTTATTTTTCTATACAGTGGTACCTCAGGTTAAGAACTTAATTCGTTCTGGAGGTCCGTTCTTGACCTGAAACTGTTCTTAACCTGAGATACCACTTTAGCTAATGGGGCCTCCCACTGCCACCGCCGCACGATTTCTGTTCTCATCCTGAAGCAAAGTTCTTAACCCAAGGTACTATTTCTGGGTTAGCAGAGTCTGTAACCTGAAGCGTATGTAACCGAAGTGTATGTAACCTGAGGTACCACTGTACAGTGATGTTCACCCATGTGTTGATCTATCTAAAAGCATGTTGGCAAGAACACTACATTCCGTTTAAAAGCTCCTGAATACTCACTTCCCTTATTGGTGCAAAAAGAGAACATCGTTCTCTTTTTCCCAGCATCAGTTGAGGGGCTGGACCAGATGACCTTTAAGGTACCTTCCAACTCTATGATTCTATGTTCAGAGAAAAAGTGCAAGAGTAGGAGCTCATCTTTAAAGAACAATACAGGCTCAGAATATACCCAGTATGTATACTCCATATATATCCAGGCTCGTATACCCACAATTTTGCATATATGCATAATTTTGTAATGAACAAAATATCAACTTTTGAGTTACATTTCTGTTTCTGAAGCTGTTTACTTGCCACCATGGCAGCAAAGATAAGCTTGAAAACATGCAGGAAATCCCTGGTGAAATCTCAAAGATCAGTAGGACTCCAAGCAGTAAAGCGGGTAGGTTTCATTGTATGGCTTGCAGAAGCATAATATATTACGCAAAATGAGCATGTATGCAAAACTGCTTAATTTGCACTATTCAAATAAGCTGCTGAAATCCAGCTTTCCTTAGCCTTAGTGAATACAACACTGAGCTAGATGAACCAGCGAGTTATACATGGAGCTGCTTCTGAAGACTCTTCGTAAACTTCAGCTGCTGCAGAATTCAGCTGCCATGTTGCTCACAGGGGCAAGATAGTTTGAGCATATATTGCCTATCCTGGCCCAAGTGCACTGACTGCTAATTAGTTTCCGTGCTGGTTTTGATCTACAAAACCTTAAACGCCTCAGGACCGCAATACGCCAGGGCCCACCTCTCCCCTGTATGAACTGACTTGGACCCTGCAATCATCATCTGAGGCCCTTCTTCATGTGCCTCCCCCTTAAGAGGTCCGGATGGTGGCAACACAAGAACAGGCCTTTTCTCTAGTGGCTCCCCATTTGTGGAATGCCCTCCCCCAGTTAGGATCACCTGGTGCCATCATTATATATCTTTGGTGCCAGGCAAAAACCTTCCTCTGTAACCAGACCTCTGTCCTTTATCTATCTGTGGCCTTTTAGAAAGTGAGTGGGATGTTTTTACAATATTTCTCTTTCCTCTGGGTTTTAATGTATCTATGTGGGGTTTATTGTCTGTTTAGCTGGTTATAAGTTGCTTTGGGGTGCCCTGGGCAAGATAAAGCGACTGACAAATTTAGTAAATTACCAATTAAATAAATAAAACCACTGGTCTGGCTCAGTATAAAGAAATTTCCAATGCATGGTGACTTATGTATTATTTTTTTAAGCAGAGCTCATAGATCCTTACTTTATATTCCATACTCATGTGAGTATTACCAGAGCAGGTTACTTCACAGAGTCTCATTGCTTGCTGTAGATAATGATACTGCTCTGTCTATAGAAGGGCAAGCAGCGACCTTTGAAAAATCCCAGCATAACTTCACAGAGCAACATTTCTGAGAACAAATCAGAAGTAAGGCACGTACTTTGGAAGAATCTACAGGAGTATATAAACTTGTTGACTTTACACACACACACACACACACACACACTAAGAATACAGCCCCAAATCCCTCAGTCCTCACAGGGTTTGTAATCCAACCAAGGGTCTGTTGAATCAAGTCATTTGTTATCATACAGTTCTACGGTGATCTCAACAAAATCTCTGGGGTTTTTGAGTTTTCAAGACTTAGAGGGCACTCCAAATGGATTGTTTAGCCAGTCCATCTTAGGCACACACTCCCACTTGGCTTGACTGATGGGCAAACAAGTCACCAGCTCAGGCCAGAGGCAATGGGAGCCCACATGAAGACGATATGAACTGAATGCACACTTGGCACCACTTACAGAAATAAAAACCTGCACTGAAATGGTCCATTTAACAGAGCACGATTACTTAAAAAACCCCCACTAATGAACAAACTTATCACCTTAAGCAGATGATTACAGCTCTTGCTACCCCCAAAAAAATCATGGGTTGGATTCAGGCTTCAAAACTAACAGCTTTTATTTAATTATTTTAGAATTCTAGCAAGTAATTCATCTGAAGACTGAAAGGTGGATGACATTACTTCCTCAGCTTATCTGTGCTTACAAGAGCTCTGTGAAGCAAACTAAAATTGTTTCCATTTTACAGATGAGGCACTGAGACTACAAGACAAAATACAACATGGCCGTTTAAAAATGCAAGTGCCCAGTGTGGGGCTCAAACCCACAACCCTGAGAGTTGTTCTCCATGCAATTCCAGAAATTTTCACCAAGAATTACTAGAAGAGGAGGGCAGGGAGAGAAGGGCAGTTGCCATGAACGGCATGGTTAAATTTCACCAGAAATTATCTCCAAGCTAAAGGCTGTAAAATGTCAAAGCCAGCATTCTGAATTGGCTTAGAAACAGAATGGAAAGGTGGATTATACATATAACGAAACAAACTGCTGGTACTTGCAAGTCATCTTCCCTCTAAGTTTTTATCAATCTTTGCTTAAAATCTAGGGGTGTGTTCTGCACCCCTACATGTGATGCAACACTGAGGCTCAGCAGACCTGGACAGCATCCCACCTGAATTCCGTGTGTGACCTGGAACTCTCCCCAGAATCTTTGGCAACATGTGGGAGTTACTTGGCAGACAAACTGATGCAGAAAGGGTTCCCTTTACATATAAAGAGAGAATAATGGCTTTATGTTCTATAATTATTAAAGCCACATCAGTCCCAGCCATCACCGCACATTGCTTAGATAAAAGGTCCTTTCCCCTCACACCGTCTCCCAACCTCTGGGTTGCTAAGTTCCATAAAGTACCGTATATCCTAATGGACTGCATTTCACTTTCCCCTAAGCCAGAGGCTCCTTTAGGCATTTCTTCCAAAACTACTACAGTCCGGTGAGATTGCAGCATCCTTCATCACACTCATCCTGAGTTGACATGTAGATCCTCCATGAAAGAATGTCCATTGCTTTTCTTCACCAACCCTGCCCAGTTCTCACACAAAAGCTGCCACAACTTTCACTACATCCCAGTGATCCACTTCAGCTGGTGTCCTGAGAAAGACAGAAAGGGGGAAGGAAGGAGGGAAGGAGGGAAGGACAAATGGGTCTACATTGCTACATGCATTTACCTGTTCTGATCCAACGCATCCTGAGCGTGGCAGCACTCAAGGTGTCACACTTCAACCGCGTCTCTGATACCCCCACTGTAACATCACGCTATGATGCTTTGCTTGTCTGATCTGCATCCCACCGCTGCTGCCTGCAGGGTTTTCTATTCCTTTTCTGAGAGGCGGGGAAGGGGGGGGTGAGGAGGCAGCTGTCAAGCATGGAGGCTGCCACCTCTCCGCAGCATCTCACTCCGATTAGGCACACACTGGGATTTGGGTTTGTGAGGGGATTAGCGAGAGGGGCCAGTCATGTGTTTGTACTGTACCAGCTTCCCCGGGACCCTTCTGTCACAGACTTCCTCCACTAAGCAAAGTACTTTGGAGAAAGCCTCTTAATTTCCTGACACAGCACCAGCCAGTCCTGGAAACAGGAGGCCATCCTCAGCCTCGCCACAGGTAAAGGCAGAGGCCTAAAACCCAAATGAGATTCTGCAGCATTGCATGCTTTCTTGGGGGTACGCCAATGAAGTTAAGCAGAATCCTATGCAACACTCACTGCCTCTCCTCCCTTCCAGATATCCAAGGCACTTCTGCTGTGGTCAGTGATGGGTTTTGGATCCATTTAGAGGCTCACTTCTCCGTACCAAGGGAAGAGCACGACACCAGGAAGCCCAGTCAGTATCCTGCCTTGGCTTGCAGTCTCAGGACCACACCAAGAAAACCTCATGTGTGGTGAACAAGTCACAAGCCCAAGAAAAAACAATGTCTAAATTCCAGGGGTCAAAAGGAGGAGGGATTTGCCGTCATCAGTGCACTACAGAATGAAGTTGTTAAACTCTCTGTTCCTAAAGGAAACATTCCTCCTGGGTAAGTGAAGAATTAACTAGTCTTGATAAAGACTGGGGGAGGAACCAGGCCAAAAAGAAACCTGCCATATACTAAACAAGAATTGGCTGCTCTGTGCCATCTTTGAGCAGCATGTCCTGCCAAGGTTTTCACATGCTTGCGGATATGATAGGCCGTACATTTGATTCATCAAAGTGATGCTGCCAAGGAGAGAAGGGTAGATTCACAACAGCCCACCCTCAAAACACAATTAGTGGTGATCATGGGGTATGTGTGGTGTGATCTCTTAACATCCTGGTTTCAGGCGGGGATAACTTAGTCCTTTGCTGCTAACAAAGGGTACTTCAGAGTTGTCAGGATCACGCTGGCTTTATGACTCCAAGTCAGCTGTGGTCACGGGCAATGACAACAGTGCACCATGTGGGCAAACAGGCTTCCAGCACTGGAGCTTTCTGTAGTATCTGTTCCAACATCACATTTGATCTGGATGGAAGAATGAGATTCAGGAAGCATTTGTCTTGCTCTGTGGGAAGTTGGGCTGGCCCCTGTGGTTTCTGTGATGCAGCAGAAGACCAGTGGCTCTTTAAAACAGGGATGGCTTGTTCAAGGGCTGCAGGTCAAGGGCCAAGCCTTCAGGGACTGCATGTGAACAGGGAGCATCAAGAAAAGTTGGTGTGGCTACCCTACAGCCAAACAGCCCCCCTCCTCAGCTGATCCAAGCAGATTAGGGGATGGGGGATTATCACTCGCTCTCTGCTCAAATGATCAGGCCAATGACCAGGGACAGGGCTATTTGCATTCCATCATGGTGCAGGGCTTTTCCCATCCCAACTTATTTTCTCTTTCTGTTGCCACTGCCAAAACAGGTTGGGTCTTGTGGGAGCAAAATAGTTTGTTTGTGAAACCAGGTCAGGTCCCCAACATGGGAGCCAGCTCCCTCTGCTTTAAAAGCACACACTTCCAAATCTATTGACCTCACTGCGATGTATGCAAACAGGTTTAGGACTGCAGTTCTGAGTTTAGGACTCAGAGCAGTGTAGAAGTTAAGATCGCCAGACACAATCCCTACAGTAAAAAGATCACAATATAACTATCCTTAAAATACCCAAATGACTCTGCAAATAAACTCACACAATGCCTTAAAACATTCACCAATACAAACACTCTCCTTCACACACCGATAACACACTTCTGTTGTAACATACGCCCTTCTCAGACACTTCCAGGCCCCACAGAGAAGAAACTAGCAATGTCAACAGCAAAGTTACAGGAAACTACCTGAGCAGGAATGACGGTGTGCATGAACGCAGGTGCTTTAGCGACTTTTACACTTGGCAAATGGCTTTGAAGTGCCAAGATTCTTGACTGATATAAAGTACTATTTTTCCCATGCCATTGATTGAAGGAAATGGGTTTCATTTCCACCAGCTGAACAGAGACATGACTCCTTTGTATTTAGCCAGTACATTTGACTCCTGGCTGCAACAGCGCTGCAGAAACCCTTTAGTTTTACAAACTTTGGAATTTCTCATTCTACCTCGTCTCCAGCGCCCCTCTCTCCCTACCCTATTAAAGCTTTCAGAGAGTTGCCAAGCTACTCATCCAACTCCATCCCCCCATACACCCGTTTGTTCTTCTTTTTAAGCTACTCTGCACATCTTTCCTGATACACATTCTTTAACAACCTCTTATCTCATAAATTAGCCAAGAGAGTGAGAGGGATCCCGAATAGCTAAGCTCTGCTGTAACTGTTTCCTTTACGTGAGTGTTAGGCGGAGAGGAAGGTAGGGTTTTCAGAGAATGCCAGCCAAGGGTCAGGCAGTGCTTCTCTCTCTCTCTCTCTCTCTCTCTCTCTCTCTCCCCCCGCCACCCCCAAATACTCTCCACCTTCTCTTTGATATAAAATACAAACGCTCTATGTAAACACTCCCTGAACAGCACGGACAGACCGAAATTAAGTGCTTTACCTTCCTTGTGAAAAAGCCTCAAACCCACCACTTTTAACCTCTGCACACATTCCTTCTCTTGTGACTCCCCCCACCGACCTCATCTAAACTTAGGCAATATGCCAGTAAATACTCCCCAAAGTTTAGCTAATCCGAAACCAGAATACTGAGTTAAGATGCTATGGCCAACACTGTTTTCAGTCTCCCTCTCAATGCAATTTCACCGTTCAGAACAAAACAGATACTAGATCTCAGAAATATCTTGATCTATACTCTCTATCTAGAAAACAGAAGAATGTAGGGAAGCCATTCCATGTATGTCGGTGTGACATCAATACATTTAACTCTACTCCTCTGGTAATTTGTTCACTTCCATTTTGCCCCAACACTGAAATTACTCTCATCTTCATCTTTTTCTTGCCTCTTGCTATTTGTACTTGGAACAGCAAGCCCTTATTCTCTGGCAATGAGTGAACAAGACAATGAAGGATTCTGTGCTGGGCCACGTTGTGTATCAACACTATCTAGAGAAGGGATGCAGGGCTTGTGGCCCTCCAAATATTGCTTGACTTCAACTCTCATCAGCCTCAGCCCAGCATGATGGGAGCTGGAATCCAATAACAGGTTACTCATCCCTGATCTGGGGTATTGGTGTTGTGTCATGCACCTGACCCTCCACCACTATTTTCTTTAGGGTCCCTACATGCAAAGACAGGCTGCAGCGGATTGAGAGGATGAAACCAATAGAAGGTCCAATGGTCAAGAAGACAGTTTCTGCATGTGCTGTAGAGGGAAGTGAAGGGCAGATGGGGCTCATCAACCTGGGAAGGTAGGCCATCTAGGAGAAGGAAAACTCTGATCCTAAATCTACACTGCCTTGCAGGATATCTTCAGGAAAAGAAAAGGCTAAGGAGTAACTCCTACACAAATCCAGAGTGGAGTTCCTAAGGCAGTTGGATGGCGTCTTGTATGCTTCCTTTCTGCAACTCCTGCAGCCAAGCTGGCACCAAAAATATTGCTCTGCTTTCCTTTGGACTACATCAGAGAGGCGGGGGGGGGGGCAGGTCTTGTCGACTAGGCAGTCCAGGACCCCCATACACATACAAGGCTTGTGCCTTGGGGAGGTTACTTCAGTGCTGCTAACACAGCAGTTTGACTTCACCTTCAGGGGCACACTCCATTGTCTCTCGGAACAGGCGGGTGACGACAACAATTGCACTTTTAAATGCTGTTTAACAGAGGATATTTCAGCAGGTACATTTTTTATACCCCTGCATCACAGGCTCCATTTTCCAAAATTCCTTCTTGAAGGAATTCCAGTTAAAGATACAGGAACACCATCTTCCTCAGAATCGGATACCCCTGAGGAAGACCAGGAGGAGAAACAGACATTAACAGTTGGCTTCATGTTGCAGGATGGATTTAAAGGAGAGTCCTGGGCCGAAAAGACGGGAGATTATTGATCTAAAGAGATGAACATTCATAGAACTAGAGGTCACACCCTCAACCCCAGTCTAAAGGTAAAAAATATCTATCCCAATAGCAAGTTACCCAAGCAACCCACACAAGCAGGTAAGAATCAGAGCTTTTTCCAGCTGTAATTCAGAGATCTTTCCAAAGCCTTCTTCGGTGAGCTACTAGACACCTATATCCCTCTATCTCTCCTCCTTACACTCAATCCTTCTCTGCCCACAGGACCATCAGCCTTCAAAGATACATAAATTTCACCTGTGCTAATATACATATAGATATTGGAAAGAAACTTAATTCTGAAATGGCATAAAATGAATTGAACTGCTTACTGTAGGGTTAGATGTGGTGAAAATTCCATTTCTAGGGAGCCAATTAAATATCTTTAATTATTTCTGAGGTGGTTCTCTAAAACAATAAAAAGAATTTAGAAAAGACCATCACAAGCAAAAATACTAAAACACAGCCAGTTTGAAATAACTATTTCCTCGCCACACAGTATGTGGGTTGTACTGCTCTGCAACCAGAAGTAAAGGTAAAGGTAAAGGTAAAGGTAAAGGTACCCCTGACCATTAGATCCAGTTGCGGACGACTCTGGGGTTGCGTGCTCATCTCGCTCTATAGGCCAAGGGAGCCAGTGTTTGTCCGCAGACAGCTTCCGGGTCATGTGGCCAGCATGACTAAGACGCTTCTGGAGAACCAGAGCAGTGCACAGAAATGCCGTTTACCTTCCCGCCGAAGCCGTACCTATTTATCTACTTGCACTTTGATGTGCTTTCAAACTGCTAGGTGGGCAGGACCTGGGATCAAGCAATGGGAGCTCACCCTGTCGCGGGTATTCAAACTGCCGACCTTCCGATCGGCAAGCCCTAGGGCTCTGTGGTTTGGACCACAGCACCACCCGCATCCCTGCAACCAGAAGTAGTGATGCCCAAATCTATAACCCTACTCACAAAAGAACAGACCATTCATGAGTCCGTAATAGTCTTATTTTCTTATATACCACCTTCTTTCTATCATGAAGCCCAAGACAGTGCATATGTGGTCACCAGGCCAGTTATCCATCCAGACACTGACCAGACATAGACCTTCTTGGCTTCAGCCTCAGGTGCCTTCAGACCACATCCTGATAATTAGAGAGGAAGCTCTCCGTTGTAATGCTAGAATCTCCAAAACCTTGACGCTTACAATAAATAAGAATTTTGAACACTGCCCCTGTCTAAACAAACAAACAAACAACCCCAATTCTCAGAAAGGCATCAGGAGGTGCTCCATCCAGCAGGGAGAGTAAATTCTCTCATGGGAGTGGACATTACTGATTTCAGAATGTGCCTTAAAACACTATTTGCAGCATAAAATCACACATCTTATATCTAATTGTCAGTATCTCACACTACGCACAGTTCATTTATGAAATTGTCACAGAATGTAGCAACAGCAACAAGCTTAGATTAATTTGGTACGTAGTTATGTTCATAGAGGATAAAACGACAGTGTTAAACTGATGTCTGGAATCAGTAACAGACTAGAAAAAGGACCAATAAACTGAAGCTCAATAAAGAGATGTTGTTGGTGAGCCTTCTTTCTACCTGTGCCAGTAGGTGATGGCTGACCAAAACTGGATAAGATTTTATTCCTCTCAGCCTTGAGGACCAGGTTCATAGTCAAAGTGCTATAGATTTGGTTCTACCCTTATAGAACCAAGGAGCCTTGATGGCATGAAGTTATAATTGGCATGCCAGCTATGCTCTCTCCTAGATAAAGATAGATTGGGCAAAGTTCTTCACATTCAGGTAACATCTCAGCTGGATTACCACAATGCACTGTACATGGGACTGCCCTTGCAGACTGTTCAAAAACTACACAGTTAATTGCTAACTGATACAAGTAGTATGGAACACATTTTTCCAGTTTTAAAACAAACACACTGACTCACTTCCCATTTTCAAACCCAAGTCCTGGTGCTGATCTTAATTTTTAACTCCCTTAACTACTCGGAAACAGACTACCCCAAGGACTGCCTACTAGCCAGGCAAGCTTATGTGGTAAGAAACTACTCCAAGCGTGAGGGAACATGAAGAGTTTAGACAAGCAGGGGCATATAAGACAGTATTTTCAATTAGAGAATCACAATTTTGAAACACCTCTCAAGGGAAGCTCACCTTGTGCTGAAACTAATACCTTTCTGAGTCTGGAATTACTTCTTTTTTTTCCTTGTACTTGCTGTGTTTCTAAGTGCTGTTTTTTACCTGCCTCGTCTCATTTTATGCTGTTTTATTTTTGATTAATGTATTAATGTTGTGTTTTATATTGTGTGTTAAAGAAGTGAAGGGATCTTCCAAATCAATGGCTATCAGCCACAGTGGTTAAATGGGGCCTCTATGTTCTGATGTGGTATATCACTTTGTAACAATTCCTAGAGGACAAACAACTGGGAAGGCAACAGCCTTCACAGGATGCATGTAGGTTTTTCCTGGACATTTCTGATTGGCTGCTGTTGGACAGGGTTTGTTGAATTAGATGTGCCATTGGTCTAATCCAGCAGGTCTCTAATGTCCTTAAGGCCAGGGGTAGTCAACACGGTGCTCTCAGGATGTTGCTGGACTCCAGCAGCCTCAGATGGAGGGGCCTATGGCCAGCGGGGACAGGGTTTGCAGACCACAACATCTGGAGGTCGCCTCATTGGCTACCTCTGTTTTCAAAATATATTTTTGATTTAAAAAATAAATAAATAAATTTTGTATAAATGGATGTTATACACACACAAAAAAGCTACCTTCCAAGCAATTCACAATCTCGGAGGGGAGCCTTACTTGAAAGAACGCAAAGGCCTCCATTTGCTGCTGGTGTTTAAAAGCTGAACTCCACAGAAGTTGAATAGCTGGGGTGGGCAGAGAGGGTTCGGCTCACCTGCATTGTCAGTATGCAGTCTCATGGAGGAGGAGGAGGAGGAGGAGGAGGAGGAGGAGGAAGACAGAGCTCTCTCTGGGCTGAACTTATTTAAATTATTGAGAAAACAGTCATATAAACTTACCTTTGTTTGCCTTGCTTGCTAATGTAAAGATGATCAACCTCCATGTTTGTTTAAGTGATCTGTCCCATCCCCCCACTCCCAAGTCTCAGCACTTTGTACCAGTAACTCAATTCCAGATTTCAAGCACAGGGTGGGAATTGTGCTATTAGGCATGTACCCACTTAATATTCATTGAAATGGTCAGATCTCCTGTGAGTATCCAAGAAGCCTGATTTAGTAGGAAAAGGGGGGGCATTGCCTCCAGACATTTCTGACTACAAGTCCCATTGTCCCTGACCATGGACCACGCTGACTGGCACTGATGGAGTTGTGAGTCCAACCCCACCCCACCCTAGATAGTTAAGCCCAGTCAAAGACAACTATGGGGTTGCAGCACTTATCTCGCTTTCAGGCCAAGGGACCCGGCATTTGTCAACATCTGAAGGACACCATATTAGCTTCCCCTGCCATAAAATCTTCCAGCTTGAGTGTTTACCTCTACCCACATTGAGGAAGTGCATGAGAGAGTGAAAGCGAGTGTGTGAAACCCCCAAGGCTGCTTACAATCTTTCTGTGATGGGCAACGGGAAGATGTAAGCCCGAAGAGCTGATTATGAGCATGCTTGCTATACCTGTTAAATCTTTCTTAACTATCTCGACTTGGCTAACTTTAGTAGGAGAGGTGGGGGAATTAACTGCTGGGCTGACATAGACTGACCATTTTTTTGTCTGACCTCACGGGGCTATTCTTAAATCAAATCAATATAAGCTCCCCATCTTTTAGAGATATTTTAAAGTTGCATTTTAGGCATCAAATATATATCATTAACGGCACTTTGTCTTGCAGATCAACTCAAAATGGATTCAAAAATCATACCAAAAAAGCTTTTTGTGAATGTTGTTCATGTGAGGTCAAATGCAAGAGAAGCCATTTCTAAATCAAGTGTACATTCTAGCCAATGTAATCTTTATATTCGCAATACAGATAAGGGAAAAGCAAAACCCAATTCAAACATCATTTGTGAGCAAACTCACAAGCTACAAGGAGTATACATTTGTCTGAATGCATGTTATAGATACCATCTCTCAGGGATTCTGAACTAACTCAAGATATCAAGATTTTGGAAAATCAACCACCTGAGAAGATTAGAGCAAGACAGGCAGGCATAGAAGGCAAACAATCCATATCAGGAGCTCCCTACCTAGACTACATAATGTTCCTTTTTTGGTAAGCATTTCCTTCACATCTTCACCTATCGTATAGCTACAGACTCTGTTCAAATCAAATGTAAATACAATGCATAGGAAATAAAGAAATAAAAAAACCACCCTCCAAACCTTTATGAAATTTACACACTCAAAAAGGGAAATTACACAACTTGCAGGGACTAAAAAGTGCCCTACTTGTCAAAAGCTCAATCATCAGCAAGACTGGAGGAGAAATATAGTAGAGTAGCTTTTGTCAAATTTCATTTCCCTAGAAAGTAGAATCAGGAAGATGTAACTGACAGTCACAGTCTCTGAAAACAAGTGGATAAAAGGAACTAATCAAAACATGAAATCTCCAATCCTATACCCAGTCACCTGGGAGTAAGTCCTATGGAACTCAATGAGACTTACTTCAGAGTAGGCAGGTAGAGGATTGCACTGTAAGACAGTTCGGCTGAGGCAAGGCTGCCAAAATTTGAGTCTGAATGTTCAGAAACATTTGCATTTCATGCAAAAAGCTTCACCTGATAAAGTTCCCCATAAAATACTACTTTAAGGATTTCCACACAACCCACCCCGTTTTCTTTGTTGGGCAAGCAATATCTGCCAAATGTCTCCCTGGCACAAAGCTGTAGCCCAGGGGTAGGCAACCGAAGGCCCAATTGCCTTCTCAATCCGGCCTGCGGACGGTCCAGGAATCAGCGTGTTTTTACATGAGTAGAATGTGTCCTTTTATTTAAAATGAATCTCTGGGTTATTTGTGGTGCCTAGGAATTCATTCCCCCCCCCCAAAAAAAATATAGTCCAGCCCACCACATGGTCTGAGGGACAGTGGACCGGCCCACGGCTGAAAAAGGTTGCTGACCCCTGTTGTAGCCCCTTTCAAAATTAGGCACTATTACTGCTAGGCTGAATAGGCACAAAAACAAGAGTCAGGAAGAGCCGATACTATGAAGTGTGCCTAAGCATTAGACAAACTAAAAACACAGTTACATACTGCCAATCTAGCTAAATGGACATAAAAACAGTCCCTTTTAATAAATTCCAGAGGGTTAGCCTTGTTAGTCTGTTGCATGTCAGTCTGTCATTTAATAAAGATCAATTCGACAACTCTTCACTACTCACATGTTAAAGCATTTCAGGCAAAAGGAGGCTTCATGGTGGGAAACAGAAGATGGAAGAGGATACAGACTACGTTCATTTTTAATTACTGGTATTAAGCCATCTTCACTGATGGGGTTTTGTTTCAGCCTCAAGTCCTTCCAAACCACACAAGCTTAAGGATGGGACTCAAAATAAGAATTGTTGCAAAAATTGTTCATAAATGTGAAATTTCTTTTTCATTTGAGGCTGAATCTTTGTTATATAATTGTATTTATATACTGCACGAAACTGCAAGGGTCGAGAGAAAGTCACAGAACACTTTATCTTAAGCAATGTTTACAAGAGACCTATACAGCAAGCCAGTATTATCATCCCTATGTGAAGACGGGAGGCTGTGGATGAGAGAATAAAAGGCATGGCTAAGGCCACCCAGTGAGTCTGTGGGCAAAATGGAGATTTGAACTAGGGGCTTTATTAGATTGCACTCTTAGCCACTAGGCTACGTCAGTTTACAATTACACACAGGTCATCTGGTGAAGGGCAGCTATGACTTAAGCACATGTTTAGGGTTTGGTTTGTGGACCCGTAAGGTCTGCTCTACATGCTTCCACAGACAGCTTTGTTACTGTACTCTACCACTTCTACATAAACCTGAATTCAGGTTAATCTGCCATATCACAGCATGTGAGGACGTTGGCAACATCATTAGTGTGCTTAACTCTCGGAAACAAGGAAGAGTGCAAAGTGATGTCAAATCCCAGGCTTGATCAATGTATTAAACTGACCCTTAAGTCCGTGGAAGATTATACTGCCATTCAGCCTGTCAACAACAGAAGTGTACTGGGCATGTCTTAATAATTAATTGTGTAGGATAATATCCCTATGTGCAATAGGTAAAGGTGCCGAATTTCAGCACATCTGGGGATGTGCAAAGGGAACATCATTAGTAAAAAATAAGGCAGTTTTGCCAGTTACTCTGGAACCACAAATAAAAAGGTGTATGGAAAGGTTATAGAGGAAGAAAAGCAAGAAAAATCACAGGATTGGGGAAACTATAGAAAAGAGAAGGATACAGGACTGAAAATAGGAAACACAGAACCCAAATGTAGAAATAAGGGAAATGATGTTGGGGATACACGAAGAGGAGAGAGAAAAACTGAGAAAGGATTCCCAAAGGCAACAGGCATTATGCTCACTTCTAAAAAACCAATGCTCAAGTTCAAGACTGTAACATTTTACTAAATGGTTAATGAAAGCCATGACTCTCCAGGCTGCTGTTGGCTTTTCAGAGCAGCAACAACAATAACACACTTTTCTCCTGTGGGGACTAATAGCAGCTTCAGGGAGGGAGGGTGGGTTGGGTGGGACTTATTTTGGGAAACCATAACATGGAAAGGGTCAAACATCCCATTTTCTAATCAGAGATCACAAATCCAATCAATTTAGAAGCTCCCAGGTCCATTATAAAAATGGGGGGAAACCCAGACGATCTAAACACATGACCCCCTCTCATGTAACATGCAGTTTGGCCCTCACATATCATATATATATATATATATATATATATATATATATATATATATGGAATACACCTTTCAAGTGGAGACAAATAAAAAGTGGAGACAAATATGTCTGATGCATGTACTCCCATGTACACAATGGAGAATAGGTTCATGCTGATATTTCACCTGTGGCAGTTGGCAGTGTGCTACAGGAAATGGCACCAGTGCCCTGCTTTGTACTGGTGGCTGACATTTATTTATTTTTATAAACTGCTCTTCTGCTAAGACTGGTACTCCAAACAGCTGCTAACAATTAAAATTCATGACAAAGACACAATACGGGATGTTAGGAATACATGGTGGGAGGGTGAATAATAAGGTACAGTATGACTCTGGGATTGCTTTTGCTACAAGAAACTAACATGGCTACGCCCTTGGGGAAAGGTAATGAAGGCAGAGCAATGAACAAGGCCTTGAACTAGAAGAAGTTGGGCATCTCATTGGCTTATGTCTGGAAGACCTCTTTGTCTGAGAGGCAGAGACTGAGGACAATTCACACAACTACTTATGACACATGTGCCTCTCTGGAATTTATCACACAATTTGGCAACGATCTCCCCCCCCCCCCTTTTGTTGTGAACTGCTTTTGTGAAAGCTTCAATATGTGTCCAATTCACATCTTCCTCAACCCATTTCTGTATGGCTCCCAGGACACCTGCACACCAGCAAACAGGAGCGTTTACAAGATCAGCTCTAAAAGGTTCTTGCAACGTGTGATATAGTTTCCTTCATGGAGTCTTCTTACTCCATCCATCTATCTTTTTATTACTGACAATGACCACCACAGGATTCTTACTCTCAGTTTTGAATAAGTCTGGAAAGTACCTTTCTGAGTGAGAGAGAAAAGTGAACTTTATACGTGTGTTTTGAGAAAGAGAAAATAACTTTAGGGCAACAACTCTTTGGCCTGGGGGCAGAATCGGTACCCGGATCCCTCATTCGGAGAGCCACGACGGGAAGCCCTCGGTCTTTGGAGGGAAGTTTGCGGCGTCACAACTTTTGAAACCCTTTTTAAAACAGATGCCCTTCGTCAAAACTTCCTGCAGTTCAGAGAAGTCCCCGCACCCTTTCGCTCACAAAACTTTGCCGCCCGACGCGCGTCGCGCTGACGGGGGCCGCCGGCGGGCACGCGGCGCCGTCGGGGCAGCTCTCGCGGCGGACCTCCGAATAAACAACGCCGCTCGAGGGGGAACGAGGAACAGCCCGGGCGTCGAGCTCGGCGTCCCGTCGCGCCGCGTGCGCCGCCTTGGCGCTCACCTACCTTCGAAGAAGCGCCGCAGAGCCTCCTTCTCGTCCACCACCTCCATAGCTGTGCCATGCACCAAGCGGCCGGGCTAGTCTGCGAGCCCGCAGGGGGGCATCCCCCCGGCCAGGGCGCCCCGAGCAGTGGAACGGAGCGCGCGCCCCGCAAGTGACCCTGCTGTCTGCCGCGCTGCTGTGGCCCCGCTTGACCCGCTTGCGCTGAGGTGAGTCTGCCCCTCTCTCTCGTTCCCTTTCCTCCCGCTCAGGAGCCGGCGCGCTTCCCCCGGGGAGACGCGCCCCCAGCAGCCTTCCCCGGCAGACGCCGCGCACCGGCCTCTCCACGCCGCTTGGCACTCAACTTCGGCGGGCCGCTGCTGCTCCTGTTACCGCTGCTGCGCTCTGGCTCTCTGCGGACGCCCCGGCCTCTCCCCTCACGCCCTCCGCCCCTTCTCGCCGCCGCCTCCGCCGCCTCCGCCTCCCGCTCCTCTCGCGGCCGCCTCCAGGGCTCCTGCAACTCGGCCGGCCGGAGCTGGCGTTGCCTGGGGCCAAGCTAGAGGGCGCGCCGAGCAGCGAGGGGCTCAGCAGGGTTACGGCGGGCATGGGGTTTCCTCCCCCCCCCCCTCCCGCCGAAGGTTTGTTTATTGGCTTCTTTATTCCTCGAAGGATTTATACTACGCCTTTCCAGTTCCAAAGTGGGAGCGCCTTAAAGCCTTGCCCCGCGGCGCCACCCCTCCCCCAAGGGTACGATTAGGTCCGGGGCGCCGCTCAGAGGAATAGGCAAAAGTGGCCCGGAAAGCGGCAGGTCTAGATTGCCACATTTTTGTGTAAGCAACACACGCGGATATCTGAGAGAGGGATCATTCAGTTCGGACATTTAAAGTGCATTCAATGCACATGACTTCCCCCAAAGAGTTCTGGGAACCGTAGTTTCCTTCGCACCCAGTGCCCTTAACAAACTACAGTTCCCAATAATGTTTTTTGGGGGGGGAGTCATATGCTCTTAATGTGTGTCAGGATGTGCTTTGAATATATGATGTAACTCTGAGTAAAAAATGTACGCATGTAACTATCATTTAATCCTGGGGAGGGAAACCTTTGCCGGTGCAAGGACTGCATTCGTTTCGGGGGGCATATGTATGTCAGTGGTGGGCAGGGAGGGCTAGAAGCAAGAGTGCATAGAGCAACTAATGTAAATTTTAACTTTGTACTGTAAGCGATAGTTTCCACACAATCTTGCACATCTTTTTCTATCCTCCATTCAAACAAGAGACATCATTGAAGGACACATTCCATCCAGGCAAAAACATTCAAAGAGGGTGTGAAGTAGGGCCAGGGCAGGCTGTGGCCTGGAGAGCATTCCAAGGGCCAGATAGGACCCGAGGGCCACATTTAGCCACCCTGCACTAGAGGTTCCTCTCTCCGATTGGTATCATAATGCTCTTTCTAAATGTGTTGTATTGTATTCTAACTACTCTTTTTAGCTAGTTTGTTTTTTTATTTTTTGCATTTTTTATTTCACATAAACAAACATATAATCCCCTTTGACCCCTCCCCCCATTGTGGATCTTAATATGATGGTTTTCCCCTCGGCATCTCTTTCATAACTCTATTCTTATAAATCCTTTGTCATTCCATAGTTCAAATTTTTGCTACAAGTTTTCTGTCGATCCTACCAATGTATGTAATTGTTTGCAGTAGTTTTTCAAATAAATTATAAACTTTCCTTCTTCTTTATTAAAGACCTTTCTGGTTTCTGATTCTTCCTATCAGTTTTGCCATCTCAGCATAGTTCATCAGTTTTATCTGTCACTCTTTTTTGTACTATCTTTCTACTTCAGGAAGCTAGTTTGTTTTTATTACTTTATATTTTGTAATGATGTTTTTAAAATGTTGTAAGCCTCCTTGGGAGAGAGGCAGGATATAAATTGAATCTTGCACAGCTGTCATAGTGAGGGAGACCTTTGTCCATGAACAGCATGGGGGGAGGAAGGTCTTATGGGGCATCCTGCCCACATTCACACATCCAGCATTCGTACCCGTATGGTTGATGGTATTGAAAGCTGCCTTGGAGAATTGACATGGCCACAACACACACACACACGGAGCAAACAAGCAACTGGCCCAATCAAACAGGGTGAGCAGAAGGCAGACAATAAAGAAGAGTTACAGTTTAGGGTCACTCACACTGGCATATCTGTATTTGCTACTCAGCTTGTAAAGAGAGCCACCACGAAACCCAGCCTCCCAGAGGATATGATTTAGCAAACCTGGGTTTGAAGCATTCATAAGTTACCTTTAGTTTTCACATACACTTGTAAAATAGTTTGTGGGGACCTTAGAAAGGTAATAGAATACAGTGGTACCTCGGGTTAAGTACTTAAGAACGGAGGTCCGTTCTTAACCTGAAACTGTTCTTAACCTGAAGCACCACTTTAGCTAATGGGGTCTCCTGCTGCTGCCGCGCCACCGGAGCACAATTTCTGTTCTCATCCTGAAGCAAAGTTCTTTTTTTTTTTATAATTGATATTTATTGAATTTTCAAAAAATAACAACAAAAATTTCCAAAAAAAAAAAAATTTAAGGATACAAAAAACAAAGATAGTACATAAACAAAAAAGAAAAGAAAACCCAGCCGCAAAGAAAAAAAAAAGAGAAACAGAAAAACAAAAATATAAAGTCCTTTACAATCTCTATTGACTTCCTTTCTAGACTTCCTCCTCCTCCCTCTTTTTGTTTCTTAATTTTTAATTTTTACAGCAAATCCTTTCTGTTTTTTCATAACACTCTGTCATTACGGTTCCTTATTCTATTTCCCTCTTGTCATATAAAAACTTTAAAACTCATAGCCTATATTCAATATTTACCAAATTCTTGCATCATTACCTTTTTACGAATCATTTACCAATCCTTACTTAAGCCATGTAATTTCATTCAACATCCTTCAAACATTTGTAAGCATTCCCAATATTAAAAATAAAAAGAAAAAATAATAAGTCAAATTCAGTCCAGTCAGCTTCCAACCTCCCTCCCCTGGACCCGGGATTGTCAGTCCTTTTAACCTCGATAATCCGGCTCCTTAACCTGGTTGTCTCGTATCCGAGGCCCTCAAGTCTCTTTCTTGCCCCTTTCGCCACTCTTGTTGATGATTCCTTTCCAGTCGTGGATGCTCCAGCAAGAAAATGCTTTTGACCCTTTGCAGCAAGTCCATCCCAAACCCATTGCCCAAGCCAGACAGCAAATAATACCACTTCAAATTTCCACAAAGCTTGGAGACTTCGGCTACTCCAATCCTCTGATAGCCCATCACCAGACTCGGAAGGTCCAAATAACCATATGGAGGGGGTCGATCCATCCCCCATTTCCAAATCTGACCACATTTCATCTTTCCGAATCTGGTTTGTCCTAAGTTCATTTATCAAGTTCAAAGGCTGATCTTGCCCGTCCAAAGGTCCCTCCATCTCTGAAGCCTCCGTCACTACAGCAGGTTCATATGCTTGTATAGCCTTTAACTGAATTTCATTTGTTTGCTGCTGTGCTCTGGTAACTTCCATCATCAAGGTCGTCTCCTGACGCATCTGGTCCAGCTGGGCACTTAGTTTTGAAAAACCTTCCAGGAACAATTGTTCAAGCCTTTGTACTAGCATTGTCCTTCAAGGTCAAAGAAAATTCTTTCCCACGAGAATAGTCCAATAGTCCTTCTCTTTAATCTCTCTGCGTTGTAATTTCACTAAATTCCACTAGATGGAATTTTTTTTTTTTTAAAGGAATAAAAGCAACAGCAACAATCTTTCTTTTTCCAGAAACACTTTATCCAAAATTCCCCTTCCAAATTCAAGAGGCAACAGTAGAATCAAAATGTTACCCTTCTTTTAACTAACTGTCGAGCTGGATAAACTTCAGAACGTCAATTCTGACAGCCCGCTCCTGGTTCAGGGCGGTGGAAAATTGCTTTATTTTAAACTCACTTCCGCAGGATTGAAAAGTCCAAATACAACCCCTTCTTCTCCTGCAGTCAAAGGGGGTCTCAGAAATCTTAGATGTTGAATTCTAGTTCTCTTAGAATTTAATTTTCAAGCTTTAGTATATTTTGTCTTTGCTTTCTTCACATAACAAAAGAACGGAAGGCGACTTCCTGTTTAGACCTTCCCATTCCGAGTCCCAATTAAGTTCAATTTCAAGTCCAATATTATTTGTTTATTCACCAGTCTTAAAAGTGGTTCAACTCTTCCAAGATCAGGTACTCACGGATAGATATTTTAGATGCCAAATTGTCCAGGAAAAAGGCAGCGCTCTCCGATAACGGCAGTGCGGCTTTGCTGCACGGAGGAAGCAGACGACTCACAGCACCACGCACCCCCACTCAGGAGCCCGGTAACGGGCTCCGGTCCAAGGGGAGAGAGCGCTCTCGGTGCCCGCCGAGTCCCACGTCCACAGGCTTCTTCCGCCTGTGGTTTTTGCGGGTCCCCGCTGCGCCGTAGCGGCAGGACCCAAGCCTCCGTGCAGCGGGTTCCCTTCAGTCCGAAGGGAATTCCGCCATTTTCCGGAGGCGCCACCCCGGAAGTCCTGAAGCAAAGTTCTTAACCTGAAGCACTATTTCTGGGTTAGCGGAGTCTGTAACCTGAAGCGTATGTAACCTGAAACGTATGTAACCTGAGGTACCACTGTACTTGGAAGTGACTGCCAAATACTAGAAAGAATTTACACTCCAGGCATAGGATTTCAAATAAAAGCTTCCTTAGATCTTGATAAATTTTATGTATTATTTTAGGAATTTAATGAACTTATTGGAGTAGTTGTCTTGCAGGCAGTGCACATTTACTCTCAGGTAAATGTACACATTATATTTACCTGAAAGTAAGACCTATGAAGGGCAATGGGACTGATTTCCTGGTACAGAGGGAGCCAAATTGGTGTTCTCCAGATGTTCCTGGACTACAGTTCCCATCACCCCTGAACTTTGGAGGGAGGCACTCTCCAACATCCAGAGAGCACCACTAAGTGAGTTTAGGATTGCAGCCTTTTAAGTCTCGTGCATTTCTGTGCCCTCTTACATGGAACGAAGTGAGATTTTCTCTAAGTAAACATACATGTGGCTGTATTCACTTCCACAGGTTACAGCCAATTATTTCTTCAGAAGTTACATTTAAAGGTTCTAATCAGTGAGATCTTGTGCTAATAAAAAAATAGCTAAAGATTAAAATGAATTTGAGCAACATTTTAGGCAGGTGCATGTGCATATTTTACTTTCCTCCAGCTCTGATAAGTAGAAACAATGGCATGTTACTCAACCAATGTCCAGCCTGGCTATTAATTGCTGCACTAGCATGAGATGTCAGTTTGGTACAGCAATTGCGGTACCTAATAATAGCTCAGAGCACTTTCTGTTACATAGATGCAAGTAAAGATCTGCCTCCCACAACCCCCTTCAGTTCCTCCTTCAAATCTTAATACATGGCTAGTGTCTGAAGGCTGATGACCTTCAGAATTTTAAGGACAGTTCGTATCGCCGGAAAACCCACACCACATTCCTCTTTCCCCACCCCTCTGATTCATTGCCCACTGAAGGTGAAAGGGATTTTTTTTCCACATCAGCACAACAATATAATCCGTCCCCTTATGGCAATAAATTATCTCTTACACTGGTGGTTGTCACTTTAAAGGATGGGAACATTTTCACCCTTGTTCATGTGATCATCTCACCACCAGAATTTTTTTTTGGGGGGGGGGAGGCGGAATGGAGAGCTCTTTTTCAGGACGAGGGGGTCAACTTACAGGATTCTTGTTTTGACTCACCTTCACATAGAATCACAGAGACCCTGGAAGAGACTAAATCATCCCTGACAGATGGCTATCCAACCTTTGCTTAAGAATCTCCAGTGAATGAGAGTCCACCACCTTGCAAGAGAGTTTGTTGCACTGTTAAATAGTTCTTACTGTCAGAAAGCTCTTCCTGATGTTTAGTAGGAATCTCTGTTCTTGTAACTTGAATCCATTGGTTCCGGTCCTACCCTCCAGAGCTTGCTCCATTTCCCGTGTGACAGCCCTTTAGATATTTGAAGATGGCTGTTGTATCTCCAGTTCTGGGCACCACAATTTAAGAAGGATATTGACAGGCTGGAACATGTGCAGAGGAGGGTGACCAAGAAGATCTGGAAACCAAGCCTTATGAGGAATGGTTGAAGGAGCTGGGTATGTTTAGGTTGGAGAAGAGAAGACTGACAGGTGACTCTTCACTTCTGTCTGTTACTGAACCAGCCATGGCATCTAAGCTGCAAGAAGATGTATACAGGCAAGCATCAGAACCCCGAGGTCCATCAAGCACAGCCAGGTGCAAAATAGTTTTTCAGGGTGTGGAGCCAACTATTGCAGCCCATGAGCCATACTTTGGAATGACCTGCAGATACAACTACAAACTAATTTTGAATGAGGCAGCCTTTTTGTTGTTGCCATTGTTGGACAATTTCAAGTCAGAACTCGATGACTATATGAATCTATAGATGTTTTAAAAGTTTGTAAAAGTTTACATTTCCTCTCTTTCAGATCTGACTGCTTTTCCTTCCCTATTTCTTGGATTTTTCAAGTTGTTGTAAGTTAATGACATAAACCAGTGACTTAACAAACAAGCAAAATGAAGACAAAAAATACTCTACAAACTCTGCTGAAGCTAAGAGCTTCCCTGTCTGTTTCCTCAGTTCAATGAAGCTTTGGGAGGAGCTGTTGCTTCAGCAACAAAGCAGCTCAGAATAGGAATTTATGTAGGAGTCTTCACCCCGTCTTGACTAACAGCCAGACCCTCATCTGGGCAGGTGTTTCTATGGGTTCTTCCCCTGACATCTAAGTAGTCTTATGTGCTACTAACTAGGCACTTTGGAGACAGCTCTGAAGCTTCTGCCTGACTTTCTGACTCCTCTGCTCTTGGATAAATTGGAGACAGGGAGAAACAGAGACATAGAGAGACAGTGCTGACCAGTAACCCAGGCAACTGCTGTAGGGACCTCTAGCTCTCAAGCAGGGATATTTGGAAACATTGGTTCTTTGTGGTCATTGGCAGCATGGTGATCTGCTGGAGGGTCTGCTCCACTTCTCTGACATTTAAGGTCTGGCCAGGGCTGAACACTGACACTCCACTATGTACATGCACATGTGCATGTCATATGCACACACATCTTTGAAAACATATCTTTGCTCTTCCAGTGCTTCTTGAATCTTCTCCCAGAGCCAGAAGCTGCAAGAGACACAGAAGCAGTCACAGCCTGCATGAAGAAGCCCTGACCTGTGAGAGGCAAAGAACTGGCTGCTCTGACAGTTGTTTCCACAGTTGTTTCCTCTGAGATCTGTTGTGACTCAGAGATTCAGAAGCAGAGTAGCAATGAAAATAACTAAGGCCTGGGTATAAACTTGTAAATACTGCCAACCATTCTTTGTAGCTCTTGTCTGCTTTATTATATATTCCGTATATTGTAAGCCACTTCAAGTAGGCAGGAAAGAAATACTCATGAAATGCATGTGCACACCACAAAACTCAACATGGAGAATGGGATTATCACCTTCTATGGTGCTGTGTTGATGAGATGATAATAATAATACTGTAATAAAAGTAATTTTATTATTTATACACCACCTATCTGACTGGGTTTCCACAGCCACTGTGGGTGGCTTACAGAATATATCTAAACATAACAAAACATCAAACATTATAAACTTCCCAATACAGGGCTGCCTTCAGACGTCTTCTAAAAGTTATGTAGTTCTTTATCTTTTTGACATCTGAAAGGAGGGTGTTCCAAGGGTAAGGTGGTTTGGAATCCAAGCCAAAATATGGTATAAGGGCCTTGCTGAAGTAGTTTTATTTTACAAATACAAATATTGAGATAGGAAGCAAAACAAGCTTACACTGACATGCATTGAACGCAGAGTAATACTATAAATGTCCACACTGTACTCAGTTCAATGGTGGCAAAGGGTTTACTTAGCCAATGGGGCACCCAAACTTTTATTGTTGTTGTTGTTGTTTAGTCGTTTAGTCATATCCGACTCTTCATGACCCCATGGACCAAAGCACGCCAGGCACTCCTTTTTTTTTTTTTTTTAAATGATATTTATTAAGGCACTCCTGTCTTCCACTGCCTCCCGCATTTTGGTCAAACTCATGCTGGTAGCTTCGAGAACACTGTTCAACCATCTCGTCCTCTGTTGTCCCCTTCTCCTTGTGCCCTCCATCTTTCCCAACATCAGGGTCTTTTCCAGGGAGTCTTCTCATGAGGTGGCCAAAGTATTGGAGCCTCAGCTTCACAATCTGTCCTTCCAGTGAGCACCCAGGGCTGATTTCCTTAAGAATGGAGAGGTTTTATCTTCTTGCAGTCCATGGGACTCTCAAGAGTCTCCTCCAACACCATAATTCAAAAGCATCAATTCTTTGGCGATCAGCCTTATTTATGGTCCAGCTCTCACTTCCATACATCACTACTGGGAAAACCATAGCTTTAACTATACGGACCTTTGTTTGCAAGGACCTTTATATCCAAGTCTAACCTGAAATCAAGTTTACATTGTTGGGAGAAATGACTCAAAGAAAGGACATTATCATGTGTATCATGCAACTGCCGTAGAGGAAATTCTAATTTTAATTTTCTAAATGCAAATAGCATGTGTGGAAATACAGGTAAAAGACAAAACAATGAAAACAAAAATGATTTCAAAATGACTTATTGTGTTCATTGCTGAATGTTCTACCTTCTGTTTCAGATAAGCCTTGCTGAATCTGGTGACTCACTTCTGCATAGATGTTATGCAAGTGTGCTTGCTATGGTAGAAAGTAAGTCCCAGTAAACTCCCTGCAAGTAACTTCCAAGTAAATAGGTTTAGAATCAATGCAATTAGCACTGGGTCCAAGTTTCTTCCAGAGACATCTCCCTAATGGGGCATCTTTGTCAGTCAAATCTATTCAGATATATATTTCCAAAAAAAGAAAGAGGAAAAAAATTGCTACAGACTTTAATTTTTAACTTGGGTTTGCAAAACCTCTAAACTTTCTCCCTTTTTTTCTTCTGAACAGGCTGGGAGAGGATTAATATTTCTGTTTTTCTCCAGATGCGCTCACAATCAATAATATAATGCCTCAAACACACACGCACATTACAGTATCTAAATGAAGTTACAGTTATCTGACCACAGTTAACCAAAGGCAGAGGCCCTGCCAGGCAAAGACTGTGGGCCCATTCTCTTCTGGGCAGATAAAGCACACAATGAGGTTTTGTCCAGCCCCACAAACCAATTCAGAATGGCAGATTCTCTTATATATATAAATATATTTTTCTCTCTTGCACAGCTGTGCAGTGACCAATTCTTCTCCAGGGAGGGGGTGAGAGAATGGGAGGGGGCTGAGGTTTGGGGAGAGTAATAGGACTATTCTTTCAGGATTGGAAAGCAAAAGCTCAGCAGCCTTTCCCAACCCCCCTCCCCGCCCCCGCCCAGCCACCCCAACTCTTTCTGTTAAGACAATTGTTATCCTTTACCCTTTCCCTTCCTCTTCCCTCCCCATGCCCTTCATAGAGACACATTTCAGGCAGCCGGGGAGGAATCAAAACATTTTTGTTGGTTTATTCCATTTACAAAACCGAATTCAGTACTAGCATATCCAAATGTTTCCCCAAATCAAGAAATGGGGGGATGTAACAGCTGGTTTCTGTTCTCTTTATGAATCCGTGAAACGAAGTCTTTAATTCCCTTGAATGTAGGGGAAACGACACTCGCACTGCAACCCAGGGCCATAAAAATGTGAGACTGTCATAGGGAGAAAAGAAAAAAGAAGCTCATCTGCATCCTATGGCTGTAGTTTCCCAAGGAATATTTAAGTAAGGAACTTTGCCAAAAAAAATTGAGTCCTTGCACCCAAACATCATGGCTGTACACATGTTTATTGATATTTTAAAAGTTTTCTAAACATTCTTAGAGCAAGACTTCCTTTTGCAGATACCATGCTCATCCCTGATCAGCAAGCCTTGTTCTTCTCTATATTTAGCATTCTAGCTTTAATTATTTCTGCTGGCACATTGACACAGCTAGAAGTTATTCAGCGACCCCAGATATTTTTCCTCCTTTCTCAAATCGTGTTTCATAAGGGGGCTCAGTTTACAAGTTGCAAGTTTTTTGGCTGCAGTGCTATGAATAGTTATTTATGAATGATCCCCTCTTATTATTGTTTTTAAATCATGCACTGTTAAGTCCAAAGTACATTTATATGTGCATAAGCCCCATTGAACTTAATGGGATGTTAGTCTTAGGATTGTACTGCATCCTGCCCCCATGACTTCTTAAGTCTTCCTTTAGTTCTGAAACTTCATTTTGTGTCACCTCTGATATAGTTCTTCAGATAAGATTCTTAAGAAAGGGAGCTTTCTTATGCATATTTATTGTACAAAGCTGTATAATGTGATAAGTGGAGTCACAGGGTTGTATCCAACAGTGCCGTTCCACTCATGCAATCATCTTCCGCCGGCGCAAAATAACTTTCCTCTCCCCCAACACCCTCAAAAAGAAAAGGGAAGCCAGCACAAGGACTCCCACTAGCGCACTGGGACTTCCTCCTCGCTCCTCCTGAAGATTCAACATAGTGCTAAGGAATGACCCTTCACTCTCCTTCCCCCATGTGCTGTTCTAGAGATTCTCCCAACCTTCCAGAGTGGATTGGGGAGAGGCATGGGCAGAGGGGTGGAAAACTATGTTGTGCTGGCTTCTGCTAACAGAACCAGGTACAGTGGTACCTTGGTTCTCAAACGTAATCAGTTCCGGAAGTTCCAAAACCAAGGCACACTTTCCCATAGAAAGTAATGCAAAATGGATTAATCCGTTCCAGACTTTTAAAAACAACCCCTAAAGCAGCAATTTAACATGAATTTTACTATCTAATGAGACCATTGATCCATAAAATGAAAGAATTAAACAATGTACTACAGTCACACAGTCAATCAGTCAGAAGATGAGCTGGTTTCCACACAGTCGCAAAAAAAGAGAGAGCAAAAATGCAAAATAAATAGCAAAAACAGACAGACCTCAGTGTAACACTCAAAACGGAAGTGCGGCACTCAAACCGGAGCATGTTCGGCTTCCGAAAAAAGTTCGCAAACCGGAACACTTACTTCTGGGTTTGCAGTGTTTGGTTCCAAGTTGTTTGAGTACCAAGGCGTTTGAGAACCAAGGTACCACTGTAGTTGAATCTGGCTCCATGTCTTTTATTGGCTTCTGAAATAATAGCCAAAATGAAAACAAACTACAGAGGGGGAAATCATGGAACTCTTTTGTGTTTATTTGAATCTAAATCAGACTATTAGTCTGGTAACCCAGAATTGTCTGTTCTTTTGACTGCTCTGGTTTTGCAGGATGTCAGGTGATGGTCTCCCCCAGCCTTGCTACCTGAAATGCTTTTTTTGTTTCTCTGTTATATGGCAGAGAGTGAGCTTGGGACCTTCTACATTAAGGGCCAAATAACATGTGACATTTTCAATGTGGTTGACCCTGGAGTGCAACATTAGTCTTCAGCCAAAGCTCCCAGAGCTGCTGTGCTCCGATGAAGAACAGCAGCTGTAGGGACCAACTCTGACCAGGATTATAATAGCATGGGGAACCAAGGGCAAAGCTCCCTCCGCCCCAGTGTGACGATCTCGATTCTGCTCAGGGCTCCCTGTGGCAACAACTTGTAAAAGAAAAATCTTGCACACCAGGGGTATCCACATGACACATTTTTTGCAGTTATCTGGATCTTGCATCTCAAGACAGAGGAGTTCCTTGAAGTTTTATACAGGGCTTTCCTCTGCTTGGACAATAAACCAGTAAACAGATGTAAAGAATAAGTCTCTCATTATAAAGCGTGAGTTATGGCTCTGATTAGAAACGGTCAATGATAACAACATTTTGGCTGCGAAAGAGACACTGGCCATAATCCAGCAGAGACAGGCGCCCTTATGCTCCACCAATTTCAGTTTTGTCTGATGTGTGACAGTAATATAACCACATAGCAGATGCAGGAGGAGTGTGGGCGTTGGGACACAGCAGAGCCTCTCTCCCACCCCCACCCCGGTTCTTTACTGAGTCTTGAGATGCCAGATATGTTTGCCACAATAAGCTGCTTCTGGGCTTCTTTGTATGAAGCAATGTTCATGCAGCATTCTCCTTATTATCAGATAATACGTATGAGGGAAGATGCCTTTTGTCATCATTTGATGCAGCAGGTAGCCTTAATACCCTAAAACCACTAAGTTGTTCACTCCTAGGTCATTGACATTTTATTGGGTTTATTGGCTGTCGTTGCAACAACATTTATGTAATTTGCAGCCAAGATTGCTCTCTTCCTGATGAATGGTGCCAACATTTATGGATGCGTGGGTGAGAGAGAACCACCTGCTGTTCTCCTGAGGCTGATTGACCCACCTGTATCATACGAGTCCCAGTAGTAACTACTGAGTAGCTGGTGAAATCTGCCTTGTGCCAAAGGCAGCACTTCTGTTTATAGAACTGGTGCCAAGGTTTACAGTGAAATGCAACAATATGCTTTTCTACCAGTAGGGCTGCTAAATATGCATATTTAAAGTTCAACTATTCTTCTCTGAACTTTGATGATATGAAATTAGGTACAATGGTCTAGCACATCCAATTATATCCATTCTTTGGGAGTCTTTCCTCCCCCCCCCCAAAGAAGGAGTGATCATTTGAGGATCTTAATTAAAGTCAGTGGGAAGTCAGCTTACCTTTAATGGTCAGGCAGCATTACAGCCCGGGGACACCAAACTAAGAAGGATTGCAGCCTGCCTGCAGATCGGCCAATTGCAGGCAGCAATTCCCCAGGGGGTGGGCCCAACTGGCTAACGGGCGTCACTTGGGCCCACTCCCGGGGGGATAAATTGAGGCCTGCCCAGGCCTCCTTCCCAGTTTGTCGCCACACACCTTGGTGCCCACTATGTCTTTGAAATTATGTGTTAGCATGAGGGACTGAGGAACAACTAGATTTTATATTTTAAGAAATAAAGGAGCAGCTGTTGTTGCTGCTTGGTCCCAGTCCTGCATTCTGCAACCTGCCTTGCATGTAGTGAGGGTCCTCCGGTTATATCTCTGCCATTTCTCCCTCAGCCCATCTTAAATACAGTTGAAAACTCCGGGCTTTAGGTAATACCATAATTCCCACATTCCCCACCCCTTTGTTGCTGCCCCTGTTTTGTTTTAATGTCAAGCCTAAGGAAGAGTTCCAGGAGCTCAGGAGCTGGCTCACAAATTGGAGACATTTTGATTGGCTTTTGAAAAAGATATTACCGTATTGATGCTTGTGGGATTTTTCCCTAATGGATCACTGTGGCTACCTACATTTTTTGTCTGCTTTCCACAGTAACAGGCAACTTTATATTAATTATCTACCTAAATTTTATCCCACATACCCTTCAGAAAGGACAGGGTGTCATCTCTATAGATCTCTTGTCACTATGTCCATTTTAACACCTATTTTCTGTAGGCTGTGATAGTAACTCAACCTGATATCAGCATCTGCATTGTCACTGCAAAATTCTGGGAATATCCTGTGGTTTTTACATGATAAAACTCCCACTGACTCTTCAGTTAACTGCAAAAAGCTGCTCCTATAATTGTGAGGCACTGGACATTACATACATCAAATGCAAATTTGACCAGTGTGATTCCAGCTCTAGAATTCCATGAATCTATTCTTCTTTGTACCAGCAAAGCTGCCTAACACATGTGAAAAGGTGCAGTTTTCAGAATTAGGTGTATTTTGTTTATGACAAGTGTTTTTGCATCATTTCACAAGCTGGTGTTCAGCAACAGAATACTTGCAATTAGTTTGTAGCCAGGAAACCAGATAACTGTAAGTCGTCCCCCCGCCCCCCGGTCTTATATTTTGGTCTCTCTCACAGTTGGCCCAGCCTCTCACACAGACATGGTTGGAAGAAGAGCTCTTGGGCATTTAAGAAAAGTTAGCCTCACAGCTGAAACGTCCAGTTTCTACTTGAGATTCACTACGTATGCCTATTTAGTTCTGTGTATTGCTAAGAAAAAACCACCATGGCGATGTACAGGAATTCGGCCAGAGAATAGCTAAGGCAAGAGAAAGCTTTCAGTAAACAATGTTCATGCATCTGGTTCATTGCGACTGAATGTTGCTTTTGCAAGTGGCACCAAGGCCAATATTTGAATGCCTACTGTTCCTTAGCTAATCACCAGCACCTCATTGGTCAGAAGTGAAATACATTTTAAAAACTGCTTGCTTTTGTTCTCAGTGCTGCACTGATAACATTCAGAAGTGACAAACTGAAGGATCATACTATTAATGGTACTATTAATATACCTAGCCTCTGAGCTCTAGGAAATCGCATGGGCAGAAGCACAATGCGATGTGATCATGCAGAGAACAGCAGCAGCAGAAGGAAAGAGCGCCACCTGCTTGCAAGAAGAAATATGATCAGTACTTATCACATTTGCAGTCCGTGGCATGGAGAGGGCTGTATCACATACTAAAGTTTTTGAACATCTGCATTATTTATCTCCAAATAGTGAAACTGCCATGGGCAAAGTAACCCTGAGGGTTGCAGCACTTAGCTTCATTTCCAGTCATAGTGCCGCTCCCCATGTTCAGAGGTGGTACTCCTCTGATTACTAGTGGCTGCTAGCAAGTAACCAGGGGAAACTGTTTTTTTAAATGCCTTGTTCCAGGCTTTTCAGAGGCCACAATTTCAGTCCCCACAATTAGAGACAGGATGCTGGACCAGAGAGACCCTTAGCATCTGTCCAGCAGTTCTCTTCTGATGTTCTTTATATGCTCCCCATATAATAAAACAGCAATGTGCAAATGAATCTATAGAATGTGAGTGTGGCATATGCCACTGAGAGTTTTGTCATTCTTTTCTATCATTCTACTCATTATATTCAGATATCAGACACATCAGGGGGTTGCTTTGAATTCTTGCTAAACATTTGAGATATTTTGTTAGGGTTTTTCTGTTCTTTGCAAGCCCTCTGCCCTACCACTTGAGCATTGTTTTCCTACTGGTTTTAATATTTAGATTTTAATGGGGAAATATTACTATGACTATTATTGTAGTTGGTTGTTTTTTACACCCAGCCACAGCATTTGCTGTGTTGCTATTGCATGCCAGCTTAGGATCATTCAATGAAGGTTGGGCTTATAAATCCAACAAGTAAATAAATATTGCTTGTGCAGAGAGTATGTGGCTGCAAAGGGCCTGCAGAGTTCTAAGTGGCACAGGGAACCTGCACAGGTAGAAAAGGCTCCCCACTTTTTATTTATTTTATTTTTATAAAAGATTTCTTAGTTTACAAAAATATGTGCATTGTCTCTTTTCAAGTTGTGTGTTCTACAGTTCAGTTTCATTTGCTGTAAGACATTAGTGTTACATGCAGTATTAGGTTGGGAAGAAAAGAGGTGGAGGGGGGTGAGTGGGGTGATATTGCTTCTTCTACTTAAGTGTATGTGTGGGGTTTTGTGTCAGCATCACTTGTATGGGTTCTCTTACTATTCGCTTGTTATATTTCCTTGGTGGGGAGAGAGGTTGGGGCCTAGGGTGTGGTTGGTTGTCTTTGATTGGCGGTAGTGAGATTTGTTTATGTGTGTGAGGGGGTGGATTTTTGGATCAGGTTAGCCAGATTGATTCGTATGCTGTCGGCAGATTCTTGTCATTGTCTTTTGGGCTGTGTATGTGATAAAGGCAGCCCTGTTTAGGGAAGTTTTTTTTAATGTTTTAATGTATTTTTAATCTTCTGTTGGAAGCCACCCAGAGTGGCTGGGAAGACCCAGCCACATGGGCGGTATAAGTAATAAATTATCATTATCATTATTATTATTACTATTACTATTATTAAGGGGAGCCATCTTCTATTTGTCCCCATGTCAGTTTCAGTTTATTGGTTAGTTTTCCTAGTAAGGCTGTTTTTCATACTATTTGATACCATTGGTCCATGTTTACTCCTGACAGTTCTCTCCAGTGTCTGACTATGACGCTTCTGGCTGCTGAGAGTAAGTGGGTTATGAGCTCTTTATACTTTAAGTGGGCATTGTTATCTTGGAAAATATTCAGTAGGGCCAGTTCTAGGGTGATTTCTAATACCTGCTTAGTTATTTTGCATATTTCTTGTATGACTGATGTCCAGAAGAGTTGGATTTGGGGGCACTCCCACCACATGTGGAGATGTGTGCCTGTGGAGGTGCAGCCTCTCCAGCATTTTGGTGAGGCTCCTGGGCGTATCAATGCTAGTTTCTGTGGTGTTAGGTACCATCTGTAAGTGAAGGTTCCCCACTTCAGAGGTTCTCTGGCAACAAGTGACAAGCCAGGACAGGTTGTGCAACTGTGAGATAAATGCTAAATGGTGAGCCCCTTTGCATCTATGTCACCTTTTTGCAAGAGTAGTATGAAGCATGTGAAGAGGGCTATAAACTGACCCCCTGCTCCAAACTAGGGGAGTATGTAAAATGTAATATTACGTTACACAATTCCAGTTATTTTTTGTTTTGCTGTTTTTGTATCGTTCTTAAGATATTTGTTATATTTTGTGTTTCTGATACATGGTGGCTTTTTTAGCCACTGTGAAAGTCTTAGTATTGGTCAGAGTAGTGGGATACCATTTTTTAAAATCAAGTCAAGCAAGAATTTTGAGGAAGCATATTCTTTGGAGCCTTTGGGAGAACTCCTGGGCCCTGAAGGATTCCTGCTTGCCCTCATTCATTTGCTTGCTGAGCCAGAGTGGTTTGGAGTGGCTCCAGTGCATAGCTGCTCCAATGCTTTCCTCCCTTGTCTTAAAGACCAGACAGTAGAGTGTGCAGCTTAGTGGGAGGGAAATCCTGATCGAGATGGACCACTGTTGAAGCCGAGAGTCCCCTTAATTCCTCCTCAGAGGTTTCCCTCCACTGCTTCAGGACTTGGAAGGGATTTATCATGATTTTAATATTCTGTTGGGAGCCACCCAGGGTGGCTGGGGAGGCCCGGCCAGATGGGTGGGGTATTATTAATATTATTATTATTGGTATTCTGATGGAGGACTGAATGGCTTGGAAAATCAGATGAGAAAGGTCTCCCTTTCCACTTTGATGTTGATCAATATGTTTAGAAGTTGCTGTGGGTGGGGGGAGCTTTTGACTTCCCGTCTGAAAAGCAGTTCCCTTGTTTTGCATTGGAAGCCGCTTTTGACACCTTCCTAAGCAGCATCAGAGGAACTGCAGTTAAAAAGGGTGTTCAAAGTCCTCCTGGAAACACACCAAGTTTCAGCAGCCTCCCAAGTTCCCAAGCCTATGGAACTCCCATGCTGGTACTGTGGGGCTCTGTCAAGCCCCTGGCTCATTGGGGAGCTCCAGGCAAGGAAACAGGCCCAGAGACAACTGGTACAAGTCTTGTGAAGGTGACCAAGCACATAATTGTGCCTTCCATGGTGGTTCAGTGAGCTTTTCATAGTGGTATCAGGGTTGCTTCGCCTACTCTGTTTAGGCCAGCCTTAGAGCCCTCTGGTGATTTTGCAAGACATTTTGAAGACAAGATAGTCCATTGCTGTGTGGACTTGAGTGCCACCACTGATACCATGTCTGTTGTACAATGCACTACTATCCTGACCGATTTTTGTGATCCGTTTGTTATTGATGCCTGCCTAGCACATGCTCTCTTGACCCATGCCCATCTTGGCTGATTCATGCTAGGTATGAAAGGTTGACTGGGTGAATTCAGGGTGTGATGAATGCTTTATTGTGTGATGAGGTGGTTGTTGTGGTGGTGGTGCTTCATTTTCAGATGCTACTGGATGGAAGTGATTATCTCAAGTCACTTCAGACTTTGTTTGGGGGCAGCCTCAGCCTTGCACACTCTGACAGATGGTCTTTTTGAAGGACAGGAAGAGTGCAAGTGTTGATTCTCCTGGATCTCTCCTTGACTTTTGTTAGCATTAACCATGATAGTCATCTATGGATTGGGAGCTGTGGACACCACTTTACACTGATTTTGCTCCTACTTACAGGGTCAGTTCCAGAGAGCAGTACTGAATGACTCTGGTGGTTGATCTCAGGTGCCACAGGGCATGCTTTTGTCTTAAGTGCTACTTAATATGAATCTGCTGGGGTAGTTTGCTCTACAATTCTATGACTAGAGATCCAGGTGACCCGTGGCTTGGATCAGCTATTCCCAAATTCAGTGATCCACAGAGTTAAGACAACATGGTTTTCGTTTTTGATGTATTTTGTATTTTTCTGTGGCGAACCACCATGGGATCTTTGAGCCCAGAGCGGTATACAAATTTTAATAACGACATCATTTTACACAAGTGTCCCAAAATCTGCATTGGTTGCTTATTAGTTAGCAAGCCAAGTTCAAGGTTTCAGTGACATTTAAAGTCCTAAACAACCTCGGTCTACAATCCTTAGTGGACCACCTCTTAGTTTTTAAGTTTTGTTTTGTACACCACTCATTCTTATTTATAAAATATAGTTGTGTTTTGCTTATATTTATTTTGAAGAAAATTTATTTGAATATTGAACTTTGTTCTATTGCTTTCATGTAAACCACTCAAGAGATGTTTATGAAATTATGTGGTGTATTTTTTATAGATGTTTTATTACAGGAGAGTCAGTAGCTTATTAAAGAACTTTTCTCCTTATGTTTGCCACGAGGAACATTGTCTCCTTAAGCTTACAGTTTCAAATGGTAGACTGGAGAGGTTACACATAAGAAAGTGCCAGTCTCTTGTGTCAACCGACAATTGTGAACAGATCTCCTACTGAGGAGCCACACAATTTGCCATTTGGACATGGCAGGCTAGAACACCAGAATATTGTGCTGTGGTTTGCATTAGTGCTATAACTTTGAAGGAGCAGCATAGGAACAATTTGAGATATCAAAAGGCAAACTGAACTGCATCAAGATCCTTGTAGCAGATAGACACAGTCTTACCAAGATTATATAGGAGTGTGTGAGTATAAAAGTGGATGTCAGACCAACAAGGCAGCCTCATATCCTTGTCTGAATCAATGCACCCTCAGACAAATTTGTTTCCTCATTTTAGTTTTGTGTTGCTGCACACCACCTTCCTGCTTTCTTCTGTCACTAATTTGACCACCCACCCACCCCTGCTATTGGGAGTAGCTGTGTGCCATTCTGCCCACAGGTTTATACTTTGATCTAGTGCTGGGGTTCCCAAAGTTTCTAGCTCTGGAGGTCACTTGAGACAACTGAAAATTACTGAGGCCCACCAGCCACAAAATGGGGGACAGTCAGTCACAAAATGATGGCAGATGGAGGCAGAGTTTGGCATAATCAGCTGGCAATTACTAATGCCACTTTCTATTGATATCTAATCAATGTTTGGGAATTGCTTTTCTAAAACACCAAAACACTTTTCTTGTGGCAACATTCTGTAGCTCAACTATATTCAGACATTTGCTCCAGAGGCATTGTGACAGCCTTCCCAGGTCACAGGCTGTATGTAGAGAAGGCTTTTTCTTCTATATTTTTCTCTTCCTACCTCCACGTGTCTCTCAACATATTTTTACCCATCTCCTGTGACTTATTCTCCCATTCTTCTTTCACACTCAGTTAGTACCATATCCTCACCCCCCACAACTTCCAGTTTCTTTCATCTTTTCTCCCTGGTCCTTTTACATTTCTTCCTCCTAGAAGTTTCCCTCTCTTATCCAATCCCTTTCTATTCCTCGGTGGCTTATCTGATGATAACAGCAACCACTTTCTTCTCCGTTTCTAATTTCCTTCACCATCTTCCCTGGCCCTTTCTTCTCAGAGAAGGGAGACCTTCACTCCTTCCCCATCTCCTGGGCATCTTTACAAGAAACTGCTGGCGATAGCATTGATCCAGCCAAAAGGCTGTGGTATGGCTAGGGGGCAGGGAAGATAAGTGAGGAAGCACTGGACAAATTGTGGCACTGAGACCCACTAATGGGTCTCAGCCCAGTTTGAGAAACACTAATCAAGAGAATCTGATGGCGCAATCCTGTGCACGCAGTTGTAAGCTCTATTGAATTCAGTAAGACTTAGTTTGAGCAGACTCATACAAAATTGTATTGTTGGACACGTCCTGTCGTTGAGAAGTCTCCCTTACCTTACTGGCAAATTCTTTTGGCAGTATTGATGTCCACGGTTGATCTTCAATATTACTACAGTGGATCAAGATTTCTCTTTCACTGTATGCCATGCCTGTGTGCTATAGTGCAGCGAGGGATGTGAAGCTATCTGTCATGGATGCTTTAGTTGAGATTCCTGCATTGCAGGGAGTTGGACTAGATGACTTGCACGGTCCCTTCCCACTCTACAATTCTAGGATTCTAAGCAGTAGAAGCCACACAAGATTTGTGTGCATTTAAAATGGAGCGCTGCATGCCCTGGTTAATTCTGGAAGAGCTAATTTTGAAGGTGGCAAAGAATCAGGGTACAACAGATGTGTGCTATGTGTGTGGATACGGAAGTGTATTGGCCATGAGCAATGCACTGTGTGAAGGCATTTAAGATAGAAGATACCAAGATAACTCTGTTGATACTCTCATCTCATGGCTTGATGAATCACAGGACTACAGCAGCCAAGGGAGAACCCTGGAAAATCCAGTAGCCTTGTGAAAATTAGCATATGTCCAATGATGACAGCCATATTTTAATGATATCATTTTTACAGGATATTCTGTCTGGGCTTGATTTCCAGGTAAATCCATTGGCCAATGTGTGTGATTTAGACACTGTTCAAATTCTGCTTAGCCACAGACTCACTGGAATCCATTCTCAATATATCCCAGTCTCAATTCAAGTATGTAAAATGGGAACCATAATAAATCAGAATTGGTGTAAAGTGCAGTTTTAATGTGCAAAGCAAGAATGACAACTTGCCAAGTTAGCATCATCCATTGACTTATCAAAACATGCTAATTCCCTCTTGCTGGAATGAGTTACTAAAACAGAAAAACCTAATTTACTTATGGTTCCATGGATACATCCCTCTCAGCATTTTGCATCAATTGCTCCATAACAGACCTTGTGCAAAATCCATTTGCATATCGTGGAATATTGGTACTTAGTCTGAGTGCTTCTTTCCTTTGCTGCTGATCTGTTAATAGGCGCATTGTGTTTATTAAACTTGTGCCTGTTATCTTTAGTGTGCTTTTGGTTTTGTGGATTATCCAAGGTACCCTTGGGAGAAAGGCAGATTATAAATATTAGAAATATATATTTAAAATTAATAATATTCTATATAGATACCTTCTTCGTACTTGTGCAGATGCAGAAATTACTTACCAGAGGGTTAAGCGCCATGATCACTCCCTGTCTACACCAGTAACCACATATGCTTCTATTCTACTACTCAAAATTGTGAGTAGCTAGTATTGCTAGTGCTTTAACCTGATGGGATGTTAAGGCAGCTACACTGGCTAATTTTACAAAGCCATTTTCACTTTCTTGCACTTTGGAGCTCCCCGCCTATTGAGATCAAGCAGGCGCCCTTCACTGAACTTTTTCAAGTGCCTGCTGAAGACATTATTGTTTAGGCAAGCATGGCCAGATGTTTAGAAAGTTGAGGTAACTTTAATATGTTTTAGTATTTTTAACTTTGTATATTTCAAAGTATGTTTGTGAATTTTTCTTGATTTTCTTGTTTTCTTTTTGTGAACTGATTTGAGGGTTTTTTTTAACAATCAAGTGGTGTATAAATTTTATGAAATGAATAAAATAAAAATAGTGGTTACAAAGTATGCTTTCCTTAGTTCACTTTACGTTTGGGTCTGTTATGTGTTGGGCTCCTGTTCCAAATCCAACAACATGATGCAAGAAGCAACTTGTGTGCTCCTGTCAAGCTATACTATAGCAATTCACTCAGTATGTTTCTTCAAATTGGACAATTTATGCACACACTTACCCTAACATTTTCCTGGCTCACACAAGGCATCTTTTATATGCTACCAGACACATACCTGTTCTCAGTACCCAGTTGCAGCCCTGGATGTCTGACAGTTTTAAGCTATGTCCATGTTTATTATTTTAATCATGAGAGATTAAATTTGTAATAAATTGTGCTGCCATTTTAATTGTGATAGTCACTGGACTACTGCACCAGGGGTTTGATGACTACCTTTCAGAACAGGATTCTTTTTTAAATAATAATTTCTTACAGCATGTAAATTAATTTGTTTTCATGTTTTTCCACATCAGCCTCTCTTCATTTCTGTGTTGTAGTCCATTTACCATTTCCAGGTTAGGCTCATCATTATTCCTCATTAAAATAGCTTTAGGCATTTTATCTATTAATGGCTGGTCCATGTGCTTTGAGTTTATTTTACTTAATGAAGTCTGCAAAGGCAATTTAATACTGTTTCTTATTTACACATTCTTTGCCCTCTTCCCGGATACTGTCAGTTGTGTGTGTGCCTGTTAGTTTTGTGGTGTTGTTTCATCCGTGAGGCAGGCAGACTTAGTGAATGTTTGCATCTACATTACATACTGTTTGTGCCAATCCAAAGGCAACCATTTTTTCCATGTTCTGCCAGTCACCCTCCTGGCTTCTGACACCCAGTAATTGGTTCGTTTTTCTGGGCCCTAATGACAACATACCTGGCTGCTACCTTTGTCTCTGCTTCTCCTAACTGAGAGGTACCTGGTTGGCTGCTGTTACAAAGCGCTAGACTAGATGGATACTCAGTTTGATGCATCATAGGCAGTTTCTTTTTTTTTCTTTAACCATCTCTTTTTGGAATGATTGAACTTCTGCTACAGTGCAGAGGCCCAATTGTGCATCTGCTCTGAAGGGATATAGGGAGTGGGATCTGTTAAACATTCCAACCGTGCTTCAACCACCATTTCATACACTGAGGTAAACAAGGTACAGAACTGTTATATACATATATATTTATATAATATGCTATAATAATTTGTATCTTTCTTTACAGCAATCTTAGTTAATATCTTTCATACATAGGTAAAAAAGTCACATGAGAATGGCACATGTAGGGTGCTCAGAGTCCCCTACAGCCTCCATGCTGGGGCAAATCAGAGCAGGGATCCAACAGTTAGCATTCCTGGAAGGGGTAAATGAGTGGTTTTGCAAGAAACGGCAATGCACAGACTCTTTGCTGCCTCTCCAGTGATTGCATACAAAGGCTTTTAGAATCCATGAATGGGAACTGGAGGACATCAGGATCAAAGGCATTAGGTGGAGACTTCTCGCTTTTCTCCCACAAAAGGGAAGAAGATTCCTATTTAAATAAATCAAGAAGCTGGAATCCACTGGTAAATGCCTGGCTCCAATGTGCTCCAGCAAGAGGGATAAAAACGGGAAAAGGATACAAGCAGTGAGGCTTTCATACAGAGAGACTGCTGTAGAAAGAAAAGGAAGGAAAGTAGTTTTCTGTACACAAACCTTGCAGAATGACAAAATAAAATTAAAGTTGGTAATGCCCCTCATATAGGCAAGAGCCCAAGATTTCTTAAGACAAAATTGAGTGCTCCACAACACTGATTCCACATTTAAGTGTGTTCCACTCGAATAACAAGGAAAGTGAGCATATTAGGGTAAAGATAACACTACCTGGGCTGTTGCCCCCTACATATTACTCCAGAGGGCAAGCAGGTAGTTAAGATTACAGATGTACCAATGTAAATTCAAGCTAATTGAAAGGATTCTAAAAGACAACAACATCCCTCTCATCATGCCCAGCATCCTGAAGGCACCATCTGACCACCTATAAGTGGCTGATAAATACCATTCAATAAAGGTGACCATCAGAACTGGGATACAAGTTTTTAAAATGACCTTTCCCCCTAGAATTCGAGCAGTTTGGGAGAGAGAAGTAAGGGCAGGCTACTACATCATGTTCTTAGATAATCTGCAAGGTAGTGTCCGCCAGCAGGCACCTCTGACATGCTGATATGAACGTTAATGGTAATGTGTGTGGTAGTGCTTTATCAATTGCATCTCCTGTGTGATAGCATTGGACTCACGACACATCCAAACCAGGCAAATACATGACAGACCATGCAGTTAAGTACCAGTAAGTCAGTCTGAATGCTAACATGGTGCCTGGGACTGGGAGGAATCCCTTCAGTAGCATCCTATGCAGCAGAAACTCAGGATCTTGAACATCTGGGCCTCAGATATGTTGTGATAAATAAGAGATACACAAAGCCCCAATAAATGCATTTTTTTTTCAAAATTATGTCAGACATTGTCTAATTGTCTAGTTTCTCCAGAGGCATGAAAAATGAACTCCCTTATGCTAAAAAAAAAGAGTTAGACAACAAAGGGCCCAGTCATTCTTCATGGATAATTGAAACACAGGGATCAAAGAAGGGGAAATTTCTAATACTGTGGTACAAATGTCTTCTCTCAATGAGGCAATTGCTCCAAAATTCACTGCAGTACTATTCAGGTGAAGTTTATTTCATTACGAACCCTTATCAAACACAGTCAGCTTTCCTATTTTCAAGGAAAACTGCTACCAAACATCAGGGTTGGACTATGGAAGTTCTAGATATGCTTTGCAATAATGTGTATACATGTATTGCATGGTTTCACTTCTTCTACATGCTGCTTTCTGGCTTGCTCCCTCACTAGCACAGATTACCAATCAAGATAGTCAACAATCTCATCCAATAGGATGACTTCTATATATACCACTGGTACTGGGGAAAGCCTACTTTAGACAAATGAGGCATTGCTATTGGCACTTGTTAAGACAACCTGAAGGAGGAGAGGACACTTGGGAAATTTGGCAAAGCCTAACATCATGGAAGATGAGGACGTATCTCCTTCACATTATAAGAGAAGCAACGTGACAGTACAAGGAGAGAAAAGAATGAAAGCACTTGACACTGTGTCCTTTCCTTGCATCTCAAACTAACAAACAAAGGCACAACGGAAGTGTGGGGAACAAGAGAAAACAACACAAACAGCAAGGCAGCAGTGAGCTCAAGAACAGTTGTGCACTGTCTAAAGTAACTTGGGTTTCGTCACATTCAGTATTTTGTTCATAGTTTTCTTCTTGATCTCCCAATGAATTGATGTTATCCTGTTGAGTGAGTATGATACTACATGGCTGCAATTTATATGATGGGAAGCTCAGTGCCTCAACCCTCTGCACAACGAACTATGGCTAAAAAGAACATGTATCAGACATGAAATATGGTGAGAGACCAAAGATGAAAATGCCATTAAGTATACCTAGGGTTGCCATATGTCTAGGAATTCCTGAATATGTCCTGTATTGGGGGTCCTACATGCCCATCCGGGGGGGGGAATTTTACATTTTAAAGCAAATGTCCTGGATTTGGTTAAAAAAAGAAAGTGTATGTGCACTGGTGGCTCTGGTTCAGACAGCTAGGGCAGCCTGTGCTCTGGTTCAGGCTTGGTTCTGGTGCTGGCAGAGGGGCTATTGGCCTAAAAAAGCTCAACAACTTTTTGTGTCCAGATTTTTACCTCTTGAAATATGGCAACCCTAGCATCAGTGAAATAGTACTAGCCCCCAGAAACAGCTACTTGAAAACTATTTATACAGGCATCTCCCCACTTACGCACGTTCAACTCATGTGTGACTGTATATATGTGCAGAGCTGGGAAATAATTAAATAACTTGATTAAAACTGCAAAAAGGCACAGAAAGTGCAAAAATGGCGCAAAAAGAGCAGTGCCATCAGCGGCAAGTGAATCTGACCCACAGCCAAGCACTTGGGGGCACTAGTGTTTACACACACACCCTTGCCATTGTTTCCAAATCATCCTCCAGCAGTGAAGACGACTGAGAGCCATTGCTACCATTCATACCAGTCTGGAAAGTGCTGCTAGTTTTTTTAAGGGTTTTTCAGTGGTTTCCAAAGGTTTAAAGGGCGTTTACAGGCTTTTAGGATGGTGTTCGCCACTATACATGATTTCACATATATGTGTGGTATCCTGGGATGTAACCGCCACCTAAGTGGGGAGGTGCCTGTACTGCTAGACCATTCTAATTCATTATAATCATCATGTGACACAGTCACTGTTTCCCATTTTACAGATGTGAGTGAGACACAGAGCACATGCTGACTAATATGGGCCTTGAATCTAGTTCTCACAGATCTTTCTTTAACCCTCATTGGATAACAGTGCCACAATAGGAGAATCTTCTACTTGAACATGTGGTAGCTTTACTTTAGTTTGTATATACCACAATTCTTTATGAACTGCTTCTTAGATTTGACATAAAGGCCTCTACCAACAGATACATTTTTGATGTATGAAAAACTAAACGAAATCATGCACTGCAATCCTGAATGAAAATCAGATTTAACAGCTGCCTTGTACTGAGTCAGACTATTCACCCATCACTGTCTTACACTAAGAGGCAACAGTTCCACAAGTTTTTCAGCCCTGCTACCTTGAATTAGAGAAGGCAGGAATTGAATCTGGAACCTTCTGTATGCAAAACATGTGATTCCCCACTGAGTGATGGGTGCATTTTTGTCTCCATGAAAAGATCCCTACCACTTCATTCTGCAAAACAACAACATGGAAGACCGAAGATATAAATAAGCTGGTCACACTCCCCTAAATCTGCCTATGCCAGAGTAAACCATACTGGACTGGATGGAACAATAGTCTAAGTATAAGGCAGCTTCAGAGGATCAGATATGTAGGATTTCATCTATAGCACTATACATGTGATAGCTCCAATTCAGCTTCAGTGCCACATACATTCTATCCTCACATAATGGGTGAAGGGACATCCAAGTTGTTGCCACCACTCCTTTTAGGCAAGCAGGGCTGTTTGAATGATTTAGTGCTAGCTTGTTTTTGAACAAAAAACAGTCAGATGATTGCTCCAGCAGTGAGCTGCAGACTGTGTGTGTGTGTGTGTGTGTGTGTGTGTGTAACCCCATAAGTACTTAAAATTATGCTAAGGGGAAACAGTGTGTTTTTCATAGGTATTATTCCATACATCGGGGGTGGCCAATCTCTGAAGAGACTGCGATCTACTTTCAGAATTAAAAACTGGCAGTGATCTACCAGCTTTTTGGGGGGTTCAGCTCAAATTTGTTGAGCTTTTTTTAGGGAGGAGAAAAGCCCCTAAAAAGGGACAAAGAGGTAAAGTCACTCACAAAAAGATTGCAATGGATCAAAACAGCAGCACAGAGAAAAATCTGTCTCTTCCCTTCCAGAGATCATACAACAATGGAGGGCGGGGCGAGGGGGCAGGGCAGGAGTCAGTTTTAGCCACGCTAAGGAAAGGGAGCCAGAGATCGACCGTGATCTACCAGTAGGGCATCCCTGCCGTACATACCGTATATGTGAAACTCATGCAACCACATTTCATGTGACAATCAAAATAACTATAAATATCTAGCTGGGAGAAGAATCTCATTTCCCAAGCACAAAATGCTGAAGTCTTGAGTACTGGGGAAACACAGCATCCTTGCAATGGAAGCATTCCACTGGACGAAGTCCATAGCTTTGAAATGTGGAGAAGGTTAGACAACCTTTTGCAGCAATGAGATGCACCCTGTGCTAACCAGGATGAAATGTTGGAGACATAGGAGATGTAACATATTTATCAACAGGATAATCAAGTGGGGAAAATCAGATGTGGAATGTAATTGTTTGAAGAGGGAAAAGGTACCGAGCAGAATTAGATAGGAAGTGCCAAACAGAGTTGAAAAGGAGAGAACTTATAAAAGCTATTACCACAGGTTCTGGTTTTAAGTTCCCACTCCCCAAATTCAATGCATGTCTCAGCCCAAAAGCACTTAAAAGGACTGACATGGCATTGTATGTGTATTTGGGAAAGTTTGAAAGTACCCTCTGTTGGAAAAGAATGAAAGTGCTCATCATTAGTCGCTCTGCTAGTAAGAGAAGTATTTCTCCCAGCTGGGAGATATCTTTTGTTAGGGCATCTTTGGCAAAGCTGCATCAGCATCTATATGAGGCCTTTGATCACCTATTTTAGTTTTTAAAGTGAACGAAAACCTGCCTGGGAGTGTGGATTAATTCGCTGCATCTGCTCTAAAGCTTCAGCGGAGTGTGCAATTCCACCCAAAATCTACTAGCCCACTGACGCTGGGTGAGTAAAAGGGTTGCAGTGACTTTGCTACAACTAGGAACTGCTCAGTTAATGGCTATTGCTTCAGATACATTCCTAGCACTGAACCGATTGCATATTGAAGTTTTAGATAGTTTTCAAAGGACAGTCTAAACACCCAAGGTGCTGAGTAAGCAGGGAGAGGACACAGCACCTTGGGGATGAAGCCCAGAGGCAAAGCCATGAAGGATCTTTTAAAGCCTGGTAGAAGAGTTGGAAAACCAATTTATCAGAGCACAAGCAGGATGCAGTGTGCGTGAAATAGGTACCAACATGTTTCAGGGGTGAAACTCAATAGAAACTCAGTATGTGTGTCAGTAGTATGGCATTTTCTAGTTCTTTCCTATAACTACAAGGGATATGGGTATGCTAAAAATAAATAAATAAAGTGTTGGTGTGGAGTGTTGGTGTAGTCATTGGCCTTTTTAGTGTAAAACAAATTAAGTGCTAGAAGACCCATTTTTTCAAGGAAAAAAAGACAAATAAGATGCTGTAATGTAATGCAGCAAATAAACTCAACTCCTATTTTTATACTTGCCTCTCCTGCTGAGTGCAAGCATTTGATACACCTGAATCTGTGTATTTTCCTTCTTCCAGGCAGAAGCCCAACAGTCACAAAAAGCACAGACAATCTGGGACAAACACAGTTAAGACAGTCTGATTCCTGCTACCAGTGACAAGGAAGAGGATAACAAACACTCTTGGGATACAATCAAACAGTTTTAAAAAGTAACAAAACCCATGAAAATGACAATGAACTGGTGCTCCGGTCAGGCACAACATTGTAGTGCAATAGCTTGTTGCATCATTCACAATCTGATCACCACCAAATGAACATATTAAAACCTTCTCCAAGCAAAGCTGTATCAACAGCCTCTCATCCTGGCTCTCCAAGCCTAAAATAATCATCTCAGGCAGGGGTGGGGGACCTGCGGCCCTTCATCAGCCCCAAACAGCATTACCAACAGTCAGGGATGATGTAGTCCAACACAATCTGGAGGGCCAATGGCTAGCCATCCTTGTCCTAAGGCAGGAAACCGCCTGCTCTCCACCTTTGCAGATTTTCAGATTCATACAGTAGATATGCTGCACGCACAGACACCCTTCCCTCCCCCCCACATTCCCATGACCCACAAGAGCTGGGAAGCTTCCTTCTTTTCTATTTGTAAAGTGCTTTGAAGTTTAAAGCGCTCTCTAGGTGCTAAGTATTTGCACTGAATCATAGCTTGATTCACAAGGCAGTGCTCCTCAAGATTGGCAGACTGATTGGAGTGGCATCAGCTGCTCAAGCAGCCTGTCCAGTTTGGTGAGCTTAACCTGCTGTAAGTACTGCAGCTTAAACTCTGCAACACCGCTGCATCCCAAAAGATCCTCAGAAACCATGCAGTTTATTATATGCTTTGTCCCAGAACTATATATTCCTGCTGTGTCTTCCTTAAAGAAGCATATTTTATTAGGCTAGTTCTAGTTTACAGTAGCCTTAGTCAACTAACATGAACCAATACAGCTGCTATTGAAAAAATGGGAACACTGAAGAGCTAAATTATTAAGACAGATTGGCTCAAGCCTAAATCATTAAGATTAATTGTTTGAAAACTGGAATTTTATCAATAAAAACCGTCTGCGCTTCCAATGAAAAATTGTTTCAGTGTAGAAAGGGGGGATTTACTCTTCTGTCATGTTGACCACCAGCATTAGGCCCCAATTCACAATTGCCCTGCATATTGCAGAATCATTTAATCATAGAATCATAGAGTTGGAAGAGACCACAAGGGCCATCGAGTCCAACCCCCTGCGGGTATTTGCAGTCCTATCCTATGCAAGTTTATTCAGAAGGAAAAGTCCTGTGGAGTTCAGTGGGGACTGGTTTCCAAGCTAGCATACATAGGAGTGTTAAAACATGAAAGGCAACGAGTCCCTAGAACCTCCATAGGAAACAAAACTAAGGCTGCAACCCTGTACTCACTTAGCTGGCAACAAGGACCACTGAGCTCAGTGGGACTTACTTCCAAGTAGACACATACAGGATTGTGCTATTAGTCACCAAGAAAACTGGAAATTCTCCCACTCGTTTCCAGTTCTTCCAAACAAGCAGCCTTTAAACCACAAAGAGGCACAAGTGGCTAGAGCTTGCCAGAACCTTCAGAGTGCCCTTTGTTTTGGCAGCCTGCTTGGGGACCTGAGGCCGCAACCTCAGGGAATGTGCCAAGTACCTTCTGGGTTGCCATGCATGGGTCATATGCTGTGTATGGCATACGAGGCTGCATGCTGAAGAGGCCTATGGTAAGAGTTGTTCTTTCACATTAATGCTACATTCCGATATAATATGACTTGTAGGTCACAATATGCTTAACTTCCTACGTAAAAATTATTTCACTCCTAAGTTTCATTCACTAGAAAATACTTGCAATTTTACACAGTGCCGCCATGTTGTTGTGAGAAGATCTCAGACATGAGCACTGTTGCAGGACTAGTAGCTGAGATGCAATGTCGTGAGTTGCTCTGATGTGTAGTTGGGTGATGCTGATAAGCCCCTGATCGTAGAGTGGCTGAAGGAATGCATATGCACAGGGTTAATCCTATCACCCATCAGTACTTTCTAAGAAGGATTTGTAATAACAATGCTTCTTAAGGACCCAAGTTGAGGGAGAGATGGGAATGCAGAGAGAACATTCGTCCCACTCAGGCAGGTGTTTCTCATACACTTAGTAACTACCTCCCCAAAATGCTTAGTAGCTTTGTAAACATACATGAGACTTCAATGCACAATATAAGTCCATCTTTTCCCTGAACTCAGGGACAGACCGCCATTGACCTTACGTGATACTGCCAGTGAATGCAAGATCAGGAATGGGGACAAACTGGCTCTGGGCACCATTATGTTTTGGGGAATAATATAGGGCACTGGCAAGCCAAAAGCTAGTTTAAACCAATTGATTCATGCAAATAGAGATGAAAATTCTATCAGATAAAGCAAGATTGTCACTAGTTCATAGTGATCTGGGGAGCTGTGCAATGCTGTGAGACCCAAAATACCTCTCATCCCCTCCGTCCCACCCTCCAGTACATGTACTTTCTTCTCAGAAGAAGTCTGGTTATCACTGAACACAGAGCTAATCAGGGGAGCAAAACACCCGAGCCCCGGCCCAATTTTCACTGCACCCAGTCAGGATCGGGAGTGGGGGGACTGCATTCCTCTGGAACACAGCCTTAATGGCTATAAAACAGGAGAGTGTGTCTGATTATTATTTTTTTAAAAAATCACAATGATGACAATGATGGACAGGTGCTTGAGTCAAACATGATACGCTAGTGCAATAGGGCCCAAAGTCACAATCTCCTTGATTCAGACACAATTCCAAGGACATTATCTGACCCCTCAGCTTATGTAGCTCTGGTCCTCTAGCCTGTGGACAGTAACTTCCTAATTTCAGCAGGAAAGGCAGAGATCCTGCCTCCTTCTTAAAAGAAATATGCTGAGGTAGGGAAACCAGTCATCTAACTTCAGTGAACAAGGTCCTCAAAAAGCAGCAGGCTGCGTTAGGCAGTGATTTTCTCCCTAACTAAAGAACACAAACCACGGTGTGGCATCCTTCGTGCTGGCCTCCACTGTGGCGCCATTAACTAAGCACCTAGGAAAGAATGCCACCTTTCCCATGCATCTTCCACAACTCTCACCTGCCCAGTGACCAGGTCCTCCACGTTTTATCCCATGACTCAAAGCATGGGATTGGCTATTTGGGCCCTTCTCTCCTACACTAGAGGGCTGAGATCATGCAGTCCTCTTGTTTGGCAGGGCTGGTCATATTGCCAGTGGGAGTGGAAGTCCGGATTTTATCAGTGGCCAGACATTCCTGGCTACTCATGCCTGTAGGAGTGAGGTCCATAAGCTCTCCAGAAGAACTCAGAGGGAAAGAAGGGGAAACTGATATGCCTGAGGAGGGATCTGTTGAGCCCGCAAATAACCTGGGGGGCTTTGGGACTAAGTTGGGCTCATACTGTGCTCTTAGCAGGATCTCCTGATCACTGACAGACTTGGGCATCTCAGCAAAATCACTAGTGCTGTCCGATACCATCATGCAGTAGATGTCCTGGAAGGAGCTGCTTTTGCTGTCCAGATTAAAGAGGCTGTCTATAAACTCGGCAAACTCCAACACTTGCGGACTGGGGTCATCACTGAGCCTCCCGTTCTGGAGGGTCAGTTCCTCCTGAGCAGTGAAGGAAACGTGGTCTGCATCGCTGCCAGCACCGCCGTCACTGCAACGCCGCTGAGGAGTGGTGTCTCCACTGTTGTGCAGGGCCTCAGGAGGCTGAGTCTCCTGGGAGTGTTTGGAGAGGCTGTCAGCAGCAAGCAGCTCTGTCCGTGAGCTGAGGGAGGGGTTTTCCTCAGGGATTGCTGGGTCGATATAAAAACAGTGAGTCTCATCTTTCTCCATGACTGCATGGAGGCTGGGTGAGCCGCGGATGCTACGAAAACCAGAGGAACGCCTTGAATCAAAGCTGTAGATGGATTCATTATCCGACAGGCTCTCCATTGTAGCAAGAGGAGCACGCCGGTCCTGCAGTTCAACAGACAAGCGTTCCTTGGTATCTAGAAGCAGCAGCTCCACAGGATCCTTCTGCACTGGAGATAGAAGCTTGGTCTCATAAAACCCTTCCAAACTGATTTCAGAGTGAGCCTTACTCCTGCAAAAGGAGAAGACAAAAATATGAGACTAATACAAGGCTACGCTATGATCTCTTGGAACAAGCCACAGAAAAGAACACCGCAGATACAACTCCTCATTTATGACATCACGATATCCACCAACACCACAGCAGTTATCACATAGCAGGAAGAAATACGTCCATCAGGGGTCTTTAGTGGATCTTTCTAGAAAAATCAGAGCCACATCCTTACTTAGTGCTGCTGTTCCTTCTGTCCACTACTATGTCTCCAATTCCAATCTGCACAGAAGGCCTAGGCAGAGGCTGATTCTGGAAGATTAACTCCGGGTTGAGGTCCACTTCTGTAGGACTCACCATCACTTTGGCTGCAGAAAGCAAGGCTGTTTTGCCTTTGTTATAATTCTCCAGTACCTGTGCAAAATAAATTGGTAGAGAACAGTTTTCTTCAGTTATCATTTCCAACCTAACCTCACTGACTTTTGACATAAAAGTCAAATGTCCCACAGCGTGCCTAAAATGGATCACAGCAACATGTTATATCAGTGCTTTTGATTTTCAACAAAATTTTTGTATGTACGCCTCACATTTTGCTGGACTACATTTTGCTGGATACACAATCCCTTAATCATAATGTCCGTCCTTTTCTTCATCCATTAATCAGTTTGTTCAGATGTTCAGCACAAACATTTTGGTTCGTCTTCTATCCCCTCTGGTACCTCCCCAAATAATGCCCATTATTACCTTGTTAAGACCCTCCATGACCACATAAGGCAGGTGTTCGTGTAGCATTGCTGGGGAAATTATCACTTCATTAAATGCTTTGTTGTCTCCCCAAATGGCAAAGTATGTGGGTTCCTCCTGATCACAGCAGCTGGGGGGAAAGTCAAGAAAGGCACAGTCATGGGAAAGCAAGCGAATTAGAGGGAGAAGGAATGATGACCCCAGAGAAAAAACACTGGGACATACAGTGGGGCTGGGTGTAGGGGACATCACTCTAAGGACCCAAATGAATAACAGAACACAAAGGCAGTTCTTTCAGGCCCATATTCTAAGGCAGAATCATTCATATCACATCTTGTCCTGCACAATTAACTGACATTATGAAATGCTATAATATGGTACCAGCAGAGAACAGAAACAAACAAGACTCAAGCACTTATCTCCTGTCATCCATCTCTTTTCCCACTACAGTGCTCCTCTACTAAATACCATTTCAGGCAGGAGCTAAACTGCCAAGAGAATAAAGCCACAGGCTTCTGCAGATACCTTGGTATCATGGCTATATTCCCAAGGTTACAATGTCATCAAGAGTACCTGGTTATTACATAATTTTGTCATTCTAACACTCAGCTGCATTTCCCATTTTTTAATTCTATAGCTTGGAATGTTACATTCAGCAGACCAGGCAAACAAAACTAGCTGCATGTAAATGCATACATAGAGGTTTTTTAATATTAATAGTTTATCCTTGATGAAATACTCACTGACTGCAGTGAACTACCTAGCCTAAGTTTTTGTTTAGTGAGTGTCTTCTCAGTTTGGGTCAATTAGTCTCCCACCCAGATGTAAACCATCCTTTGTTCCTGGGTGGCTTTGCTTTTTGGTTGGGGGGGGGGGAGGTGACAGTTGAAGACCCCAGCAATTTCCACCCACCACGGCTGGTACTATGGGATAAATGCAGAGCACATAAAACCAAACTAGAGTTCCCATAGGGGAAATTTAATAATATCTATATGTGCTGCACTATCAGTAAAGGTGCCACCAAAATTACAAGTTAGAAACTCTCAGAAAATAAGATCACCACCACCACCCCATGCTGGCCACCAAGAAAGCCCATCAAACAGTTTGCTGAATATTATTCCCAGCTCTACCCACCAGCACTGTTCAGCAGGATGATTGTGAACAACATGAATGATGCGCCCAGGAGGATAGAGTGGTGTGCTTGCCGACAGGGCGATGGTTAAGTCACTAGGATGGGTCCAGAGGCGGTGACTGGTTACTGAATTCACTTCTTGCTCTTCAGGGAGCTCAGACTTGGGAATGCATTTTGTGGCACCCACAATGATTCTCCACTGTCCAAGAAAAGAGAAAGGAAAGGAGGACTCTGAAGTAATGCAATTAAGTGCAAGGCTGAAGTGCTGACATTATATCATGGTACAAAGGGGGAAAGTTGAGAAAACTTCACATTTGGGCTGATGGTTTTTTTAAAAAAATGCATTGTGTTCCCATTTGACACTCATAATGCAGAAAAGAAGGCAGCAATCACACTATGGACTAGATTCCTTGGTTTGTATATTAACAATAATAAAAACATGGAAAAACATCCATATCTCTATCTATCTATCTATCTATCTATCTATCTATCATCTATCTGTCTATCTATCTGTCTATCTATCTGTCTATCTATCTATCTATCTATCTATCTATCTATCTCTCTCTATAAATCACTGAGCATTCAGGGAAGAAGCTAAAGTGCATCTCTAAGAAGCATCTATCACCCAGGTTTCTACTTTGAGCAAGGACAAGTAGCAATCTCATTTGAAGGAGAAAAGTTCCAATTTTTAGGGGCAACTAGTGATGTCATAAATCTGATCATTTGTGAGCCAACCAATTACAGTTGTACCTTGGAAGTTGAATGGAATCCGTTCCAGAAGTCCATTCAACTTCCAAAACATTCAAAAACCAAAGCACGGCTCCTGCAGCCAATCAGAAGCCCCATCAGATGTTTGGCTTCCAAAAGAATGTTCGAAAACCGGAACACTCACTTTTGGGTTTCAATCGTTCAGGAGCCAAAACATTCAAGAACTAGGCTGTTTGAAAACCAAGGTACGACTGTACTTATTACTTATAGTTCAAATTAGACGGAAGTTTGGGGTTATATTATTCTAAGAAAGAAAGGAGGGTAGTTGTCCAATAGGAAGTTATTAACATTTAGCAGGCAGTGTCTCAGGCAAACTCCCTCTTAGCAACAGTGATTAAGACATGCGAAATCTACAGAATCTAAATATAGGGAAAATATGATAACCCAGTCTGGTGACTTTCCAGGCCTGACATCACACACAAACAGAAGTGCATTGATCAAAAAGAATACTAATGTTAATATATAGAACTGCATCTCTCTTTACCTCATCAGAATAGCACCGTTTCCTTTTAATTTTGGCTCCTTTCCCTGATAGTGTATTTAATTATTACCTTCTCTTGTCCTGCATACTGAGCTATCCCAGTATCACACAACACACAAGAAGCAGTTACAGAGTTTGCTTGTGTGTTACTTTCCCAGAGTAAACTTTTTAAAATGTGTTATCACTGCTGTGCAAGTGTAACAGCCTTCAAAATACCTTGTCTTCTTGATGGCATATTAATGCAATTGAACAATTGTGGAATGGGCGAATGAGAAAAATGATAATGGGAACTACCTTGAAAATAGATTCAACTAAGAATACCATCACCTTTTAACCCAGAGGGAATAGTCACAAGGGGATCAAGGTAGGCACATGTCTGACTATGCCAATACGCCCCAACTGGCCAGAGGCTAAATTATCAGATTTCTAACTAATTACATTTCACTACAAATGGAATTCAAGCGGTAACAGGAAGCCCCTCTCTCAGTTGAGGCAGTTTTTAACAAGAAGGTAAGAGGCTACATTAATCTCTAGCTGTAGCCCAGGCAGATGCTATATGACAGATACACATGAAATTTACATTTAGACTGTGAATCTGCAGTAAGGCAGACAAGGTCTAATCTTAAAATAACTAGGATTAGGTTGCTTATGCCACTGCTGTTATCATGAATTTATCATAGACCTGGGACAGCAGCCAATGAAACATGAAGTCCTAAACAAATAAAGGTGAAGCAGTAACCTTTTCAGCTACAGTCATACTTCATGTTACATTTGCTTCAGGTTGAGCCTTTTCAGGTTGCATCCCTCGGCAACTCGGGAGTACCAGAAAGGGTTACTTCCGGGTTTCCCCACTCGCGCATGCGCAGACACGCAAAATAACATCATGCGTATGCGCAGAAAGGGCAAATTGCGACCCGCAAACGCAGGTTGCGTTCTGCTAATGTTGCGAACGGGCCTCCGGAATGGATCCCATTTGCAACCAGAGGTACCACTGTATTTTAAGAATGCATGTGACACAAATAATTTAATTTCAGATAGACTTGAAATCTTTCTTTATTATTTTACATATTAACCTGCCTAATTTTCATAACCTGCCTAATCTGGCTAACAGATTAAAACATCACAATGGAAATATATAGCAACCTCCATTTTAACATCAAAAGCCTAAAAACACAAGAGAGTCCAACTCATCTTACCTTTGGTTTGTTACTTCTCTGCAGAACATCAAGAAGCTGCCGGCGAAATCCCTCCAGTTGTGAGAGCCCAATCCTGAGGGATAAAGAATATCAGATGCACTGATGCAGGTATAACTATTATGAGGAGCACATACAGGAAAGTGAAGAGAGATGGGATCAGAGTAGACTTACCCATGGCTCAGTATAAGGCTATTTTATACAAATATACTGAAGACAATTCCTAACCCGTTAGAAAGATATGAGCAGATACATTACAGATAATCCAACGAGTAAGTGAATAATACAGTATGCAAACTACTTAACTAAAACTATAGATAACAAAAAATATGACACAGGGGTGTGAGAAGTCAATACTCAAAAGGGAAGCAGGCTATCAAAATCCATTTAACCAAGATAATGATTCAGAGATTTTAGATGCCATATGACAGGTAAAACAAGCAAACTAGGAAGACGGAATAGAAGTGTGAAGTACCACTATCCAGATAATCATAGATAAACAGGCGGGAGATGCTTCTACATAATGGGTACTGAACTTTTTTTCCATCTCAGGCAAAGAAAAGCAGGCAGCTTCCCACTCCAGCATGGAGAGACTGCAGTCTTCTCTGCCTCAGATGCGTGGAGGAGCATGATCTACATGAGGACAAAGGTACACTTGGATGATTCCTCCCTTCGCACCTTCCTCTCCACTGCCATCTCAATAAATTTGGTGATGGGAGGCATTTAGTGGAATAATAGTTGGGGCATCCATGCTAACCTCATGGAAGGGCTGCATGCCACCCATGGGCCACAGATGTGTGCTAGGACAAAGAAAATGCAAAAGGATATGAGCTTTTAACATAAAAAAGAGCCAAGGACCTTATACACAATTGTGAGGTGGTGAGAAATGAAAAAGCACACAGGTAAGCAAGAGATGATAATGCACATAAAACGATACACAGTACACAAGTGTAAGATGACACAGTTCACATACTACAGAGATGCTAGGCAGGAGTGAGGTGACAACACGTATAGCTCAAGATACAGTGCAAAGATGGAAGATGACACGGAAGATATAGCCAGGAGACAATTCACAGGTGTAAGCTGGCTCAGAAGAGGTGACCTGGGAGAGAGCACAAATGTGTAAATGACAGCACAGATAACTAAGGAGATGGCAAATAGATGCCAGATGCCACAATGAACACAATTGTGGAATCAGAATATTCACCTTTTTCAGTAATACAGGCAACTGAGAGATAGGGGAGGGATATGCCAATACACAGGTATGCAATACATCAATGAATGAGTCCAGGTAAAAGACACAGCAATACAGGTAGCTAGGAAAAGAGGGACAAGCAAGACGGGGGTTGAAGATTGGTAAATAGGAAAATGAGACAAATGTGAATTGGGATCTTTCAGAAAGGAAGCACAGAGCTTTGGTATAAAACAAAGAAACACTGAAACAAGAAATTTCAGACTTATTGACTTGCCTGGGGACTAGGTCTTTGCCTAGCACAACTGCTGTAACAAACTCTTTGGAGTACTCCATTGCATCCTCACTAGAAGGGAAACAAGAAGGAACTGGTGGGATTTCATTGTCAGAAAGGGACACAATATCCAATTAATTCTCTGAATCATAAATATCCAGTTTCCAAATTTATAAGGCTGGCACACTGCCTGTTTGCTAAACCAACAGCCCCACCCCCACCCCCAGTACTATTCTAGAGATACAACTCTGAAATATACTCCAGTGTGGTAGCCCAAACGTGAACTGGATCACCAGAGTATTCATCATATGTTGTACTTCATATGGGCAAATCCAGAGTGCATTTGAGAAACACAGAAAGTGAAAAAACACTACATTGGCATCTGGATGGAAACATTTGCATATAATGAGAATGAGAGCAATACCAAACTGCCCACCACCAATATATAGCTAAGCTAGCCCACATGAGGCTTAGTAGTATAATGTGGTCTTAATTCCAAATAAGGAACCCACGCCCCAGATGTGTCACAAATAAAAGAAACTTTAGAAATCAATTTCTTTCAGGGTTAATTGACCTGTAATTCCCTGTCCAAATACACTGATATGATTTACATTACTACTGATGTATTGAACAACTATGGCCACAGAGTCTGACATCATAGGCATCCCTCTGGGCATTCAACAGAAGCAACTCCTATCTGTGACAGGGCACATCAGAAGTTGACACCTGAGGTAGGTCAACATCCTGTTCTTAGCTTTCATTTTTTTAAAAAAAAAATCCTTAAACCTGAAGATGCAAGCCTGAAAATGCACAGAACAGGCCTGCTAAAATCTCAGATGCTATGGCTCCCCCTTCCCTTTATTCAATAAATACAAATACTTACCTTAAGAGTCCACCTGGGGGAGAGTAGGCATAGCACTTTAGAGTTGGGTACTGAGGACGCAGCAGGAAGGACAGAATGGCAGCTGTGCCTGCCCCTAAGGAATGGCCCACAACAATTAGGCCATAGTGTTTTGTTCCTCTGCCCTACAAAACAAAAAACAATTAGGTATTTGCATAATTTGGCAATTCTTATCAAATCCTTCCCCCTTTAGCTAAAATATAAGAGAGTCGAATGTGAATCTCATCCCAGCCATAAACTCACTTAGGTGGCCTTAAGGCAAGCCACTCACAGATCCCTGCCCCAAATCTCCAACATGGGGAAAAAGCCTTTGAGTATTACAGTAAGAGAATACATGTAAGGCACTATAAATGCACTCAATTATAGGATAAATATAAAAAGCAAATCTTGAGCTCCTAAGTAATTACAAAAGTCTGGAGCCACAGCCTAAAGAACAGCAGGATTAATTCTGAAACAGACTGATGTGAAAGAAAGGCAAAAAGATTGCAGAGCACTCCAAGGTTGCATTATCTATTTCTGAGTTGTGTCATTTTTACATGTTTTACTTTTCATTCTGTTCTGCAATTTTAGAAGGCCCTCTCAAAACACATTATATATTTAAATACATATTTAAACACAAATTTATTTTACTTAAAAACAATATCAAAATGTGTATTTTAATATGCTTGAACAGCTAAGGACTGTATCTCAGCAGTAGAGAAGTGTTAAAATCCTGTGGAAAGCTAAATTCCAATTTGAACATTAGTCCAAGATGTGTGAATCAGATCATTTCATTTATTCACAAACACTGAATTCCTTACACATCCTTATAGTAGGCTAATTCTTCTTTGAGCACTTCCTGAAGAACATTTAGTACAGTGGTACCTCAGGTTACATACGCTTCAGGTTACCGACTCCGTTAACCCAGAAATAGTGCTTCAGGTTAAGAACTTTGCTTCAGGATGAGAACAGAAATCGTGCTCCGGCGGCACGGCGGCAGCAGGAGGCCCCATTAGCTAAAGTGGTGCTTCAAGTTAAGAACAGTTTCAAGTTAAGTACGGACCTCCGGAACGAATTAAGTACTTAACCTGAGGTACCACTGTATAGGCAACATACACATACTCTGCTGTCAAAAGAATTATAGATGTAATGATACAGCTCACAATGTAATTTGCTTTATAGCACAGAAAGGTCAAATTGTTCTTTATGTGTGCACACGTGTGCAAAATTACTTTATAATTTATTGCAAGACTCAAGCAAGTCATTAATGTGGAAACTGATTTTCAATTGAATTTTACCTGTTTTTAGTATCTTGGAATAAGGTGATTTTCCTGCCTTCCTTTCCATTTCCTAACTTCAGTGACTTATTTTCCCCCCAACACTGTTTCCAGTAACTGTTCAACAGAACAGTAAATTATTCATCTGGTGGCCAAGGGCACTGAACAGCTACAAATGTTAGAAGTGTTCAGATGTTGACATTGTTTCTAGTAATTCAAACATAATGTTCTATAGTTAACAGAGGGACGTGGGTGGAAAAATGAACCTATCTCCTGACCACAATGCACAGAAGCAAAGCCTCACCAAATCACGCCCAAAGGCCTGAGAGAGCACCATCTCTTGCTCTAGTTTCTTTTTGATGTACTCAGCAGACAGCACCATCCCCTAAAAGGAGGAAGAAAGGACAAGTGAAAAGGGGAGTTTTAGCACAGCTGAGTGGCCTGCATCAGCACTTCAGTAACATATCTGAGCATACTCAACATACTCAAATGATTGATGTGCTCTTAGTTTTTCATTTCTTTTTCCTCCAGACCCTCCCTGACTCCTCTTTCCCCCTCTCTCCTTGGACCATTTAAAGGGCCCTAGAACCATGAGGTCACTCACCATCTCCAACATCAACCAGCTATTGGTGAAGTGAGCTCTCAGTGGCTGAGGATCATGTCACCCATGGCTGATGGTTCTCATGGACATACTGGCTCAGCAACCACCAGGGGTAGGAGGGCTGTTGCACAAACCTATTCCTTTTTTCTAAAAAAAGTCTTCTTTCTCCTGCTCTAACTACATGTGTCAGAGATAAAAAGGGCATGTTCCACATTCTTCAGTCCTTCTCTAATACCTCAGCTGTTTTCCGTCTACTGGTTTTTCAATTCTAGCCATAACCAGAAGGGTTAATATTCATTCCATGTCCCTTACATTGGCACTGTGCTTTCTATAGCCCAACACAACAGTTTTAGTAATAACCCCCCCCCCCCACTATATCCTTAATTGATTATACTCTTCCAGAATTTCCTTTTTTGACATATCTAATATATGGAAAAACAATCTGATTTTTCTCTCCTGCATCTCCAATGCTTATCACAGGGGCCATGCACAACGTACAAACCATTTTGTCATGGCTTCTCTATGGTTGTCCTATACTGATAATTTTCCAGGCACTTACAGTGCTGCACAAGCATGGTGTCTTGCGTTGGGTGTGGCTGCAAGACCGCAAATGGTAATGCTGCCTCATCAAGCACAGAGCCATTGTGCCCCATTGTAAACCTGTTTCTCAATGCAGTAGCTTTTATGAACATTGGCTTTTTTGAATTCAGTTCTGCAACAGTCAACTGTTTTCTGAACTCCAGCAACCTTGTGAAGTTATTACCAGGCGTTGGTTCTTGAGGTTTTTTTTATTTGACTAGCAACTTTGACGCACTTGCCTTGTTACTTTTTCAGCAGCAACACTTCACAATTCATGAAAGGATCGCAAATCATTTTAAATAGTTTGCTTTCAAGAGGAGCTGAGAAAAGAGAGGGCTGAAATTACAGACCAACTAGGTGAAATAAGAAAGCGATGACTACCTTGTGTCCAAGCCAGGTTCCATGATGACCTTCCACAGGGAGACGCTCAGCATCTCCAGTCAGGTCAGTCAGAGCATCCTGGAGAAGTAAGAAGGAGGACCAATTGTATATTAGAATGAATCATAAAATGCTAATGGTATCTTTCTACAAGAACAGTGCAATGTGAAATGTGGGAGCAGAGGATTCCTAGGAGCCCAGCATGAAATGACATCTATTGTGGGAGTGAACAGAGCAGGACTCAACATTACCTTTGGGGACAAAGTTCCTCGAATACTGATGACCACTTTCTTCTTCTCATGATCGACAGCAACGTAGAAGGGAGTTTCATAGACCTAAAGGAAATGCAGCATCACATCAGTCTTGCCTTACTGAAATGAAGTGACTGTCACCCTCCCAACATGCAAGTAAAACAGCTAGCAGATAAGTCTTCAAAGGACAGCAACACCCTTGAGTTCAATCTACTTGAGCATACATAAGGCGTTATCTGTATATCACTGATAGTAACTTCAGGCTATAAATTAGCTGCTAGACCTGTTGGCTTAAGACATGGCTCTGAAATGTCCCAGAAATGTCCTTCAGAGCAAGGAAGCTCTTAGATGGTCCTTACCGCATCATGACAGGAAGTGTACACAATGTCCACAGAGCTCATGTTTTCATCAAGAAAGTGGCGACGGATGGCGATAGCATTGCAGCCGCAGCAATTATCTTCCTCAATTGTGACACCAGGTGCATAACGTGGCCGAGAGGGGCAGAGACAACAGCATCTTTAAATAAAAAGTACAGGTAAATAACATTTGGAAAGGAATGGAAGAAGAGATGAAGGATAAAAGAGAAGCAATAGAAGAGCCTAGCTTACTGAAGACATTTTTACCTACACAAAATGCCAGCTCTGTTTTCATTCTGGAAAAGATAATATACCAGCAACCTAAAAGATAGCCCTGTGAATTTATAGGATAAAGGAAGAAATGAGTAAAAATTAAAGAGAAAGACAACAGGTCAGAAAGGAGAAAAGAAAAAAGAAATCAGACTTTATAGAGGCACCAGAACAGTATTAACTATTTAATAATGCAAGTTCAGTATATCTTAACTATCTGCAGAGTTGACATTATGGATATGTGCACTGAAATATAATAAACCTTCCAAGCCCTGATTTAGGCACTTAGGACTACAACCTGTGCATGCTTACGAAGACGTAAATTCCACTGAAATCAGTGGACATCATCCTAAGTAAACATGCATATGAATACTCAAAGGCCTATTAAGGAACAATGAGATGCTACATGGACAGAAATAACATTTCATAGGATCACAGAATTGTAGACTTGGAAGGGATCCCAAGGGCCATCTGGTCTAACCCCCTGCAATGCAGGAATCTCAACTAAAGCATCATAGCAAGTAAATATGGATAGGATAAAGTTACTTTGTAACCTCCTCGAAGTGAGATACGTGCAAGCCATTTTTAAAAAGCAAAGGCTTGTGTAGGCCAAAAACGAGACTACAAAAATGGAAGAGAGAATGAGGAAAGGGAAATTAAGGATTTACTAAAGAAGACAAGGAAGAATAAATACATGAGTAGAAAGTGAGGAGGAAATGTATACAAAGACAGCCTGGGTGAACACTTACGAGCAAGATCTGGCCAGGCGACAAAGTCCACAGGTAGGTTTCCTCATCAAATACATGGGCCAGCCATAGGCAGCCAAAGCAAAGAGCATATAGTAACAAACCTCTTTGTATCGCAGCATCTCTTGCTGGAGGAAACAAGAGATATTTAGTGTCCTGATGGCATCATTGGAGATGTCTCCCTCTCACTGTTTCAATATCAGTTCCCTGCCCCACAAAATACATTTTTAAAATTTGTTGGACCTTCAAACCCTGCCCTCCCCTCTTTCCAGGCTTCTTTAGTTGAAAGTAACCACCTACAGCCAAAGGCCATTTTCAGACGCAACACTAACTCATAGTTTAGAGCAGGGGTAGCCAACGTGGTGTTTTCCAGAAGTTACTAGATCACAACTCTCATCACCATTAACCATTGGCCACACTGGCTTGGGCTTGCGCTCTCCTGCCCCCAATCTTGGGGACAGCTGAAAGGAGACTGGAAACACTCACTTCTGCTTTTAAACTACACGAAGTCCTAAAGGTAAAGGTACCCCTGCCCGTACGGGCCAGTCATGTCCGACTCTAGGGTTGCGCGCTCATCTCGCTCAAGAGGCTGGGAGCCAGCGCTGTCCCGAGACACTTCCGGGTCACATGGCCAGCGTGACTAAGCGGCATCTGGCAAGCCAGCACCAGCACGCACACGGAAATGCCGTTTACCTTCCCGCTATAAAGCGGTACCTATTTATCTACTTGCACTTAGGAGTGCTTTCAAACTGCTAGGTGGGCAGGAACTGGGACCGAATGACGGGAGCTCACCCCGCCATGGGGATTCGAACCGCCGACCTTGCGATCAGCAAGTCCTAGGCGCTGAGGTTTTACCCACAGCGCCACCCGCGTCCCTACACGAAGTCCTACATTACATCCAAATCAGGGGAATGCTGGTTCATTTAAACTACAAACAACATTTAAGCTAACCCAAGGTTGCACCAAGTTCAGCTGTAAAGAGGAACAGAAGTCTATGCATCTGAGGCTCTTATTCCCACAGCATGAAAACAAAAAGGGTTTGGGCTTCTTGACTGCCTGGTTTCACGAAGTGAAAGTGCATTTGTACTTCCTTCTTCGTGCTTCTTTTTTAAGGTACATTATTTAACAGAACAAGGACTTTATCCCTACACTGATAAAGGGAAGAAGGCACATGTGGCTTGAGAGGTTATGAATAGTTTGGCCTGCAGGTAACATCCAGAACATCATACTGCTTTCATTACATAAAATTGGGTTGGGAAAATTAAATGCCGAGCAATTCATGTTGCCACTTCCAGCTTTAAACAAGGCTCTGTTCTTTTTGCTGCAACATACTAATAGGCCTCTCCGGTGCTTTTTTTCTAAAAAAAATGTTTAGGGGTACTCTCATTTTGACTGAAGAAAATCACCATTTTATAGTTCAAATTGGGAAAAATAAATACAGTAAATGGACAAAAGTACAAAGATTCACAAAATGTTTAGGGGTATGCATACCCCTGCATCCCCCCAGAAAAAAAAGCACTGGGCCTCTCCATTTTTTACTGTTCTGATTAGAATAAAAGTTTGCATTAAAGGAAATACAAGATGACTGATTTATTGGGCCTGATAAGCTAGTGTGCACTCTGCAATTGTGTCGAAGTAGCATTAGAGTCTGATGACTTACTGAGTTTTTCAGGTCCAGATATTTAGTGTTCCTGGTTACTGGCATCCCCGACAAGAAAGCTAGAATATCATTGTTTGCCTGTAAATCACATAAGAGACTAAGATCATGACCCAGAAACATTCCATTTGCACTCAAGGAGAGGGAAACCCCATTTGACGTGGATCACTGTTAAGCAGAAACAAAATTCTCACTATATTCTGCCAAAGTTTCATAATAATTCTGTTTGTCTTCCTAACACCTCCACTCTAAAGCCTAGAGACATGAAAAACTAACCACTATTTTAAAATTGTTTATTATTGTTATTTCAGTTTTGTCCCTCCTTTCTTCCATCACGGAATTCAAGGGGGTAATCCATTCAGACACAGACCAGACCTGCTTAGCTGAAGCATGGTGGTGCCTCAGTTGCCTTTAGACTATATCCTGGGACTGCTAGTTTGGTAACATCTTGAAGTTTTTGATCCCTAAAAATCATGATTTCCCACATTCCAGTACCAAGCTTTTTGTGAAGTTTATCAACGAAACACTGAAAAATGCTTGTTACAATTTTTTCATTATTGGTCACTGAGAGGTGACGGACTGTTATATTTGAGGGACAGCTAGGCAAAGATTTAGTGATTCCCCACTTCTGAAACACATGACAATAAGTGATTAAAAGCCAGATAAACATATCAGCAACATCTGTATTTCAGCAGTGAAAAAGCACAGAAAGCAGTCTGCATACTCACTTCATCCAGTACTGCACTGCGTTTCGCCCTCTGTCGTTGGCGCAGAAGTACCAGGCCTGCTATGATATCAGATGGGACTATGTCAAGATCTCGGAAAAACTCAGCAAAGAGATATGCAATTTCAGAGTAGGCATCCTGAAAAATCCCAAAAGGGGAAGATGATAAATGAACTTGTAACAAGCAAAATACAAAGAGCTAGTATCAATCACTGGGACTGAAAACGTAATTCTCAGCTGCTGTTCCAAAACATCTACTTTGTTACCTAGGTTAGAACTGGCTTCCCCATCTCATTCTAATTTATTCTTCTAAGAAAAGAATTATGCAGGATTTATTACACTTTTCCTCTAAGGAACTCAAGGTGGCATACAAAGAGTTACCTTATTTTATCATCATAACAATCTTATGAAGTAGGCTAGGCTGAGAGATAGAAGCCCAGTTCACAGGCAATGCTAAGAACAGGTATAACAACAAACAACTAACAATAACAACAACTTTATCATTTATCCCCCTGCCACTCTGGGCGGCTAACAGTACATATGAAAACATAGTAAAACATCAAACATTAAAAACTTTCCAATACAAGGCTGTTTTCAGATATCTTCTAAAAGTTGTGCAGTTTATTTCCTTGACATCTGGCGGGAGGGCATTCCACAGGGCGGATGCCACTACCAAGAAGGCCCTCTGCCTGGTTCCCTGTCACTTCACTTCTTGCAGAGAGGGAACTGCCAGAAGACCCTTGGAGGAGGACTTCAGTGTCCAGGCTGAATGATGGGGCTGGAGACACTCCTTCAGGTATACTGGGCCAAGGCCCAGTATACCTAAAGGAGCATGATACAAAGACCAAACAAGGTTTAGTCCTAGATAGTAAGCAAGAGTGGGGAAGGAGTGCTATTCTTCACTCTGGGAACCCACATATTTGCATGTTCATGCTAAGCTATGGTACATGCAAATGGGATCAGTGGCTTCTTCAAGGACACTCATTAAACTTTATGGTGAAAAACAGATTTCAAGTCAGACCTCCCAGACCTAAGTTCACCACTCTATGTTCTGCATCACTCTCACCAAAAGGTCCACCTAGACCACTTTACTGTCTCCAACAGCACACAGCCTGAAGACCTTAGGAAGCTTACAGGTAATGCACAATAAAGACAGACATCCCTTGCCATTTGTCCCCAGAATCTGGAAATCAGATACAAAAGAATCTATAGTAGTTTTGACAACTCTACTTTAACGTAACAATTATGTTTGCTCTAGGTAAATATTATACCATGTTTCTGCAGCAAACACTTTAGATATGTACAAAAGACCTGCATAATTTAATAGTACAGTGGTGCCCCGCAAGACGAACGCCTCGCAAAACGAAAAACTCGCAAGACGAAAGGTTTTTTCGTTTTCGAGTTGCTTCGCAAGACGAATGTCCCTATGGGCTTGCTTCGCAAGACGAAAACGTCTTGCAAGTTTGTTTCCTTTTCGTAAAACCGTTAAAACCCAGGGTGCATTGCTTGAAGAGGTGCAGTTGCGACTTGACCTCGAGGAGCAACACATTGCACGCGGTGTGGTGGCCTTTCTGAGCTTTTTAAAGAGTTTGCTGGATTTTTGAAGCTTTTCCAAAACTTCTTCTACAGCTGTTTGGTAAGTTGAACTTTTAAAACTTTTTTGGGGTTTTTGGGATTTTGGGTTGGGGTGTTTAGAATTCAAGGACTTGGTGTTGGGGAGAGGTTTGCAAGAATCTGGGAGCTTGTGTGGTTTTTTTCTGCATTTTTATGATTTTCTGTGACCATTGGGCCATGTTTATTTTTTTTTAAAAAAAAATCTGTCTTTTAATTTTTGTATTTCTTTCTGGTGGGTGGATGGGGGAACAGGTGAGGAGGGGTTTTCAGGAATCTGGGAGCTTGTGTGCTTTTTTTGAATTTTTATGATTTTTTGTGACCATTGGGCCATGTTGTTGTTTTTTAAAAAGTTTCTGGGTTTTAAATTTCTGTGTGCTGGGTGGATGGGGGAACAGCTGGGGAGGTGTTTGCAAGAATCTGGGAGCTTGTGTGCTTTTTTTTGTATTTTTTTGATTTTTTTGTGACCATTGGGCCATGTTTTTTTTTTGAAAAAAGTTTCTGGGTTTTAAATTTCTGTGTGCTGGGTGGATGGGGGAACAGCTGGGGAGGTGTTTGCAAGAATCTGGGAGCTTGTGTGCTTTTTTTTGAATTTTTATGATTTTTGTGACCATTGGGCCATGTTGTTTTTTTTGAAAAAGTTTCTGGGTTTTAAATTTCTGTGTGCTGGGTGGATGGGGGAACAGCTGGGGAGGTGTTTGCAAGAATCTGGGAGCTTGTGTGCTTTTTTTGAATTTTTATGATTTTTGTGACCATTGGGCCATGTTGTTTTTTTTGAAAAAGTTTCTGGGTTTTAAATTTCTGTGTGCTGGGTGGATGGGGGAACAGCTGGGGAGGTGTTTGCAAGAATCTGGGAGCTTGTGTGCTTTTTTTGAATTTTTATGATTTTTGTGACCATTGGGCCATGTTGTTGTTTTTTGAAAAAGTTTCTGGGTTTTAAATTTCTGTGTGCTTATTAAATATTATGCCTTGGAACCATGCTTTTCAGTTTAGATCCATCTTTATATTTAAATTGTTTGTTTATTTGTTTATAGCCAAAAAGTCTCCCAGAGTGGCTTACATACAATTATTTGAGCTCATTTGCTTCGTCTAGTAAGAAAAATATATACCTCTAAATATAATAAAAAGTTTTACCCTTCAGTGACTGACCACCATTGCTCTGCAGCACCTGACTAGTGGCATAGCTATGCTACAAAACTCCAGATCACCATCAGCATCTGCTTCTTACACACTGGGTGACTGCCCTTTCAAAAACATTTTTGGTACAAGTGGAACAGACCACTAGATGAGATATCATTTTATTTATTTTGAGTAGTCCAGAGATCTTTATGTCATGGCAACCTACAAATGTTGTAAATAAATAAGGATATGGCTTCCTTGACATGGGGTTATTATGTTAATAAATAATATGATTTGCATCTACCATTGTGTTACATACAATCTTCATATGCCCTTTGAAAAAAATCTTCTCAACTTTTCATAACTAAGAATAATCTAAGTAATACCTGATAATCTGACAGCACATCACTTTTTCAGGTCGTTAAAAAGAAAGTGCTGTCCATTTAAAATGAGTCCATCATTCTATGTCCTTTGCCAGTTTTAGTGGTTTAATAAGTTCTGGACAGAGTTATTTTTTCTTGCAATTGCATAAATAGCTTAGTTACAACCTGATTGCAATAAATATGAAGCCATGCAGATGGGAAAGGGTTGATTCTTCCTCTACTCTACTGCAAATGTCTCACTCTGAGCTCCTCACCCATGATTAAACGATTGGGAACTTTATGTCTGCACCAGTTCTTTGTAATTATATCCTTATACAGGGCATGAGTGACTTGTGCCAGAGGTGCAGCACCCATGTGTGGAAGATCCCAATAGGAGTCCAAAGTGCCATGGCTCCTTCCACCATGTTCACAGCATATTCAGAGATAATACAACTGAACATTCAGAACTGTTTCCAGGTCTCTTAAGCATGCAATCAGGAGATTTATGTACACATTAAATCACATGGGGACTGGCTGACTAAACTCCAGATAAGAGTTCTATGAAATATTACATGAAACAGATTTACCATTGATGTCTCTCAGTGTAAGCAGATATTTGCTTTGTGATGAAAAAATAGGTGCTACTTACTGACTGGGAATCTTTTGTTCGTGTGCAGCAGAGGAAAACTTTGAGCCGTCGGGTCCAGCTGCTAGCCTGCCCTTCCTCCAAACGGTGCCTTCAACATGCAGAAAGGAAGAGTTTACAAATGGATTGGGGGGGGGGGGAGGAGACATAAATTTGGAATTGCCTTTGTGTTCCTCCTTCCTTGCAGAAGGGAGTGAGAGGTTCTTGAAGCAGCTCACCAAACAGTTCAGAATAGAAAGCTGACCAGCTTCACCTGAGAATGTGAATCTACCTCACACTGATGAAGCCCTACACAGCATGAAATAGCATAAAACAGTAGAGGAAGCTATGGATCTTATGGGAGCATCTGCAGCTAAAGCAGAAGCATGAGACATCTTTTTCAGAACATCCTTGATGGGCTTGGGCCCATCCTCCCATGCCCCAAACTCATCCACCCACATAAAAACTGCCTGGCAAATGCAAACACTGTAACTGAAGCCCTAAAGGTCACAAAGCCAGCTTCAAATTTCCTACACAGAGCCCCCTCTACCCATCTGTCACAGGAATCTTTGGGTCCCACTTCCTTTTTAGAAGGAATCACAGCCAAGGAATATAAAGCTGCCATGGGTGGATCAACAGCAAGAAATTGAAGCTGTTGCATAATCTTCTCATCAAAAATATGTTTCTTAGCAACCTGAGACACCAGTTTAGCCTTATTTGGATGGGCCCACTCAGCTTTCTAAGCTGAGTCAAAAATGTATGGAAAAGGAACAGTAACCACCTTGTGAGAAGCTGATGGGAAAGCCTTCTCAGCACCCACTGGGGAGGTGGCAGGTACAGGAGCTTCCTCCTCCCCAGTGAGCTCCTCCCCAGGAAGGGTCCAACAAACACTCCTTCTCTGCAACTGCATATGACATGAGGATATGTGGGATCGGGTGCAGATGAACCACCAGTGAGAACGGCTGCTCCATGCTATTCTTGTCCCACTGATGGCCTGAGAACATAGGGTGCACCCCAGCTAGCCATTCTAGCACCTAAACTGGTACGGCTTATACCCCCACTCCCGAAACACCCAGAGACAAAGAGGAACTGGGCGGAAGAATCAAGAAAACACACACAAACCAGTGGAAAACAAGAGAGGCAGGAAGCAACTAGGGAGAGAAAAGACAACAAAAACAAAACACCCCTTCTTCCACACACCAACAGGAGAGGAACAAAGGAACAGAAACCAAAAAGACAGACACAATAACTAGGGTTGCCATATTTCAAACAGTGAAAATCCAGACAGAAAGGTTGTTGAGCTGTTTTTGTAAAATCACATAAAAAATTGACGTTTTTGAACTATTTTTCTGGAAAAGCAGTGAAAATGACACTGCCGACATGGGTTGCCATACGTCTGAATTTTCCCGGACATTTTTGCTGATTTCAGCCCAGACACTGCTACAAACTACAGTATTCCAGATATGTCTGGGAAATTCCGGATGTATGGCCACCCTGCAATAACAGAGGAAAGGCTCTAAAATGTAAAGGTTCTGAAGAACACAAAACAACCTTGACTACCACTGGCTGCAAGCAGGATTAGTCTGGTAGGTGGGAGAACTCCTCCCCCTGGAGGGGAGCCAAAAAGGCTCTAGGCTAGGGACTCTGCCTGCCATATCCAGTAGGAGGAGTCATCCCTTTTAAGGAATGTCCTCCAGTCTCATCTCACCAACAACCAAAAATGAGACAGTTGACTTTTAATTGCAAGCCTTGACTGAGAGGAGTATAAGTTGGACCCGTAACAAAAGTCAGCAGTGTAGAGTGCTTCTGCTCAGGATATTCAATTCCATCCCTGCTCCTGCCAGTTTTCTTTTGTTTCACCCAGCAGTCAATCAATATCTAATACCCACGAAGCATGCTCAGTCTGCACTGCATAGTTTTGCAGGGGTTTTTTTTTTTGCCCCTGCTGATTTTTTCCCCCTCTACAGAATTTTTGTAATTCTGTGAATCTCATATTCCACGCTCTTGTGGATGGTGCTGTTCTGGCTACCTAAGGACTGGGCAGTCAGAAAACTGAGTTTTCTATATATACACACAAGTCAACCCTGCAACAAAATGTTGCTGTGTGGATCCTAGCCACCTAATTCTATCCCCACTCTGACCCCCACAACATTCAGTATCCCATGCCTACAGATATTGCACAGTCCTCACTGGGCGACTGTGAATGGAGGTTGCCTCCTAGGGTTTCCCCCCTGCATGTTTCTTTTAATTATTATTATTATTATTATTATTATTAATTATTATTATTATGGCAAACCTGAGGGTGCCTCCATGCATCCCAGTATCTCCTGTGTTTGTATGTTGTCATTTTAGCTACATCAGGACCAGCACTCAGAGAACTAGGATCACTATTAGTATATACAGTGGTACCTCGGGTTAAGTACCGGTACTTAATTCATTCTGGAGGTCTGTTCTTAACCTGAAACTGTTCTTAACCTGAAGCACCACTTTAGCTAATGGGGCCTCCTGCTGCCGCTGCTGCCCGATTTCTGTTCTTATCCTGAAGCAAAGTTCTTAACCCGAGGTACTATTTCTGGGTTAGCAGAATCTGTAACCTGAAGCATATGTAACCCAAGGTACCACTGTACAGTGGTGGTGGTGGTTGGAAGCAATGGTCTTCAGCTGGGTGTCCGCCCCCCCCCAACAACTGACAAACAGCAAGACCTGTCCATATGCTGCATTTTGAGCTCCTTTTTAAACTGCCTTGAGTGGCAACCGAGGAAGAGGGATACTTAGGTGAAAAGAGAAAAAGTCCATATAAATCAGTTAATCAGGTCACAACACAGTTTTTCAGTGATGAAACAAATCAAGGAAAATAGCTTCTGAGTTAGATACATTAGATACATAATCCAGACTGTATCTTGTTGAAATGCTGTTTTGTGACTTACCTCAAGTTGTACGTCCTCAAGTTACGCTGCCTCCTCTTTGTGGCTCGCAGTTTGACAAAAGTTCTTCCTGTTGGATCAAAGACGCACAGGACAGTGATGCAAACACTCAGAATGACGACCCAGTTGCAGACGACCATTCCTGGTAAAACAAAGAAGATTCAAATGCTCAGTTCCGAAGTGTCATCTATGACTCGCTTGGTGAGTTAGCTTTGTGTTTATGGGTTTTTTTTTCCTGAAGCAACACACTCAAGCTGAATTTCACTGACCAAAGTGAAGGCATGCATCCACAGTAACACCAGGGATCTCAAAACCAGATATTATTGAGTGAGAGAAATTATGGATAAAATAGTAGTTAGAGATGTACTGTTGGATTGTTTTGTAAGGACTTGCACTGGTTTTCAGAGCAATTGCAAAAATCCATACAATACCCAGTCAGGCAGCAAAACAACAGCTACTGTCCTTCCATCCATACATACTAATTGAAGTTTGTGCAATGGTTAAGTCTATCTGCAAAACATTCAGGGTGGGTACATTTATATAGGCAGAAAGTGAATTCATGCAGAAACCTTCAAATACACACCCAAAGTGACACTCTTGGCAGTAACATCATTGCAGGAGCTGTAGTACTGGGTTAACCAAACAATGCCCACAATAGCATAGATAAACTCAATCACCAGGATGGCTGAAACAATAAGAACATAGTGCACAATAGCAGCATTATTCTAATGAATACCTTGTTTCAAAGATGTCAGAGACCACCACAGTATTTCTTGTTAGCAGTTCTCATGTATCCATTCCAATTTGTTATTTCACTTCCAGCAAAACCAGATTTTTGTCTAAGCTCAATTAAACATACCCATCCCCATTTTTCAAGGAAAACTCATAAAAAGAATTACATTTAGGAGCATTTTATATTAATGCTCAAGGAAAGCACCCAAAAATCTCGCAGCAAAAAACAAAAAAAACAAATCTTTCTCTGATCCCCATTGAGCATCATAACAAATACTTTCCTAAGAATATGGACATATTTCTAGATACGTAGTACAGCAACAGGAAATAGAGTTTTATACATAAAATCTTCCTCCGTTCCACTCCAACCACTAAAATGACAGAACAGCTGAAAGAATTGTCTTAAATGTTTTATGATGCTATGTATTTTAGATCTGATGTCATAATATTTTTATATGTGTACCCCAACCTGGGACCACTTAGTGGAGGTGGATTATAAATGTTGTAAATAAGTAAATATTCCCCAACCCCATTTCTCTCCTGAAATGCACCTATGATATAGTTCAATTCCTCATTGGCTTTAGCAATCTCAGGAAGCTACACACGAGTTTCATTTGATTCTGGCAAAAAATAAATAAATTGGGGGGGTGAAAGAGGGGGAGGCAAAATGCAGAAATATAGATTGTATACTAATTGACTAGACAGCAGAATCTTGGACCCTGAGATGCTGATGAATTTCTTCAAGCTTGAGCTCATACAAATCTATGGTTCTATGATTTTCCCAACCTTAGACTGGCTCAGAAAATTATCCCAGGTGTTTGTTTTTCATTTTGGGGAAAGAACTCTGAGGCAACTGGAGAGAGCTCACCCATCCGTACTTTGACTCAAAGCAGAGAACGGCAGATAACAACAACATGTTACTATTGCAAGAAAGTAAAAGAAAAAGCCTATTAAGCTACATATCTAATTTATAGGACATAATTGCTATCATACTGCATTGCTCAGTTCTCAGATATCAAAAGGTGACATTTTACACAGTCTAACAAAACTTTTCAGTGACTGGAGGTGCTACCTGTAGCAAGTAATTTCAATCCCCCACATAATTCCTTTTATCAATAAAAGATTGAATAAAATGCTGAAATGTTCTTTTTTGAATGTCACACTCCATTCTCAGGTAAAAAGCCTGCTTTCTAAGTTTTCATAACACTTCAAGCTAAACAGCTAAAGTGTGAGTGGCACAGCTGCAATAGATGTGTATATATTTTGGTGTAACTGTTGCAGACATGTAACAGAAATTGATCACGATGAGCAACACATTACCTCTCTTCAGTCCAGGAAGATTTTTTTAAGTGATTAAAAAAAAAAAGATGTATTTTTGGATACTCATGTAGCCATTTAAAAAGTAGTTCAAGAAGAAAATGTGCTAGGGTCCATCTCAGCAACGCACCTCAATTCAAGAAGGGGAGGGGGGTGTCTTACTTTTTTAAAAATTCCCCATTTTTTTTTATTATTTATAAATTTGCCACTGTTATGTTAGATTCGATGGCACGACAGTGAGAAGCCACTCCCAAATGCTCCATGGAATAATCTCCACCAAAGTAATGTGAGAACCTTTTTCTTGTAACAAATGTGAAGCTGCAACTCATGATGTGGAGAAAAGCCCCATGTTTTCTTCTTCAAACTAGTGCCTCTCTTTTTTGAGGTTATCATATTTACCTAGAATCCTCAATATTTTGCTGCTGGAAAAATGCAGTTTCCCACCCTGCTCTTCCATCTTTTGCCATTTGGACTGCTCTGTGGGATCAGGGTGCACTTTGCTTGAATCAAGGGCCAGTAGCTTTGACACCATCAGTGATGCGAGATAGCGCTCTAGCCCTGTACCAACTGAACTTTTCAGATTTTAAAGGGCTTTTCCTAGTTTGCTTCCCTAAAGAATGATAACATCTACTTTGTATATTCACTGATTAAATATTGTAAGTAAAATTAAAAAACAAAACAAAAAAGAGGTTCCAGCCCCTGCAGGGCTACCCACTAATGTTCACTGAACGGATGAATTCAAGGCATGGAAAGGAGAAAAATATGAAAACCGTTCTATGCACAGGTTTTTTTTTCTGAATAGGGAGGGAATAATTTAATTTCTTAATAGTGCTGCCACCCACCAACTAAGAAAAGTTCTTCAGAAACTGCAAAAGCTGTTTGCAAGGTAGCATGGGATACAAGCACTTTTAAGATGAGAAGCTGAAAGCGTTGTTATACAGAGAGAGCTTCTTGCACACTTTCCTAGAGTGAGTCTTGGATTTTATTTGCTTTCCTCCCCTCTCCCTCCACTTCAGCTCAGTTTTAATTTGGATTCACAAACTTATTTAAGCAAGGCTCAGAAAAGGAGTAACCATGCCTACAAAAAATTACATCCAGTGAAGAAGTAATTAAACAAGAATAGGCAGCAATGTCACAGCGTTTAGAATTGAGTTGATGCCCTTCCTGTGTGCAATGTTTTTTTATACAATTCTAATAAAAATATGTGTCTCAGACAACAAAAATAAACACCCATCTAGAGCAGAGGAAGCCTAGTTATTTCTATATGATATGAATGGAAGGCCAGTTAAAAATGTTGTGAGTGAGCAATGCCTGTTTCTTTTTTTCTGGTAACATCTTTGAGAATCAGGATGTCTTGAGGGAGACTGTAGGGAAAGGTTATACATCCTTCAAAAGACAAAGCAAATTCCATGCACACGTCATCAGTGGAAGAGATTCCTTTAAGTAGCCAGTACCTACAAAGAATATTTTGTGAGAGAGGAGGGTTATCAATGGAAACGTTTTAGGACATGTGTACAAGCAAGGGGAGAAATAAACTTATGTGCTCAAGCACGGCAGGTGGGTTTAGGTTTGGTTGTGTGCATGCTAAGCATGAATTAGATTTCTACCAAAGAAGTATCAAGGCACATGGAGAAAGGCAATTGTTACATGCAGTGTCTGCATTTCTGCAGGATGGCATGTTAAATGCAGTTATTACAAATGTAAAATGCTAAAAAGCAGACAAATGAAATGATGTCTTATGTCATTTAACAAAGTGAGGCGACAGGGATCCAAAAAATTAAACTAATCAAAAGTTTACATAGGGTAAATTTATGCAGCGTCATGGGGACATCTGGCAAAAATTCAAATCTCTGCATTTCCCACATCTGTAGTAGAAGTGAAACAAAAATTATTTTTATAAATGGCTTTCCCCTGCTTAACATTCAGAGGATGCTTCTACACTAAAAAACATCCTTGGTGCTACCAATGAAAATGCCTTTGGATGAAGACAGAAATTCTGGAAAAGAGATTCTCCTCTGCAGTATGTATATTCTAAATGAGCAGAGTATTTAAATGGCTGAAAAAAAATGTGTTTTGTGTCTGCTTATCCGTGTGCTGACTGGGGAATCCCTTGAGTGTGTAACAGATGGTTGCATCAAGTTCAAAAATTTATAAAGTCCCTTGGTCACTGTCTCTTACCCAGTCTGACGTACAGGACATATTGCATTGAATCCCGAGGTTCTGTGTACAAGATGCTGCCACGCATGCTGAGCCAGATGATTGCGACTTCTGCGATCATGCAGCTAAGCAGAATACCCAGGTAGCCTCTGCCGTGGTCCACCAGGTTGAGAGAGCAGGTCTCATTGGGGTTGTATGCCAGTCCAAAGAGCACCACAGAAAGGATTATGAACCTGCCACACATAAGCACATACAATATTCCCTTGATAAACCTCAAGGTACCATATACATGAAAAAATAGTATTCAAAGAATGTCAACAGCAATATTATGATTGCAGGTCTGTGAAAATGTCTCTTTTTAATGTTGCCATGAAGTGGTTAGTTTATTTTATGTGCTAAACAAATAAGTAGTTAGCTTTGAACATATTCACAACTGCATACATCTAATAAAACGAGCTTTTGCCTATCAAAGCTCATCCCATAATAAAACAGTTATCCTCTCTAAAGGCATCAGAGCCCTTTCAACATTTTATTCACAACGTAATTATCTTGTTACTTTTAATGAAATAAATTTGACAAGAGTTTCCAGAGTCAGCCACTAAAGGAATGCTATCAGTGGTATTATATTCAGTATACGTCTTGGTCTGGGTTTCTGTGATTACAGGCAAATATCACATTTAGCCAATTTTAAATGTTCCACTAATGTCATCCATTTATTTGTGGTATATGTTTAGGGATTGCTTTGATAGTAAAATGCTGCTGCTTAGCTAGTGGGGATTTTTTTTCGCCCACATGCAGATTTCTGGATGACATCCCAGAACACATTCTGTGTCCCTCTATAACTGAGAGAGAGAAAATTCCTTTTGACAGATCTGTCTACTTCTCCACTGTCATCAGGAGGTCTTAAAATGAGAATAGTAAAGGCGTGGACATGCTTTCAGTAGTCACTAGAGGGCGGAAGAAAATGTGGCAGGCACACGGTGCTGTAACTCTACATCAAGATTATAATGTCAATATGGTATTACTATTCTTGCCTACATAATGATTTTATTATGCATGATACATGAGTATGCCCACATGACAAAGGCTAAAACAATAAGCTGTCACAACTTTCATCACTTTGCTTGCCCTCTGGGAAGATGTGTGGCAACATGTAGATTCCCCAGTACACCACTGCTGAGTTATCCATAAAGAAACTTGTTAGTCAGAAGCAACCAAGGAACAACTGATAAGAAGCAATCACACAATATTGGTTTTACATTATAACACCTGACAAACTAACATCTTTGGTTCATTCCAGGACTGCAATACTTCAAGGACTGCCTCTTTCCATTTGAACCTACTTGGACCCTGAGATCATCTTCTGAGGCCCTTCTTCATGTGCCTCCTCGAGAGGTCCAGAGGGTAGCAACATGAGAACGGGACTTCTCTGCAGTGGCTCCCTGTCTGTGGAATGCTCTCCCCAGGGAAGTTTGCTTAGCACCTTCATTATACACCTTTAGGCGCCAGACAAATATGTTCCTTTTTAACTAGGCCTTTGGTTGATCTGATTTACATCCTATGTGCTTTTAAAATGGTTTTTTGGGGGGGGGCTATTGGGTTGTTGTTTTTATTTTTATTATGTATTTTGTGGTTTTATATCTTGATTTTATTCTGTGAACTGCCCTGAGAACTCTGGGTATAGGGCAGTAGATAAACTCTAATAAAATAATAATAATAATAATTCCATGGGATGCCATTGTAGGGCTGTAATTGTGGCAAAAGTTTTCCATACTAAGTATTAACAGAAATGGTGAGAAGGTATGAAATACACTTTACCATGGTTTTATCAAGATAATTCAACACAGTGTGTTGCATTAAATTCTGCATTAACTTACCTTTCTAATGATGTGAATTATGGCATTAGTCTAAAAAAGACTGATGTTATGAGTCAACACTTGGGAAATCCCACCAATTGATACCTTTACTGTATTTTCAGTGCCTACTGACAACATTCTGAGATTTAACATCAGATGTTTAGAAAGTTTGTATGAGTTTTAAATTGTTTTGTTGTGGTTACAACTTTATGCTTTTAACAATGGTTATAAATGATTAGTGATGATTTTATGGCTTTATCTTTTTTGAAAACTGCTTTGATGATTCTTCTACAAACAAGCAGCATATACATTTTATGAAATGATTTTTTAAAAATGCAGCGTTTTGAATGACACTTTCTATAGGGGAGCAGGATGCTACCAATAACTGGAAAAAAAGAGTAGCAAAACAGAATAAAAAACTTTGCTCATTAGTAGAGTCATGGAAGCTTTCTGCTCAGGTATATGTTTTCACTTACCAAGTGGTATGGAGGAGAAAGAGAAAGATGGCTGGCAAAACAAGGTCATCACTGCCTACAGACCAGCGACGACGGAATACCACAATCCCTGGCATGGCTAATGGGTCAGGGGAGGATCACCAGGCACAATGCTCACCTTCTGAAACAGAAGAACAAATAGCAATTAAGCAAGGTTTTTCCAGCCATCACAAAAATATGGCTGTTCATTTGTTCCAAGAACAGAATAGTTGTAATGATATCTCAGACAATTTCCCCACACACTTCTCACATTTGTACCCTGCCACTCTGAGTGATAGGTTAGGTAGTGATCCAGTTTTAAAGTTTAATTTCAACCCAGGGCTCCCCTTTCCAGCTGGACATTCTATCGCCTACACCATATTGGCTATCCAAGTCTCTTTCTCAACCCATGGCCATAAGGCAAGCCAAATTCATTTTTGTGGACTGCCATGGTCTCTGATTAATGTGGCCGTCCAGATTTTTGATTTTTTTTTAAGATTCAAACTGGGCCCTCCAAAAGCTGAAAGCAGCCTCTAGGTGCATGACCCAGTGCTGCTGACATAGGTATATCTGGTATGGCTGTCCTCAGTACCCACTGGAGAGGCCGTGGTGAGTGACCCACATGTATGCCACCCACAGGAGGATTTTGCGCAGGATTCTTCATTCCTTTAAAAATTACATTATTATATGAAAGGAGGGGTGCCTAGCCACAAAGTCACATGTGCGTTCATGCTGCCTTTAGTAAAGAAGAGGGAGGCTAAACATTCACAATGTTGTACAATAAATGAAATGGGTTAGGTAAAAATCACTTGCAACCTAGTCTTGTTACTTTCATCACTCCAGGACTAGAAAATGGGCCTATTTAGCAATCTTTAGAAGCCAGAGAGTCTTCCCTTCCCAACCCCCTTATAAATGTTCATATAACTACTAAAAGCTAAACACTTGCTCTTTTAAAAATGGAGGTTAGGTAGATTCTGCAGTAATTGTCAGGATGATTTCCTTATTCATGCTTTGATGGTTTGATTGTTTGAGCATGCCCAGCAAAAATAATATTGTGCCACTTCCTTGCACATGATGAAGATGAGGCAGTCATGCCACAATAAATGTGTTACTTTTAAAGATGCTCATGGGCTTGTTGTCATTATTCTGATAAAAGGCTATTCTTCTGGAATTTATCCCTAAGGGCATGCAGATTCCTAAACTTTCTTGATTCTGCTATTCAGAGCTACAGATGATGCAACACCTGAATGTTTAGAAGAGGCATTAGGAGGATCAAAAGAAACACAGCTATAGATGAAGGGAGGTGAGCATTAGCGGAAAGTGGAGTAAAGCCCATGCTCACTGGATTCCAATTCACAAGATTAGTGGGACTCTTATTACAGAGCTCTTTATTGGTTACTGATCTTTTCTAGATGCCTGTGGAAGCTCTAACAGGTAGCTTAGCAACTTTATTCCATATTACACGTAGGATAAAAGCACTGAAATTTGGGGTTTGGGGACATAATATAAAGCCAGTCCTATGAACTATCATAAGATATTCAGACTCTAAATTGCATTTGCACTTGTAAAGAAGTATGGATGCTAGGTTGGCATTCCCAAACTGTTTCCCTGGCAAGAATGCTCGGACCAGTCTGCTAACCTACTTTTAAAAAATTCTGGAATTTGTATCCATAGACTTCCGGGGTGGCGCCATCGGTAATGGCGGATTCCCTCTGATCTGGAGGGACTGGCTCCACGGAAAACGGGTCTGTTCCGCTACGGCGAAGCAGGGACCCTTTAAAAAATCACAGGCGGATGAAGCCTGTGACCATGGGACTCGGCGGGCACCTTTTGCGCCCCCCCAATTCGTAAAGGAACCCAGTTACGGGCTCCAGAGCGAAGAGGGGCAAGTGGCGCGGTGCTGAGAGTCAATTGCTTCTTCCGTGGAGCGAAGCTGCACAGCCGTTGCCGGAGAGCGCTACCTTTTTCCTGGGACAATTTGGCTACAAAACAACTACCCGTGAGCAGATCAAATTTGGACAATTGGACTTTAAACAACGATCTGTGAGTAGAACGGAAAATTGGATTAAGAAATTCCTCTTAATTTGGCACTGAAGTGGGAAGGTCTAAACAGGAAGTCAGCCTTCCGTTTCTTGTAGACAGATTAAAGCAAAGACATGGCAAACTAGAGTGTAGAAAATCATTTGTAAAGGATCAACTTTCATCATCTAAAATTACTGAACCCCCTTCGGAAGCAGGAGAAGAGGGGGGATTTTTTCCAGATTGCTTAAACCTGCAGAAGAGAGTGTAAGAAAAGTAATTTTCCACCGTCTTGAACCTGGGAGCGGGGTGTCAGGACAGACGTTTTTGGGAAAGTTCATTGACGATAGACAAATGTTTTTGATAGATAATTAAAAGAAGAGAAACATAGTGATTCCATTGTGCTCTTTCGCAATTTAAAGGAATAAATATTGACAAAATATCTGAAAAAGGAAACTTTGTTGTCAGATCTGCTGTTAAAAAAAAAAAGAGAAGAGTTGGATACAAAGAGAAGTTCTTCCCCTAGAGGGAGCTTGTGAAACTGTTACTAAACTTGAACTGGGGAGCAGCTGTAACAGATTAAGATCGTGGGAATAGACTTCTGACCTTGTATAACAATGTGCTCAGAGGCTCTGGTGCGTGCTTTCTGTAAAACAAGTGCTCTATTGGAACAGTTACATGAGAAGACGGATTTGATGACTGCTGCGATCAGAAATTTTGGACAGGTAGTGGGTATCTATATATATATATATTTTTTTTTTTTAAATAAATTTTTATTAATTTTCCAAGCACAAAATAAAAAAACAAAGAAAAAACAAACAATACACAGTACACCGACATACAAACATATAAACATGTACAATTTCATAACCATTTTTTCATAAACCTTACTTTCCGGACTTCCCCATACCTCCCCTTTTCTGCATCCTTGTTTTATATTCCTTCAGCAACTCCTCAGTCGGCTAATTTTTCAGTTCAATTTCTTTTAAGTTCTTCTAATATTGTTAATTACAGCTGCAATTCTCTGTTTCACAACCCCTTGACATTTTAACATTCCTGAATTTTACAACAAGTTCTAAGATAAACTTTGAATTTCTTCCAATCTTCTTCCACTGTCTCTTTCCCCTGGTCACGGATTCTGCCAGTCAACTCCGCCAGTCCCATGTAGTCGATCACCTTCGTCTGCCATTCTTCCAGTGTGGGTAGTTGTTGTGTCTTCCAATACTTTGCTAGAAGAATCCTTGCTGCTGTAGTCGCATACATAAAAAACGTCCTGTCAGTAGTGGGTATCTATATAGAACCCACTCAGGAATCAAACCAGGAATGTGCTCTGACAGATCAGGAGATTGTTGTTGGACCTCGGGTGGCAGAGATGGAGGGAGCTGCGGCCCAGCAGGAGCTGTTGGATTTGACAAATGAACTTGGAAAAAGCCAGATTTGGAGAGATAGAGTCTTGTTTGGTTTGGAGATGGGGGGCTGGATAGACCCCCCCTATGCAGGGATGTTTTGATTTTTCAAGTCTGGCGTTGGGTCGGGTGGAGTTTGGAGTTGTGGGGGTCCTCAACTTTGGAGGGATCTTGAAAAATGTTTTTAAATACCACATGGAGTTCAGTGTGGACTATGGAAAAGGGGCTGATCTGTCGAGAAGGGATAAAAATACTGTTAAGCTGGAGTCTCCACGTGTGAAAGGTGCAGAAGACAAAGTAAAGTACGGGTATAAATATGAAGAAGATCTGCGGAAGGGACATGGAAGAGACTTAAGGGCCTCGGACATAAGGCTACCAGGTTAATGAACTAGATGGATGGGATAGAAAGGACTGACAAAACCCGTGACCAGGAGGAAGAGACGCTGGATGAAGATTGGAGAAAGTTTCAAAAATTCTATTTAGGAATGTTTTCTAAAATTAATGAGTATTAAAAAAGATGTTGGAACGAAATTATTTGGCTTTAGCAGAAATGTTAAAAGAACTATGCAAGAATATGTCATGGTTATGAGAAATTGGTATAGATAAGACTCAAGCTTTAAGTTTTAGGGTTTTTTATAGTAAGATAAGGTTAAAATAGATTAAGGTAATTTAATGACAGAATATCATGAAAAATGGGAAGGATTTGCTGTGATAATCAATAACTAGAATACAAAAAAGGGAGGTGTGAGGAGGTCCATGAAACAAGTTAATGAAAGATAAAGACTTGGGAATATTGGATTTGTTTTTAAATGTGTTTGTTAATTTTTGCTTTTTGATTTTGATGTATTTGTGTGATTTGTTTTTTTCTTTGTTTATTGACTTGTATTGTTTAATTTCTCTTTTTGTCTACTTTTTTCTTTGTTTCTTTGTAATCTTAAAATCCTCAATAAATATTATATTTTTTTTAAAAAATGGAATTTGTATCCATATTGGCACCTATTAATTTGTTCATTTTGGTCCAGTAAGTCCTCTGGAGAGTCAGCTGCTACAACATGGTGCTTGTGACCCAAATTCCAGCCTGTAACACAACCTGCCAAAACCAATGAAGTGGAGCTTCCTGAATGGGTGGGTGGCAATTTTTCTACAGAATGAGTCTTCTGAAGAAGGAGATCCACTCAATCAGGAAGCTGAAGTTTGTCATACATGACAAACATTCAAGTTTTTTCAGTTTTGACAGTGAAGTCTAAGCATACAAATGTATGTATCCCTGCATGAAAGTCAGCTCCACTGAATGAGGTAAGACTCACTTCAGAGTAAATATGTATGGTACTTGTCAAATGTTAACCTTTTCAAGGTGTGATAAACAAGATGCACAGACATCTCTGTCATATCTTCACAGGATTGTGCATGGAAATGGATGTTGAATCACAACCAAAAAACCCACAGGACAACAGGAAGGCTTTTGATATTGGTTCTCCAAGACCAGCATATACAGTATGCCCATGATGTTATTAAAGCAGAAATTCCTACCCATATGTCTGCAAGGTGTTAGTCAGGTTATGGGATTTGCAACAGGAAGGTTAGCCACATCAGTTATAAAGTGTATCAGTTTTAGCATTATGAACCAAAGCATGATGCACATAATCTAAAATCTTGCTATCAGCTTTTTTTATGACTGCAATTAGACCCTGAGACTTTTGAATCCATTGGCTTGCATACTAAGCCTTCTACAAGTGGAAGAGCTCCTTCTGTTTATAGAAGACTTTCGATTCAACAGAAGATCCCACTAATGAATAGCAGGGGAGGAGATCTTCACAGATTCATGTCATACTTTTGTGGCCGTAATAACAGACTTCTCCTAGAATAGAAATGGGAATGCATTCACAGCTGGAGGGAATCCTACAAGTAATATTTTGGCTGCAAGCACCTTGGGCTGGATATTCCAAGAGATTCTGAGTTATATAATTCATTTTACCACTGGCATCAGTCATCTCAGATACCAGTGTCACACTGGGATACTAGACCAAATTCAAGAGCGCTCCTAATCTAAATCTGAATATCAGACTGTAAGGTCCATAATTTATCCACCCAGAAACAGTAATTATGCTAACTCATTTGGCCATAAGGAGTGATTCATTTTTCTGTGGACAGCAGCTGTACAATAATTCTCTTCACCCAGCACTCTGCTCACCCAAGCAACTGTTCAAAAACTTCCTCTAGCCTGAACATCACATAAACAGAAATTTTTTTATACTTCACTCCCCGCTCCCCACAGCTTATGAAGAGATCTCCCTATACCCCTTTGTGAAACACTAGAACTGATACAACAGATTGCTCTGTGAGTTGCCCAAACCTGGATTGCATAGCAGCTCCATTCAAATTCAATGTCTAAAGAGCCTATTCTCAGTGCCCTTGCAGCAAGTGGCAGCTGTGGTTTTCAGTCAGCCCTTGCTTGCTTCCAGGCACAGCTGCCACAGGCATACATGCCGAAGGCACGTGCTGAAGCCAGCCCAGATCATCCTTTGGCAAGTCCCCCTGAATATTTCTGGATATTTAATGGCCAGATGCTTCTCTAGTGCTTCCTTTTCTCAGAAGCTTTATTAATGGCAACATTGCAGTAGGGGCCTATGCATAGAGTCTTTCCTACTCACAAACTCTGATGATGAATTTCAAATTAATCCCTACAATATAATTCTCAGCTCCGTAAGTCAAAGCATACAGCACTTGTCTATATGGCCTTTCCCTGCAGAATGTGTCCTTGAAAAACTGGTGATTTTTGTACTGCTTCATGGGTGGAGTCACTACCCTGTTCTAAACATCCAGGTTGGTTGTACTGGTATTGAGTTTCTTTCTGAAAATGAACATCACTTGTCCACAATGTCCTCTTCAATGTCTGAACAGGTTCCGAGAGACTATCAGGCCTAGGAGAGGTTTTGCTGCTTGAAGCATAGTTGAGGTATATGCTTGAAGCATAGTTGAGGTATATTTTGGCAAGTAGATTTAAAAAAGTTTTAAATGAAGTAATTCATAAGGACCAGGCCGGTTTTCTCCCAGGTAGACATTTGTTTGCTAACACAAGGAACATTATTGATATTTTGGAACTTCTCCAAACTGACATAAATACAAAAGCTGTTTTAATTTTTATAGATGCGGAGAAGGCCTTTGATAACATTTCTTGGAAATTTATGATGGGAAACTTAAAAGAGATGGGAGTGGGACGGGGTTTTGAGAATGGGATTGAGGCGATATATTCAGAACAGAAAGCAAAACTGATAGTTAATAATGTGGTTACAGAAGAGTTCAAAATTGAAAAAGGGACACGACAAGGTTGCCCTATTTCCCCTTTGTTATTTATTTCGGTCCTGGAAGTGCTATTGAACATGATTAGAGGGACCAGCTGCTGGAAGGAATTCAGGTTGGTCAGAAACAATATAAATTAAAAGCTTTTGCAGATGACCTGGTTTTGACCTTGCAGAAGCCAGAGCCTAGTACGAAAAGAGTATTACAATTGATTAATGATTTTGGTCGGGTGGCGGGATTTAAATTAAACAAACAGAAAACTAAGGTTTTGGGGAAAAATCTGACTGAGACAGAGTCAGAACGGTTTCAGAATGAGACGGAACTTAATGTGGTTAAAAAAGTAAAATACCTAGGGGTAAACATAACAGCAAAAAATCTAAGTCTATTTAAGGATAATTATGAAAAATGTTGGACAGAAATTAAGAGAGACTTAGACAGTTGGTCAAAATTGAAACTTTCTTTGTTAGGCCGAATTGCTGCGATTAAGATGAATGTATTGCCAAGAATGTTGTTTTTATTTCAAACACTGCAGGTATTGGACAAAATGGAGTGCTTTCAGAAGTGGCAGAGAGACATTTCGAAGTTTGTCTGGCAGGGCAAAAAGCCCAGAATTAAGTTTAAGATACTAACCGATGCAAAACAAAGAGGGGCTTTGCCCTGCCGGACTTAAAGTTGTACTATGAAGCCGCAGCGTTCTGCTGGCTAAAAGACTGGCTACTTCTTGAAGACACTGATGTGTTAGATTTGGAGGGGTTTAACAATGTTTTTGGATGGCATGCATATTTATGGTATGACAAAGTTAAAGCAAATAAGGCCTTTAAGAACCATATTGTTAGAAAATCACTGTTTAATGTCTGGACAAAATATAAAGACTTGCTGGAAAATAAAACACCAAGGTGGCTTTCACCTTTGGAAGCTAAGGCCCGAAAAAGACCCAATATGGAGGCCAAATGGCCAAAATATTGGGAAATACTAGAAAAGATGGAGACAATTGGAAATTGCAGAGCTTGGAGAAAATGAAAGACAAAGTGCGAGATTGGTTACACTATGCTCAGATTAAAGAAGTTTTTAAAAGTGATAAGAAACTAGGGTTCCAGGTGGAGAAATCGAAATTAGAAACAGAATTGTTAGAACCAAAGACTAAGATACTTTCAAGGATGTATAACTTGCTGTTGGAATGGAATACACAAGATGAAATGGTTAAATCGGCTATGATAAGGTGGGCACAGGATATTGGGTATAATATTATGTTTGAGGACTGGGAAAGGCTGTGGAGTAATGGATTGAAATTTACTGCATGTAATGCTTTGAAAGAAAATGTAATGAAAATGATTTATAGATGGTATATGACCCCAGTCAAACTCGCAAAAATTTACCACCTGTCTGATAACAAGTGCTGGAAATGCAAAGAGTGTGAAGGAACGTTCTTTCACCTCTGGTGGACATGCCCTAAAGTGAAGGCGTTCTGGGAAATGATTTATAATGAATTGAAAAAGGTATTTAAATATACTTTCACTAAGAAACCAGAGGCCTTCCTTTTGGGTATTGTCAGCCAAGGGGTGGCAAAGAAGGACCAGACATTTTTATGTATGCAACAACAGCAGCAAGGATACTACTCGCAAAACATTGGAAAACCCAAGATCTACCCACACTGGAAGAATGGCAGATGCAACTGATAGACTATATGCAACTGGCTGAAATGACTGGCAGAATCCGTGACCTGGGAGAAGAGAGAATCGAGGAGGATTGGAAGAAATTTAAGAACTACCTACAAAAACATTGTGATTTGATTGAATGCTGAATAAGATGCTGGACTAAATAACTGAGCACCACTTAACTTAGAAATTTTTAAGGAAACAAGAAAAATTGTGAAAGTTTAACTCTTTATGAGAACTTTAAGATTATGAAATATCGAAGAGATATAAGAATTTAAATAAGATGATAAATTGCTGACAAAATGTTATAATGATGAAGGTGGGAGCGGGAGATGTGAGGAAGTCCAAAGAAAATGTGAAATTATGTTAAGACGAATGCTATATTGTTTATTACATTTATTCCTATTGTAAAACCCAATAAATTGCTTTAAAAAAAAAAAAAAAAAAAGAAGCATAGTTGAGGTACCTTGAAGGGTCTGCCTACTAAATCTAGCAGTAGGAACTCAAGCCTTTCACATAAACCAGAGAGCCTTTCTCAGCTGAAAAATTTGCAACAGATTTGACAGCTGAAAGTGGCTCCATTTCTATTCAGGAATAAATAGCTTAGCTTCCTGATTCACACCAGTAGTACTTCCTCTGTTCTTCGCAGAACAATTTGGCAAGAGTAGGTACAAGGAGGGGGGATACCTTCCTGATGTCCACAGCATCTTAGTTCTCCTCAGTCCTACCTGGCTACATCTCAGTTTATAATCCATCCTGATGACTTCACCAAGCACCAATAATATAGTTTAAGAAGGACCTGAACATGATCAATAATAAGTCTCAATCAGGCCCAACATTTTTGATAATTTTGAGCTACTCTATTTCCTTATCCTCCGGCATCTTGATTCTGTTGCTGTCCCAGGAGTATTGCTTGGAGAGAGAGAGCCCACTCATTGCTGCTATCAATGCACCTCAGACTTGATCTTATTTAATTGTTCTCTTAAGCAATTAACAAAATGGGCAACACCTAAATAATCTCATTTCTACTACAGTGGTGCCTCGCAAGACGAAATTAATCCGTTCCGCGAGTCTCTTCGTCTTGCGGTTTTGTCGTCTTGCGAAGCACGGCTATTAGCGGCTTAGCGGCTATTAGCGGCTTAGCGGCTAATAACGGCTTAGCGGCTTTAAGAAAAAGGAAACAAACTCGCAAGAACTCGCAAGACGTTTCGTCTTGCGAAGCAAGCCCATAGGGAAATTTGTCTTGCGGAACGACTCAAAAAACGGAAAACCCTTTCGTCTAGCGAGTTTTTCGTCTTGCGAGGCATTCGTCTTGCGGGGCACCACTGTATATGCATCACAGTCAGGATTTGCTTCTCCAAGCACTCTTGTGGTAAGCACCAATATATACCGGTATATACTTTCTACGTCTATCTACAATTATCATATGATGTTGTTGTTTTACACAAGGTTCACATTCAAATGATCTAAGCAGAACTTCCAAGATTCAAACCATAGGAACTTTGGTGAAGTGGTTTCAGAGAATTCTCAAAAATGCTGTTGGAAAGTGTGCCTGACACCCTCCAGGTTAATTAAGTTTCATTTTATTTCTTAAATCTGAGGGCCCTCCCAGAGAAAATATTGTACCTTGAGCTGAACATCCAAGTTCACCAAACAGTATCCTTTGCCACCAAACGGTATCCTTTGAAATGAAAGGAAGAATCTTCTTTCAGCTTAAAACAGGAGAATAAATGAGATGAACATGCAAATGTACATCTGAGTGTAGATGCAGTCTATCTGTACTGCACTGTTGGAATATATATTCCCCATAAGGATGTACAATTAGATACACATCCAAGTATCTGAGAGTGGCTCTCCTTCATTGGACTGGGCAAGGAAGTATAGATGACAGAGAAGAGAATTCTAGAGAGAAGGGAAAAGGAAGGAAGCTATCTTCTTTGTCTTGCCCCTCTTCTGTTCCCTCTGAGAAAATATGTATGTCCTCCCATTTTTATGAATTTAATTGTAAAGGGCAGATCTGCATTCACTGAGTAGCAGGGGCTGATTTCTTAATTTGAGATTCATTCACCTAACCCATCAAGTTGCTGACATTATGAAGAATTGGTACCTATGACATTATGAAGAATTGGTACCATTATGAAGAATTGGTACCAAGTTGCTCTAGTGAAAATCCCTGGTGATATCTTTCATTCTTCCCACCAAAAAAAATTGGCAAGCATTACTAGCCTTCCCTTCCCTCACATTTTCCTGATGATCACTGTTCGCTTCCAACACTCCTTGTATATCTTTGTAAAATATTACTCCCTCTAGAACAATTAGCTGGACTCTACCTCCTGTATTATATTTTGCAATCATGAAACTTTTCCAGCAATGAAATCTCACAGAAAATATGAGCAAAGAATGATTCATGTTTAAAAGTAACTTTGAATAGGCTACCTTTTTTATACCTTAGCAAGCCTACTATTTATATGACAGCCACCTGAACCTGTTTTTCTCCAAACTATTGAAGGTAGTGTGGAAGTCAAGAGTAAGAACAGTAGCAACTGAGAATGAAAAAGCATATGGTACATAGGCAGCATAAGAGCTAAATGAAAAAAGTATGTTATCCTGAAAGTTAAGAGGCAGATCATTCATGTTTTTTTATTTGAGCAGTTAAAAAATCAAGAATTGATAGATGCACTCAAAATTCACTGGACCTGCAATTATGAGTCCTGGAAGAAAGCAGAAATAAGGCAGTGCATAGAAGGTATCATATCATGTTACTCTAGATTAATTAAGTAGCCTGGAATCAATATAACTCTTGTACTCATGATCACTAACACACATTAGAATCCCAATTCTTCCACATGCATGCATTAAAAGGATGGGAAATAATATGTTACCACACTTTATCTTCCCCTATTGTGTAGAATATAAATTAACTAATATGCTGTGATGATGAGTACATGTCCTACTTAAAACAGTAAAGGATTACCAAGTGTTTGAAAAGGACTTTACACCTGGATTAGAGCGTGTATTTATGAAGTCATGGGAAGGCATTTATTTGCACAGAAATGCATTTAAAATGTCTCAAGTGCACTGTTAAACAAGCTGGGTTCCCAGGCTCAAATAGAAACAGGAGTGTGTGTGAATAAAATATGCTTACATAGCATGTAGTCCAGTAGAAGCACATTCTTCTGTCCCAAGAAGCTTTCTTGGGATAGTCCGTGTCCATGGACGGAGTCTTCATGAGTGAAGGAGGAATCAGCATACTCGCCCTGGCACCACTGGAAATCCCAAGCAGGAGGGGAAAAACAGCTTGGTGACTGTCTGCCAACAAAGCCAGTCATCCGCATCACCAGAAGCAGCAGCATCAACACTACCTCCATCACAGCAGGTCCCTCCCTCCAAGACACAACCTTCATTTATTCAAGCGAAGCTGCTTCAAGCAAAGCATGTGTGAATCAGGACTCCCCCCATCTCTTTCTACATTTTGATCTCACTCTAGAAGGAAGTGACCTCATTTCCTGCTCTCAGGAGACTTCTGAATTATGGGAGGAAGGACTGAGAATGAGAGCACACAATGCTGTCACTTATGAGAGAAACACCAAGGGACAGAGAATGCTCTCAGATAGCAAGTGCAGCAGCAGAGAAGCAGCACCTCTTTCACTAGACAAATCAGAGCAACTGAGTGCACTGTAATGACTTTGGAACATTCTAAATCCTTCCTAAATATCAGAAATCCTCTTTCCCTACAACAGATTACATCAGAGACAGAATTGTAGGAGCAAAAGGCTGAAAAGGCTTTGGACCTTTGGCTGCTTCTTTAATATTCTGTAAACAAGAGGCACACAGGAGGGGCCATCTTCTTAATCAAAGAGTGAAAGGTCTCCTCTCTCACATGCTGCTGTAGCTGTGGAGGGCTCCACTACATGCTATGTTAAGCATAATATTGAAATGTACAACTAGGGCTCTGACTTTCCTTTCCTAACCTAAAGTAGCTGTCAGCAGCCCAATCTGTATCAGGACTATAGTTGGGAGGAAGAGAACCCCACACAGTCATGTTCTCCTTCTCTGACTCAAAGGAAGAATCAGAAGGAGGGGAGGCATCACCTAGGGAGGCATCATCCCCCATTCCAGGATTCACCCAACTCATACTCAGAAGGCAACCCCGGACTTAAATGCAGTCTCCACTACTCCTGTGCCGTAAGACTGCTGCAGATTCAGGCAATGGCTGTTGAAGAAACAGACAGTTCCTTAGAGCAGGTGGGATTAATAGCAGGTCCAAAGCAGTCAGCCTTCATAAGGTCTCTGCATGCTGCTGAGAACAACCATTCTCCCTGAGTGATTTCCAGCAAACCCTCGCCATGGTCTCCTGGCCTTCCCTATTCCTTCCAGTAAGTGCCAATTCCTTCCCTGGGAGCCTTCAGCCAAGCTAGGACAGGGCAAATGCTGCAGTCCCAATACGCTATGACTAAGACACACACACCATGGCTGCTTTTTGATAGGATAGAAAACTGAGGAGTCCTAATCACATTTTTAAATACTGCAGTGTGCTTAATGTAACACATAGTTTGGCTCTAATTCTTTATGACATGAGGATGTAGCATGGAGTGGGGAAGGAGCACTGCAGAATATACATCTGGAGGGTTAAGGTTTAGTGTAAAGAACAAGAACGAGGCCACAAGATTTCAGATAAAGTCACAAGATTTCAGATAAAACTAGGGAGATTTAGTTAAATCCACAATGCTACTAGATCTGGCATTCGCTGCAGAAGCACAATACATACAGAAGCTGAGCACAGCAGGAAGATACGGAAATTGGCTTATGCATATCCCATTAGATATAAGAGACACCATATGCAGCCCTTAGGTTAGCACACCAGCCCAAAGCTACTCATTCCTAAGGAAGGGAGATACAGTGCTACACTGTGAGTTCAAAGCAGCCAACAGCAGCTCATGAAGGGAAGGAACAGCAGAAGTGCCCTTGCTAGGACAAGGATGGAGCAAAGATGGGTGAGCTGTGGGTTTGTGGTGACAGCATCTAGCAGGTGTGTGCTCACCTATGGAATAGCACTGCTATCAATTCAGAGGTCCACTGACCTTGCTGTCACCTTGCCCCATCACAATCCCAACAAACACAGTGCGGCTGCAACTCCTATTCCCAAGTTTTCATTTGGGTTTCCAGATGTCCTAGAATTAGTGCACTATTTCACGTAGCTCAATGTTGTGAGTTCTTCTCTCCATTAGAATGGTCTCAGGTTGAGTTCTCAGCATCTCAAATCAAAAGAGCTCAAGTTGTATGAAGACGTCTGCCTAACACCCTGGAGAAACCAATACCAGAAATGATGAACCAGTGGTCTGACTCAGTGGTGTAGTGGGAGGGGCAGGGGGCTGTGGCCCCAGGCACAGAATCTGAGTGGGGTACAAAGCAGGAGCCTCCTCCCCGCCCCCATGTGCCTGGCATGCGAGCCCCCTTGGCGAGCACAGAGGGTTTCTTTGCCGGCCAGCAGATGGATGGGCCCAGTGTGCTGGGCAGGGTGCAGAGGGTGAAGAGCACACTCCACGCCCCACCAAGCACTCGAGCCCCCACCCGAGTGGGCAGGCACTCACACACTTGATGGGGACAGAGCATGGAGGGTGCTCTCCACCCTCTGTGCCCCCACCCTGCACAAAAGCGCCTGCTTGCCCGATGATGAGCTGGCCCTGGCCTGCTGGGCAGAAGCAGGGCCCAGAGGGTAAAGTGCACCCCCACCGCCCTGCCCCCACCCGACATGTGAGTGCCCACCCGACAGTGGCAGGGGGAGCACAGAGGAAGTCCTCCACACTCGCCCCGTCCCCACCACTGAAGCACAGCCATTCAATCGCCATGCGGTGACGGGGCATGGAACTCTCCGTGCCCTGCTCCCAGCCAGCCAGAAGAGGCAGCAGTGATGGGGTAGCATGCCCATGGAATGGAAGATGGCAGGATCCTGAAGGATGTGCTCTACGAGCAGCTGGTTGGCAGACCAACTCTGCATTACAAAGGTGTCTACAAATGTGATCTGAAGGCTGGCAACATTAACTCTGCATTGTGGAAATCACTTGCAGACAATCATAATGTCTGGACACAGACAGGCAGGTCGTGTATCCACCGCAGTAACCAGAGGAGGAATAACCGCTGGGATGAGCATAGAGAAAAGAAACATCATGGTGCACCTGTATTTTCATTATTGATTCGCAGTGACAAAAACAATAGCAAACATCCATTCCCAAACTATATGTTCTGTTTTAAAATTACCAAAAGATGTGAATATAAAACTCATAAAATGGCATGTCCACCTTGCAATTTGTCTGCCATGAGCAGCAGTTGAGTGAGAGATGTAGAGTGCACATGTATATGTATGTGTGAAAGAGAACATGGTCATTATGTGAGGGGGAGTTTGTTAATAGGTGCATGTGGAAGGAAGATCAGGTGGTATTTGTGTATCCATGAGAGGAGAAAGAATATTGTGGCAGCAAGATGTGAGAATGTGTGAAATACAGCTTATAGTGTGGGTGGATGAGCATACATTGAGGGAAGAGGAGGGAAAAGCATATAAATGACACCTTTGTATAATATAATCTAACTCCTTTGAGTTGGTGGGCTCTCCTCCTTCAGTCAAGAACCTAGAGATTCTGAAGAAAGAAGCAGTCAGAGCCAGAAATATGCTAAACCTTCAACTCAATCACCATCTTCAAAATAAACAAGAGTGATTTGTGACACCTTAGGTTTTAACACATTTATTACGGCATAAGATTCCATGGACCAGAGTCAACTTCATCAGATGCATGAGGTTTTATCCTAAGCTGTCAGGAACGTATATAGAAAAAAATGTAAACAGTTAGGTCAGAGGGAAATGAAAGCAAAAAAAGGCTATGACAGTTACGTTAAAGCTTAAAGGTATGTAAAATAAGTACAGTGATCATTGACAAAGCAGTGCTGATGATAATGCAAACAACCTGTCATTGATAAGTTAACATGTGTAATGGAATAAAAATGGTCAAAGCCTATACTTTTTACATTTCATTTCCCAATGACCTCATTATAGAATTTTTTTCTCTACAACCATGTGTTGTTGTTTGGTTGTTTAGTCGTGTCCGACTCTTCGTGACCCCATGGACCAGAGCATGCCAGGCACTCCTGTCTTCCATTGCCTCCCGCAGTTTGGTCAGACTCATGCTGGTAGCTTCGAGAACACTGTCCAATCATCTCGTCCTCTGTTGTCCCCTTCTCCTTGTGCCCTCCATCTTTCCCAACATCACCTGCCAACTTATCACTTCAAACATTGGATGAAGTAGACTCTTGTTTTGCTCAAGTCTCTGAAAATTGTTACAGCTTCAGCACACAATGTATGCACACACCCAGGCCCAGTAGGGGTTCCCCTTCATTGGGACAGTTTTTGGGTGCAATGGATGACTGCATGCAAACTCAACTTTTTATTTAAAAAAGGGACTTTGATAATGAGTAAGGACCAATAGAACATAGACAGGATGACTGATACAGTGAACTTTTCCCCAAATATAAACAAGCACCATCTTTACAAATATATACCGGTAGATTTCATTCAGAATGCAGCATAGCAAGTTTTTGTCTCACAGGCTTTCCTTCCTCTTCTTTCCTTCTTTGTGCACAAGGGGAAGAGAATTAAAGCTTCTGTTTAAGTTTGGAACAGAAGTAGGGAACGGGTTGTTTCCAAATAATAACTGGAAACTGTCAATCTCCTCCTCTTGCGGGTGAAGGAAAGGGGGGGGGGTGTGACATGTGAGCATGAGGCTTACCACAACACATTATCAGAGTGTGGCCACTTCTTTCATGCAAACCAACCAGGAAATGGAGCAGAGACAAATCAGTGACAGGAGAAAAACAGAGTTACAAATAGAATCAGATGCTAATGCTAAATGCCTGTGAGTCCTGGAAGACCTGCTCCCTGCCTTGCAGGCCTTTTCCTACCTTTTCCCAGAGGGTGGGGCTTTAACTCACTACAGGTACAGAAACTGACGCTGATAAACAGACTCTTGGGCTAGGGGATTTTGTTGGGGGGACCTGTTGATGTTGGTTTTTTGTATCTTTATTTTAGATATTGTTGTTTATGTTGCAATTGGTCAGTTTGGTTGTGTATTTTTAATGCTTTATTTATTGTTTCTAACTATTTTTGTTATGCTGTAGTTATGTATTTTTTTCATGTTGCAAGTTGCCTTGAGCATGGTTTGAACTGCAGAAAGGTGGTATACAAATAGAATTATGTTTGTAAGCATAGAGGCGTAGGTGGAGGCAGGCTTCAGCATGCGTATCCCTATGTGGTTGAGGAACCGTGCTCACAAGTATATGCTGTGCTTGTGGTTCCTTCCCCTGCTCAGTTGCTATGGCTGTGTGCATCAAACTGTGCAGCAGTCCTGATGAACTGTTCAAGAGAGGGAGCTGAGCAGGGGAGCAGCTGGATATAATATTTCTCCGCCCAAAACAGCAGAATAATGGTACCAGCAATTTTCTGACCAGAGACTGTATGTATGCAGCCAAGGCTGATGCACACATTTGTAGCTGGATAAGGGCCAAAGGGAAGAAGTGAGACCTGCATGACCCCTTGTGTACTTTGCATACTACTCCACTAACAGACCACAGAAAGCCAAACTAAAGTGTCCAAACCACTGCTCCACTGTGGTGCCAACAATTACACAAAGCTAGAGAGTGACAGCATGCTAGAGACATCTGTGGTTTTAAGTGATTTGCTCTCCTGATGCATTTGCCATTTCCACCCACAGATCAGACATTAAGCTGAATGTGACATATTTTAAGGCATAACAAACCGACAGCTCTGTCAACCCTGTGGTGGCTGGACCACCTGCTAACTAGAAATGGCCAGCCGTATTATTTTGATGCAGCAATAAGAGGGTTGTATAACATGTAAATACGATCAGACCAGTCCATGAATATCCCTTTACTTAATCATTTATTAGGACTCCCCTTTTCAGAAAATGGAAAAATAGCTTGCACCACATAGCCCTACCACCCACAAAATAATTCAAACTGCTCATTGCAAAGTGCTGGCAAAACTGCCCTGGAGTTTTAAAAATAACTTCCTATACTCCACCTTAATACCGTTATGCCATCCAGCCACTGTAAGTAGAGCCAAACTGGGCATGTTGGAGCCATGATTCACATATTTGCCTCATTCACATATAAAGAGGGGTGTACTAAGGTCTTGCTTTAATTTTAACATACTTTCAGGAGAGAGCTACACTCTGGCTTCCCAACACTCTGTAGTCAGTTACTTCAACCCTCTAATTGTGGAAGTGAGCTAGGAACAGAGAATAGTGGCTTTGGGAAGTTGTAGGAAGGAAAAGATTCAGCACCCCTCACCCATGCAGTCCTTTCACTGTTTTTATTTGTTTGACTAGAATAGTTTTATGAAGTTTTAAAATGCTAATTATGCAAAGCCCGATGAAGGATGGGACGAGTAATAAGGAAGGGCAGAGAAAAACTGTAGCTGAAATAAAGGGGGAGGCTAATTTCAACCCAGTGGTCATTTCTGTAAGTGAATAGTAAGCAACTACATGAGGTTAGTACTGGAGATAGAGAAGTCACCTAAGAGTCCAAATGGATAGGTAGATGTCCATTTCCCCCCCCCCGTCAGTTTCACATGCTAACACTAAACCATAAGCCATAAGGTACACAAGGTGTATACTAGCTGATGAATGCAGCCAGAGTCTGCTTCACTCCTTCCTTCATGCAAGGTGCAAGCAAACTGTGAAGGGCTTAGCTTAGTGCAATGTCTGAACCTGGAATTTATTATTTATTGTTTATATATTGAATTTATATATGAAAGCTGCACCCAAAGAAAACTCAATTGCTAGCCATTGTGGAACTGGATAGGAGGACCATAGGAAGCTGCATTATAAGCAAAGCAGACCATCATTTAGCTGAGCACCATCAACACTTATTGGCAGCAGCTTTCCAGGGTTCCAGGCAATAGTCTTTCCCAGCCCTACTTGGAGAAACCAGCGATTGAAACTGGGACCTTCTGCATGAAAAACATGTCCTCTCCTATCGTTGTTGTACTTTTCTTTGTCAGGCTGTACTTTATGAAAAACAATAATTTCAAAAGTGTGTCCACTTCTACAACCTGTTGGAGTTTTGGAGATTTTTTTAAACATAGTCTTGATAAACTGGAAATGTATGATTACAGTTTATTTATTTAACAACAAGCCCCTGGATCTCATTTTTTACAAAAGGAATGTACATTCTGTGCCCCCTGCCCTCCACATTACAAGATTGCCAGATAAGAAACGTTTATGGCTGAACGTCCAATCTTTATCAGCCTGACTACAAGTATTCCAGATGGCATGCACTTAGCATGCCCGATTCAAGCGGAAACCAGCAATTATAACATGTATAAAACATCATCAATCTTCAAGCTGCTATTTTAAAGCCTATGAATAGAGCTCTTTCTGTCTCAGAACGTGCATCTTCACAATCTGGAGATTGTTCTTCCTTGGAGGATGTGATGTCATCCTTAGAAAATGTCTTCAGCTTTCTAGCCTATAGCTGATCTAAAAAATGAGCTTCTCTTTCAGAATCTTGGGCATCATCTTTGAAGGAATGTCACTGTGAAATTAGGTGGTGTGCTTTCTCAAATCAATTTCTTGCTCTGGTTGCCCATGGCCATTAGACCATAGAGGAAGGATGAAGCTAAGTATCAGGAGTAATTGTTTTCCTGATGTGAATGGAAAATGGAAGCCTGAAACAGCTACAAAACAAAATGTCAGTGTCTTTACAATATGAGTGGAAAAAATATGGGCTGGCTCATATATTACTGCTGGAGCTTCCTTTGTGGGGAAATCCTGGACTGGGAATACCTATTTCTAAAGTGGTATGTCCAAAGACATATGACCAGAAGACCTAAAGGAGGAGGAGAATGGCAGGGTAGGAGACAGCCTCTACCAACAGTATACTTGCAGAATACTTACAGAAAGAAAGCAGGAGAGGAGAACAAATGCCTGCCACTCCATCAGTGATGGGCCTGGAGAGAAAGGATAATAGTGCTAGTGGAGCAGAAAGTGAGCATAGCATGTTTCCCACTTAGTTAACATTAGGAGCCACCAGGTAAGATGACACAAGGTAAGCTATTAACACACATCCTGAGAGCTCTTGAGTTGCAGCATCACATTCTCCTGATCTACTCAAATGTCTCCTCAACCTATGGTCATTTCAGAGGCAAAGAGAGGCTAAACCCTCCTTTCACCTCCACAACTGAGAGAGGAGAGTTGGGTTCACAGACAGTATGCTACTTTGGCACAGCTCAGTGCCCTCCTCTCAACACTTGCTTCAAGGGCAGGATGAACTATGGGGGTGCTATTTGGCTCAGAAAAAGTTTTATCTGAGCCCTTGTCCAACAATTTACCTATTGTGGGTAAAAGGAATGAGAATCATTATTTGGCCCCCTTCCTTCCCCTCTCAATTCCTTTTAGATTACTACCTGTATGGATTGTATAAGGAAAATTTGAAAACTCAAATCCAAGCCACAGACCTCTTTGTGTTTCTTACTTCCTCTTCAGAACTGAGAATAAGAATAAATGGAGACTGAAAAACGTCACTCACTGAAGTATAGCCCTGGTGATTTTAGTATTTCATTATCCTCTTACAATTTTGTACTCATTGGTGATGGCCGAGGCAAGGTATTTTAGAAGTTCTATCTAATTCCTGAAAAAAACTAGAGTGCCTTCCTTGTCTATGACTGATCCTTCTGTCTAATTCCTGTCAAGTTCAAATTAAACTGAAAATACACCAGATGGCACTAAGCAACAAGCATTTTAAAATCCATCTTCTGTAAGAAGACGTCCCCAGACTTGCACACCCACCAATACCTCCTCTGCAAATTACACAAGCCGAACAGAGTGCTATACTATCAATACCCTCAGCATATTTTTCAGAAATAAAATAGATAAACATGCCCAGCAAGTGCACTTAATAGATCTGTTTGCCAATGGTGTTGCCTAAATTCTCAGCTGTGCTTGTGAGGAAACTTTTTTTCAAAAAAGAAGGGAAACAAGCTATCAGGAGCTCTGGTTCCCTACCCCCTTCTTAAAGAACATACAAAGAATGCAGCAAGAGGTGGTCTGGGTAAAAGCAACACCCACCCACCCTGCTCAAACATTAGCAGCAAACCACTGCCAACAACTCTCAGAGAACTAGTCAGAACATGCTTGTTAACTCCCAAAGCCACCTGAGAAAGGAAAAATAAGCACACGGAGAGTAGTAATGCTTAAACTGAGTTCAAATCCAAGAGAGATGATGATTCAAGGAATGTGGCAATTAATTCTAAAAAGAATGACTTTATCTTCAGTAGAAGTAGGACTGAGTCCAGAATTCGGTATTACTAAAAGTCTAATGATAATCAAACTCACTCTGTACTGTTGTATGTTTTTAAAATGGCAACCTGAATCATAGTCTTACTGGAATAAGCATCCTACATAAAACTATTCCATCTGGAAAAAATTCTCAAATAATATAACTTTAATGTTTGTCAATAATGTGTTTATATAATATATAAACCAAGAGACTGAAATATATCTCAGCTGCAGATAATATCCTTCTAAAGAAAACGTATGACTCCATTAGAGAAGAAACTCCTCTTGCCTGAGGAACATGAAATGATATAATCTGACTTCTTCTCCATGTTAGTTTCTCTGTTCTTTTTTTTCCCTGCACCAGCTGCAGCCTGCCAATCCTTGAAGGAGCTTGCAAAATCTTTGGAGCATCTACAATCAGTCCTGTATGGTAGGACTTCAAAGTGCCCCATCACCTGATGTAATAGTGAAGTCAAGGGATTGACAGGTGGCCTGTGAGGGCTAAGGATAGTAAAAAAATATGGCCCACCAGCCACATCCAGTTCACCACCTCTGTAGTAGACCTGCAACAAAGGAACACAACTCCCTTCATTCCTGACCATTGGCCATGTTTGGTGGTGAAAAGAGCTGAAACAACAACATCTGGAGGGCCACAGTTTCTTCACCCTGATTTAAAGGCTGAATGTAATTGACTACATCCTTTGTAGACCATTTCTGCAGATTTCTGTTGTGGTAGACATGAACCAACTCTCATGCATATGAGGGTAACTCCTAAGCTGCAAAGTTTTCCATTTATAGGTGACAACATTATGTTACTTCCAACTTGAATTTATCTGAGTACATTCCTTACTCTAAATGAATTTACACCTCCAAAATTCCTTACAATTACAGTAAGCTCCAACACATCACAGTAACTTTATATCTGAACTTAAATCTTCAATTGCTGTTCTCTTAAACATAAACTAAGGTAAGCTTCCAGATAAAAGCAATTTTGTGTGATATCAATGCTAAAATCCTTACAAATAGGTTCATGGGGGGAAATATTAGACAATATGCTTTATAGGTATGAGATACTATGTAGAGTTGTTTCCTATGCATACAGCACAATTATATGCCTGTTTGTTCATAAATAAGCAACACAAAATTTAAAAAGATTTACTCTGAATTTCATTGTGCACTGGATAGCAGCTTTATGATTCAATCCTATCTATGTCTACTCAGAAGTAAGTCCTACTGAATTCAATAAGGCTTACTCCTAGATAAGTGGGGTCAGAATTGCAGCTGTAAATCACTGAACTGGGGAAATTATTATGAAATCAGTTACATTCTTTTCATGCTGGATTCTAGCTTAGTGAAACAAGCTTCTACTTCTAGGTGCATACTGCCACAAGGCAACATTTCTTAACATCAAAGAACTTGAAAATATCTCAGTGGTAATCTATTATTACATGACACGTTCTGAAGGACATCCATGCTATTGCCAGCACATGCCACTTTCCAGTTACAACTGTTTCTACAACATACCTTCATTGACAACATCAATCCACTCATTTCTGGGTCTAGTCTTTTAGCTAAGCTACAGTTCGTGCAGCCACTATCATATACAGGAATCTGAATTTATTTTTTCAATATTTTGTGAGGTGTCCTTTTAGTCCATCCTAAATTCTAGGGAACATTACTTTTTAAAGTCAATTTTCTTTCAGCCCGCCGCTAATGTAGGCTGCATAGAATCACCACAGAATATTCTCCATAGAGTATTAAGGAAACAGTGTTTCCTGCTTGGCAGGGGGTTGGACTCGATGGCCCTTGTGGTCTCTTCCAACTCTATGATTCTATGAAATGCCAAAGTATCCAACACTGTATCAAGGAAAGGACATGTGCTGTGCACCCCTATGGGAATGCATGTCTATGAACATCTGCACATAGACATGGGAGGTTTTCACAAAACTCTGAATGCTTTCATGCAGTATCGCTTGCCTCTGATGCAAACAAAAGAATTTACATTGGGTCTATTTTCAAGGGAAACAAGAAGTCATTTGATATTCTCAAAGGATTGCAGTATAGAATTGTTGTTTCAACCTGTCATTGTTTTTCTTGATCTACAATGCATGTCTTCCTTTCAACATCATCATCATCATCAAAGATAAGGGAAAAAAGTGAAATCTAGTATTGCCTAACCAAAATATGCAGAAATATATATATTAATGATACATATCTAGTGCAGTTAGCAGTATGGGGTGGCTTCATTCCTCAGATTAGCAAACAGGTTTTTCCACACTTAAAACTTTTAAGCCATCAATGTGATTTCAGGTCATTGTTTGGCCCAAGGACATGAAGCAAAACTAAGAACAAAGGAAATACTTTGGCTTAAGTTACAGGCCCTGGAGAATAAGGTTTTGTCTCACAAAGCTGCCAGAAAAATATTTACTGGATGCTGCAATCCCATTTTTTTACTTTGCACTCTATCTTGGAGACTAGGTACAGACCCAACAAGTGAGACAATGAAAGCAGTATTCTCATTTCAGCATTAAAAATGCTCTCTCAAGAGGGAAGAAGGTATACTGTACCTAGAGGCCACTTTAAGTTTCCTAGGCCCAAGCTCTTCACAGAAACAGGCAGCAGAGATACATGAGGTTTTTTGTTTGTTTGAACTATACAGGCTGCCTGTTCAGTTCCAGGCCCAATTTAAAGTGTTGATTTATAACCTATAAAGCCCTAAACAGCTTGGAGCCAGAATCTCTAAAGACACATGGTAGTGTCCTCTAGGTTATATAACTGTCTCTCTATCGAAGTTAGTATGTGACTGCCTGCTTTTACGGGGATGGGGACGGGTAGGTGGGAATGCTCTTTTCCATAGATCTTTTCATTATTTTTAATGTTGATTTAGACTAAATTTAAAGCTAAATTAACTAGTATTAGACACTTACAGTAATCATATTCTTACTGTTTATGCTGATTTTATTGCATTTTCTAATTTTTGCAGACAATTTGGTTTATTTAAGATACAGGATAAATTTTTTAGATTAAATAAACTATCTTCACAATCTTACTGTTTCCTGTTTTATTCCACTCTGTCATGCTCATAGTTTACTTTGCAAGATAGAAAAAAGTAGATCAGTAATATCATGGACAAGATGAAAACACAGAAGCAAGGAGAAAATGCCAAGATGCGGATTCTTTTTCTATGCATGCAAAATAAGCTTAATGTCTGCAAGTCTGTGTCACATTTAAATCACACATGCAGCAACCCAGAGCTAAATGGCTTCTCTCTTTGCACACAGACTCTCTAATGACTACACTCCCAAACACCCAGCATATACGCCTCCTACTCAACACCCACACACAGTACATTGTGCACAAATGTACAGCAAGCACATAATCTGCATGCACTTACCTTCTGCATAAGCCCATGTAACAGGGTCCTCAATGTAACTGTGACTTGTCTTCCTATCACACAGAATGTGCTTTTCAAATCACCCCTTATGTTCTCTACACAAGGAAGATTGCTGCAGAAAATTAGAAGCTGTTTCTAGTCTAATTATTTAATTAGATAACCCAATTTTTAAAAATATCTTTCAATTCCCAGATCCTCTCTCGTTATATAGTTCAGGGCACTGTAATACTCTGCAGCAGCCAGTGGAATATTTTTTCCCAAACCTCTTTATCTCTTACACCAAAGTCATGAATCGACAACTGCCCTATATCTTTGCTGCACACTGTCTCTGCTTAGCTTCCTTTATCAACTGAGGGCCCATGAATTTTGGTTGAATATGAAAGCCAATAACTGTTTGTAGTCAGTGACCAAAGAGAAGCTCTCTTACTTCCTGCTCTACAGAAGTAAAGTATTCTGAGTAACATGACTTTATTCTATTTATTATATTTTTAATTAAATTTCAATACTTCATCCAAGGATTACAGGGCAGTTTAGAATATAAAAACACAAAAATGCATAACATAGTAACAACAATACCCCCCATAAAGTTTTAAAGGCCATAGATTGTTTAATTGGACAAAGGCCTGGGAGAAGTGGGATGTTTTTGCCTGGCACCTAAATATATGCAATGAAGGCACCAGATGAGCCTCTATGGGGAGAGCACTCCCAAAGCAGGGAGCCACCACAGAAAATGTCCATTCTCATTTGCTGCCCTCTGGACCTCTTGTGGAGGAAGCACACAAAGAAGGGCCTCAGAAGATGGTTGCAGAGTCCAGGAGAAATAATGAGGGGTAGCAATCCAATCCATGATGCTGATGCTATTTTGTAGTTCAAGGCATAGCCTGGGACCATTTTGATACAGGCACCCTCTGTCTCCTAGCTGCTTTTAAAAATGTGGTACTCCTGTGGCTAAGTACTCTAGAGATTGAGTCACCAAGCTTAAGCATCAGACGTTGTATCAGTGAAGCCCTAAAACTATGGTTGCATCAGTGCAAGGATTTTCCTCCTCTCCCTCTCTTCCCCCTCCATGCACCCCCTAAATCTGTTCTGAGGGTTCCCCAACCTCAGGTTTGGGGGTAGCATGGGTTGCTACTGGGTGAGGAAAAAGTCAAAAGTCAAGTCTTTGTGTGCACCTGAAGAAGCTTTTGGGATCATTCTAGCTTATGGCCAACTTGCCCTTGTTCTCCAATATAATGAAGAATCCTAAAGCAACCTCAACAAGAAGAGAAAAACAGAGCCTCTCTCAAAATCCACAAGATAAACATCATTTTGTAAGGAACTCTATCAAGATTTTGTGACACTGGAATTAATGAAGCAAAGGGAGGGGGAAGGGAAGAATGGCTAGCTGTCTCATCCAAGAGCAGGCAGAGTAAATAAAATAACAGCCAGATCAGAAAAGGAAGATTAAGCAACACACCTATTATAAGAGATTCAGGTAAAATGTATAAAACACCTGCTTTTGGTGACAACCAATTGGTCAGGGGTTTCATTGATGCCAACTTTCACAACTACACGTTACGTTTTAGAGATTGCAAAGGTTGTTGTAGTGAACTATTAATTTCCAGGGCATGTAATATATTTCATTTCATAAATAGACTACTTTTGGGAAAGCAACCAATATTACTGTATGAAATGTTTCTAAGAGCAATGGGGATGAATCCCAAATACAGAACACAGTGAAGCATGTTATACAAATTGGCTTTCAAAGCAAAAATTGCTTCCCAACAATTTGAAAGCTTCAAAATTTCTCACAGATGTCTTTCTTCCTTCTTCTTACAGTGCTCCTTCTCTTGGTCACAGCTGTGTTGTGCCAAAAAGGCTGCATTAGCATGCAGAACCCTACTTTGATTCAGGAGACAGTCGTGCTAACTGGCCAAAGTAGAAGCCTTGCTGAGAGAGAAAATAGGAAAGCTAGTGGAATGGAGCTATCAATAATTCACTGAGAGTCCATGGATATCTGCTGACAACAGCCTTAAAAACATTCTAGGCACTTGGAGAAGGAAGAAATTCACAAAAAGGTACCTAGAACAGTGTATATCTGCTCTGAAAGGACAAAAGAGAAGAAAACACAACAACACATCTACGTGGAAAGAAACCATATTCAGGGATAACAGAACATATTAATTGTGGGTGTATTTCAACTTCTGAATAAGAAAATAGTTACCTATTACATTCGTTATGTGAAAATTAGCTTCATGTAAACCAAGTTCTGGCGGCTGAGAAGTTAGAAGTCTCCTCCAGAGAAAGCTAGACAGATCATGCAGCCGCCACCATCTCTCGCTTTCCATTGTTTATCTATGCTTATCATAACTCTTCTTTAGCAGCTAATTGTCCCTACTCCTCTCCCTTCTAACTCCTAAGGAAATATAGATAGGCATAGATAAAGAAGTGGAGAATGGCAGTCAGCTTTCACTGACTTTCTCCAGGGAATGCTTCAGTATGTACTTTTGTAACCTCAGAAAATATTTAATAAAAAAGCATTTAAAAAAGAAATCTCAAGTCTAACTTGCATATGGTATATGGCTGCTTGTAAAACGCTAAGTGTAACATTTTGCTGACACCTTATGCACAAAAATAACCTCAATACGAAGCAAAGCTAACCAGGTGGGCTGTGAAATGCCTCTGAAAACAGTGTGTCCAATGGACTAACTTCACAAAAATCCTAAAGATGGCAGTTGCTTCACACATGCAAGGCAGACACTATTTTTCTCCCTCTGACTGTGTCAAGATAACTGAGATTCTAGGGAAACATTGCTATTAACCGTAAGTAAATCACCTGCTGGATGGCAGGATGTGTGAACAGGTTGCACACAAGAATCAGTCTAAAAAGGAAGAGTAACATAAAAAATTAAGTGGGTACAACAAAGGCCTTAACTTTTCCCTTGATTGTGAGAACAAACCAACAATTCTGAATAAGATTCTATGGATTCTTTGGTCACAAAACTAACAGAAATCGACATCCGTGGAATGTACATTACACAAGACATCTGGGATTACTCCTTCTCCCCACTACTACATTGCAGAATCAATTTGCCTTTTTGCATAATTTATACTTGGCAGCATTTTGGATGTTATTGTGCAGCAATTCTTCACAATGCCAGGAGTTCAGTACTCTACAGCAACTGGTCACAATGGCAAACATTCAGTGAACAGGTATCTTCTGTCATAGTGCATTAGCCAATTTTAAGCTAGCTCAGTGGGGTGGGGGTGGGGGCGCTTGCCCCTGCTGTTCTTTTTTAAATGGTGAAACACAATACTAATCAAAGAACAATTGAATGTTGTGTGCAAATGAATTAACATCCATCCATCCATAAATAAGACCATAAGAAGAGCCTTGTCGGATCAGGACAAACAGGAATTTGCAGTTAAACATGAAGTGGGAGAGAAGGGATATGTAAATGAATGATAGCGTGCAGATCATCAATCAGTCTTTTGATTTATTTTTAATAGAGAGGTTTTGCACAAGAGCTGACCTACAAAATCTCTGTCTGTGTGTGTTTTTAATGTATGAACAGGAATCAACAACTATAAAACATAAACTCTGCCAGCACTTCACTGCACCTGCCAAATGTACAGGTGAGTGGACGGTTCTGCCAGTGATACCCGTGCCAGTAGCAGCCTCATCGACAGGGTTCTTTAGGGGCAGAGCTGGGCTGGCAAAGGATCCACTGGATCCTAACCTGGTTCAATTCCTGTTAATGGGACTGATCCTGGACTCTCTATGTGCCAGCTTGAAACTGATGCAGCAGAAATTGGCAGCAGCACTGCCACCCTCAACCTTCTGCCCTGGACAGCACAACTGCAGGGCAATGGATGTGGTGGTTGCTACACCACCCCATTCAGCCTCACTGCTCCCAGCCAGAAGTTAGGCTTTCTCCTCAAGTCCACCAAATCCAAAGCCATCATGGGTTTCAAGGATCCTTCAAAGCAGTAATTTTAACCAAGTTGATCATAAAAGATAAGAGCACACATTACATGGTACAAGGGGTTCAGCACAAAATGATACAGGTAATGGTGCCAGCAGTTGTTCTTGGGACATAGTGACTTTAACAATGCACATTTGTAACTTAAGTCTTGCAATAAGTTCAAGTTGTTCACATATTGCCATCACGGTATATTAATCCTTTATACATTCTACCAGTGATTCTCCATCATCTGTATAATCTATACTAAATTGTGGAAATATTGAGTATATGAGGTTTTGCTTCAGTGGAAACGATATTCAGGTCACTTGCAGCCCCATTTCTCATTTTATTTCACATCATCTCTTGATTAGGTAAAGGTAAAGGTACCCTTGCCCGTACGGGCCAGTCCTGCCAGACTCTAGGGTTGTGCGCTCATCTCACTCTATAGGCCGGGAGCCAGCGCTGTCCGCAGACACTTCCGGGTCACGTGGCCAGCGTGACAAGTTGCATCTGGCGAGCCAGCGCAGCACATGTAACGCCGTTTACCTTCCCGCTGGTAAGCGGTCCCTATTTATCTACTTGCACCCGGGGGTGCTTTCGAACTGCTAGGTTGGCAGGCGCTGGGACCGAATGATGGGAGCGCACCCCGCCACGGGGATTCGAACGGCCGACCATGCGATCGGCAAGTCCTAGGCGCTGAGGTTTTACCCACAGCGCCACCCGGGTCCCACATCTCTTGATTACATGCTGTTAATTATCTTATCTGATTATTTTATTTCTGGCAAGCTGCTTTTAAAAATCAAACCTTCAGCATAATGGTTCCATAACCACAAGGTCCTCTGTTGGCAAAGGCTCTACTATCAGCCCATGTAAGATAATGTCTAAATAATGTTTTATAAACATGGCCAAACTTAAGCACCACAGTTGCCAAATCCAATGGGAACCACAATCAAGGACTGTTAAGTTATCTTTTTCAACTTCTACAGTCCCGGCAAGTGCAGCTACTCTAAACAGCATAAAATAGGACAGGATGGGCAATACAACTTGACCATGTGTCCTCCATTTTCTTAAAAATGCAAGTAACCCAATACACTTCTACTCACATTCTGTTGTAGTCCTATTCTCCATACATCCAGATCACAATCCTAACTAGCCCTCATCATACAGAAGAATTGAATAGGCCTTAAAACTAATCAGGGCATCCTTAACAAAAGAATAAATATCCTGTCCATTTCATAGATAGCAGTATATCAGAGTGACAATAATCAGTTGAATGTTGCATGGACAAAAGTCCTTTAGTCAGCTACAAATATGTGCAATATTTCCTCTAATTTTTGAATTATGCTAAAAACAAGTGTTATTCCTCAATTATTTCCTCTGATAAAGAAAGGAACTAGACTAGTTCCCGCACTACGCACCAATGAGGCCAAGGAACTAGACTAGAGGGCATTCCATGAGTCATCAGTGCTGCCAACTGACCTCGGAGGGACCACTATCCACTAGTGCAAAGCACTAGATCTCAGCTTACTTTCTTCTTATAGCAACTTCACACATTACCAAATTCCTAGATAGAAGACAGATTTAATGTTAACTCTCACATGAAGCTACCTATAGACAACAACATGTAGTGATACTACACATGGGTTTTCCACTGAAGAAACATGTACTAGATGTACATGTACAGTCAGTTGCAGCTTCCTAGCAAGTGTACCTCAAGCAAGAAACCAGGGAGTAGAATTGTCAAATGCTATGTTTGCAGAGAGATTTTGGTTGTAGCATGGAAATGCCCTCTGTGCAGGAGTCGGATTGTATGTGGCGCAAGCAGCCCTTAATCAACAGTAAGATATCTAATGAATGACAGTGCTTTGGATCCGGGGCGTTCTTCTCCCAGGTCAGAGTAAACAGCAAAGGAAGGAGGAGAGAAAAGACCAAGAGAAAGGACTGAAGGGACAGAACATATGCATCATGCACAAAAGACATGCACACACCACTAAATTATTTAATGTAACTATATTTTATACTTTTTTCATCCTGTTTCTTCATTACTTGGTATAATTAACATATTAATGGCCTAACTTAAAATACTGATCTGTTTATTCAGTGTTAGCTACCTGAGTTCTCCTCCAACTAGTACATTTAGCTGTTGTCTAATTCTCCTTTTTTGCAATTTCATAAAACTCTTCTGATTCTGGAGAAGTTGACTAGAGTATGCCTGAGTCAGCGCTGTAGCCCAGGCAGACAAGTGAGTGGGAGATGTAAAATATTTTTTAAACAAAAACTCTATCACACACATAGAGCTTATCAAAATTGCAGCCACATATTCTGGTTTCTGATGGGTAAATTTCCACTACAACTCTACTACTGTACAGAAACCAGAGCTCATAATTCATCACTGGTAGAATAAAAAAGATATAGTGGTTTTCAAGGATATGAATTCCTTTATCAAGGAAGCTTTCTTTCAGCTTGTGGCTCCTCTAATCTTCAGTATAGGGTAGAATAGAAAAACGCAATTCAAGAAAACTCTGCAATTCATTCTAGAAAGATGTCTTAAGAGTCAGAAATTGAACCATGCAGACAAAATACCACCAGCCCTCTCACTAATGCAGAAGTTTACATTTTGGCCATGCTAAAAGCTCTGTTGTTAAAAGAGAAGTGTCTGTGGATGTCCAGCATCAAGCCATCAAAGAGGAGCCACTGAAATCAATAAAACAGGAACAGAAGAGACCCTTGAACCTCATTGTTCACTATCCTGACAGCAAATACCTCAAGTGATCAGGAGACTAGATCAGATATTGCGATAGGAATTTTGAGGTCTTAAATATATGGTAATGTTCATAAGTGTACCAACCAAGCAGGTACATAGATCAGCACAGGAAGACCCACCTGAGACCATTTTGATTCCCAAACTGACCAAATGTTTTCCCTGCAAGGAGGGAGGGGGGTCAGGGAGCCTTCCCACTGTCTCATGAATTGAGTAATCAGCATTTTTATGGGGGACAGACAATCAGGAAAGGCAATCAGATAACCTGGCAAACAGGAAAAACAACATTCAAATTTCTGTTTTAGACCGCCTTTTCTGTGATGTAGGTATGATGTATCTGGGGGGTGGTCTTAGGTTACACCCCTTCTGTGATGTATGTATGATGTTTCTGGGGGTGGTCTTGATCTACAGGGTGGCAATTCTAAAAGTCTTTATAAGGCCTTGCGCGCCATTGTTCTGGGTTCCTCCTCCTTTCCTGCGGGTGAGGGGAGCATCCTGTTGCAACAGATCAATAAAGATCAAGCTTACTAGCTGCTTCGCTTCTCAATCTTCTCTAGTTGGCCTCTGTTATTTTCTCCTACCAATAGGGAACCTACGTAAGGACTCTATATGGGCTCTTGGATACCCCATAAGGGAAAAGGGCAATTTTCGTTTATTACAACATTCATAATTATCATCCCACAAACTTTTTGCCCTACTAAAGACTTGAGATTTCCGGCATATCAAGTATTCAGATAATCAATTACTTAACCTCTTTCTTCTTTAAGTCCAACATCCCAGAGGGAGACACTGCAAACTACTGCAAACCTTTTACCAATACAGTGGTACCTTGGGTTACAGATGCTTCAGGTTACAGACTCCGCTAATCCAGAAATAGTACCTCAGGTTAAGAACTTTGCTTCAGGATGAAAACAGAAATCATGCTCCAGCAGCGTGGTGGCAGTGGGGGGCCCCATTAGCTAAAGTGGTACCTCAGGTTAAGAACAGTTTCAGGTTAAGAACGGACCTCCAGAACGAATTAAGTTCTTAACCCGAGGTACCACTCTATATAAAATAGCTCAAATAAGACTCTTTCTTTGATAGAGCTGTAGTGGATTCAGGGTGGATTCAGCCTTATACCTCAGTGTGTCCACCCTTATACACCACCCTGCAGAGGTTCCGTACTCTCAATACAAGGTTGTGCCTTAAGAGCAGTAACTGGGGCACTATTCATTTGGTACCTTGCCTTTTGTTTGGATTTGCCCCTTGCTAAAGGCAAGCTTAGCAAGTCTCAAGACATCCTGCCAACACAGCAAGAGATGCTGCTAAAAGCAGGATGGAGGGATGAAAAGGGGGAAATACGGTCATCTATGGGAAAAACAAAATCTGTGCCAGTATACAAGGCTAACGTCAGGGGTAGCCAATATGTTGTAGGACTACAGTTCCCATCAGCCCCAGTCATGTTAGTTACCCCTGGCTTACATGATAACATACAAACTTTGGAGTCTTAGGGCATTCCATGTAGTAGTGCAACGGTGTCTCAGCCAAGAACTGCTAGAAGAGGGAGCTCCTGCGTAACTGTCTCTGTCTCTCTCCCTCACATACACTTAAGCCACCGCATTTGAAAATGGTGTTTTGTTTTCTTTACTCCATCCCATCTATTCCTCAGATAAGAGCCCGAGGGCACCCAACTCTTTAAATGATAGGCCTTCTCCCACTACAGTGCTGCAGTAAACTTTTCCTTTATATGAGAGGTACAGGAAACCTCTTAGGTCTTTTCTTTGGGCAGGGCTTTGGTGTCTTTGACAACATGCCAAGGAGAATTTCAGCAGGGTGTTTTAAGCAGTGAATTGGAAGCTTTAATATACCAGGTATTATTTTCAAGAAAATAATAATAATAAGAATAATATTTTAAAAAAAATTATTTATTTTTTATTTATACCCTGCCCTTCCCAGTTTAAAAACCGGGCTCAGGGTGGCTAATAACAAATATAAAACATTGAAAAGGCTTCTGTCTCAAGTAAAAGGGGTCCCAATCCTTCAGAATGCTGTCAGTGAATGTTCACTGCTTGGGGGGAGCTACTAATGTTGTAGTTTGACCAAGTTTGAGGCAGAGGAACCACCATGTTATCGTAAGCCCTGCATAAAGAATGAATGGCTTTCTTACCAGTCATTTTGTTTGTTTGAAAAATTCCCTCCCTCTTTCAGAATTTGACTTTGTATCAAAATTTACCATTTAAAAAGGATCCAGAATTCTCCAGTACAGCGCCTTCCCTGGGAATACTTAAGACCTCTGTGACCTGAGGAAAGGCAGAAGCCAGGATGCCTATGTCAAGAAAAACACATATGCTTTCATCAACAGCCTGAGAGAGCTGTTAAGGCAGCCTGTATCCCACCACCCCTGGAGTGACTTAAGACCTGCATGCCCTGAGGGAAGGCAGAAGCTGTGGTGCCCAGTCCAGGGAGCACACATAGCATCAGCTCCTGACAGGGCCATCGACAGCCTGAGAGGACTCTGTTGCTCTGTATTTTATACAATCTATTTGTTTCAGTAACTTAAAATTGTAACTAACCTTGGGTGCCTTGGCAGAAAGGCAGTATAGAAATGTAATAAATACACAAATAATAACACATAATAATACACAAATATGCTACATATTAATGGTGCAACAGATCTCATTTGTTATATCTCCAGAAATGATCACACCACTGTTTATTTTATTTTTAAAATGCATTTGTGATTAAGGAAGCTACATGGGATTTTCCCTTTTAACACCCTCCCCACAGTGCAGGAAAAATATCTAAATGGCCTGAAGTGAGGGCCAAACCAGACATGACATTGGGAGATTGGCAACTGGATCACCTAAGTGTCTTCTTTGGTTTTTAAAGTAAAGCAGCCATCCTGTCCATTTCTGCCATTTTCCTAGGTTAAATGCCCACCTCTGAAGTCCCATGGGGATAACAGCAGGGGTCGTCAGTGTGCACAATGGCACTCTTGAGGCCTTCCTATTGTTGTCTATGAAGCCTCTGAGCTTCTCCACAGCCACTCACTGCCACCCTTGGTCATGAGGTAGTATGGGTGGTTAGTTTTTTCTCCTTGTAAAAGTACATAGAGCTTAAGAAGGCACCTGTATATATTTCAAGGCTCATATTAATCCTACTAGATCAGACTTTTACCCAGTTCCCTTTGTCTGTATGGACTTTTCCTCCTTCTCTTGCAGGGCGGGGAGTGATCTGAGAAGACAGGAGTCAGAGTAGTGTCAATATAAGTAGGAGAGTCTGTGGCAGAGGAACCAACCATTCATAAACCTTTCAGAAAAAGGGAGGGATCCCCATCCATTTTGCTTTTTTTAAAAAAAAAGATCCCTCCCATTGGTTTCAAAATTTTACTTTACATCAAAGTTTACCATTTAACTAGGTCACAGAAATCTCCAGAGTGAGATACAAATTATAGCAAAAGTGTTCTGCAAATACTATGCAGTTAGGTATAAGACACTTGAGCAAATGCTTCCAGTTTCATCTCAGGCTATGGCAAACAATGGAATGGAGGACACAGAGAGAAACACTTTCTGGAATGGTTTTAATAATCAGCCACAGGGAGATTTGAGGTGTTTCTTCCTGAGGGTGAAATTTTGGGTTTTACATAGCTATGAACATCTGTTTGAAATCTCAGCTGCTGCTGCTGCTATTCCTACTACTACCCACTAAGCAACTCTTAATATTCCCACTCAAATCTTAGGATAATAAGAAGTTGTGTTCTTCCAGCTTCTGGAAGCTGAACCAAACAAGCTGTAGTAAGTGCAACCCAGAGAAATTTGCTTCTACATGTTTATTTCTCACAAACATAAACAGGACACAACTAATTTTAGTTCAATTCATTTAAAGGGTCTTTTAAAGTGTATTGAAATTAGGCCTGATTCTCATTAAGGTATCTGTGTCTGGGGCATATCTCTTCTCAAATCTCACGACTGACTGCTTCTCTGCACAATGCTAGATGTCAGAGGGAAAGTCTAACCTTCTTCCTGACAAGCTAGCATTCTATGCACAGCATTGTTCTACAGCATTGGCTACTGAGGATTATTCAGTCATGTAAGCCCCTATCTAAAATGTGATGTACTATAGCAGGGGTGAGAAGTGTTTGGTCTGTCAGGGAGTCCAATTTCCCCCAAAACCATGCCCACCTGTCAATCAGCTGGCATCACTGGGTGGCATCAGCTGATGGGGAGGTGAGTTTTAATACTCCTGGCTGCTACTTTGCCACTGAAGCAGACTCCTTCCCCCAACTTTCAGGTCAACTTTGACAGGCGGTTGGAGGGGACTGCTCATGTATCAGTGACCTGACATCATTATGACACCAGATAATTGACAGGTAGGTGGCCCCACCCACATGTCAAAGGGGTGATGGGGGAATTAAGATCTAGTCCGCTGGGCCAAAAAGATTCTCCATCCCCTTTTGACAGCCACAGGTTTACAACCTCTGTAAGAACTAGACCTTATTCTTGACTTTGCCTAAGATATTAAGATTTGGATACAGAATAAATGCAAAAGGAAAAAGGAAAAACTTATTTAATATGAAATCAGTGAAGTGAGCTAAACTGAATAAAATCAGAAACTCCTTCCTAAAGAATGCTTAATCCTTGTGGTTTTCAAACTCAACAGGGTAGATACCATCAGCAAGAAAAGCAGTGGTTGTCTACCAGCTAAAGAACATATTGATGCTATGCAATTCAAACTATGTTCACCATGAGTTAAACAACACCTAATTTGCACAATCCAGAAAGTAAGAGTTTCTCCCCCTGCGCTAATTTGGATTTCCAAAGGCCTCCCAAGGTCTCATGACCACAGAACACACACATCATGTAAAGGTACTATGCATTTGCCCTTCCCCTTGCATTCCAAACTGCTTTAATGCCCAGGCAGTGATCACTGCCCCATTCCATGATGATTCAAAATCTCTGTTTTTAAGCGCTGAAGCAGAGCAAGAGAGTAACAGTTTCCTGTCTTTTGTTCAACTCAAGCATTAAATTACTTCAGAATAGCTCTTTGTTTTAAAATGCAAGTTTCTCTCTCTCTCTCTCTCTCTCTCTCTCTCTCTCTCTCTCTCTGTAGGAGAATAATGGTACAAGTGTACCAATAATAAAAGCTCTGAAAGAGACAACACTGCAGATGTAGCTTGGTGTACAACTATGCTGACTTCAGAAAGATGCTGTCATGACCAAGTGAGAGACTACTTCATTTGGAACCTGCTGGGTCACTTTGGCAGGACTGGGAATCCCCTTGTTAAGTGATTGTTCAGTGCCTAACACAACTAGGTTCCAATCCATATTGAGGGCTATCTATTGTAAAGACATAACAAAATAAGACAATGTGGATTTCAACAAGTGGTGAGTTTTCTGTTCGAGAATTTAGCCCAGCCTCTATTTCAGTGTTTCTCAAACTGTTGTACATGTGGCCTTTGTGTTGTGGCAGCATAAGCATGGTTGGTGCAGTCTGGCTGTGGATCATTGTTTCTACTCTTTCCTTTTAATATTTAAACATTAAGTAGTGGCTAAGGAGTAATTCAAGGTAATACTGAACACATCTTATTAGTAAACTACTAAAGGGTTTGTACATCTACAGTTGATTTTTCCTTGTTTTTACGCTATGGGTGAAGAGGACATAGACACAACAACAGAACCCTGTAAAGGAGAAAATAATACTTAAACATCCAGCTATGAAAGATGCTGTCATTTGATAAGTATATAGACCTAGAACACTGGATTCAATGTCCTATGCTGATTGGGTGGCTTTGAGGAAATGTCTCTCTGTTGTTCTCTTTCAGTCTCCGTTCCCCCCTTAGTGCAAGAACAAATAAGCACTTTGCAAACTAAAGCAAATAGTAATAACCAAATAGAGTGTTGTACTTGGAAATGAGAAGCCAGAGATCAGAACTGCTCAGCCTTAATAAACTCACTGGCTGCTTTTCATAATAACAACACTGGCATTTTTCCAGCAGGCAACATACCAAATGGGTAGACATTTAACATTAAAAAGGAAGTTATCACAAAGCTTCAGATTTACAGCAGGCTGTGAAATTTATTGTTGCCACTACCTGAAGCACCCTTTATAACAGAGATTCTGAACTGAACTGATTTTTATCTGTGCATGCCACCTACCTATTATTCCCATCTCACAATCCAGGATTGAAAACTGCTTAACCTCCTATACTACCACCACCCTCAGCACCCATCATGACCCACTGGTCTGACCTCCTGACATTTGGGAACGTTTTATTTATTATTGGATGCTCTGGAAAAACAGAGCTAATTCAGTATGAAGCTACTAGTTTCATATAAGCCATAAGACTATTATCTACACATCTTTTCCCAGGGCTGCTTATTATTCTCCTACATAAACTGGCAGAACTGGAAACATATCATATACGGTAATCAAAGAAATAAATCACTTGTTAATATGTGCCTATGAGCAATATTGCATGTCTTTTCCAAAAGACAATAAGATGAATTGTTTTCCTTTGGTTATTCGCTAATCACTTTGACTCTATGGACTAGTGCATTAAGTAGCATCTTGGGTCAGGATAATTCATCACCACACGAGTGAAGTATGTTTCAAAGCAGAAAGGCCAGACAAAACCCATGACTCACAGTTATAAAGGCAGCAAAACACTTTTGTCCAATTTCAAAGGTCAGTGCATAAGAGTCCTTTCCTATAGATAGAAACTGCACACAGATTCTGTAATTCAAACAAGGAGCTACAGGGAGAGCATAAGAGAAGGTGTGCATCTATAAGCACATTTATGAAAATTAGTATGAACAAATAGAAAGGAGGACAGAGCTCCTATTTCTTTTCTTTTTTTAAATAATGTTTATTAATTTTCAACCGTTTAAACACAACAAAACAGAAAGACAAAAAAAGAAAGAACAAAAAAGAAAAGAACAAAAAAAGAAAAGAACAAAAAAAGAAAAGAACAAAAAAAGAAAACTTTCTTCAATAGTTGCATAGAAGAGGATATATCAACAGGTGCTACCTGTCGTGTTAATACTGCCTAACTATGTACCAGCTATAATTTCTTCATGAGAAATATTAACTGGATAGAAATATTGTTCTCTGTTGCATCTTGTCACCCTAATGAAAGTATGCATAACAATACTAATCTGTCTATTTACATATCAGTGTGCAAAGCAATACAAAAGGTATAGACGGAAAATGCCCTAAACTGACCGAAAGTGCTCTACCAGAATACTTGTTTGTTTAGCCTCCATCCTGATCCACTTGCGCAAAGCTTATGTGGTGGTTAGACCATGTTCACTCTTCACTGAGCATTCATTTTGATTTATTCAGAGGGCAGTTACACAATAAACATTTGTCCTGCATTCATCCTGATTTGATTGTGGGGTATTTACACATCTTCCAATTAATCATTCATTCACCCCACATTTATCAATACTTTCCCTGTCACTTAAATAAACTAAAGTATATCAGCTTTTTGTTTATTTTTAACTGAATTTGTTGCACTAGGCTGACAGGGGACTGCACAAATCTAAAGTTCCAGTATGTATTTTAATTCCTCCTGCTAAATATTGACCTTCTGGAAGTTCAAAAACCAGCTGTCCTCCACTCTGCTAACAAGCAAAAATAGATATGCACACCTTGATAATATAATGCTAAATACCATCACCAGAAAGCTCACACTTGCTTGTCTCAGCCAACATATATATCCATGTTTATTTCCATGTAAATACTTCCAGTATCCACAGTAAACAGGCTTAAGGACATGCAGTGCTCTCCAGAAAATAATTTGGTAGGCTTTGCAGAAATGGTTCGCCCCCTTCGCTATATACAATTCATAAGACAATATACAGATGTATAATACCAATCAGGCATCCTTGTGCAGAATGAACACTTCTTGCAGCAGCCCACTTTTTTTCTCCTCCTCCCTTAACCTACCTTCTCCAGCCAAGAATGCCTGCCTAGTTCTTTTGCCCCTCATTCTCATACAAATGAGAAGGCAACATTGCATGATTAACTAGGTCATAGACATCCATAAGAATACTGCACGCCGGACAGGGTTCCTTATCCATGTTTCAAGTGGGAACCTCTGTAGATGTCTGCAAGTCTGGTTCCGTACTTATGCAGACTCTCCTCTGACCCTGCACACCTTTAAAATTCCTCTAGATTAGGGTAAAGAGAAGTATTCCTTGAGCTAATAATGTCCCTGAAAAGAATATTCATAAGCCTGAGTTGGGTCATGTGTGTGACACAGTGTTTTATTGTTTATAATTGAGCTTCAGTTTCAAATGAATGCGAGCAGCCAGTTTATAATTGCAAGAAATACATCTATGCTTTGAAAAATAAGACTCAAAAGTCCAAAAACAAAGTACCTTCTCACATAAGATGAAGTGTCACAAAGCAAAATTCCACTACTTGAACAGCTATTGTTCCTCTTAAAAGCAAACTTTAGAAAGGGAACGAGACACAAATCTACAGTAAACAGTAGTTTTAAGACCATGGAACAGTAAGCAGGAAGGATTAGCAGCTGAGATTTGGTCTCCTGTGTACATTCCTCAAAACAAACGCATAGCTTCTTTCTGCTAATACAAAGCAGTGAACTTTCATAGTAAACAAGCAGTTGCTTTAGGATAAAAGTCTGCCACTTCCTAAGGATATTGTTCAAAACATATGCAAAGCAAAACTGCAATATATATTCATGTAGAAAAATCGCCTTTAGGCATTAGTTAGGATTTGTAGAAATTTAATTTGAACATAGCAAAATACTGCCATATTTATTTGGAAAGCAACATAGTCCCTCATACTTCATGCAATTACCTTGTTAAAGTAGGACAGCAAAGCCCTTCTCAGAAATAAACAATGCAGTACATGGAAATAGGAACACAGTAAGTGGGAGTAAGATAAATTCATGCCTTCAGACTGAAAGGTATCACCACTTTTTATACATCTATAACTATATGAGCAAATAGTGTGGTAGAAATACAATATATGCTGTTCTGTGTTACTAATACAGTGGTACCTCGGGTTAAATACTTAATTCGTTCCGGAGGTCTGTTCTTAACCTGAAACTGTTCTTAACCTGAAGCACCACTTTAGCTAATGGGGCCTCCTGCTGCTGCTGCGCCGCCAGAGCACAATTTCTGTTCTCATCCTGAAGCAAATTTCTTAACCCGAGGTACTATTTCTGGGTTAGCGGAGTCTGTAACCTGAAGCGTATGTAACCTGAAGCGTATGTAACCCGAGGTACCACTGTATTGGTATTTATCTTGACTGATATGTTGTGTAATATAAGAGAGGCAGAAGTCAAGAGTTATCCTTTCACCATTAGCAAACTATTGCTCTTGAATGTGCATGGGAAGCCATCCAAAACCTAGCCCTTTGATCATTGTTCTAGTCAATTTGGTGCTTCCTGGAACCCAGGACACTGTGGACCTCTGTGGATTCCACCTGTCTGCTTCACAAATGCTAGTTCCCAGCTGGGATCAAATCTACATTTGATTTAGCCATGCTAAATTAAGTTTCAGTTCAGATTGAAACCAGATGGCTTTTGAGTAGTTCAAAGTCACATAACTCATCGATTTTTTCTCCTGAAAAGTATGGGTTTTTCATCTGGTTGGCCACTGTGGGAACAAGGTGGAGGACAAGATGCGTCATTGGCCTGATCCGAGAGGCTTTTCTTACATTCTCTGAAGGAGTAACAGCACCTAGCTACAAATAAATTGTTATACTGAACAGGCTGGTCTTGATAGTCAGCCAAAGCTGTGCAATCACCAAACCTCTCCTTTCCCTAAAGGACTGCACCCCTGACCTTATTCTCAATCCCTGAAACACTGTGTGAGGTGAAGAACAGTCCCTTGATCTTCTTCCTAGCTTCCAAGTTTGGAGGGAGGAAGGATTGTTCTTAGAACTATGCTGCACTTCTGAGGCACACCAAGCACCCTGGAAGTAAAGAGCCAAACATGCAGCCAGCCTCCTCCAGTTTGGAGCTAGGACGAAATGAATTTGTCCTTGCTGTGTTGCTGTGCTTCCTCGGTGCCCTGTGTGCCTCCACAGCAAACCTGGAGGGGTGACCCTCCACCTGCTCATCCCAGCTTCAAACTTGAGAGGAGGGCTGGAGCTCATCACTCGCATCAGTTGTGGTGAATACAGTTGCAGAACCTGACATTGGGTGTCAATCCAGAAAGTGGAGCGGCAAATCCACGACTACATCCAAAGTCCTGCTGCCAGAGCGGAAGGGGGAGTTGCTAATTTGTTGCAGATGAGCTCAAGGATTGGCCCCCTTTGGGAATTCACAAAACTTTGGATCTTTTGGATCCTACCATCAACATCCCAGAGTACTTATTTCCCCCAGCACCTGCCGGAAGAGACCTCTACACGCCATCCTAATCTTCCCTCTACCAACAAAAGGGGGGTTAGGACTGCACTCTCAGTCACTTAAGTTTGGGGTAATGGGCAGGGGGCTGGATGTGGACAAGGAAAAGCTGGGCTAAATCACAAAACTCTCTAGGCAGCCTTGGAGAGGGCACTGTCTCTCAGTCTGCTCTATATTAGAGGGTTGCTGACAGGAGGAAATGAGAGAACTCCTATTAATTGCCCTTAGCTCCCTGGAGGAATAAGCAGAAGAAGGATCCCTTAAGGAACTCAGGTAACCAAGACTCTTACCTAAACATGGCAGCTTGAAAACTATTTTCTTTTAGTAACACACACTCTCTCTCTCTCTCTCTCTCTCTCTCTCTCTCACACACACACACACAAACACTTTTATTTGTTTGTTTGTTTATTCAAGAACATGAAAGTTTAATAACATATTAAAATAAGGAAAAAATACAACTGCATGAAAATCAAAATTAAACATAGTCACACACAAAAAGACACAGGTTTGGATCACTGCATTTGTAATCCCTTGCCTTTAGTAACCTTGTATATTTCGTTTTATACTCTATTTTGCTTCCCCTGAATGAATATTTGAAGGTGGAGATATATTTTAGAAAAACATTAAATGTTTTACTTTGGATTCAACTGAATCACTTGCCTGCCAGTGAGACTTAGCTGCTTTGTACCACAAACTGGAAACTCTTCAGGAAAGTACCAGTGTGTTCCTCTCAACACAGAGCTGAAAAAGTTTGCATGAAGAGATTTCCCATCAGTTGTATATACTTCTGTTTGGAATTAACCAAGAACATCTATCTACCTACTCAAAAATAAATTTCTGGTAGGATAGTGGCAGCTATTAGAACTTCCATTTTCAACTAAACAAAACAAGCAGAGATAATAGGTGAGTAGGTAAAAAGAGATATTGAAGAGAGGCTACACTTTATTTATTTCATGATCTGCCACTAGTTTTGGAACAAAAAAGTTCAATGGTCACTATCTTTGCTGCTAATTTTCAAATGTCTCTTGAAGATCTTTGTATGCTGGCAGGCCTATTCAGTTGTGTAAACTTTTTCAAGGTGAACCAGTCATTTTTAGTATCAGATTGTACCGATATTTTTGCTCTATAAGACTCACTTTTTCCCTCCTAAAAAGTAAGGGGAAATATGTGTGCGTCTTATGGAGAGAATGCAGGCTGCGCAGCTATCACAGAAGCCAGAACAGCAAGAGGGATTGCTGCTTTCACTGCACAGCGATCCCTCTTGCTGTTCTGGCTTCTGAGATTCACAATATTTTTTTTCTTGTTTTCCTCCTCCAAAAACTAGGTGCGTCTTGTGGTCTGGTGCGTCTTATAGAGTGAAAAATACGCTATTTCTTTATAGTATTTTTATGTACTTGCGTATTTGTTGTACACTCCCTAGATATTTTCATTGGGACGCGGGTAGCGCTGTGGGTTAAACCACAGAACCTAGGACCTGCCGATCAGAAGGTTGCGGTTCGAATCCCTGCCACGGGGTGAGCTCCCGTTGCTCGGTCCCAGCTCCTGCCCACCTAGCAGTTTGAAAGCACGTCAAAGTGCAAGTAGATAAATAGGTACCGCTCCGGCGGGAAGGTAAATGGCGCTTCCGTGCACTGCTCTGGTTTGCCAGGAGCAGCTTAGTCACGCTGGCCACATGACCCGGAAGCTGTACGCCGGCTCCCTCGGCTAATAAAGCGAGATGAGCGCCACAACCCCAGAGTCGGTCACAACTGGATCTAATGGTCAGGGGCCCCTTTACCTTTACCCTAGATATTTTACAAGGAGGACAGTCTACAAATACGTTTTATAAACAAATAAAAATGTTGTGGGCAGACATATTTGATATCTGATTACCTGAGTAAAATGATTTAAATCTCCTTTTGTGTATGTTACAAGGACTTGTTTGGGAGAAATTAATGTAAGCACAATAAAGAGTTGATGACAATGAGATGATTTTCAAATATATGGAATTTTGGAATATATGATACATGGTAAATAAATGGCTTTAAAATCATTTTATGAGCAGGGAGAGGATGAACAGGAAGTTTACTTTTATCATTCCAAAGCTGAATAGCTTCCAACAGCTAGTTAATTGTTCCCATTTGGTTCCACCTATGTTTTGATTTTTATAGGGGCTATTATCTTATTGGCTAATTACTAGATTTTCATATTGGTGACTACAAAGTAGTGAGCAGAAAACAATGCATAACAAAGGCCACTAAACTAACAGCAGGGAACAACTGGTTTAGATGACAAATTTCCCCAGCAGAGAGCTGATTAACCAAGCTCTGTTTGAAAAATTCTGTATTCCGGAACAAGCACTAGGATCAGGAAGCTAAAGATATTTCGGAGAGCACTTGATTTGAAATTCAACTTCTTTCCCTCCTATTGGAACTGCTCACTCTGAGACTAGAAGGAGAAACTTCCTGGATTAAACTGACAGTGCTCCACTGCAGAACTCATTCTACACTTTCTAAGATATATGCAAAATGGAGAAAATATAACACAAGCATACCACTCTGAAGAATAAAACAAAATAGATTTGAAGCTTTACTCTGTTATGTTGTCTTGCATCACAAAACCTAGCTCTGCTGTTTAGCTACAGTGGAAGATTTTCAGGAGATAATGAAAGGGAACAGAGCAGAAAAGGGACTAGTTAGCCCAAAGAAGTAGGAATCTTTCACCCAAGCCTTTGTAAAATTGCAAAAGGTTTAGCTATTACATCCACCGGTGATTTTATCACCATTGCATACATCTACATACAGTGGTACCTCAGGTTAAGTACTTAATTCGTTCCAGAGGTCCCTACGTAACCTGAAACTGTTCTTAACCTGAAGCACCACTTTAGCTAATGGGGCCTCCTGCTGCCGCCGCGCCGCCGGAGCACGATTTCTGTTCTCATCCTGAAGCAAAGTTCTTAACCTGAAGCACTATTTCTGGGTTAGTGTAGTCTGTAACCTGAAGCGTATGTAACCTGAGGTACCACTGTATCAGAAATGCAGCTTAATCCAACTATGACAGGTATGGGGGACCCCCCCCCCCGATGTTGCTGCACTTCTTCTCCCAAGTTTGCCAGCTAGCATGATCAGGGATGACAGGAGTTGTAGACCAAAAACATATATGAAAAAGTTAATGGATTGTCTGTTGCAGCTATGGATCAAAACTGAAAACATACCCATACAATTTTGATTTTTATTAGGGCAGACCTCTGTATCAATAGATCTGGACTAGAAAACAAAACTACAGTAATAAGCAGAAGCTATTAAAGTGACTGGAAATAGATTTCAAATTAATAATGAGGTCTTCAGTTTTCTAGGCACTAAAGCAATTATGCTCCTGAATCTTTCCCATCACTATCTCTAACAGGTTAAAGGAAGAAAGAAGGGTTTCATAAGCCTAACTTCTCTAAATAGCTAAAATCGTGCTAGGTATTATACAGACATTATCCGCTCTTTGCCCAGATAAATCCTTTCCTCTCTTCTTGCAGTATTTGAATACTACAACATTCTGGCTAGGACCACCTTTTTTCTGGCAGGACTCCTAACACCTTCAACTAGGGCATGACAGGCAGAAATTAAGCAGCTGAAGCTTTTGCTAGAATGATGACAAAGAAAAGCTTTAGGTGTAATTCCCCTCAGCCATCATTTAGTTGGTAAATGCAAGGCTCCTTCCCCCTCCTCAAAAAACAACAACAAATGTTGACAACTCTAATGCTGGTAAACTCATGGGAGTGATAAAGTTTTTTAAAATGTTGGTTACAAAACCCAGTCAGTCCAACCCACCCAAAGTCAAACACTATTTATATCCTCTTGACTTAAATGTAAGAAAGTTAAGCATGAACTCAAATCTCGCCCACAGAAATGAACAGGGCATATAGTGCAATGCTAAGCAGGGACCTTACTGGTGTCTTCTATAGACCTCCAAGCCAGACTGAAGACTTGGATGATGCTTCCTGGAGTGGATTACCAAATATTCAAAAATGAGAGATATAGTAGTCATGGAAGACTTCAGCTACCCCAATATTTGTTGGAACTCAAACTCTTCCAAGAATGTAAAGGTAAAGGACCCCTGACAGTTAAGTCCAGTCACGAACGATTCTGGGGTTGCGGCGTTCATCTCGCTTTACTGGCCGAGGGAGCCAATGTTTTTCCACAGACAGTTTTTCCGGGTCATGTGGCCAGCATGACTAAGCTGCTTCTGGCGAAGCCAGAGCAGCGCACGGAAATGCCGTTTACCTTCTCGCCGGAGCGGTACCTATTTATTTACTTGCACTTTGACGTGCTTTCGAACTGCTAGGTGGGCAGGAGCAGGGACCGAGCAACAGGAGCTCACCACGTCGCGGGGATTCGAACCGCCAACCTTCTGATCGGCAAGCCCTAGGCTCAGTCGTTTACATAAATTCCCCAATTCCCTTGCTGACAATTTCATTTCCCAGAAGGTGGAAGAAGCAACAGGAGGGTCATCTCTCGTGGACCTGGTCCTCACTAACAGGAAGGAACTGATCAACCAAGTGAAAGTTCAGGGAACCTTGGGAAGACGTGATCATGTCCTCCTGGGTTTCATTATACACAGGCAAGAGTGTAGTCGGACATGCACTTTGGACTAGAGCTGGGCAATATCTGGTTTTCAACACTGTGACGTATCACCAGCTAAACATCCTGATATACTGATATATCACAATGTCTGAAATATGAATGGAGCTATGTAGAGGCATTGGCTGGCTTCACAGTTTTGCCCACACTGTGATTTTTGCCACCGCCTGCTCTTTTGATTCATTGCCCCCTACAGGAGGCAGGGCAGAGCTGAGCTGGCAGAGTTAACAGGGACTGCAGAAATCAAGAGAAGCATTGGCTGGCTTCATGGTTTTCCCCACATTGTGATGTTTGCATAGCGTACGTGCACCCACCCAATCTGATTTGCCAGGTCAAAAATTAGAAGCCCTTTAGTGTGGGTTAGACTCTGTCTTCTCATTAAATTAAGGCCATCCATATGACATCCCCTTCAACCAACAACAATCTTGCTCATTTCCCTCTCTATGGACAATCCAACAAATGGTTAAAAATTCGAAACCTAACCACTCCATCCATCCCATCAGTGCTTTCTGTGGGGCTGGATGGATAAATCTTCTCAGCTACTTCCATACCATGACCCCTCATTCACCCTTACCTTCATTTCTTTTATGACAGTGCTTGTGTCTATTTTTGGATAGGCTCTGCCTGGCACGAAAGCAGCCACTTTAAAAAATATATATATATTTGTACTGATCTGTTGCGGGGAAGGCAGGGGGAGTAAATGTTTTTCAAATAGTTTTGAAATCTCCAACTTTAGAGGGTTGAGATTTGTGATTCCTTTTTTACTTTTATTTGCTTCCACCTACCTGTATGTACTTGCAAGCCTTCTTATTTGTGCACAATATTGGATGTTAGAAAAAAACAATAAAATAGCAACATAAACAAAAGGAGCACAATGGAAATAAATCATAATTAAATAGTTTTGCTATTTTCCATAGCTGGTTGTTGTTTTTTAAGGGTGTGAGAGCAGGTAAATCTCTCTTTGTACATGTTTGGTTTGTGCTCAAATAGAGGGAATGGAAATAACAGAAGGCAGGGTCAAAAACACACAGTGTGGATTTATCCACCAAAGGATCACAGTCAAAAGATATTAAGCTTGGTTCTGATCAAGTCCACTGTTTTTATTATGATAAAAGTTTATACCCACAACAGGTACTTTCTATCTCATACTGGATTGCAACATCTCATCTCTCTTTCCTTGCTCAAATGAAACTACGTTTTTCTTCCAAGTTCTGACTATACTTCAGAGGTTTTTAAAGAAGTGTCAGTCTTATGTATTCAAACAAAGACTTGAATCTTACACCTAAACCAATGGCTACAGAAACTAAGAAAGAGTGGGAGTCACTTACATTTTTGCACATATTAGCTTTCAGTTGCCTTACAGCAGTGGTTTTCAATCAGTGTGCCAGCCATGGGACCCTGAGGTGCCTTGAATGATGGTCAGGGGTGCCGTGAGCAACACTGGCCTCTGTCCTCGTTTCTTCCCTCCACTGATGCCCTCTCGCGTCTCTGCCTCCCAAAGGCTTGCACGAGTGTTTGTTGCAGCGGCCCTGGCTACATGCTCCCCAGGCAAATAGTGCCTCTGGGGCTGACCAGGGGGTACTGGCCGACAGAAACTGAGAAGGCCTTGGAGTAAGCAAGCAAGTGGGTGAGGGAGCCCAGCCAGCCAGTCCACCAGCCCTTACTGTTGGGAATGGTCAGACAAGTGGGAGGCCGGAAAGGCAGACAGGCGTTGCACAGGCTTCTCTTGTGTTTTCTGTGTGCAAGACCTGTCTGGGAACAGAGTGCCTGGTGCTGAAGGTGCGCCTTTCCACCATGCAGGCCCGGCAGTGCTCACTGTTGTCACTGCTACTTCCCAAGGTAAGGTGCTGGCCCCATGTTCACCTTTGGTCAGTCTTCACTGGGCCACTAAGGCTGGGGGAATCCTCTTCCAAGGCCCCTGTGGAGCAGTGTGAGGGGGCACCTATATTTGGGGTAGGGCAGCTCAGAGACCAGGGGCAGCAGCAGTGGTTGCCTAGAGGACTCCCAAGGAGAGTGGAGAGGGGGCTGAAGGAACACTCCACAAGGGAGGGTGTTTGAAAAAGGGTGAGAGGCTGCCATCTCTGCAGGCAAGGGGTGACATAACTGAGCTCTTGAGTCCCACAGGGGTGCTGCAGAAAGAAGGTAGCTGGTCAAGGGAGCCGTGGACTCAAAAAAGTTGAAAACCTCTGCCTTTATATGTTAAGCCTATTAAATGCTTGCTTTCCAGCAAAACTAGTTAGACAGCATCTGCCATCTCAGTGTGACTTCTTGTAAAGAAACAACTCACGTATTCAAATTTAGTGTGTTTCTTATTCTGCAAAGCTTCCTTTTGGCATGATGTGTAAGAAACCATTCAATAATAAGACAAAATAGCTTTTTCACGTTTTTCAAGCAGTTCCCATTGATGTTAATTGCACATGGCACTGATTCACATCAAAGAAACCACACCCCAAGGAAGGAAGGAAGGAAGACTATAAACTCCATAGCATTTGTTTCCATGGCTCACTTGCCCCCAAAAGATGTTACATACTGGCACAAAGCCTACTGTGAACAATAGCCTATTCACATGGACTGACCCATCTGCCTGAGAAATATTGGATCATCATAACCTAGTACAATATATTGTATGTATGCATACGCCTTGGCATGGCAATATTATATATTAGCATTATACATGCACTGAAGTACATGTGTATGGATTGAAGTACAGGGAATACCACACAGATGTGAAGTACTGATAGAAGTTACAGCAGCATTTTTCAACTTACATGTTCTATACCAAATGCACATGTTACACTACATCTCCATTGTTTACACACAGAATCACAAAGATAGATGTACCTCTGGGAACTAACTAAATATGATAGCATAGCTGTTTACCTTCACAGTGTTTCCCTTGCTCTAAAGATCTGAATTTAATTGTGAAAGACATGGTAGAACAGTGACTAGTCTGTGCAATGGCACCTGGGGTCTCTTGCATACAAAATGTGTGCTCTATCATTGAGAGACAGATGTTTATTCCACACACCCATAGTATAATCAATAAAAGTTGGCCCAGCTTCTCAGTCTATTTCAACCTCCCCTACCTGGTGCCCTCCAGACGTTTTGGAGTACAACTCCCATTGACCATGATGCTGACTAGAACGCATCGGAGCTGATCTATTAAATGACTGCAATCCTAAGTATACTTATAAGGAAGCATGTCTCACGGAAATTAAGACTCACCTCCAAACTGACATGGTTAGGCTTAGGTTGTTAGCTTCCCATTCTGGGAGACCAACACTGCGAGGATATCCTCATTCAGACTGTAATGTATGATCAGTGGAAACAGTTGGTCCTGGCAAGTATTAACAACTCTCTCCAACCTGATAATTGCCACCTGCCCAGATTTTAACTTGTCTGAATTAATTTTAAGATGCATTTTAATTAACTGATGTCTGTTTTTATGCATATTGTGTTGTTTTTATGATGTTAGCTGCTCTGAGCCCGGCCTCGGCCGGGAAGGGCGGGATACAAATAAAAATTATTATTATTATTATTAATGTTACTTGGGTTGCATGACAATCTGTTGCTAATTCTCACAAGGAGCCCTAAGACATTTCACAGATAAGCACTGGCATATCTCTTGCCCATAGCATTCTGTTGAAAGTAGATTATATGTGTGAAAGAGGGGGGAGAGATAAAGTTTTAAAAAATTATATTTTCAGCTTTCAGTATTAAGAGACATTTACAACATTACTGAGTGGCAAAGAAATGCCCCTCTATCGTGACATTGTTTCCTGTATTACTCAACACACGAACAAGTGCAACTGTAACTGTAACTCAACACTCAAATCTACATACATACATTTCAAAAGTTTCAAATAACATGATACTCTATACACACATACTAAATGAAGCGTCTTCTTACAAAACTTGGTACAGTGAATATAATGGGCAGGATTCAACTAACCAGTCCCACAGCAGAAGCCCACCCAAGGATATCCACTAGCGCAACAGGGCTTTCCCCCCTGAAATTGGCTGGGGGGAGGTGTCATGAGGAACCCCAGAACAGCGTTCAGGGAGAAGAGAGGGGGGATTATGCCATCTGGCACTGACTGAAAGATTGCCATAGTGCTACGTTGAATTCATTTCAATAACTGTACCTGTCTTTTCTGGAATATTTCTTTTACAGAAAGTGGGTGGGGGACGTAATTATCTGTACTCATTTAGCATCATTATTTCTGATTCAATAGCAGAAAGTTATGTACCCAGATATTATATCTACATTGCTGATTATTCTCCCTAATTACACAATTGTTTTCAGTTCTTTAAAATGAAAACCATCATTTGTAATCATTTGAGGAACTAGCTTTCTTACTCTCCTCTAAGCTCCACCAATAGAGAAGTTAAACATCCGTTTCAACAGTTATTGTCAGATTACTTACATGACTCTTCAACTTTAAGTCAGTAGTTCCTGCTACAAGCATGTGATTATTTACACTTTCCAGTAAGACTTCGTCCATGTATGTTTTCCTGAGTCAAGTTTTATAAACTTCAAAATCCACAGCTGGGCAATATCTTTATTAGGATTACAAAATAATAAGTAAGCTTTGTGAAGTGACTGGTTGCATTTAATAGACAGAGAATAGCCTACTTAAGGCTTGCTTCAAAATACTAGACTTTCTGGCATGTGTGGGCAGTAGATTGTTCCTTTGGCCTAAAGACTATTAGAGCTTAATCACACTACCAGCTTACACTACACATGGTTCAACTATATTTCAGCCATTACAGTAGACTACCCCCAACTCCTATTCAATACATTCACAATATATGACAGTCACCATGCTGTAGAGGAGGAAAGCTTTGCTACCTAGGATGATGCATATCTATCTATCTATCTATAATCTATCTACCTACCTACTTACCTACCTACCTAGGGAAGGGCAGATATGTTTCAACATTGATGACAATGTGTCGCTGTCAAAGACCTAAGAATTAAGGTGGAAGGTAAGAGATTCATAAATCAGTGTACCATTACCACAAGGGAAGGTGGTAGCCTTGCTTGTGTTCTTTTTTTGAAAAAATGCTGCATGAGTAGTTCATAAAATGAGTTTGATATGGTAGTGGTGTCATTTTTACTAAGATTTCACATGTGCTATCTAACAGATTGCACAAACACATTCTAAACAGTGGTTCTATGAGCAAAACTCCTTGTTCCCATACAGAATAAATTACAGTTTGAATGCTTCAAACCACTGGAATGTTTTCAGCTATACTTATACATTATTACCAACACAGCTCACCATACAGATACTGCCTAGCAGCAACCGAAGTAACCAATGAAAAAACCAAATTATGCCAGGTGTATGCTTACCAATACAGGAGTTTATGCTATCCTGTAATTCTATTATTTCCCAGCTGCCACCACTTCAGAGCATTTTCTGCACAATCCGACCACACAGAAGTTTCCTCCTGCTACCCAATATAAAATGCAGTAACTTCTCTATTACACTGGAGTATAGTATCAGAAATCAGTATGTGAGGTCTGTGTGATGAGGCAAACAACTATATATTTGTACAAGCAATCACTTTTTCAGAAATGCAGAAGTGTTGTAAAGATGTAACTGCCTGATGATACACACTTCTCTGTTTTCCATTACAAGCTTGGCCAAATCATTGCTGCATACTCCATCATTTTTCAAGCTAAGCCCTGAAAATAAGGCACAGTCTGACCACCACTTCTGCAACTTCATTTATATATTTTGGTGTAATTGCTGTGGGCATCCACAGGCATGACAAATAGAGCAACTCTTCCTAACCCTTGGCTTTTACTCCAAGTGGAGTATTCCCTTTCTCTCTCCTCCAATTCCTGTGGCACCCCACTTTCTCCTCCCCAGGTGCTACATTTTCTTCCCTCTAGTCTCCCAGATTGTTTCCCTTGCCCTCCTATCCTCTCAGTCATGTATGTTTCTTCTTTTCTTCTGCTAAGATGTTGTTCCAAGCTTTTAATGCTCCCAACCTCCTCCTTCAACTCCATGTATGTTTCATGGCAGGGGAAGTCACTTAATGATGAAGGGGCAGTGAGGACAGCACTTACACAGAATCCACAGCTGCCATGGGGAAGGCACAGTGGTTCCACTGTCCCCACGAGTGCCATGCTGGCGACGTCAGAACTATGAGCATTGAAGTGTCAAATAGTTTTGAACTTTGCTGTTGCTTCCGTTTACAGTAGTGCCTTTTTCCACAATGAGCACGACTCATACAGCAAACCAGTCTCTGCTGCAGTATTAACACTGCAACACCCCCACAAACATCTTATTAACTGAGTTGGTGCAGGGGTAGTAAGGTCTGCATGGGAGTAAAGGCATTTGCCCTGGAATCCATTTCTCCTCACTTCTAAGGATGGGTGCCCACTGCAGTAACTTAATACTAATGTAAAAGTACATGTTCAGAAGCACTTTTATTTATTTCTTCACATATTAGAGGGCTCACCCCTAGTACTGAAAATAGATTATTGCAGGGCTGAAACCCAGAACAGTTTAAACCTTGATAATGGCACAATTTTTTAGCAATGCGTGGAACCCTTTTCTTTTGAAATTTATAAATTGTCTTTTTCTTTGAAGAAACAACATGGTCAAAGATATGACGTGGTATTGCTAATAGGCAGGATGAAAGAAGGAAGGGTGGGGCTCTGATCAATAAGACCAACAGTAGCTTGCAAGCAACTTCTCTACTTACATCACAGTACAATACAGAAGTAAAGCACTCTAAATAAGGCCCAGCCAACAGCTGAAAATGCACTTCATCTCATGAAGAACACTGAATTTCAGAGTATGGGATGGCTTGCAGCCGATATAATAAAACTATTACCAAAACCCTATTGTGGACTTAGTGGCTGTAGCTTCACCACCAGTGCTGAATACAATTTCACTTTGCAATGAGTGAAAGGGGGGTGGGGGACCTGGGGTCTTCCGAGCTCACCTTCAGCAGAAGTTCTGATCAACATAATAAGATTCTATTGGCAGTAAGAAGCTTATCTGTGCTATTTTACAGATGGAGCAGGGACAAAATTTGCAAGGCCTAACAGAAGTATCATAAGTGCTGTTAATCTTAGTTTGGATGAATGTAGCATAATAGGCAATACAATCCTTAACAGTATGACCTCTCTGCTTAAAAAAGGCAAAAATCATCTGTTCCACTAAGCTCATTATTATCACGAGGATGTCTTTGTAACAGATGAATGAAACAAAATGTACATTCCTTAATCAGAAGGTTTGTGAGCCTTGATATCATAGCACACACAGTCCTCCTCAGAATACTCTCAATTATTTATTAAAACATTGAATTTCATGACATGCTCTGTTTAGCAAGACTTTGGTAGAAACAGCGCAGAATTAAGTAATTGTGCCAGGTCATCAAACAAAGGGGGGAGGGGAGCACTTGATCCAAGAAATCACTAGTATCTCAAACATTAACCCATTTACACTCATAGAAAGCAGCTCTATTATCTATTTTCACTGTGAGCAGCACTGTCTTCTCTAGGAATACCTCTGCACATCAACCAAAGAAATGGCATAATCCAGTGCACTGAATTAACGATCCACCCATTAACATTGTATTCCAAAGTCTTAAAACACATTCACCATTTGACCACCCTTCCCACAGGCATCCTTCACACATCCACAATCAGATCATTGGCTGCGTCTTTTAATAAGCACATGTAATATTAATATAAAATGCCCCTCAAATGGGTACTTGTCCAGTCCAGATCACAAGCATGTAGAAACACACACCATAGTTGCAACCTGGCTATAGGCTTATCCCCCAATTCCATTTTAACAATTTTTGCCTGTGTCTGTAAGGCTTTTGAGGCAGTATGTTCCAAAATTTGTCTCGTTCTGAACTCAGTGTGTGACTTCTAGACAATTATAGCCATTTCCCTCCATATGAATCTACCAGGATCCTACAATAAGGGTGTTGAACTAGAATCTGGGAGACTAAGGTTCAAATCCCTACTCAGCTTGGGCCACTTACAGCTTCTCAGCCTAGCCTACCTCACAAGGTTGTTGTGAGCATGAAGCGGGTGTGGGAGAAGCATGTATGCCACCTTGAGCTTCTTGAAGGAAAGGGAGGATATAAATATATACAAAGGACTGTACCTCAATGGTAGAATACATGTTTTGCATGCAGAAGATCCCCGGTTCAATCCCTGGTATCTCCAGCCAGGACTGGGAATGTTCCCGTCAGAAACCCTAGACAGCTGCTGCTTGTCAGTGTCAACAATACTGAGCTAGATGGACCAGTCGACTGACTCAGGATAAGGCAGTTTCCTGTAAACCTGTGAAATAAATATATCAATCTGAGTCTCTTCTCTGTGTACTCCCTCCAAGAGATGTCCAAAGCATGGCAACAAGAAGACAGGCTTTTTCTGTGGCAGCCCCCAGTTATGGAAAATATTCCTCAGGGAAGCTCCTCTGGTGGTGACACTGTCATGCTGTCAGGCAAATACATATTTATTTTTCCGGGCATCTGGATAGTGACCTGGCTTTTGGTGGTCATTTGGTGTCAATTCTAGTTTTGTATGGGGATACTTATTCTTTAGATGATATTTTGGAAGAATTCTGCAGTATGTTTGCATTCTATTGTTTTAAGGAATACTTTCATATATATTGTATTTTTTGCATTTTATTTATTGTTTGTTAAGTTTCTTTGGGGCTTCCACTGGTTAAGGGATGCAATTCACAATTTTATAAACTGAACTGAACTAATCCAAACATAAACACAATGTCCTATCAAAATGAGGCATGCTTAAATTCTGTGCAAGTCAATGGAACTAAAGCTACAATCCTAAACTCACAGAAGTATCCACTGAATTGAAAAGGACTTCTGAGCAAACATGCATAGGATCACACTAAATACTGCAAGGTCTCATTACATTTCAATGTAATCTGAGCACATGCAACTTTCAACAGATTGCACCCAGTGATAATATTGCCTGATATTCAGGCCCAGCAGGTATGTTCTTGTGGAGACAACCCACTCAGATATAAAGGACCAGTTCCTTCCCCCACTCCCTCAAGATATAGAAAGAGTCCTCCTTTTCCTGCAAAGTAAATGCCTATTAATACAAATCCAGCCCCCATAATGCACATGCAAAGGCGAATGACATTTTCTCCTGCAATCCAAGACAGGAACACCAGAATATATTAAGGAAGTAGCTTCAGACCGCCAGCTCCGCCAAGGGCCAGCATGAGCCCAACTGAAACCACCGTGGTGTTGAGTGTCCAGATTAAATTCAGCAAAAACGGATCGTTACAAAACTGCTGTGCCGAAGGCCACAAAATTCCTTCCTTTCCACGCAAGCACGCGCGCGCACATCCATCTGCGCCTGCTACCCGGGAGCCCCAACCCCGGCTTCTCGATTTCCCGACGCCCAAATGAATCTCGCAACCAGCCCACCCTACCTAGTCCTGGCAGAGGGCGCTGGGCGGACCCGGGGGGAGGAAGGGAGACGCAGCCCAAGGCCACATGAAAAGCCATTGCCAAAGCCACCCGAGGATGCGCTTCCGCCTCCTCCTCCGCCCCCACGTCCTGCTCCTTTCCCTCCGCTCCGAGCCGCAGGCTGTGCCCCGCACGGTCCCCTCCCCGATCAGGGGAAGCGGGCAGAGAGGGCACCTTTTGGGGCAGCAGGAGAGCTCCAGGGCGCGCTGCTTCCTTACCCGTCCTGCTGCCATGCCGGGGGAGCGGCGGTGCCGGGGTTCGGGATGCTTCCCCGTTCACCATGGCAACGGGGCCCTCCACCTCTGGCAGCGGCGGCGCTGCGGGGGCGGGCAGGCGAAGGCACCCGCTGCCTTGCCGCCGCGTTGCCATATGCCAGGGCAGGGGCGCCTCTCGGCTCGCTCCCGCGCGGGAGACGCAACGGCCTCCCTTCGCCGCGAAGGAGAGAGGAGGTGTCCTCCGCCCCCCGCCCCGCCTGCCTCCCGCCCCGCTCATGCCAGGGGCGCGCCTTCCCTCCTCGCCCGCAGCGACAGAGGAGGCACCCGCCCTCCCTTCACCCCACCCCGCTCTCCCGCAGCCGCTCACCCCTTTGCCGCCGTCTCCGCCGCCGCCGCCACCGGGCCGAAGCCGCAGCCGCCTCCATCCCGGGGCTCGGCAGCCACCCCGCACCCCGCCGCCCCAATTCTCTAATGCCGCCTCCGCTCGTGCCAGGGCCGCCTCCGCCCGCCGGGCCGCCCACTGCGTCAGCTCCGTAAGTCCCGCTACGCACCCAGCGGTAACTATGGCGACAGCGGGGCCTTCCTGCGCCCTCTGCTGTCGGGAAGCGCGGGCCTGGCGAAGCGAGCTGGCGAAAAGAGGAGGCCTCGCGGGGGCGGGGGGGGCGGCCGATTGCACGCACCTCGGGGCAAAGAGAGGCGGGTGCTGAGAGGGGAAAGAGAAGCCTTCCTTCGCTGCTAAATTCCTAAAACGAGGTTTTTCTTTGCTATGCTCCAGCCTGTCTAGAATCCTTGCCATGTCCCAGGAAAGGGACCCTTGCTCTTTAATAATTGGGGGGGGGAGGGGAGCAGTGGTTTCTCAGTGTGGAAGGAAGAGCTCTCTGCACATGCTTAGAAACCTGTTTATCCTCCTAAATCTGAGGTTAGCTCTGATATGAAAAACAGTTTTCACTCCAGAGCCCTGGCATTAATTAAACAATACAGTAGGAAAGGGGGAGGGGGAGAGAGTTGAGTGGTGGCAGACTGGTGCAATAAGTTTTTTGTTTCGTGGAGGAGTCAGTTTGCATAAGAAGGAGCAGCAAGGGCATAAGGAATGCACTGACATTTGTCATTTGACAATGTGAAATAATCCAGTGCATTTATTGTTCCTTGTGTCTTGAGGAATTTTCAGGCTTGACTGAGAACTACTGAGAACAAGGAAGCACGCCCAGGGGCCAGGATCTAAAATACAGTTCCCAGTGAGCTTCCATCTGCTTGTTCCACTTCAGTGGCCCTGCAGTTCTGATCACATCTATATAATAATATAATATTGCCCTGCAAGTTGCTTCCCAAATTCAGTGGACCTTTGAGAACAGCAGTCATTCAGTGGAGGTCTTCCCTCAGTGACACATGCATTGGTTACAATCCAGTCTGAATTGCTGTAATGTGCTCTATGTTCCGTGATTCTCTTTGGCTCCTGACTCAATATAGTTAGCCTCCTGAAAGATTTACAAATACTTGGCAGCCTCATGAAAGATTCACAAATAGATACTTTACTTCTGTAGCACAGGGTTGGTTTTTTTACCCAGAGTTCCATGGAACCCTCAGCTTCTGTGAGCACGCCCCAGGGTTCCACAAAACTGTACAACCTCCCACCTTAGGCACTTCACAATCCCCTCTTGTGGCAGGCAGGTAGTCACTCCCACTCGTCCAATCATCTCAAATAATACTCCAAGTTATAATTATTGAGTACAATTACTTGCCTTTGGTTTTTGTAATTGTGAAAGAAATTGCTTATTACTTTTCTTTCTTTCTCTTGATGTGGAGGCAGGGAGGATTGTGGTTGCACTCCATCTATGACAACAAGTTACAGATGATCCTCTACCAGGAAAACATAATTTCAAAGTAAGTGCTATAGGGCATCCTGCAGCTCTGTGCCAGTACCCAGGGGCAGAAATCCAGAATGCAGTTTTGCATGCTTGTCCTCTGTCAGTTTCTGTAGGAAATGTGAGTCCCTTGGGATGGACAGATGACAAGGCCAAGGAAGGGAGGGCCCAGAGCTGCAGAAATCAGCAACGAAAGATTTGGGAAGGCTGGCCTTCGACAGTTCTTCAGAAGTCTTTAATAAAAGGATAGGTTACACATCAACAAAATAGTGACGTCCAGGCAATTGTCCACAAGAAGTTTGTGATGAAAATGCAGAACAGTAGCTTAACAGTACAGGCTTGGGCTTCAAGAAATATTCATTTAATGGTTTGCTTTTAACAGTCAAGAGGTGTGACTTAATACAAGAAATGTTTATTCAATCAAGTAGGGAGTCCAATTGGCAGTATACAAATTTAATAACTAAAATGAACAATAAACAATAAAATACACCAGCAGCACTCTGGAAACAAGTTGTTCACTTAGCAACCCTCCTCCCTCTTTCTTGAGATACTTTGCTATCTCCACTTCCAGATAAATGTTTAAGTGCTAAATTAACTCTGGAAGAAACTACCATCTGGATGCAGCAGACTAAAAAGCAAGGACTTTAATTGAATAAAAGGGAAAGCATTTGAACAGCAACAATATACATCTTTTAGACAGAAATAAGACAGTGGGATCATTTTCCTAGAACAGATCATTAGCTGCCTTGATTCATGTGAATGGGTCTTTCGCTGTGGTTTTCCCTGACTAACCTGGTCTGTAACCAGAGACTTAACAGAAGAAGCTAAGTGGTGCTTATTGCTCTAGAATACTTCTCCACTCTTCGGAATCATAGAATTGTAGCATTGGAAGGGTCCCAAGGGTCATTTAGTCCAACCCCATGCAATGCAAGAATCCCCCGTGCACAGCTAAAGAATCTCTAATGGATGGCCATCCAACCTGTGTCTTAAAACTTCCACTGAAGGAAAGTTTACCACCTTCTGACGCAGTCCTTTTCACTGTCTTCCTGTTGTAGTGTCCATCAGAGTTTGGAAGTGGGACAGGAAGGAAAAGCTAAAAGGAGGTTTTCCAGTTTGAATTTGGAGAAAGAAATAAGACATAGCCTATCCCCCACCCTCCTCTCCCAACTGTATATCTCAGTTCCACCACCTTGGCAGGCCACTTATGTGTGATCATAGGATTGCCCACTTTAATTAAGATCCGGGATGAATGAGTTGCCTGGAACCAGATGCATCTTAGCTCCTATTCAGAAGCAAGTATCAAATCTAGATAAGGGTGCATAGGTTTGCAATCTGAAACAACTCCACCCATTCACCATTGCCAGCTCCTTATGCCACCTCTTTCCTGTCAAATCTCTCTTCAAAATACATTTTCCAGGAAGACTTTAGCCCAACCTCTTAACCTTCACTTCCTAGAAATACTAAGCTAACTGCATTCATAGTTTCCATGATTCTATCTTCCCTCCCTTCTTGTCCTTCCATTGTCTCCCTTTTGTTGAGATTTAGATGGCATGTTCCTTGGGGTAGACTGTTTTGCTTATGTTATAGTGTACATAAAGAATAAATAGGGAATAAACACAGCAGTAACTGCTGGATGCTATTGCGACTAGTACCTTTTACTACACAGGCATTTTATGTTCAGTGCAACTTACGACTTTTTCTTGTCTGGTTCCTTAAGGAAAGGGCCCATTTGTTAAGCAGCACTTGACTGCTTACATATGCCTCTGCTGCAGGTTTTGCTAAATAAAAGCACCACAGCAAAGAATACAAAATCATGCACTGAGTCACCAAAGGGAATTCTGTTTAGGAGATTCCAGGCGTGTTGGTGGCTTATTTGTGTCTGTTAGGCCTCTTTGCAGCATTGCAACCCACCCCTAATCACATTTACTTAATGTTCTATTGATTTAAATGAAATTTTATTCAGAATAAGTGTACAGAGGACATCAGCCTTTGCATCTTGAACTTGCTAGGACTGCTCAAAGAAGACTGTTCACATTGTCTGTTTTTGGAACTCCCCCCCCCCCCCCGTCAGGAATAAATTCTATTTACATGAGACAACAACCACATTTTCAAAGCTAGCGTAGAATGTGAAGCCATGGGTGGCCTTGGTATTAGAACTCTACTTCCAGGCTACCACCAGCAAGCAATCTTAAGGCAGAGGTAGCCAATGGGATGCCCTCCAAATGTTGATAATGCAAAAAGAACACAAGAAGAGCAAGCCAGATCAGGCCAATAGCCTGTCTGGTCCAGCATCCGCTTCTCACAGTGACCAAATGCCTGTGGGAAACCTCCAAGCAGGATCTAAGCACAAGGGAACTCTCCCCTCCTGTGGTTTCCAGCAACTGGTATTCAGAAGTATTAGTGCCTCCTAATGTACTCTCACCAAACCAGCATACATTTTAGAGAAGTTCCTTACATCAGTGATATCACATTGTGATGTAATTCTCTTTTATCAGTTGTGAATACAACCAGTTAAAGGTCATTCAATAATTTTAAAGGGGGGGGGGAGAGAGAGTACTTACATTCTACTATATCTCAAGAACGTTTAATTTGTTCAGCAATTTCAGCGATCAAAAGTTCTGCATTGAATTTTGCAAGATGCAACTCCACTCCGGAACCTTAGGATGAAGGGCAGGGAATGAATGAATGAATGAATGAATGAATGAATGAATAACACAATGACAACAAGTTAATTGACAGTTTTGCACAAAAGAAATGGTATATATTTTATGTATATCTATGAATATTTTACAGAAACTGTTGAATTTTCGTTCGTTTGGTTCCTTTAAATAAAGTTTGTTTTTCAACATATAGAAACAAAAAGTACTGTTTAACAATATAATAGTAAAAAAAAAAAGATAACTCATGTGATAAGCTAACTCATTCTTCTGCATTTAGCACCATAATATTTTTGGACATAGTCAAGTTTAGTGAGGTGAACGAACAAGGCCCTCAGAAAGGGCTGAACACAGGCACAATATATCCTCCACTGCCAGAGCTTGCTAGTGATTCACAGGCGGAATCCTCCACATTTCTTGGCTTCTTGTTGAAGAACCGCAGTGAACGTCATTTTTGACAGCAATAGACAAGCCCTCTGATAAGGCTCAACCTCCTTGCTCCATGAAACCACCCCGGGCAGATTTCCTTGCTGGTGTCAGTAACAAGAGAAATTAGCTTGTTGCTGCTCCTTACTACAAAATGTGCCTTGCTTGGAGGACTCTGCTTGCCTGAGTCAGTAGGAGCCAGAGATTATATTTCTGCCTGCTTCTGTTAAGCAGCAGCCAAGATTGGCGAACGGCCTGGTTTGCAGTGTAGAGGCTGCTGTCTTGTCGCATGTTGCTACTAGTTTGTCAACTAGGTTTGCACAAAATCTTGCACAGCCCTGTGACTTGCATGCAAAAAACATAACAAATGCTGAATGCTTGCTGCCTCTCTCACTAGTGGAAATTGAACCAATGACAGCTTTTTACCTGTTTGTTCTACCACCCACGCTGATACCAAATAAGGTTTCAAGGAACACTTATTCATCAGCGCCATCTTCTGGTAAACCAGGGAAACATCAGATTGGGCCTGTTTTTTTGCTTCTGCAAAATGAATACGAAAATTATATTTAAAAGAAATTAAGTTGTAAACGATGTCTACTGTCTACCAGCCTCCAACCCCATACTTGGTGACTATTCTGTAATTCCCTATGAGATGGTATTATAAACCATTAGTGTGGATTTGATATCCGCCCCCCGGTGCTTTTACTGGTATTTTCTTGATCTAAAATACAGAGCAGATAAAGCAACTCTTTTAAACGGGGCAACATTCAGACCAACTCTAGGAAACTGCTGGAGTAGGTCTTGGCAGTGGCACCATCAGGGCTCAACTCTGGGGGCAGAAGACCAGAACCTCACTAGCAGAAGGAGCAAGATTACTGCCAAATGCAGTAGGACTGGCTTACCACATTTTGAAGTGGGTAAAGTAATAAACATAATGATAACAATGTCAAGAGGACCATCTCTTAAGTTTCGAGTCTAAAATTATCTATAATTGCAGTCTTGGGTGATGCTCCAGTTTTGGCAGCCTCCCCCCCAGCCCTCCCGCCATGCTGGGCTTTGGGAAGGAGGCGTTAGGGCTCTGTCAGGGTCCTAGAGTCCTCCTGTCTCCTTCCCAAAGCTGAGCAACTACTAACTAGATTTTGGGAAGGAGGCAGGAGGACTCTAGGCCAGGGGCGTAGGAAGGGGTGGTCCGCCCCGGGTGTCACCCTGAGGGGGATGACAAAATGGCGGTCGGTCGAGGGCTACACTCACTGTAGGGCAGCTTAGGGTGTGCTGTTGTTATGGGCACCTTGAGCACAGGCAGTTTGTCCCACCCCTGTGGGTGGTTTGCCCCGCCCCTCGACAGCCCGCACCAGGTGCCAGAGAGCCTTCCTTCGCCACTGCTCTAGGCCCCCGACAGAGCCCTCACACCTCCTTCCTGTACCTGGGCAAGTGAAGTGCTTACCAGGCACTCTGCTCAGCGTCCAATGCACTGGACTGGCCACACTGCTCTAAAACCACCTCTGCCCTCCCCCAGGTGTTGGGTTATAGTTTAGAACTTGCTCCATTACAGTGGTCATTGTAAGCAAGTGCCTCTTCCATTACTCAGCCCACCAACAGCAACAGGATTCACAGCAGCTATAGAAATAAAGCACTATCCCAGCCTGTATATGCCAGAGGCCAAACCTGTCACTGCTTATCAGTCCTATCAAACTTTACACTTGTGTCACTTGCTTCAAGCAATATTAAATAATTTGCCACTTGTTTCTGGCAATTCTGAATTATTCCCACCCTGCTGTGGCTTCTTACTATAGGACTGTGCCATTTCTTCTTCTTCTTCTTCAATAAGTCATATTGCCAGTTGCAATTTAATTTCTTTTTGTACTTTAATATTGTACAAATCTTCAGGATCAAATATTGATGCTGTTCCACAATTTGTGTCCTGATTAAATGCTATAGAACTGTGCTTTTATCACCTTATATCAAGGATTATAGCTTTTATTTCCTGCCCTTACAGCTGTTTTCTGGAAATAAAATATTTTATTCCCTGGCAATTCTACAGCTGTAAAATATGTTTCTATAACTAACTGCTTTTGAAAATATGTAAGGTATAAATATATCAGTATAAAAGAGTGGTCGGAAACCTGACCCGCAGGCCAAATTCAGCCCAGCAAGGGTCTCCATTTGGCCCACAAGACTGTTTCACACAAACTACACCCACTGGCAGTGCACCTGATGTCAAAAGCAGGCAGGACGTCCCATCCCATCAGCTGACGGGTGGTGACTCCAAGCCCACTAGATAGGCTGTGCAACCAAGTTCTCCATGGGCAACTTGATCATGTAGCCAGTTCTTGCAGAAGACAAACTTGAAGTCACCACTTTAGGTGTCCAGCAGCACTTTAAAGCACAACACACGGCTCTTTGCAAGCCATGTGTGCTGCTTTGAAGTCCTGGCACTCATCACCTGATGTCATGTGACTGACAGCTGGGAGGCTTGCGAGCCGTGGGAAACACCGCTCCTATTATAAAACTACATGCAAGTACTCCTACTCCAATGAGTACTTCTGTTGCTATGTAACATTTACTTAAAACTCTAGTCATACTTTATAGCTTGGTATCGATGCAGTGTGGTGACCTTTGACCTTAGCCAAGGTAAGTAAATCATGTAATGTTCTTCCTGCCATTTGCCAGACATTAAATCTTGCTGCAACCAATTTTGTATGCAGCAGAAACCATTTCCAGAGGAGTAGTTTACTGTGTTGTCCTGTGTGCACATTCGTGGTTAATCTAGCTCCAGGGCATTCCAAACTGCTTTTGTTCTTGTTTTAGCCCATGTGCACACAATGCTAGTCAGGATCTACAGATATCTTGGAGTTTCTGCTAAAAAGAACCCTGCATTTTGATGCAGTTTCTAACTTGGAAACATTGCTTGTTCAATGTGTGGTGCGTGAATCCCAGATGTGTACAAAGAATACATGTGTTGGAGAGACTTCCGGAGGTGGCGCCAACGGTAATGGCTGCTTCTCTCTAATTTGGAGAGAACTAGCTCTACGGAATTTGGGTCCTGTCGCTACGGCGCAGCGGGGACCCCCAAATAAATCACAGGCGGGTGAAGCCTGTGACCGTGGGACTCAGCGGGCACCGTTTGCGCCCCCCCAATTGCTAAAGGAGCTCGGCAACGGGCTCCAGAGCGGAGCGGGGGTGGCGTGGTGCTGTGAGCAAATTGCTTCTTCCGTGGAGCGAAGCCGCGAAGCTGTTACCGGAGAGCGCTGCCTTTTTTCCTGGGATAATTGGCACTGAAAACAACTACCCGTGAGTAGGAGTAAATTGGATTTAAAGGGAAAAAAAGTTAATTTGGCACGGAGCGGGGAAGGTACAACCAGGAAGTCTATCTTCCCTGAATTGTAAATAGATCAAAGCAAAGAGACTTCAAAGCGGAAACTCGGAAAGTCACTTAAATGTGCTAAATTCCAACATCTTGAAAGTGGTTCCCCCTCCGGATTGCAGGAGAGGAGGGGGAAAAAGACTGAGCTGAATTTCCCTGCAGTAAAGAAGAATTTACAATTTAAGATTCGGAACGGACTGCCTTAAGATAGAGGTCCATAGTGAAAGCTTATTTCTGACAGCCAACTCTGCAAAAGTGATACAGTGTTTCCGAACCTCTTTTGGCTTGAAAGTAACTGTTTAAGTGTATTGAGACTGTGGACTTTGAAAGTAAATTGGGGGATTTATAAAGACTATTTTTGTTTCTAAAAAGTTACAAGTTCTGGCTGTTACTGTGTCCCCCTACAGGAGGTTGGACATTGTTACAACAACAGCTACAAAGAGGAAAATTCCACTCTATGTCAAAACAATTGGCTGACTGTGGGAGTGACCTTGAATGCCTATGAGACTGTTATGGCAGATGATAAGAAGTCGGAACCGCAGGAAAAAACTACTAGGTCTGGCAGACATTATTGGATAGACACTGCGTTGCCGCGAAGGGGCTCAACATCTGGAGCATCAGGGGCCCCACTCCCACAGTCTAAATCAAAAGTTATGACGTCAGAAGAAGTTTTGGCACAGGCACTGGCAAAAATTAATGAATCTTTGGAAAGCCTAAGTAAACAGGTAACTGAGACAAATAGACAAGTAGCTGAAACAAATAGACAAGTAGTTGAGACAAATAGACAAGTTGTGGAAGCATCAAATAAAATTGATTTAAATACTGCAAGTATTAATACCTTGGGACAGAAGGTGAATGCCAACACAGATACTATCGAAAAATTACTACAGGAATCTGCCTTGATTCGACAAACTGCACAGGAAGCAAAAGATATTGCAATTGCTACTCAAGAGAAAATTCCACCTGTATACAGTGGTGCCTCGCAAGACGAAATTAATTCGTTCCGCGAGTTTTTTCGTCTAGCGAATTTTTCGTCTTGCGAAGCACGAAATCCCATAGGAATGCATTGAAATTCAATTAATGCGTTCCTATGGTCAAAAAAAGTCCAATCAAAGCCAAATTTGGTACAACAAGAGTTTATTAACTGCTCTTTAAAGTCACACATACTTTAAAGAGCATATCAAAAATTGAAGGAACAATAAATTAAGTTTCTAAACATTACAGGAAAAACATTTAAAAATCAAAAAAGGGTACATTACATTTTCTAAGACTCTGAGGGACCACTCGAAGAAGGTTCCTCTTCCACTCTTTGCTTCTTGCTGAGGAACCTGTCCATGGTCTGCTGCTTCATCCGCCTTTTCAGCAGCTCCCTGAGAGGCGACATGACCGTCGTATCAAAAATGTTCGCTTGGTCATGTGCCACGTGCTTGTCAGGGTGGTGCCGCTCTGCAAAAGCCTGCACCTCATTCCACTTCTGGCAAATGTCCCTCAGTTCTTTGGAGGACAGCCGTTCCTCAGTTGCTTCCTCCTCTTCCAGCGAGGCCTGCTCCTGCGCAACCTCTGACTGCAGTTCAACCAGCTCCTGGGTGGTCAGCTCGTGGTCGTGCTCCTCCACCAGCTCGCAAACGTCCTCCTCTGTGACCTCCAGGCCCATGGTCCTCCCCAAGGCAACAATGTCCTGCACCACTGTCGACTCTGGTGCATCAGAGTCACTTGGTGCCACACAGTCCGGCCACAGGCTGCGCCAAGCGCAATTCAAATTCCTCTGGCTGATCCCCTTCCAGGCCGTGGTGATCATCTTCAAGCAGGTGACGATGTCGAAGTGGTCCTTCCAGAATTCCCGCAGGGTGATGGTGGTGCAATCAGTCACCTCGAAGCATCGCCTGAAAAGCTCCTTGGTGTAGAGTTTCTTGAAATTGGCGATGACCTGCTGATCCATCGGCTGGAGCAGTGGCGTGGTGTTAGGCGGCAGGAACATGATGTTGATGAAGCTGAACTCCTCCAACAAGTCCACCTCAAGGCCTTTAGGATGAGCAGGAGCATTGTCCATCAGAAGCAAAGCCTTCAGCGGCAGGTCGTTGTCCAGCAGGTACTGTTTGACAGCAGGGCCAAAGGCAAGATTGACCCAGTCCACAAACAGCACACGTGTGACCCAAGCCTTGCTGTTGGATCGCCACATGACACTCAGCCGCTCCTTGTCGACCTTGTGTTTCTTGAAGGCCCGTGGGTTCTCCGAGTGGTACACCAGCAGGGGCTTGATCTTCAGGTCGCCGCTTGCGTTGGCACAGAAGAGCAGGGTCAGACGGTCCTTCATGGGCTTGTGGCCAGGCAACTTGGCCTCCTCCTGAGTGATGAAAGTCCTTTTGGGCATCCTCTTCCAAAACAGCCCGGTCTCGTCGCAGTTGAAGACCTGCTGTGGACCGTAGCCCTCCGTCTTCACAACCTCCAGGAACTCCAAGGCAAAGTCTTCAGCCGCAGGAACATCAGAACTGGCAGCCTCTCCATGCCTGACCACGCTGTGGATTCCGGATCTTGCCTTGAACCGGTCAAACCAGCCTCTGCTTGCCTTGAAGACTTCTGGCTCGGCCGAGGTTCCTGGCTGTTCCCGGATGAGGTCTGCGTGCAAGGCCTTGGCCTTCTCACAAATCACGGCCTCAGTCACTGTGTCCCCTGCACGCTGCTTCTCTTCTATCCAGATGAGGAGCAACTTCTCGACCTCCTCCAGAACAGCTGGGCGGTTCTTCACGATCCTGGTGACTCCCTTGGCTGCATCAGTCGCAAGGATCTTCTCCCTCATCTTCAGGATGGTCCCGATGGTCGATGGGTTCCTGCCGTACTCCCTGGCGAGGTCCGTCACACGCATTCCACCGTCGTGCTTCCGGATGATCTCCTTCTTCATCTCCAGCGTCACCTTCTCCTTCTTCCTCTCGCCGGCCTCCGCAGCAGCAGCAGTCTTCTTGGGTCCCATGGCAGCACAGCTGTTACCTTTGTAAAACTCAGAAAAGAAAAAAAAATCAGCAATTCAAACCCACAACCAAGTCCTTGAATTCCAAACACCCAACCCAAAATCCAAAACCCCCAAAAAAGTTTTAAAAGTTTAACTTACGAAATGGCTGCAAATCACCAAAGTCTTCAAAATCCTCAAATGGCTGCAAAAGAAATTTTGGGAAAGCTTTAAAAATCACCAAAGTCTTCAAAAACCTCAACTGTTCCCCCAGCCCCTCCCCAACTGTTGCAAACCCCTCCCCAACTGTTGCAAACCCCTCCTCAACTGTTCCCCCAGCCACCCAGCACACAGAAATTCAAAACCCAGAAAATTTTTCAAAAAAAAAAAACATGGCCCAATGGTTACAGAAAACCATAAAAATTCAGAAAAAAACACACAAGCTCCCAGATTCCTGCAAACCCCTCCTCAACTGTTCCCCCAGCCACCCAGCACACAGAAATTTAAAACCCAGAAAATTTTTCAAAAAAAAACAACATGGCCCAATGGTTACAGAAAACCATAAAAATTCAAAAAAAAGCACACAAGCTCCCAGATTCCTGCAAACCCCTCCTCAACTGTTCCCCCAGCCACCCAGCACACAGAAATTTAAAACCCAGAAAATTTTTTCAAAAAAAACAACATGGCCCAATGGTTACAGAAAACCATAAAAATTCAAAAAAAAGCACACAAGCTCCCAGATTCCTGCAAACCCCTCCTCAACTGTTCCCCCAGCCACCCAGCACACAGAAATTTAAAACCCAGAAAATTTTTTCAAAAAAAAACAACATGGCCCAATGGTTACAGAAAACCATAAAAATTCAAAAAAAAGCACACAAGCTCCCAGATTCCTGCAAACCCCTCCTCAACTGTTCCCCCAGCCACCCAGCACACAGAAATTTAAAACCCAGAAATTTTTTCAAAAAACAACAACATGGCCCAATGGTAACAGAAAACCAAAAAAATTCAAAAAAAAGCACACAAGCTCCCAGATTCTTGCAAACACCTCCTCAGCTGTTCCCCCAGCCACCCAGCACACAGAAATTTAAAACCCAGAAAATTTTTTCAAAAAAAAACAACATGGCCCAATGGTCACAAAAAATCATAAAAATTCAAAAAAACCCACACAAGCTCCCAGATTCTTGCAAACACCTCCCCAGCTGTTCCCCCATCCACCCAGCACACAGAAATTTAAAACCCAGAAATTTTTTTCAAAAAACAACAACATGGCCCAATGGTCACAAAAAATCATAAAAATTCAAAAAAACCACACAAGCTCCCAGATTCTTGCAAACACCTCCCCAGCTGTTCCCCATCCACCCAGCACACAGAAATTCAAAAATTCAAAGCCAGATTTTTTTTAAAAAAAAATAAACATGGCCCAATGGTCACAGAAAATCATAAAAATGCAGAAAAAAATCACACAAGCTCCCAGATTCTTGCAAACCTCTCCCCAACACCAAGTCCTTGAATTCTAAACACCCCAACCCAAAATCCAAAAAACCCAAAAAAAGTTTTAAAAGTTTAACTTACCAAACAGCTGCAGAAGAAGTTTTGGAAAAGCTTCAAAAATCCAGCAAACTCTTTAAAAAGCTCAGAAAGGCCACCACACCGCGTGCAATGTGTTGCTCCTCGAGGTCAAGTCGCAACTGCACCTCTTCCAGCAATGCACCCTGGGTTTTAACGGTTTTACGAAAAGGAAACAAACTTGCAAGACGTTTTCGTCTTGCGAAGCAAGCCCATAGGGACATTCGTCTTGCGAAGCAACTCGAAAACGAAAAAACCTTTCGTCTTGCGAGTTTTTCGTCTTGCGAGGCGTTCGTCTTGCGGGGCACCACTGTACAAGAAATTGGAGGACCATGAGGTGACATTTTCTATGATCGAATTAAAAGATAGACAGAGAAATCTGAGAATTAGGGCTGTTCCAGAGCGGTAGAAAGATAATTTGGCTGACTTTCTTACACAGGAATTTACAGATTTTTGGCAATTGGACCCGGGGAAGGAAGAATTTAAGATAGTGAATGCATTTAGGCTCGGAAGAAGACAAGGCAAGGGCAAGGTGAGAGACTGTTTGATTACCTTTCGAACAAAAGAAGAGAGAGATAAAATTCTGAATTTGCACTATCAAAAAACTTTGGAAATTGATGACTCAAGATTAGTGATTTTTAAGGATATCCCAAAGCATTTGCTGGACATAAGGTCCAATTACGGAGACCTAGTGACCTTATTGAAAAGAAACAGAATTCTTTTCAGGTGGGAATTTCCGCAAGGCCTGTCCTTCAAATATAAAGGGAGAAAGATAAAAATAAAATCAACTGAGGAAAAAGACAGATTACTGAAAGATCACGAGGAAGATCTACTGAAAGAAGGGGAATCTGAAGAAGAACCAAAAGGCATACTAGACATATCAAATTTATCTTTTGGACTGCATGGTCCAGAAAAAGTGATACTACCCACAGAACAAGAAGCGGCACTTGGGGCAGTTGGAGGTAAAGTGAAGTAGCCCCCACCATGGCTCTGCAACTATTAAGCTGGAATTGTAACGGTTTGAATTCTCCTCGAAAAAGAAAAAGTGTGTTTCATTTATTAAAAAAGAACAATTGGACTTGATTTGTCTACAAGAGACACATATAACAAGGGCACATAGGAAGTTATTGATTAATAAAAGATTAGGACAGGAGTTTGTTTCATCTGACAAAGTCAAAAAAAGAGGAGTTGTGATTTATGCAAAGGAGAGACTCTTACCGAAACTTATTTTTAAAGATGATCAAGGAAGATTTTTGGCAATTGAAATTCAACTACAAGGAGAGAAATTCTTAATTGTGGGAATTTATGCACCGAACGAGGGAAATCTGAATTCTATAAAAAGTTGCATGAGACTCTACTGGATCATTTGGACTATAATTTGATTTTGATGGGGACATGAATGGAGTAGTATCTACAAATATGGACAAGGCACAAAGACAGGTAGTCACCAAGGATGGTAGACTACCGAAAACATTTTTTGAGATGACAGACAATATGGACTTAGTGGACATCTGGAGGGTAAAGAACCCCCTGGGAAGAGAAGGAACCTTTTTTCTGAAGCCAAGATGACATGGACTAGAATTGACCAAATATGGATAACTAGAGGAATGGCACCAAAGATAAAGAAGGTAGAAATCTGCCCAAAAACTTGTTCCGACCACAATGCTGTAAGGATGGAGATGAAACAAACAACAACCGGATCCTTTAGATGGAGGATGAATGACACCTTATTTAGAGATGAAGAAGTTTACAAAAAGGCCCAAAAGACTTTGAGAGATTATTTTGAAATAAATATGAATACCAATGTAGAAAAAGAGTAATCTGGGACGCAAGCAAAGCCGTGATGAGAGGGTTTTTGATACAACAGAATGCAATAAAGAAGAGAAGTCAAAATGAAAAGAAAGATAAAATCTTGGAAAAAATAAAAGAAGGAGAGAAGAAATTGAGAGCAAAACCAAAGTCCCAGGAGATTTTGAGAGAAATAAAATTATATCAAGTACAATATATGGAAATGATGAATCAGGAAATAGAATGGAAAATTAAACAAATGAGACAAAAAACATTTGAATCAGCTAATAAATGTGGAAAACTGTTGGCCTGGCAAATGAAAAAAAGACAAAAATTAAATACTATTATAAATTTAGAAGTGGAAGGAAAGAGTATACATAATCCAAATGAGATCAGAAATTGCTTCCAGAGGTACTTTAAACAATTATACACACAAGGGCCACAGAAGGAAATGGACATAGACCAATTTTTGAAGACAAATGGCCTACAAAAAATCTCTCAAGAAAGTAAATTAATGCTGAACTATAAAATATCTGAACAGGAAGTAGAAGGTGCCATACAAAATATGCAATTGGGCAAATCTCCAGGACCGGATGGGCTGACTTCCAGATACTATAGATCTTTGAAAGAGTGGTTATTGCAACCTTTGAAGGAAGTCTGCAATGAAATATTGGAGGGAAAAGGGCACCAGAATCGTGGAAAGAGGCGTATATCACACTTATACCGAAAACAGAGACTGAAAAGACTCAGCTTAAGAACTATCGCCCTATATCGTTACTTAATGTGGATTACAAAATTTTTGCAGACATTTTGGCCAAGAGATTGATAAAAGTATTGATGAAAGAGATTCATAAAGACCAAGCGGGCTTTCTCCCGGGAAGACACCTGTCTGATAATTTGAGGAATATAATTGATATTTTGGAAAAATTAGAAGTGAATATAAACACCAAAGCAGTATTGATATTTGTTGACGCGGAGAAAGCTTTTGATAATATCTCTTGGAGTTTTATGAAGAAGAATCTGCATGGGATGGGGGTAGGCCAAGGTTTTGAAAATGGTATAGGTGCAATATACTCTGAACAAAAGGCTAAATTAATTGTAAATAATGTGGTTACGGAAGAATTTAAGATAGAAAAAGGGACACGACAGGGGTGCCCAATTTCCCCACTGCTTTTATATCGGTCCTGGAGGTTTTGCTAAATATGATTAGAAAGGACCGGTTGGTTAAGGGCATACAGGTCGGAGCTAAACAGTACAAATTGAGAGCATTTGCAGATGACCTAGTATTGACGTTACAGGAGCCAGAATCTAGTACTAAAAGAGTTTTAGAATTAATTCAGGAATTTGGTCAGGTGGCAGGTTTTAAATTGAACAAGTTAAAAACTAAGGTTTTAGAGAAAAACTTAACACCGATTGAAAGAGAGGTTTCAGAATGAGACAGGATTGAATGTGGTAAAGAAAGTGAAATACTTGGGGATTAATATGACAGCCAAAAACGGGAACTTATTTAAAGATAATTACGAAAAATGTTGGACGGAAGTGAAAAAAAGATTTAGAAATTTGGTCAAATTTGAAACTCTCGTTGCTGGGCCGTATTGCTGTGATAAAGATGAATGTATTGCCTAGAATGTTGTTTTTGTTTCAGACATTACAAATTGTAGATAAGATGGACTGTTTCAAGAAGTGGCAGAGAGATATTTCTAGATTTGTCTGGCAGGGCAAGAAGCCCAGAATAAAATTCAAGATATTAACTGATGCCAAGGAAAGAGGTGGATTTGCCCTGCCAGACTTTAAACTTTATTATGAATCAGCAGCTTTTTGCTGGCTGAAAGAATGGCTACTTCTTGAAAACACAGACATTTTGGATCTAGAAGGTTTTAACAATGTATTTGGATGGCATGCATATTTATGGTATGATAAGGTCAAAGCACACAAAGCATTCAAAAACCATATTGTTAGGAAAGCATTGTTTAATGTTTGGATAAGATACAAAGACTTATTGGAAAATAAAACCCCAAGGTGGCTATCACCAATGGAAGCAAAAGCTCTGAAAAGGCTCAATATGGAGGCCAAATGGCCGACATATTGAGAAATTTTGGAGCAAGAAGGAGATAAATTGAGATTGCAGAGTTTTGAAAAATTAAAAAATAAAGTGAGAGATTGGCTCCACTACTATCAGATAATGGAGGCATATAATTTGGATAAGAAAATAGGCTTCCAAGTGGAAAAGTCAAAATTAGAAACAGAATTGTTAGAACCCAAAACTAAAAATTTGTCAAGAATGTATAACTTGCTGTTGAAATGGAATACTCAGGATGAAACGGTGAAATCTGCTATGATTAAATGGGCACAAGATGTTGGACATAATATTATGTTCGCTGACTGGGAACAGTTATGGACCACAGGTATGAAGTTTACGGCATGTAATGCCTTAAGAGAGAATATCATGAAAATGATATACAGGTGGTACATGACCCCAGTCAAGCTTGCAAAAATTTATCATTTGCCCGACAATAAATGTTGGAAATGTAAAGAAACTGAAGGTACATTCTTTCACCTTTGGTGGACGTGCCCAAAGATTAAGGCTTTCTGGGAAATGATATATAATGAACTGAAAAAGGTATTTAAATATACCTTTCTGAAGAAACCAGAGGCCTTTCTCTTGGGCATTGTCGGCCAACTGGTGCTAAAGAAGGACAGAACTTTTTCATGTATGCTACAACAGCAGCAAGAATACTTATTGCAAAGTATTGGAAGACACAAGATCTACCCACTTTGGAAGAATGGCAGATGAAGGTGATTGACTACATGGAATTGGCGGAAATGACCGGCAGAATCCGAGACCAGGGAGAAGAATCGGTGAAAGAAGACTGGAAAAAATTTAAGGACTATTTACAGAAATATTGCAAAATTAAGGAACTTTAGAAGGATGTTGGATAGAAACTAAGAGGTTTTTAGCTGTAATGCTTTAAGAGATATGGAAAAAAAAAAAGGTTAACAATTGGGTAAAAGATTAATGGTAAGGATTTGCTGAACCAACAAATGGAACTGGAATACAAAGAAGGGAGGTATGAGGAGGTCCGGGAAATAAGAGTAAGGAAGATAGGTTATGGAACATTATTGTGTTTTTAACTGTTTTATTTTGTATGTTTTTTCTTATTTTTTACTTTTTTGCTGTACTTTATACTTTTTTCTTTGTTTTGTGTATTTTTGTGAAACTTTAATAAATATCATTATTAAAAAAAAAAAAAGAATACATGTGTTGGGGTGGTCCTAAGTCTATGACATCAGCAGGGTGTGTGTAATCCCACTTCCTACCTGCACTTTGGAATCATTCACTTCTGGCACTCTACTCACCTGTACTTCTCCCTGTGCCTATCAACCGTCATATAGTTCATTTCTCATAAGCATCATGAGCAGACAAGGCAAGTGCCATGATGGAATCTCTCCCTCTTTCTCAGCCTTGCTTCAGCCAGAGCACATCTCTCCTGGGACTTCAGGCTACTGAACCTACATGGGAGAAGGTGGAAATGTTTAAAGCACCTGATGAAGCTGACCCTGTCTGCCCAATGGTTTGTACACAAAATAGGAGATTTCAAAACACACCAAGCCATTCCAATGTGCATAAAAGGTAAAGGTACCCCTGCCCGTACGGGCCAGTCGTGTCCGACTCTAGGGTTGTGCGCTCATCTCACTTAAGAGGCCGGGAGCCAGCGCTGTCCGCAGACACTTCCGGGTCATGTGGCCAGCGTGACGAAGCTGCTCTGGCGAGCCAGCACCAGCGCAGCACACGGAAACGCCGTTTACCTTCCCGCTATAAAGCGGTACCTATTTATCTACTTGCACTTAGGGGTGCTTTCGAACTGCTAGGTGAGCAGTCCAATGTGCATAGAGGCATGCAAATTCAAATTGAAATACAGTGAGGCAAAAATGGCCAAAGTTCTCAAGAGGTTGGTCTGAATTAAAAAGCTTGTCCTGGTGCTAAAGCTGATCAGTGTGAATGTGCCACACTCTCTGTTTTGGTACACTAATTCTATGTTTCCTTCCATAGGCACATGAATTATAATGGCATGTTTCTCACAATACCTGATTTTAAATATCCATATTAATCTCATAATGATAGTTTACTTCTGTTTTGTTTACAGGAAAATGAGCAACTGTCACAATTTTATTTTATACAGTCCAGTAATCTGCTTGTGTGGTTAAAATGCAACAGATTTGGGATTCAACTCAGCTTCGTCCCCTGCAATCAAATAATATTTTACGATCTGTATGAGACTTTTTATTTTTCTATATAGATTTAGATGTCATCTTCTGCTACTGAACTAATACATGAAATATGTGGTGTTGATAATATTTCCAGAGCATTGGTCTTAACATTCCTATTCTCCTACTTAACATACTTATTTTGAGAATGGTCTGTTGCAATTCTTAAATTGTGTTATTCTCAAGAGGAAAATGTCTGATTGCACTGCAGACATAAATCCATGCTCTTGAACTACTGGCTGATTCTATGATGCTGAAGGTAGTAAGAAGGTATTAATCATTCAAACAGCATTTTTAGATTTCCCCTGTTGGATGCCTGGAGTGGAGCAGGGTGGTAAAATCTTTGCAAGTCCAGTTGCAGTGCTACCTACATTATGCATAGTTCCCGGCCTTTTGCTTCTAACCAGTTTTCTCTACTGGCCGCACTTGGTAATTCAGAGCACACCAGTTGCTAATAACTCTATAGACAAATTGATCCTTTAGCTATTCTTCAAACTCTGAGTCATGCTAAACATAGAGTGCTAGCCACAGAGGCTTAAGTATAATTTTTTTTTAAAAAAACATTCTCCCTTTGGTATTGTCCAATATCACAGAAATCTGTAATTTTTCTGCTAAGACATTTCCCTCAGATAATTAACATAGTTTAATGAGGATGTTAAACACTGGCTTCTCTTATTGCTCCAAATTGCATATACACTATTGTTAGAAGTGAACTCTTGGGTGTTTCAAGGTCATCCAAATTATTCTTGGTTCTACACTGCACTACTTACAATTCAGGCTTACTCAAACTTAGCCCTCCAGATGGTTTTGGCCTACAACTCCTATGATCCCTAGCTAGCAGGACCAGTGGTCAGAGATGATGGGAATTGTAGTCTCAAAACATCTGGAGGGCAGTTTGAGGAAGCCTGACTTACATAATATTTGTCTGCCATATCCCCTGTGGTCTTGCACCTAACACATGCATATCTTGTGGCAGACCTTACTGGGATGTCACTCAGGATGCACAGGGCAGGGCTTCAATGTTTTTCACCTTCCGAAGTTGATCTATTAAAAAAGAAGAAAAATCACTTGCAAGAATTGCACTGTGCCATAAATGCATGGTTTGACACTGAAATGGCAGAATGGCTGCTGCAGAAGGGTTTTGTTCTTGCTATTATAATGTTATTTTGTGCTTTTATATTGTATTTTTATGTTGTGAACCATCCCGAGATCTAAAGATGAAGGGCAGTATACAAATTAAACAAACAAATGTGACATCAGCAGCGACCCCCCAAGGTATACATGTGATGTAATACCTGAACATCTTTTCTTGCGCTGTGGATATAATCTGGAGCCTTCTTCAACAAACATGAGGAGCAGGGGCTACCCTGTGCATAGTTGTGCCTTGAGAAAAACCCTGGATAAAAAAGGCAGTAGTGTAAACAAGCCCTTCATTAAAATGTTATTTTTAACTGAGGCTGTAGAATGAGTCGAGCTCAATAGCATTAGCATACGGGGAGCCGAATGAATGACCTAGGTTGTGTTTCATAGTTGTAGGCAGGGTGGTGGAGTCAATGGGCAGTTGGAACATCTGAGGAATGGGACGGAGACTTGGGACATCTTTGCTCTCCCAGGACCTCCTGCATCTGCCGCCTGAGGCTGGGAGAGACAACAGTAGCAGCCACGCAATGAGGAAGTTTTGGCCTGTGTGAGACTAATATCTAGCTGCTTCAACAATCCATTCTAGGCCAGGAGAGGCAGCTGCAGAATGGCCATCATGGTTGGACCATCAAAGAATGGGGGGGATGCTTTTATGCACCCCTTTGCCCTTCTGTAGTGACTACTGCATCGTTGTCTATTTTATTGTGTTTAAAATATATTGTAAGCCACCCTGTAAACGTCAGTTAGTAGGCAGGATATAAGTACTCCTAATAAATAAATAAATAAATAAATAAATAAGAACTAAACAAGCCAGAGTCTTGTTGTGGTTTGTTCAATCATCCCATCCTGAACGCGTGGTTTTATTTTCCTCAAACAAGCCATGAGCAGCAAACCAAGAACAAACTTTGGTTACCACTTGTGGTTTGTTGGGAGGGAAACAAACCACGAACCCTAATTCAGCTGACACAAGAAACCACACTCTGGCTCGTTTCATCCACAGCGCACCAGGAACAGGGGAGGTGCATTGTGAGACCTTTTGAGTAGCGTAGAGTAGACCATCACGCTGCTTGTGTGAATTAAACCATAGTTCGTTTTAAAGAGCGGCTGAATCTGATGGGTGAACGAGGCCAATGCACAGCAATATTATACCAAGTTTGTATACCTCCAAGTACATCTCATGCACATCTCAAAGCTCCCTCCCTCAGAATGTTAATGTACTTGCTTCCTCTCTCAGCATCACGCCCCCAGAATGTTAGCATGTACATCATACCCAAAGGACAGATGGAGAGGAGACGTCACAGATCTATGTATGGGATATATAGGGAATGACCTACAAGAGAGCGAACAGAGGTGAGAAAGACACAAAAATGACTGGGAGGGGGAGGGGGTTAACAGCCAGACTTTGCTTCAGATACTTCACCAAGGGGAAGAGAAGGACAAATTGTTGCTAAGGGAAATGAGACAGATGGTTGGAACAAACAACTTGCTGACTCTTTCAGGCCTTAAAACTCTCCAGATCCTGTTGTGAAGGAAGAGGGGGAAATTAAGCTGCCTGTGCAAACACACACACACACACACACAGCGCCTTAGGCATGTGTTTCCAACAAATGCACAGGTGTCACCAGCACACTGCCTCTGCTCTGTCCATCACCTCACAACATCTCTCCTATGCCACCCCACCCCCATCTCTCGCTGTCCCTGTTTTCCCCACGATTGCCTCTACCTCCATTTCTTCTGCTTTATTAACCACCTCGGCCAGTTTGTTCCTCTTAGCAATTTGCTAGGAGCGCTGGATGGAGGGAGCCTAGCTAATGCTGTGCCTCTGGAATCGAGAGCGACCGAGTTAATGTCACGTCTCTGGGGTACTCCTGCGGAGTAGCTGCATTAAATGACGGTTCTGGAATGGCGTGCCTCTCTGTGTGTGATTGGGCTCTAGGACATATTGTCTCCTAGAGAGCACAGCACCACGACATTTAATGCCATCTGATCCTTTGGGTTTCTGCCTTTCTCACGACTGTGCCAAGGCCTGCCTGGCTCATGAGCCTCTCTGACTTGGATGAAGCGCCTGTGATTAAGAATCCAGTCAACATGTCCATGTAGCCGTCGCCACAATCCAAATCATAATAAAGACAGGCAGCCATTGGGGGAGGGGGGGAGCTGGGAGGCGGGTTGAGGTGAGAACGGAGCCAATAATTTGTCAGCTTTGTTGAAAGCAAGAAAACAAAAACCCGGTACTGGTATGTAAAGCTGGAAAAGAAAACACACTTCCCAAAATATATGCCGTAAGCCTACTGTGGTTGTGGTACTGTTAAACTGCAGTGAATTAGAAATCTAGCCACAATTCTGTATTATAGGTATGGGGAAGCTTGCCTCTGACCCTCGAGATATTGCTGAACTACAACTCCCATCAGCCCTGGCAAGCTTGGTCAGGGTAATAGAAAGTTGCAGTTCAACAATATGTGGAGGGTCAAAGGTTCTATGCAATTGCTATATAATATATACACCTTTTCTTTTCTTTTCTTTTTTCTTTTCTTTTCTTTTCTTTTAATTATTTTAGTCTAAATGTTTATAGGCTGACCAGATTCTCAGGACAGCTTACAACAATGTAGTTTTTAAAGCAAATTTAAAAATACATACAACACTATACGACAGCAAGAAAATGTAGCAGCATAAAAGCATGTGGCAAAGGGGAGAAATAAAACTAAAGCTGAATCAGAAGAAAAGTCTCGTGATAATAAAAAAGTCTTCTTCCCCTGTCACCAAAATAGCATCAACTTAGGCACCAGGTAAGCCTCTCCGGGGACAACATTCCATTGCCATGATGCCACCACTGAAAAGGCTCTTTTCCTGTGGAGACTTTGCATTGAAACTGTTACTGTTAGGCTCAATTAACAGCTTCCCTGTAAGTGAAGTGTAGGGCTCCAGTGGTTCTGCACATAAGAAAGACTTGGGTATCAATAACTCTACATCATTTTCCCTGGCTTAATCCTGTTTTAAGTGCAGTTCTTTTTCCTCTGTATATAATTGCTGTAATTGCCACAAGCTTTTCACATTTTCTGTAATTTTGTATGCTGTTTTTAAATTGCCATGTAATTTTCTAGTTTTGTATGTTTATAAATTACTTTTTTAAAAAACCACCACTCTTCCTTTCATTACACTTTGAATAATTCAGCAATGACCAGTACTGGTTAATAGCAGGTCTTACGCCCTTCCCCCATCACTTACGGTCTTTGCACCTTTTTTGCTCTCACAATTTGACTGTAATTGCTCATTTAAAACATGTTCACATAACTTATTTCCACAAAACGTACTCCCTGAGCCCTCATATCCCAGCCAGATTGCTGAGATCTGGAGGAATGCTGTTAGCTGTCCCTCATGTCACAGAGCCTGGACTGGCCTTCACCAGAAGTCAGCCATTTAGTGTCGCTGGACCCATGCTATGGAATGGTATTCTGTCCTGCTTGAAATTTATTTTCAAAATGTTTTTATATTGCTTTGCACCACCCTGATATTTTGTGAGAGGGCGGTATATACATATGAGTTGTCGGTGTCCGGGGTAGCCCAGCTGTTGCCACCGGTGCCACAGGATCAACCCCACTGCCACTGGATCAAAGCAGGGCCACACTGAGCCACCTGCCCGCCCACACAGGGGGAAGCCCGCCCAGCTGATGGGGTCCTTGGTGGGCGGAGAGGAGCACTGGGTTGGGCCGTGCTGGGGGCACCTGTAGTGGGGGGCTCCTGGTTCACACCCACTAAAAAAATTATGCACCTGGAGCTACAGACCCCTGGCAAAGCCCACACAATGCCCCTGAATCTAAGAGTAAATAGGATAATGTCACAACACTATGTAACCAAATTTGACTCCCTGCAGATGCCACATGAAATCAAAACATGGTGAGAACAATGCTTCCTGAGTAGGTGAACAATTTCACAGCAACCACTGAAAAACTCAGCAAAAGGCCACAATGTGTTTCCGTGGTCGTGTGAAAATGTTCACCAGGAACATTATATAAGAGGTTCAGCAATATGTTCATAAAGGTTGATACATTTTACTTTCAATAAAACCAGTATATGGTGAAGCCTGCCTCCAGTGTAATCATAAGAAAAACATAAGACCTTCTGTCTGCTGTTTCTCTTTTTTTTTTTTAAATGATATTTATTAAAGTTTCACAAAAATACAGAAAACAAAGAAAAAAGTATAAATTACAGCAAAAAAGTAAAAAGTAAGAAAAAACATACAAAATAAAACAATTAAAAACACAATGATGTTCCATAACCTATCTTCCTTACTCTTATTTCCCCAGACCTCCTCATACCTCCCTTCTTTGTATTCCAATTCAGTTTGTTGGTTCAGCAAATCCTTACCATTAATCTTTTACCCAATTGTTAACCCTTTTTTCATGTCTCTTAAAGCATTACAGCTAAAAACCTCTTAATTTCTATCCAACATCCTTCTAAAGTTCCTTAATTTTACAATATTTCTGTAAATAGTCCTTAAATTTTTCCAATCTTCTTTCACCGACTCTTCTCCCTGGTCTCGGATTCTGCCAGTCATTTCCGCCAATTCCATGTAGTCAATCACCTTCATCTGCCATTCTTCCAAAGTGGGTAGATCTTGTGTCTTCCAATACTTTGCGATAAGTATTCTTGCTGCTGTTGTAGCACTGTCTGCTGTTTCTCAGGCTCCAGCCACCTTGCTTCTTGAGCTCAGAGACCCCAGGGCAGAGCTTTCACCCTTCAGGTATGGAACTGAAGATGGCCACCCAGAGCCCTTGCCTAGATCCTGACAATATCTAGAGTCACAGAAAGCCACAAAATATCCAGAAAAATAAAAGGATGTTCACAGAACCAGCTTTTTCCCAAGAGTTATCACTAGTTAAGGCATCTTTACAGAAATATCCCCCTGTCCCACACCATAAAGAAAAAACACTACCGGTAGGCATGCTTGCTTTGATCAAGGATGCGTTCATTTCTTGTTTATTTATTTCAATTCTTTATACGGTACCCTGCCTTTCAGGATACAGATTCTTCCAAGCCAATGGAACTACATTTAAAAAACACCCCCCCTAAATATAATAAACAATATCAAACTATAAAAAAGGTCATCACGATCCTTCTCCCAGGAGGTTTGATGGTAGATGGACCCGGGAGGTGGTGAAGCAGGCTCCGAAGTGGTTTTTGTGTGTCTCCTTAGAAAGGAGACTTGGTGTGCTACCCTTTGAATTACCGTACTTTCTCCAATTCCTCTGAAGCACAGGTCAAGAACTTGTTAAGGAGAGATGCCCATAAGGAGCACTGAGTCAGCAGCTAGCTTCTTAGGATCTGTTGCTGAAGCTGAGGCAAATGACAAGAGCTCTGTGTCACTGGCATGCCTGTGTGAAGGACACCAACAGCTGGGAGAAGACAGCAACCGTGTATTCCCATTTGGGATGTTCTCCTCTCCGTGGCGTACCTCGCTTTTGAATCTGGGCCTGAATGGAAGCACCCAGCCATGCAAGAAGGATAGAATCAAAGGGACTGTGTTCAGTTATTCTATCGAAGGGTCCATAATTTCAATGATAAGGGAATAATCACAGCAAGGTATTTCTCTATTGGCTGTGTATACAGTTCTTGTTTCCACTGGTTGAAGTAGGTGTGCAGTTCATACTCTTGGTTTACCAGCAGGGTTAAATATGGCCTCCTCTGTGTTGTGGAAATTCTCGCCAACTATGGAACATGTATGGTGTGGAGCCAAGTGGACAGAAAGAATCTCCACGCTGCTCTCATGGTACTCAAACCCAGAGTTTTCCAATTAAGCTGAATGTTGGGAGATTCAGAGCAGACAGTTGAAGTGCACACAGTGCACAGATGAGCTATGGAATTTGCCAATCACAGGATGTGATCTGGATAGCTTTAACAGGGGATTAGACCAGTTCATGGAATGTAAGGATATCCCTGGCTACTAGTCAGGGTGGCAATATATTACCTCCAATATCAAAGTTATGCCTCTGAATGTCAGTTGTTGGGGAACACAAGTGGGAGAGTGCTAGGTGCACATGTATCCTGCTTGCAGGCTTCCCACACGCATCTGGCTGGTCATTGTGGGAACAGAACGCTAAACTTGGAGGACTTTTCATCTGATCCAGCAGTGCTTTTCTTTTGTTTGTTTACTACCAATGAGCTTCTGGCCTGTTTTCCTGAAGTTGTGAAAGGTGCCCAAGAATTAACCCTCCACTTGGTATTATGACAAGAAGGATCCTTCCAATAGCCATTTAGGGACAGATTCCAAATTTAGTAACAGGTTCCCAGTTTAGAGACCCAATCACCAGGCGGGGACAAACGTACCCAACAGCAAGGAACAAAATGGTAAAACTTCCGTGTTAGCCTTCTACAACTCCATGCTCTGAGTATTCTTCAGTCTTGTTGGTGTGTGACTTTCAGGAAGTCTGGTATTTCAGGAAAAATATTGTTGCATGCCACCCCAATCTCCGAGCGGTGCGAGATTCCAGGGGTTCCAGGCGCTTACTCAGGGTTTGTGTTTCCTTTTGGAACTGAGGCACAGCAGAGACTGTGGCGCCATTGTGATATATGGATTATTTATACATGTATACAACCTGATCCTACAACGGAGGGGTTCACAACATTAACACCCCAAAGTAATCTTGCTTCTCCCATAGCTGCAGACTTGGATTCAAACAGAATTCAAACATTGCTCTGACTCTCTCCAGCTTGTTGCCTTACTTCTAGGTCACATTCCTGCCCAAATTCTGCTCCCAACTGGCTTATTCTGTAGAGGGAGGGGACCGCACCGATTTGCCATCTTGCACCAAACACCTTAATCTCCCATCACCTCACCAGGAAGCTATGTTGGCTATTTCTTGGAATTAAAAGGCTGGATTAGTTTCTAACACTTGCCGGTTCCCCACCCACCCCCACCCCCACATTCATAACAATATATTAAAAGGAAATTCTGGCTTTTACAAATATAGTAGGGATTCCCTATATAAATGCCCATGTTATTTCGAAACTGAACAGCCCACAGTGTTGTGAACACCCCAATATAACTTCCTAGATGATTTGTTTCTAGAGCTGACCAAACCTGGCTTGAGTTTAGGGACATAGCCAGCTTTCCTGGGGTGCCGAGAAAGGCAGCCTTGGAAATGGTAGGGTCTGCCGCTGCTGGCACCAAAAAAAGGGGCAAGTGCCATCTCTGTGGGTGACGCAGTGAAAGAAAATTGCCTCAACAATGGGCCTCATGTTTTGCCTGTCCAACTCACGCAGCTGTGAAATGTGGTGAATTGTGCTCAAGCTGCTGGAGTACAATATTCTGTGGTTCTGTGAAATTTGTTGCTACTGTTATGGGTAATTCACAACTCATGATTACTGTTATTCAACTGTAATAATTATACGTATGTTAATGGCACAGTATGTTGCTGTATGTTTTAAAAACAGTGGGGTCTACTAGACCCCACACATCATCCTTGTAGTGGCCTTACGTATTTTACATTGTGGGTATTATTGACCCTACTTTGCAGATATGTTAAGGTTTTTTTTAGTTACATGCAAATGATGTCATGCTTAATATTTTCTCACAGGTGTTTTATTTGTATGGTTTTCTTGGGGTACATTTGAACCTGAAACTGGACTGATATACTCAGTGGAGGATTAATTATTATACTAGCCTCTGTTAACTTATTCCAGGTTCCTTCAGTTGTTGGCCTCTGTAAGGTTAATAATAATAATAATAATAATAATAATAATAATAATAATAATAAAAAATCCCCATTCAACCTAAGGATCCTGGGAGAGTTACAACAACTTAAAATACAATACTAAAAATAGTTTAAAAACTTAGAATTAAAAAAAATGAAATCACATCAGGTGCCAAAGGCCAGGGTATATATAATCAGCCTCCCTGCCAAAGGATTGGAAGGTAATAGCCAATGTAATACCAGTTTGCAAAAGAAAATATCCATGGAGAATAAGACCCAGGAAAAAGCTGGGAATGTCAGAAACTTCATTGGAAATGGGAGTGGAAATTGTCATAATATGCATGTTTGAGGTCAGGAACGGAAATCACAGAAGTGAAATATGGGGGGGGGGGGTTAGACTGCAAACGTTACACACATAGTTATATTATTTTCTGCATTGTTTTGGACATTTCTCTTCCATCAAAATTAATCACACAATTAATTATGTTAGTTTCAGGCATAGTGGATAGTGAAATGAATAATGTACGTTTCAGTGGAAGCTGAATGTCAGTAGAATAGCACTGTTTATGACAAACACAGAATGGGGCAGAAGTCACCAGCTCCTTACATCCCTAGAAATCGCTGCAACACCTTCACGTTCTTGCTTGCTTGGCTACTATTAACAGCCAAAGTCTGGCACTTAGGCTGTTTAAATACATTTTATGCATAACATCTGACAGAGGCCTACATTTATTTTGTTGTTGTTGACTATAATCAGCCAGCGTTTGGTTCTTCCCTGCAGCAGTAATGGAAGCACAGATCCACATTCAACATAATGAATGTGAATTTCCCCCCACAATGCAGCTCATTCAAACCCACCGAGTGACTAACAATGGGTGCCTGGCAAGGGGCCACTCGGTTGCCAAGGAATCCCGGATGCCTTTGGAACACAAGAGGCTGTTACAAGGAGCTGTGCAGTTCAGCTACAGAACAAGGCCTCTTATTTGAAACTATTTTCAGAGACATACACAGTAAGAGGCACAGAGGAACATGCTTTTCCAAAGACTGTGGCAGTTTGCCAGGCAGGCTACTGTGGCCATTCTCTTCCTCTGAAGCCACAACACTAGAAACTGAGCTCTGCTTCCCCTGTTGGGCTTTACGGATGCCCTGTGCTGGCTCTAAATGAATCAGAAAGGTCATTCTTGTTTACCAAATACCAAATGTCTCATTCTTGTGGGTCTCTTTCATGGGTCTTTGCTGGAGGAGCCTTAACTAGGCATTTCTGTAAACAAGCCTTCAAAGATCAGGTGTATGATGTAAAAACTAGAGCAATGTTGGCTTCATCCTTTAGCAGCAGCTCATTTGTATGGGAGAAACAGTTGACGGAGTGCCCAGTGGATGGTCTCTTCAGAGCTGGCAAAGGTTGATAGCAGCCATAGCTTATCTCGGAAATAAGTAGAAGTGATACCTGAGTGTCATTACCTGGGACCCAGGTGAATGTCATGACCTGAGACCCACTGGGGTCAATATGGCAGGCAGGCATTTCTGAGCATACATTGCTCTTATACATTGCTTTCACAGCTCTAATATTTTTGCTTTGAATCAGTTTCTACTGAACAATAGCTTACAGTCCGCAGTCAGCAGCTAGCAGGACACCAAGGAGAGGTTGTGCCAATTAGGAACGCAGGAGATCTGCCAAGTTCCTTCAGGCTAGCTGGAAGGTGAAGTACAGAGTATCCCTATTCTGACATGCTCTCACCCTGCCACAGAACATGTTTCTGATACACAACTGACCTCAGCCTGCTAAGTGCTGAGCCTGCACAAACATGTTCCCAGTCACAACCACAATGTATCTGTGCCATTGTCCTGCAAAAAAGTATATACCTAGCTAAGCAGAGATTTTTCATGCACCTCAACCTGTCTTTTTGCTAACAAACAGGCATCGCTTATCAGCTTCACATACTAGAAAGGTGAAGTGGCCTAGAAGAGACCAGAAGCTCCAAACTGACCACTTCATGTAACAGACTACCAAACATGCAACGTTTTTCACGAGACAGAAGAATAGTGAATTTAAAAAATTTGTTTAGAACTATCTGTTGCCATGGTATAGCTAGTAGACAGAAGCGTGCTTTTTTGTATACCAGTAAGGAGTCCACAAGCTGTCTACATGTTCTGTTATCTAGTCATGTTTCTGAAAGGGATCGTTCACGAGCTAACCATGTAAAGAGAATGTTATTAAAGTGTCTTGAAATTTGTATTCGGGGTCCAGAATTTGGAGAATGCCTCTGGATGATTTATTCTTACTGCGGTCTGCACTAAACACACCCAGGGGGGGCATGACCCCTACACATGCCTCCATCAACTAATTTTCTTGTCATTTTTTCATGGTAATATCGCAGATTTTATGGTCTGTTGTTTTTTAGTACAGTGGTACCTCGGGTTAAGTACTTAATTCGTTCCGGAGATCCGTTCTTAACCTGAAACTGTTCTTAACCTGAAGCACCACTTTAGCTAATGGGGCCTCCTGCTGCCGCCGCACCGCCGGAGCATGATTTCTGTTCTCATCCTGAAGGAAAGTTCTTAACCTGAAGCACTATTTTTGGGTTAGCGGAGTCTGTAACCTGAAGCGTATGTAACCCGAGGTACCACTGTATACCTAAAATATTTTGCTTATTAGGGGCTACCCCACATTTTGTGTCTTGGCTTTTGAAAAATAGGGGGTCCTCAGTAATTAGCTAATTGGGAACCCCTGCTGCATAGGATTATGCAGCTTCTATGATGCCGCCTCTGTCATCATTACCACTGATTACCTGCATCTTCTGAAAAGACAGCTTCCCTCCCTGCCCCCAGGCTTTCCCTGAATCCTGTCTTCCATATGTTCTAATGCTTTATTGTATTTCTAGTATTTTTATTGATGTTCTCAGTATTTTGCATGGATGGCTTTATGGTATAGTTATGTAATATTTGCCTACACTGCTTAAACATATTTTATATATTGAGCAGTATAAGAAATGGTCTTAGATAAGTAAATACAAATAAACAAGAGGCACTCCTTTTAGGGGAGGCGCATTGTTAGGAAGTGATGGAGAAACAAGCACTGCTGGTGCTCACCTCAGTTCTGTGAATACCGATCAAGAGCAGGCTTCAGTCTCTGGGGAAGTGAAGCCAGCACCTTCCGCCAGCAGTAAATTGACTTTCAAAAGAAGAAAATAAATATTTTAAAGGCTTGCAGAGCAATCTCTGCATAACAGATCAGTTATACAAAGGCTTTAGCCGTTTCTCACTTGAGCGCAGGAAATAAACCTTAACAGGAAGGTTTTCGCCTTTTTAGAAAAAGGCAGCTGGGAGAGCCGAATCTCCCATTTTTGTGTGCTGATTTTTTAGGGGCTGCCTAATGAATAAAACTGCTCAGAAATTTAAGTTAATGCAAAGGAGTGGTACTAGGATTGCTGACTGGGATGAGGCATTCGCAACGTATTTGACCAGCCTTAAAAGTTGCTTTGGGTTCACCCTTCTAAGTTATTTAAGACTAGGCAGCAATTGGATGACATGTCCAGGCCCAGGACATTTTACTGCCTGAGGCAGAGAAGCAAATGGCACCCACTCCACCCACACGCCACCCCAAGTCCAGGTGCATAGTACCCAAAGCCGGCTACATTATTCTGGCACCTGTAAACAAAAATCCCCAAAAGCACTTCTCCCCAGCAGCAAAAATGCAACAACAATAATATAACTAGCCCACTGATGCCCTTTCATCCAAAACATAGGTGTCCAAGGCAGTTTTAACCTGATACTGCAGCTTCTTCTCCAATTATTTTACACTGGAGGCAGTCTCCATCAGCCCTAGCTATCATGATCAATGGTCATGAATGGCCACAGGTTCTCTATGACTCTGATGTTAGGTATGCATATGGATGTTTTTGGATAAGGTATTAACTTTCAAGGCAGAGAAACTATTTGACAGGGCACACACAGACACAGAACAAAACAAAACATGAGCAAAGCCAAGTGTCTCCCCTCCCCGCTTGATTACGAAATGCCCATAAGTAAGATTCTGGCAAAAGCTACAATAAGCATACTTCTTCTCAGCATCCCTTGGGCTTACCTTTTAGTACTTACTTGGGAATGGAGCGCAAAGGTCCTCTTTCCTCTGTGTTGCAGATTATTTTATATTGTTTTCCTGGTCACTATAAGTCCTGCTTCCACCAAGGGGTCCCTTTTCTGGGCTGTTTGTGCAAGATGAGTCTCCAGCCTCCATGAGGATCTACAGCTGGAAATGCATGATTTAAATATTGAGGAAGATTCATCACAAGTATTTTGCAGGAAGTCCAGAAGAGGAACTGCTAGCCATATGGAACTTGACACAATCTTCCAGATGTTAATATGATTATTTATTATTTAGAGGGCTGCCAGACAAGGTCTGTGAAAATTCCCCCTTTTGAAGCTGCATGGTTGCCTAGTTACATAGTTTTTAAAAACTCATTGTCTCAAACACTTGTTTTATAATTGGCTTTATTTTGGCTTTTCTATTGTTAGCAATATTGTCAGCTGTAGTGGTGCATTTTGTAACTTTTAAAAACAAATGACCTTATTGATAACTTGACCTTTTTACATGATGTGGGGCATTCACCACTTACATTTTTTGCTGATATTGTTTTCACAGTTTATAATGCTTTGTGTGATCTACAGAGCAATCCTCAGTGCGCACATGTGTTCTGATGATGATGTGGTAGATCTACCAGCACATTCCAAATACTGCCAACTCATGCCAGCCAGGATCTTTTTCACTATGCCAGCTGAGTGAGCAAGGATTGGGGCACTTGGAAGATCTGTGGGGCTTTGGATCCAACAGATCCAATGCAGTTAGCACCCTGCCCCCAAACACCTCATTTGGGGGCTGACTGCTCCTGCTGATGTGAATGTCTCCTCTCTGAGTGCCATCTCTGACACTGTGGAGCCCAGGGAGCCATGGGTTATGATGGAAGCTGGATGAAGGCTAAAGCCCAATTGGTGCAAGTCTTATTCTGGCTAGTGCACATAGCCATACCATAACCTACCACGTAGCAGTGTGGGTTGCAAAAAGGGCAAATTTCATAGCTTGCATTGCATTCTCTAGCAACCAGCAGGCAGAGCTATTTATTAAGGTCCAGAGGCTGTTGACGTCCATTGTGGGAGAGGGACTTCTGGAGCATTTGAGGACCCACAGTGATCAACTGGCTGCACATTTTGAAGATAAAAGTCTCTCAACATCAACGTGATAACATTGTAGTTCCAGCCAAAATATCCAGTGCTGGTTTGTGATGTGTTATGGGATTTTTATTTTTATTTTCAGTTTAAGCAGCCTGATGATGTGGACACAGTGCTTGCAGCTATATGCCTGACCACAAGCCCTCTGTACTCCTGACCCTCTTGGCTTAGTAAATCTAGGTTTTCCTGGTTGGTCCCAGAGTGTGATGAACACTTTCTTGAGTGTCATTTTGAAAATGGTGATGATATGGCCACTCCTAAAGAAACCAGCCTTAGACCCTTTTGTGTGGACTAACTGCTGACCAGGCACAAATACTCCATCCTAAGTAAGGTGGTTAAGAGGGTCGTGAAGGGGCAGCTGCAGGCATTCATGGCTATCACAGATTATCTAATTTCAATCTGGGTTCAGGTCTGGTCATGGGACAGAGCTGGCCCTGGTTGCCCTGATGAATTATCTTTACCAAAAGTGTATGAGCCTCAATCTCTATGTGGCTTTCACCACATGCTTTGTATCCTCCTGGACCAGCTCCAAGGAATAGGAATAAGGGGCCCTGTGCTACAGTGGTTCTAATCCTACTTACATGACTAGGCCCAAAGAATAGCATTGGGAGAGTACTACTATTCAGCCTCCCCAATGCTTTGGCATATCTATATGAAACTTTTGGAAGAGGTCATTGGGAAATCTGGGGCATGGCCCATCCCTATAGAAGGAAGAAGCCAAAGAAGATAAAGAAGATTGGTAGAATAATCCAGTGAACTATGCAGGGCACATTAGACAATTTGAAATCCAAAAAGACGTTGGCTTTTTTCCTTTCTTTTTTCTTTTATATAAGGGGAAAGTTTAAAGCATAATCTTGTGAGCTTTGTGTATAGGCTTTTACATTAGTTGAACTTTTAAAAGTCACTTGTAATAATAATAATAATAATAATAATAATAAAATTTTTTATTTATATCCCGCCCTCCCCAGCCGAAGCTGGGCTCAGGGCGGCTAACAACAATCAAAATAATCCAGCATTCTAAAAACATTCATTATAAAATTAATTAAAATCAAATTGATGGCAACCATTAAGCAAAATTCTGTGCAGATTGCCAGAGGAGGGGTCAGGCTGCGCCCTGACCAAAGGCCTGGTGGAACAGCTCTGTCTTGCAGGCCCTGCGGAAAGATGTCAGGTCCCGCAGGGCCCTAGTCTCTTGTGACAGAGCGTTCCACCAGATTGGAGCCGCGGCCAAGAAAGCCCTGGCTCTAGTTGAGGCCAGCCTAACCTCTCTGTGGCCTGGGATCTTCAGGATGTTTTTATTTGCAGACCGTAAATTTCTCTGTGGGACATACCAGGAGAGGCGGTCCTGTAGGTACGAGGGTCCTAGGCCGTATAGGGCTAAGATGAATAAGATGAATAAGGTTTAAAAATTACATTGTTAAGAATATAAGATTTAAAGGACGTGCATGAATAAGAGTGCCCACCCGGATGGAGCATTTGTGGTTGCTGGTGATTTTAACCGAGCCGATTTAAGAACTGTGCTCCCTAAGTTCCACCAGTATGTTGATTGTCCCACTAGGGGGGGAAATACCCTGGACCGAGTATATAGTAACATCATGCATGGATACAAGACCAAGCCCTTGCCCAATTTGGGGCAGTCAGACCACATATCTTTACTTATGATACCATCATATAGACCTCTCGTACGCAGAATTAGACCATCAACTAGAGAGATACGAGTGTGGCCAGTAGGTGCATCTGAGCAACTTCAAGATTGCTTCGGAGCACCGAGTGGTCGCTCTTTGTGGAGAATAATGTGGACACATACGCTTCAACAGTACTGTTCTACGTTAAAAGCTGCATTGATGTTGTCACTACCACCAAACAAATACGGGCGTTCCTAACAACAAGCCCTGGCTAAACAGGGATGTGTATCTTCTGTTAAAGGCAAGAAATGCTGCTTTTCACTCTGGTGATGCGCAAAAAATAATGGAACCAGGAGGGGGAGTGGAGGGAAGTCAATTAAGATTTATGGTT